CAAAAAAAAGGAAAGAAGGGGAAGATTTTCGAACCGATGTGAAAAACCACGGAATGCCGATTTCCCGACGCCCGCATGAGATCTGCCCTGTATAGCACGGTACGGTACGGTATTGTACGATATGTACACGAGACAGACAGACAGACATACAGACACACACACACACACACAGAGAGAGAGGTGGAGAAACCAAAGACGACCAACTCCCCCCCGACCCAGTCAAAGAGCCGTCAACGCCTCGAATTTCTCCATGCGGGTGTTTTGCACCCCGTTCAATCCCCCAATAGAACTCCACACGCAGGGCGAGGTTCGAGGAGGGATGTATTCCTACATTTCTCCCCCCCCCTTTCCCCAAAAAATGGAGTCGAGGGGCAAAGAGATGGGGAAAGAACAAGAAGAGGAAAAGGAAAGCAAAACGAAAAGATCAAGAAAAAGATCAAGAAAAAGAAAAAGAAAAAGAAAATAAACGCCGGGTCATCATTAGGATTAGAATCGTTGTTCGTGAAAAGCGGTGAAGTGACAGCGGGCCTTGTTCTCCCTCCTCCCCTCCCCTCCCCCGGATCACCGAGGGGCATATCAACAAGCCTTGAGTCCCATCCTCGAGGCGACCGCCAGCGCCGCCGCCGTGGCCGCCGCGTAGTTCCGCGATAAGATGTCCGTCGGCGACATGGAAGAAGAAGCAGCAGCAGCAGCGGAAGAAGAAGAGGAAGAGGAGGAGGAGGAAGCGTTCCCGGTCGGGGCGTTCGCCGCGTCCCTTTCCGCCGGGGAATCCAGTCTCGAATGCGACGCGCTCCTGCCCGGGAGAGTCGGACGAGCCGCGAATGGCTGCTGCTGCTGCTGTTGCTGTTGCTGCTGGCCGATGTAATTCTGCAGGTGGAGCTGATGCTTCTGGTGAGGGATGAGGCCCGCGGGGGCGACCTGCTGCTGCAGGAATTTGTTCGCGCAGGAGCGGGCAAAGGCCTGCCACTGGTCGGCGGAACCGAGGCGTTCGGCCGCGAGGTATTTCAGGGCCATGATGAACATGTCGTCGCGGGAGGGCGCGGGGTCGGCGTAGCGGTAGGCGGATTTCGGGGTCGTCGCCGCGGAGGAAGCTCCGGCCGAGGCGGAGGAGGAGGAGGGGGTGGGTGGGGAGAGGGTGACGTCCACGGCGCCGGGGATCGGGCTGGGTGGGACGCTGACGAGGAGGGATGTTGGGGAGAGGAATTTCACCGAGGGGGAGGCGTGGTCGCCGAAGAGGACGCGCGTGCCGGGGACGAAGTGCTCGCCGAGGATGGCGATCTCGTTGCCGCCGGTCGTGGGGCCATGGTCAGGGCTGAGGTGGAGGAAGGAGACGCCGGTCTGAGAGCGCTTGTTGTTGTTATTGTTGTTCAGGAGGAGGAAATCACCGCTGGCGGAGTTGGAGGAGGAATGGTTGTAGGTGGGATACCGGCCGGCAGTCATGTTATTGGTGGAAGTCTGAATCGGATGCTGACGGTTGTAGGCGGCCATGTTACCACGACCCTGATGCATCACGGGAGAGCTCGCGCGACTCGGCACTGCCGAAGACGGCTGTGAGAACATGGCTTGATTGCTGGTCGTGTACGATGCGTCAATCTGCGCCTGGCCGATACCAAAGTATGCATTCGTTTCGCTCGGTGTGGGAGGGCCGCTGCTGAAGAAATTCGTCGTGCTTCCATTGTTTGACATGTTCATATATGGGTTCATTTGTCCTGCAAACGTTGCACTGGTTGGCGAGAACTGGGAGACGGCAGAAATGGCGGAAGAGAGGTTTGACGATGCAGGCTGGTTCGTGTCCACCCGGGGCGTCATTGTTAATCCGCTGGGGATTTTCCGATGAAAATTGGTCGATGATTTCCGCTTCTTGTTCGGGCCCAGTTGAGCAGGAGTCGGCGAACCAGGCCTGGATGTAGCCGAGGAAACATGCGTGGCGGACGAAGGTTGATTGGTGATTGCTGCTCCCGTCAGCTGTTGTGAGGTGTTATGAGTATTGAAACCGCTCCCATACGCGAGAGCCTGCAAGCTTCCCGCCGATTTGGAAGCCGTAAATGCCGGCATGTGTGTGGAAATGTCCACCATTGATTGAGAATTTGGCAACCCATTAGATGCGAAGCCGGATGCGTAAAAGGAGTCACTCGTGGCTGCCCCGGGAAAGCCACTGGGATGTGTTTTGTGATCATCAGTGATGAGGATCGAATCCGAAATCTGCTGCGCGACGACATTCCCGTGATGATCTTTGAGAGTGAAAATCACCTGGAACCCCTCCTTTTCGCTCTGATGTCGACAGTAGCAGGCGATTCGCATCGCTGCCGTCACCTGAAGAGCACCCTCAGGTGGCATGTAATAATCAGCTTCTGTGCCCAGACCCGAGTCCCGATGGGGGTTGTGTTGAGGTTCGCAAGGTTTGAAGGGCAAATATTCATTCGAGTTGAATACCACCACCCTCTCTGTCTCGAAACGTTCCCAATGTTGTTGCTCTTCTTCCCGCTTCGTCTTCTTCCGTCCAGCTCGTTTCCTCTCGCGCTGGATACAATTGCTGCAGATCCGGACCTCGCCGCCGTTCGCGGGCTTGTCTTCGTCCGGAACAAGCTTTGGATCGTTCTTCTCCTCATCGCCCGATTCCCGAGCCAATTCTGCACGATTTTGAATTTCTTTATTATCTTGAGCCGCGGCTTGCTTCATGGCCTTTTCCTTGAAGCCAGCATTATGCATAGCGCTCGTGCAGACAAGCATGGTGTACAACTCCAAGGACTTGCTCTTGTCGTACTCGTCCTTGGCCAGCAATTTCGACTTGGCAATGGTGTGAAGCGGAAGATGCAGATGTTCAATACCCGGTGGAGGTTTCTCAAGGGTCATGACCACATTGATCTGGGTCTCCACGCGAGACTTGGTAGAGATCGGAGCAATGTGCAATGGAGATCTCCCGAGCGTGTGGTTTGATTCTGCTTGTTGTCGCAATCCATTTGAGGCCGATTCCATGCTCGAGGCTGCGGTGAAGCCCAGATCGGCCTGCGGTGTGATCTGAGAAGAGAAGTCGGCCTGCCACGCCGAGGAATCCTGAACCACGTTGGCGTTTAGAAACTGATTTGCACTTAAATTGTCTGGGCTGTCCGATGGTGGAGTTGCTGACATGGCATTGGGAGACGCCCGATGGAACATCCTGGTGGCGGTGTTCCCTGCAGACAAGTCGCGCGCGCTCCCAACAGAGAACATTTCTGGATTGATGGTTTCCATAGGAGAATCCTGGTCGAATCGGTTTAGCTGGACAAGTGCAGGCATGTGAACCTGAGAGTCCAAATTCATAGCCGTAGGATCGCGCGTTTGGATTGGACTCGATGCAGCGCTATTGAACTCGAAGCGACTCAGACCTTGCTCCAAGGACAAGTTGTGCATGGGCTGGGCGAAGGTTTGTTCGAATACTTGATTCGTTTGGAAGTGATTCAAGCCTGATTTGGCTCTCTGCTGCTGCTGAGTTTGAAGCGCGGTGTTCAGTCCCAGGCTCGTAATTGGATGTATCAGAGGCGATTCCGTGGACTTTCGCTTAGGAAGACCTGACGACCCCGAAGAGGAAGCGCGGCGAGAGCTTTCGGTCGAGAGAGCCATCATGTTTTGAGAATTCCGCTGGGATTGGAGTGTAGTCTCGCTCGGGTCAACATCCATCCTGCCCGGTGCCCGTAGCGTGAGCCCCCCTGGGCTATCTCCATAGGTATCCATATTGGTAAAGTCGTCGAAAGCACTCGCTCCGAACTGACCCTCCTCCAAAGGCAGGGCATCGGTGAATTGTGTGTCCGTGAACATGTAGCCCTCCGCCCAGGCATGACTGCCGTCGCTCATATGCACATTTTGAGAATCCATGTCGAAGTGGCGCGCCTCAACCTGGTGGCCCTGTGTCCGAAAAAGGATGCGGGTTGTCCAAAGGGAGACTGATCGGAAGGGTCCGTTAGAATGTCCCCGGTCGCCCGGTCGCGGTCCAGATGACAACGCCCCTTCTCTTTATCGCCCGGCGTGACGGTGGTGAGAGTTGTGAGCCCCGCGAGCTTCAGTTTAACATGGATCCGGTAGTCGAGAGCGTTGCCAGACCGGCGTGTGGTCCGAAGAAGCAGGTAGCGAGTGCCAGGCCGATGATTGCCGCGTCGAGACGAAAGATTGGCAGATCATGAGGATCTTTCGAGATGATGCGCGAAAGTGGAAAGGTGATGACGGAGAGGGTTGTCAGGACACGGTCGTCGATCAGAGAAGTTGTAGAAGAAGCAGCGGCGACGAAGGCGATGAAGTGAGAATCTGTGGTGGAAGGTGGAGTGTGATGGACACCACCACCCTGTGTACATGCACAGCACTGTCGTACACTCTCGCGTCGAGCGTTGCCTGTAGTACGTAGTAGCGGACGTACTGTGCTGGAAATAGCTAGAGGAGAGTAGCGGAAAGGTAGGTAGAGAATAGCCCTGGACTGGAGCGTGTGCTGGATCTATCTGTAGCCAGCCAGGACCCCCCGATGGCCACCGTCGTTTATTCTCAGAGCTGCAGCATCTACGAATGGCAGTCGCTCGATTTCCTGAGGTCGCTACGAAGCGCAGTAGGATAACCTTCTCCTCGAAGAAGGAAATAGTTGGCAGAATACCTGAGAGACAGCAAACCTTGGAGAGTCTTTTTCTCAAAGGAAGAAAGGCTGCGCTCACACAAGATTGGGGGCAACCGACAGAATACAGCAGCACCTGGGGATCGTACAGTACAACGAACGAAGTACAGTCATCCGCCGCCACGCCGTGGATGTGCCTCCTCCTCCACCACCACCACCGACACCACTGCGAGATGCACCTGCATGCTACTAAGGCGATGTTGTATCGCTGTGACAGAACCTAAGTGCCCGGGGTGGACACCATTCCTGCACAGCTAGCCGTCAAGCACCTGACTAGCAGCGCAAGAGCGGAAGTCATCAACATCTGGACTTGATATCCCTCGCTAACGAAGGAGACGGCGAGAAAACCGCTTGGACATCCCACGAGTTCGACAGATTGACTTTGCGTTTATTAGTCCAGTGGAATGGAAGACGTGGAAGTGTATGGGAACAAGCGGGCCGACCAGTCTCAGAAGGGGAAACGATGAGACGCAACGGGGCCATTGATGGAGCACAGGCAATCTACGTGTCTGTGTCTGTGTGTGTGTCTTTCTCGTCTGGAGTGCCTTCGGTAATAAACAGCAATGCAAGCCAATGTCATCAGTGATCGGACAGCGACCTAGATGGACCTCTCTCCTGATCAATCCTTGATCGGCCCTGACCGCACTGTATGCCATGGTGCGCCAAGGACATTCTGGATGCGAAGCCTCATCCAGGGATGAGGTGCTGCCTTCATTACGGCAGGGCAGCACGTATCGGACTTATCGACACTACCATTGGGGTATTCAAACGTCCCGCATCATATCTGGGTAACACGAGACGATGCGAGTGTGCTGTCCTACCGTCTGTCTACATGAATATCAAGGACAGCGTTTTCATTTCACAGTGCCTTCATCGCGACAGAGGCATCATAATCATCCACCGCGTCCGGATTTCGTTGGATGCATATCTAGTCGGGCGATGCACGACGAATCACGGCTCGCCGGCAAACGACGACCGCCAGACCCTGATGGATATGCGTGTGTGATACTCGCCAGATACAACAACTGTCGCATACAACGCGAACATTGATGATGATAAATAAAGCGCGCAAATGTTGAACACCTACCTACCTACTTACCTACCTGGGACTGTGTGTATGCGCTGTGTGCTGCAAGTCCACGACAGACGCTACACCGACCGGGATCATATGTGAATTTGTCGCCAGCCGTCGTGTTGGCGGCGGGGAAGCAGCGGCATCGCGTCGGATTGGTGGTGCCATTGCCTCCAGGTCCATCAATTGCCGATTCAAGGCCCAGTGGAATCTTGCACGTACGCATTGGAGAGGCCTCTGTCGTGTGTTCGGTCCCGTTGACCGTTCGTGTGTGAACACCGTCGCAGCAAAGTAGGCTGGTGGAAATCCATGATTTCTCGCAACAAGCCCCGTCTTGTTCAGAGCACGTGCGGAACCGGATCCCCGTCCGTCGTGATCTGGAAACCTCCCCTCCCGCGGGCGACGATCGAATTAACTTTGAAGTCGATGATAGAGTTTCTTATTAGACGTCAACTCTAATAAGAGCTCCAGTAGGATTGATTTAGACCCCCACACAGCCTGCTCTCGTCGTCTTGCGAGAGCATATACCCAAGGAATCGCGTAGGCAAAGAACATTGCCAAAAGTTGTCGTGGTGGTAGCGTTCTACCGCATCTTTACTGCATGACTCTCTATCCGCACAAAGCGTTCTGCCGCGGTCACTGATGAATGCGGGCGAGGAACAATCAAAAGATGGAGGCGGGGGAGCTCCGTGTATGACCCGAAGCCGCCTGCGCCGCAAAAAGTTGCACAGGACGATGCCCGTCTGACCATGGCACGACAACGACATGCGCATTGCGTGACGGTATTCTGCAGAGTGTCTTGGCCCCTTACAACAATGCTCCCATCTTCGCTGGACCGTATTCAATGCGGACCTTTCGCGAGCCAGGCTTCCACTCCGGGATGATGATCACCTAGGTAGGTATGTGTAGTGCTGACAAGGGCGAGGAAACTGGCGCAAGCCCTGAAGGTCATCCAATTCATCGTCCACCATCATCACCACCAATGTCCAAATTGCAGAAAAAAATCACGTAGGTACCTTGTACACACATCGAAGACCGCGCAACTGCAAAAAGATGTGCAAGAAATTCCTTCATAGTTCGGCCCTGCTTCGGAGTCTTTCTTGTACGCGCCAAAAGCCAAGCGACAAGGATGTTGACGACGACGACGACGATTAGAATAGACGAGAGACACGAGAGGCAGAATCGGGGGGTTATGACTAGGGCTCGATAAGTACCGATCACCAACGAGCCCTGCACAAACAACACGTCAGGTTTTTGACTTGTCGAACATCTGCTCAAGTGTGGAATCTCCATCGCAGGCAAAAGAGGGAGCGAAGACGACCCGTCAGTCGCCGCGCGGAGAGGGCAAATTTACCAGTTTCGTACATGGCGGGTCATCATAATAATAGTGTTCTGGACTGGCCTTTCACGTTTACGCGCCAGGGAGAGGATTTGGTTTCGCCCTCGCATCTTTCGTCAAATTATCAATGAGGTGCTCAGACAGGCCGAAGAAGACGGGCGGCCTTGTCTGATCGGAAAAGCCTCGCGTTATAGAGGTAATTCACTTCAGTTCAGGATGGCATCGCATCGAATCATAATCATGAAAACCCTTTTTTCAATTTTGGATCACTCACTAGTAATAATACAGCAACAAAAGACAAGAACGCTCTTCCTCATAATACAATGCAAAGAAGTTCATCAGGCGTCTCTTTCTTCCACTCATAAAACGTTTGATCTTCATGGTCGTTGATCGTAATGGGCTGAAGGGGAATGGGTCGTTGTACAGGAAAAAGCAAGAACGCGAGATACCTCAAACAACTGACAAACCTGCGCCGATTCGTTTCTCCACACGAAGACAACGTAGCAACACCAACCCGTGGGAGTCCACGGCTTGTGTCGTGGGATGAAAATATCGGACGCAGAACGTGCTCCAGAAAACGAGTCGAAAAAGCCAAAACCATCCAACGCCAAAATTCAAAACTCCTTCGCTGTCCAGAACGGTTGGCCCGAGAAATTCAAAATTCACGATCGGTCGGTCGGTCGGTCAATAGTTGCCGGGAAAAGCTTCACCAGAAGCTAACTCCATTTCACATTCGTCTCTTTGTGAGAAAGCCTCGTCAAAAGACGTCCTCCGGCCACTCAAACTCGCCGGCCGGCGCCGTCGCGGGACGGACAATCGCCGCGCCATGACCCTCCTCCTCACTGACCGATCCAAGACGACCCTTCTCGCCGGCAGGCGGGAGGGGGCTGATGGAGCGGTTGCGGCGGTGTTTGGCGACATCGCCGGCCGAGAGCACGGCTTGGATGCCGGATTTGTTTGGGTCGAGATGCTGCTGCGGTTGGAGCAGGATGTTCGGGCTGGCGGAGCGGTTGCGCTGGTGCACGCCGCGGCGGGTGTAGCGCGCGGGCGTGGCTTTTGCAGTAGGCTTCGACGGGGCGTCCTTGACAGGGATGTTGGTTGTGGTGGTGTTGCCTTCGGAATCTTCGTCTTCTTCTTCCTCTTCGAAGACGGGCTCCAGTGGGGACATGATGTCGAGGTCGGTGACTTCGAGGAACGAATCTTCTGGCTCGGGTTGCTCGTCGATGATCGGGGCGGATGTCGATGTTGGCTCATTGGTCAGCGTCTCTTCGATGGTCGTGTGTTGGATTGTTCGAGTCTCGTCGGGTTTGGACACAGTGCTCTTTTGCACCTTTTGTTTCTTGTGACCAGATGCGACATGTGACTTGACGATGGTCGCTGTCGCGGGCGTCAATTTCTGAACAGTGACCTTCTGGGCTTGTCGGCGAAGACTTTCTGCAGACTTGTTGCCTGATTTGAGCTTCTTCTTGGGCGTACCAGACGCAGCTGCCCATTCTTCATCGTCATCGTCATCGATTCCTGCACTAGGCTTGAATGCGAGATCATTTGACGCGACGCTCGACTTTCTCTTCTTTGATTTGGCTGACTTCTTTGCAAGTTTTACGTTGTCGTCAAGGGCCTTGAGCTTTGAGTCCAGCTGGCTGTAATCCGCTGTTGAGCTTCCAGCTGCATTTGCAGTGCGTGTGAAGTCGGTGATGTTGTTAGGGTCCATCTCGACAGGAGTTTTGGCTATGGCGTTGCTGAGAACAGGGCCGTTATGGTCAACTGGATCGTCGGTGCCAGTCTGTGGTTCGAGGTGGATGTCACGGTTGAAAAGCTCGTGATTTACATCCTTGAATAGGGAGGATATCCGTGGCGGAAGGGCAATTTCACGTGTCGCGCGTATCGTGGCTTGATTGTCGATATCCTCGTCGTCATCTGAAAGATTGATGCCACCTTCGGGGAAAAGCAATCGCTCGCTTGGTAGCGTTGGAAGTGATCCGGGAATGAACTTGGGGCGTCGCAAAGGAGCCGATGAGAAGCGCTGAGACGAGGCGCTTGTGCCAGGGGCCGGTGAAGCTTCATCCAGAACGTTCCCAAGTTCTGCACGTGCAAGCGAGAGCTTCCTCTCCAGATCGCTGATGCGCTTGTAGAGACGGTGCGTATCTCGACTTTGCTTGTCGCTCCGAGTTCGCAAGGATTCACTTGCAAATGGTTGAGTCTCTGCCTTCTCCGGAGACACAGAGGATGACGTTTCACGTGCCGCAATATTTCCCAGGTTCAGATCGGACGCTACACGCTTCAAGCCATTCTTAAGATTCGAGAGCGACGGCCGTCTCAGGCTGAACCGGGAGCTCATCGAGCGAAGCCTCTTCTGCTCCGTCGCTGGAGCATCAATCGCGCCAGGGCTAAGGATGTGGTCTCGAGGGCTCGCAAGATCCGAACCCATCGATACGTTGCGCCTGTGATCGAGCGACGAGCGTTTGCTATCTGACCCAACGACAGAATCATGCGGAGTGGCGAGATCGATGGAGTGACGAGTTGCTGACACTTGCGTGGGATCAAGGAGCCCGGCCTTCTTCATCTCAGCATACCTCGCTTCCGCCTCGGCTTTCATTCTTGCTTTGCGTTCAGCGTCAATCCTGTTCTGCTGTAGAAGCTTCTCATGTGTCTCGTCATATAGCCTGTTCCACAAACCAAATGGGTAAAATTTGGATAAGGAACGACCAAAACGGAAGAAGCTCTTAGGTCCCTCTGTTGATCCACCTGCGAGTTCCGCGTCTGTGGAATATTCATCTTCAATTTCGTCCCCATCGACCGCTGCGTCGCCAGCAGGATCATGATATGCCTCCATGAGGTCATCCATATGTTCGAGGCCACCCTTCATCTGCCGCTTGCCACGCGTGTAGAAGCTCGGTGGAGTTGTGCTGGGTTTGCTGTTCAAGCTCCCTTCTTGGAATTTGGACCCTCGTGGCGTCTCTTCCATCTTGTGCTGTTTGGAGCCGTGTCGGAGGTTCAGATTGGACAAGTTTCTCGAGCCTGTCTTCCGCCGTACGCTGCGAGTTCGAGCGTCGTCAGAAGTCTCGTCGTCGCTTTGAGGAACGACGGAGCGTGAGCGTTTGGGAGTATGGCCGTCACCGCGGTCGGCAGGCGAGAGGTCGGTGTTGTCCAAGACGTTGTCATCGTCACCCATGCGACGCTTTCTCTTGGAGCTTCCCACCACCGTATCCGCCATGCCGATGTCGTAAGGTGAGTCCTTGGGTGGAACTGGTGGTGCAGTGTCGTTGGTCGCCATCGGTGAGGTTGGCAGTGATGGTTATGTAGGAGCGATGTTGCACAACCGCTACGTCAAACGGCGGATGTGAAATGGGCGCGTGGCATGCAGAAGGGTTTCTGCCAACGGGCAAGGAATTTGGTGTGAAGCGTGAAAGGATATGCAATGCAGTGACATGCAGCACAATGGCCAGCGCTTGGCTCAATCCCGCGTGTGGGCGGATGGTGGAATGCAGAGGCAATGCACGCTGTTGGAAGATGCCCAGGTGAAATATGTCAATTGCAAAGCCTCATCAGCGAGAGTGAGCTGGTCGTGGTCTCAATCGTGAACGGGTTGTAGAATGTTCTGAAAGACGTGGTGGAACGCACGGGCTTCGACCGTTATTGTTGCTGCGGCGTTGGAGTCCTGCGTCCAGATGGTCAAAACGTTTCGCACACAGCACTGCAGACGGATGAAAGCAATTGCAGCGAGGGCGAGGTCTCGATGTCAAGTCTGTTGTCTGTTGATGTCTCACCACAAGGTCCGGCCGGCGCGATATAATTTATAATGACACAGACGAATGTCAATTCTTACCTGGCCAATCAAGGGAATGAGGAGCTTCCTGCGTGTGCGTCCGGGTAGAGGGGTATTGATTCCCCCTTCCAGATCCCATCTACAATACGTGTTTTCTCACCAGACCATGGCTCGAATGAACCGAATCTCGCGCGACGCTGACCTTATGGCAGCTTTTGCGTCGCAGTTGTTTCAATCGCCTCCCGCACGCTCCTGTATGCGACTTGACTGGTATGCGGGTTTTAGTTTGGACCCCTGCAGCAGTGCCATGTGCAATGAAAGAACAGTAGCACGGGAGTAGTGGTAAGTGGATGGCTGCTTCAGCGCGAGCATGCATGTGATTCATGGCTCCAACCCACATTCCGCCGCGCCAAACCTTTTCATCAATCGTGTCAATGTGCTGTGATCCAGGACTGGACGGCAGATGCATCGAGTACATTCATTAAACCTCGCCTGTGATACAGTTCTGTGTCGCTATTCGGGTCACCGCGGAAGTCCTATCTGCTGCCGATCCCACTGTTGCCCTCCTGGAACGGCTTCATCGGTGCGGTTGACAGTTCCAGGTCGGAGGTCTCCATCGAAATGCATAGACGAGGTGACCGGATGGGCGGATCTCGGCTCGATACTCCCAGATTCGTCGTCGTTTCCTAGCTTTCTATCCTCAACACGAGGCCGCCGCGGTAATGCCAACTTTCCATGACGGGGGAGCGGATACGGTAGAAGTCCAACAGAGGTGTTTGGGTCTGATAAGATCGCGATGCGTCGCATCCACTCAGGCATGTCAAGCGCTGGCGCGAAGGAAAGCCAGCCTCTAAAGCTTCCTCCGCTCTCATTCACGTCGTGCTCCCAAGACCTAAATACCTACTGCCCTTCATCTGCACATCACGTTCAAAAAGCTGGAGACGCCTCGTTCTCTACGGTGAAGGAATCGGTGATCCGCATTGCAAGGTCGTTACGACACACTGTACGTATATATATTGCAGTGATGGGTGCCCAGGTGTGGACCATGGTCGGGTAATGCTGCAACTGTGATCTTGGCCACAGTCCTGCGTGTGACTTTGAAGGTGGGTGAAGGTGGAGAGCGTGAATAATGGAGCATCCTGGTTGGTCCAGTGATCGGAACTGGGTGGAAAGACAGGATCATTTGTACTGCATCGTGCCCTGCCACGAGCGGTAATCGGAGGCACATCGTGAGCTTGCTTCTGCGAGTATGAGAGCAGCAGCAGCCTGTAAGCCACTGTATATTACCGCCAGCCGGTAGGGATTCAACCGTTCAAAGGCGTCTACTGCCTTTGCCTCGCACCATCTTTGCCGAGTGCGTGTAGCTCACACCCTGCTGTCGACCTCTCTTGCACATACACTCCAGTTGTCGCTGTACATCGTGGTCGTGCGATCAAACCTGAGGTCACCGCACAGGCCGACAGTTCATCAGCCTGCTGGACAAAGAAAGTTCGCGTGTCACCCGGAGCCGAAGCGAAGCGATTCCTTCACCCGGAAGTGTCCGTGCTGCGAAGTGTGACGTGCAGCAGACGCACTATTCCCGAACACCACATTCTCCAAATCAGACTCGTCTAGTCGTGTGTGTCATTCATCACGGTCCGCCTTGCCATTACCTCCTTGAGCGGCTCCCTCCCTACCCATAAGTACAAGAGTCACAGCGAAAGGTTTTGGAACATCCCTTCGCCCACAGCGATTTGCGCAATTGTGGACGCGCGCGACGCTGAGGACATCCGCCGCTTGACGCTGATACTCTCAGGCAGGCCGACTTGAGCAGTAGTCGGTGACTGGAGAGAACAGCGGCAGCACTCGCAACAGAGAGCGAACTCGATACCAGCTGGCACGGACTGTATACTATCGGTCTTGCAACCTCTGAACTCAAACCGTCCCTCACAATCGCGAACATGTCTACTCAAAGACCCTTCTTCGCAAACTTCCTTGCTGCTTTCCGGGCGCATCCAACACAAATTCCCAAAATCACATCGTCAATAACACCGTCGGCCGCAGTGGCAAGTTCGGCCACCATATGGACATCAGCGTCTGCACAGCAGCTCTCAAAGCCTTCACCTTCGACGACGGAGACGACGCCGAGTAGTCCGAGGCCGATCAACACAAAATCAAATCCCTACACACAGACGAACGGTGCACCGGTACAAGACCGACAGTTGGTCGCGTCCCTATCACCACTTCAACACAACGTAAGCCCTCAAACGCATCTCCCTCGATCGCCATCATCGCCAGGACTCCCCACCTACGGCCCACATAACAAACCACAATCCAGCTATCCCACATGTCAAGAGGCCCGACGAGGGCGGCGCGGCAGCGACAGTAGCTTTGACTCAGGTGGCTTCCGAGAAGTGCGTGGCGGCGGGGAGAAGTGGTTCATTGGCGGGTTGACGGCGAACGGCGAGGAGAAATACTACAAGCTGAGCATGATCAAGCGGGATCGGAGTTGGGATCGGATTTCGGCAGATCAGTTGAGCTTATGAGGTTGGTTTCTGGCGTATTCTATGGGGAAGGCCGCTCTGCTCGAGGAACAGACAGGCGGCCAGACTGACGTCGGTTGCGGTCGGAAAAGAATTGGTCTGGTCATTCCGTGGCTCTTATCTGCTGCGGCTGTGCTACTTCACGCGAGTGAGGGGCTGGTTTTGCTTTTGATCCTGACGTTCATACGGGAAACGGCGCATGACGATTGGGGATCTTTTCACGACGAGACGAACATTGTAAAGACTGAATGATACAAGGAATATACATACCCCCGTGCTCAATGATCGGAGGTCACTCGTGGTCGGTCTGGATCAGCCCTTCAACATCACCACTAATAAGAGGTCCTTGATTGAACTACAGCACCTGCGCAGTAGCCCGCGCCCGGGAATACTGATATCACATGAAATGATGGTAGCCTCATTCGTGATCGTGGATGGGAGAAGTATGATACGTCGTTACCTGTGGGATGGTACTCGCCCTGTCCGCTCTGTTGTTGGACAGATCACGCTCAGCTTCGAGAGTGCGACGAGGAAGAAACCTACCTAGGTACGGGCGGAAGTCCTCGATGTTGTGCTTGCGACTTCACAACAACCACGCAAGTAGGTATGCTTCTGTCTGGGTGATTTACATTGCCGCATCGCACTCACTTAAATTTCTGCTCATTTCAATTTCAGCACGTTTCGGCATCTTCGAATGTTCTCGTTGCATCGGTTGTCGTTATCACCATCGTCACCAGCGCAGGATCATTTCCTCAATTGCCGAAGATTCACCGTGAGACTGGTCATCGCAAGCAAAAGGCTTGGCACGAATGTGTCTCTTTCAAGCTGGGCTTTGCACACGAGCTTCGTTGGCCATTTCTAGGTCCAAAGTGTCATCAACCCACGACGCGTTTCCTGTTCGCGATTGGCAGTGCGCCATCACGATATCTTCCTTGCTGCTTTGTCATTCGTACGCGCATCGTCTTTCATTCGATTCTTCTCCAGGCTCTCCTGCGTCTCATCACAGGCGGCAACGAGCAAAATGTCGGAATACATTGGTTCACGCATTTCCCTCATCTCCAAGTCGGACATCCGGTATGTAAGCGCATCGATCTCCAACGCAATCCGAGCTCGTCAATTGACATCGCCCTCTCATGCAGATATGTCGGCACGCTCAAGGCGATTGACAGCGACTCGGCGACCGTCTCGCTGGAACATGTGCAATGCATGGGCAGTGAAGGTCGCAAGGAAGACCCCAGCCAAGAGGTCGCTGCCAACGACCTGATCTACGATGGCATCGTCTTCCGCGGCAGCGACGTCAAAGATCTCAGCATTCTCGCGGCTCCCGCACAGAGTCAAGTGCTCAATGACCCAGCCATTGTCCAGCAACAACAACAGGTTCGTTACAGCAAAATATAATTCCTTCCACCACGATTGCATGATGAAAGATTTTTGGATGTTAAACACTTTCTACCGATGGCGCAAAAACCATGTGGATACTTTCCAGTTGCCTTCCTTCTGATCTGCATTTCAACTTCTACCCTGCTTGTTCATGAGTTTGATGTGAACTTGGGCTAACTTGCCTGCAAAGGCACAGCCACAGCCGCAGCAACAACAACAGCAGCAACCACCTCAGCAACAACAAAACCACCAGCCTGGTGATCACCAGTTCCGCGGCGGTCCCGGTCCTTATCCTCCTCACTACCAACAACAGCATCCGCACCACCCACCTCACCCACAGCAACAATTTGGCTATCAGGGAGGCCCACCTCCTAATCAATTCCAGCCTCCGCCGCCCCCAAGATTTGGAGGACCAGGTGGTGCTCATGGCTTTCCAGGAACCCCGGGCGCTGTCCCAGGCTATGGCGGACCTCCGCCAGGTTATGGCATGGACATGAGATATGGAGGTCCACCCGGACAAAACTTCCCTGGCCCGTTCCCTCCCCAGCAGATGCCTATTGGACCTCCAGGGCCTCATGGTCATCAGCAACGGCAATCGCAACAGGGACAGGGGCCGATCATGGGTAGCAATGGGCCCACACCTCAACCAACCATCACTCAAGCACCACAACCTCCTCAACAGAAACCTGCCGAAATGTCCGCGACGCCCGCCGCCTCTGCTAGCATCCCGCCCCCGCCCCCGCCGATAGAATCAAAACCTTCCACCGAGACAGCTACCGCCCCACCAGCTGCGTCGCAACCACGAGCACACAGTGGCAAGCCTACCCAAGCGAAAACAAACAGCCGAGTTGCCGTGCCATTGGCAAATCCTGGAGCTGCCAAGCGTCCCCAGAAGGCTACTGCACCTGCGCCTGCGCAGACACAAGCACCTGCGAACGCCGCTGTACAGCCTGCACAGACATCATCGACTGAAGCCGCGACTGCCGCAGTTGCGGCCGCAATGGCCAAGCTTGCAAATCTCAACACAAATGGCGAAGGAGTGGACAACATCACACACAAGGTCAATCAATTGAGAGTGCAAGATGGAGCCAACCGAGGTCGTGGAGGACGTGGCCGAGGCGCACCACGTGGCGGCAGACGTGATGGTCCCACCAAGGCTGTGGAACTCCCGAAAGAAGACTTCGATTTCGAGAGCAGCAATGCCAAATTCAATAAGCAGGACTTGTTGAAAGAGGCCATCGCTTCTGGCAGTCCTATCTCGAGCCCTCCCCCTGGCACCACGCCCGACCCACTCGCATCGGCGACCAACGGAAACGATACTGAACACGCCGACGTGGTGATCCCAGCCAAGCCAGCCGCTGAGAAAGGCTACGACAAGAAATCATCGTTCTTTGACAATATCAGCAGTGATCTCAAGGATCGCACAGAACAGATGCGTGGCCATGAGCAAATCGACGGTCGGATGATGCGCCGGGAAGAACGCACAAAGAACGTCGAGACATTCGGTCAAGGCAGCGTCGACGGCGGCTTCCGCGGGCGCGGCCGAGGTCGAGGTGGACGTGGAGGTTTCGCACGCGGCGGAGGACGAGGCTACCAGGGTGGCCGGGGCGGACCCGGTGCTGGGTATGAAAACCGCTCCAGCTTTCGAGGCGGCCATGAGACAGCACCAGCGTAGCGCGCTTGGTTTGCCTGATTTCGGTCGTATCACTGGTCCTTCTCAAATCCCTCTGAAGGATCTTCCTCTGTATTCTTACATCATGATTCTCTCATGACTCTTACTTCTCCGCATGATCAGATATGTACGGCCGGTATGATGACTGGATATGACACGAAATCAACCACCTTCGTCCCTGCCATGAGTATTGATCGCTTCTCGCCTCCATCATGACTGTTGTAGTGTGACATCGTCCGGTGAATCATTCGCTCCACAGTCGGACAGCAGTTCTGCAGGAGCGTAGACTTGTGATGCTCCTCGAATATAACGACATTGACATTATGAACATGGTTTTTTTCCCATCCCAAAATCAGAACTTTTATTGTGCCCTTCCGCCATAAACATGCCCAATATGCCAGACCGCTATTGCGCTAAATATGCTTCCCACATCCCGATGCGAAAGGAGAAAAACTCCCCGTCGCACCACCACACAAGACCAGAAAATAAAACCGAGAAGAACAAACTTTTGTCGAAACCCGCCGCCTCACCAGTGACGACGACGGTCCTGTTGCGCAACGAACCCCGGAAAATGCCGGGAAATGAAAAGAAAATCCCATTCCATACCATCCCAAAATTCAGTCGGATATGTCCTTTCCCCCTCAAGTGTCACTCTTCCCATCCCCGGCCGCCGCCGCCGCTGCTCCCCCTCCCCCTCCCCCTTTCCCGAACCTCAAACTCGGAATCGACGAGCTGGCCATAGATCTCGGACGCATCCCACTGGCGACCGAGCTCGCCATCGACTTCGGTCTCGCGCTCGCGGGCGTGGCCGCCGACGCGGTGGTGGATTTCGACTGGCGCGGCTGGTGCTGATGCTGCTGCAAGGCGGACGTCGAGGAGGAGGTGGAGGGGACCGTGTGCGGGCGGTGCTGATCGCCCAAGCGCCGCAGCATCTGCAGACGTCGCCGCCACGAGGAGGGGTATTCCCCGACGTCGTCGGCGTTCCACATCGCGGAGAAGACGCAGGCGTTGAGCGCGAGGTTGCGCACGTAGGCGCCGAGGGAGGAGCCTGAGACGACGCGCTCGTCGGTCGCCGAGGAGAGATTCGGGTAGCCTGGGCGGGCGAGCACGCGGACGTTGTAGAAGCGGGCGGCTGGGGCGCGGCGGGATGTGATGGTGCGGGCTTGCAGGAAGCTGGTGCGTTCGGACGGGCTGATGACGATGTAGACGTAGCTGAAGGCGGAGGGGATGGTGCCGAAGCGGAAGGGGCTGCCGGCGTTGTTGAAGATGATGTTGACGAAGTCGTTGCCGATGTGGGCTTTTTTCTTGTTGATCGTCGTGTTGGCGTCGCCAAAGGGGTCGAGGGGCATGAAGGTGGTGATGTGGTAGACGAGTTCGGTCACGTCGTTGTTCCAGACGATGGTGTGCTCGCCGTCGCTGTTGTCGTAACGGTTGAGGCCTTGGGGATTGAAAGCGGCGCCTTTGAGGCGGCGAAGAGAGCCGAGATCCTCCAGGAACTCACGATAGTCAGGTGAGCCGGACTGGTTGTGAAAGATCTCTTCTTCGGTGGTCTGGCCCTCGCCTACGTAGATGACGCCGACTTTGTGAGAATCTAGAGCAGGAGTGCGGTCGAACATTTCAATGGCTCGTCTGACGGCCGGGTCGTCTTCTGAAAGGGTGATGACATCGGAGGCGCCAAGCGCAGATGACGGCCCAGGGACGAAAACTTTGCCATAAGTGCGTCCCAGTATGTCGTCGTCAAAGACGGTAATGTAGTCTTCATTGTTCTCGACGGTGGTCGATGCATCGAGGTGCTCGTCTGTCTCCGCAGTTGTTGCCAAAGTTTTGCCCACTGCGGACGCGATCGTCCGTTGCGTAGTACCAGAAGGCCGACGGATGGTGATGATTGTCTTGCTCGTACGAAGCGCCGTCTCCGTCGTGATAAGCAATAGACCCGACAGACGGTGACGCTTGACGACTCGCCCATCGAGAACGTCAAACGCCTCGCCTGCTAGAGCCGCGATACCTTCTTCTGCATCTACTCGGTCCATCAAATCGATTGTTACGAGACCTTGATCCTCGATATGCTCGACACCTTCCGCATCGACGTACCGAAGACAGTTGCTGATGAAAGGTTTTAGTTCACGCCGATCGCTCCTTTTCAAAGCCATATACCAGAATGTGATGACATGATGTGTGAGGGCATACACATACTGAGCCATGTCGTCGTTCGACGTGTTGCTCCCGCCTGCGCTACTGATGGAAGTGGGTGTTCTTTTCCGCTCCAAAGCAGCAGTGCCGCGGATCGTCTGCAGGTAGCTGTGACACACTCCAAAAACTCGCTTCAAGCCCTGTGTATCGAGCTTCTCGTGCAGCAAGGGGAGTCGAGAAAGTCCTGCAATGAATTCCAGTACATACATGGCAAGGTGTCGTTGGGTAACCATTTTTGACATTTTGCTAATGACGACGTCCATATAGCCCGCCATGACTTCCGGAAGTTCGTAACAGCAGATCGTCAAAGCATGAATGCACTGAATGCTGACAGTGTAGTCTCGAGATCCGGCGACAGATATGAAAGTCACTATGGCGGCTTTAATATCTGGTCGAGGCAAGTCTTTGTGATAAGTCGTCATTGCTGTTAGGATTTGGAGCAGACAGCCGACGATATATGACTTGCTGACACCCGCTGATGCTGGTGGATCAATGAAAGAATCCGATGTCAGCCGATCGCAAATAGCATGTCGTAGAATATTGACCAGCTGAGGTCTCAGAGTCCACAGCGCATGGTTCCGAATCTGGGCTGCCATGGAGGTGAGAAGCATGTCGTACACTTCCCATCGATGTGCGTTGCTCGAAAGCAAATCGTGTACGGTGTCGACCCATGTCTCGATATCTAGTGAGGCGATTCCTTGTAAGCTCGTAAACCCGCAACTGACTTCGCTGGGTTGGTCAGTATCGGAAGGTGATGCGTCCACATAGCCTTCACTCGCAGCATCAGCGCGGATTCGAAAAAGGAATTCTGTAATGTTGGCACAATGTAATGACAGCCTGCAAAGTACAGGAAAGAGCCATTTCCTTTCATTTTCCCATTTTGCCTTTTGCATATTATGTGTGAAGATTTTCAGCAGACCCAAAGACAATGACCTCCTTTGACGGTCCTCCGTCAGTGGGTCTCGTAAAAGCTTTTCTAGTGTGTTGACAAGATCTTTCCGAAAGCTGACACTTTGGAAGCGGAAGAAGGCCAAGACTGCAGTATCGAGAAAGGAATCAAGTTCGTCGAGGTAGAAGGGTGATGCGCAGAGTTTGGAAAGCAGAGCACGGTATTCTGAATTCCAGAGTGTCTGTTCATTTTCGAAGATTGATGTCCGCCAGGGTAACAGGAGCTTCTTCGATAGATCCGGGGGCAAAGCGCGACCATTCTCGACGTACAGCCTCGCCACTCTGGGTTGATGCCGAGATTCGAACCTGGACGATCGGAGCTCGAGACCTTTAAAAAGGTCATCCGCGACGGCCTGGTCAAGTTGGGGTCCAGCGAAGCGTTCACAAAGTTGTAAACAAATATTTAGACTGCCATCGTGCTCGACAGCCGCGAACACTTTGTCGTCCAATAGTATCGTACTCAAGACTGCTGTGATTTGATCGCGTGACATTGAGTCGTCCACGGAGGCCTCTTCAAGGCCCAGTAGAATCTGTGTCGGCTGCATTGTCGATGATCGTCCATCAGAGATTGGAAGGAGCTTCTGAGCTGTTAGCATGAGAGCACCGATGCTTGTCCAAAGTTGGATTTTGGAACCAGAAAGATTCAGGGCGCTGATGACATCTAGGAGATGACCTATGAATTGGCCGCCAAGGTGAGATTCCAGCAGACGCTGTGCAACCGCCCAGGCGCTCTGACTAAGTCTCTTGTGCCGATTGGACCGACTGCCCTGGTAATATGTCAATGCTACGAAGCGGACGGCCGGTAACAGCGTAGGCAAGTGCGAATACGTAGCGATTGCGTCTATGAGCGCCAATGCCGCGTAAAGGTCAGACGTCGATGTGGATCGGCTTGCACTCCGCAGAGATAGCTCGAACAACGTCTCAAGTGGTCCCGGTGCGAACCATTTCGCATGAAATTGAATTGTAGCAGCGGCTTCGAAAAGCGTCTTGGCCAACGCGCTGCTCGAACCGGCCAAATGGTCATGTTGTGAGACATCGTTCCTACTACAGTTCACGACCTGCTCAATGAGACGTTCACAGACCGTACCTTCGTACGGTTCTATGTCACGACCGAGATATGCCTCAATAGGGCCATGCCCGGCCTCGCCCAGGTACAACGAACTTCGACGAACTGACGCCATACTGTTCGTAGAATTGAGTTAGAACCATGAGAAATATGTGTGATTTGTGGAAGCCAGGAGCAAATCATGATCCATCGACCCAGGAGATTTGTTGTCAACACGGCCAGATAATGCATGAACGATATGAGCTGTATTTTGAGTAGTATCATAAGCGCAATATACATCTCATCACCGTCCAAGATACCACTTTGTCTTGCCACAAAGCACAATGTGTGTCTTTTGTATATATTCTCGAGTCCACTTGTCTTGTCAAGTCCAATGCACTCGTGAGAAAGCGAACGGATTCGAACAAATCTCGGACTGGCGACGACGTAACAGATCATTCGACGGAGGGAAAGACCGAGCTTACCTTGAATTAGGCGTCGATGGCCGACTGTTGTAGGGCGCGGAGGGCGTCCGCCATGTGACGGTAGCGGAGCCATCTTGAGACAGTTCCATTAGCCACGCGGTGGAAGTCGCAGGGAATGAGCGAAGTAAAGTCGTCGATGGAGCATTTCATATCATCCCAGATAGAGACGTCGGTCTCGGTTGTCATCGGCACTTGCTTTGAAGTACTGCAAAGCAACGTAGCATCGCTTCAAGCCATAAAGCCGCGAGCTTATCTACCTTGCCAAGATGCACCGTTTCGCTGTTGAACCTCTGACACGACTTGTTGGGAAGGGATACAAATATCGCTTATAGGTATGAAGGATGTAGAATGGGAAACGCTGTGCTCATCTGATGATAGCCCTCTGGTATGTTGTAGTCATGTGTTGAAATTTTCGACATGGGAATTTTCTCTGTCATGAGGCGCCTTTACCTGTCTGTACATAGGTCCCCGTGAGAGAGGCACACCACTTCCGGGCTCTGTTGCCACACTGTAGAGATATACACTATGTACTCGATCGCGCCAAAGATCTAGAATTTGACATAATGCGCCTGTTTGGGCGAAGGATGGTAGAAAGCAGCCCGACACATGCAGGATACTAAAACCCATCCCGATAACACTCTGTTCGTCATTGCATCGGAGAAATCGTCTTTTCGTTCTCCGCGACATTGCTATCTCCTACAAGATGGGACATTTGAAACCCTTATGGGCACCCGAGGACATACGTGCCGACCCGATTGCGACACATTGCTTGCCACCCGGGCATCATGTCTTCCTACCATTCGGTAATCGTTGATATGCACATCGACGGTCATCCGGGCCATTATGAAATATGACATATGTGGAATTTGCTTTTCTGTCCTGTACTCGGGCTGTGTCCCGTTGTACTTCCGTTTTTGTGCGGGGGTTGCGGCTGGAGGCGCCGCACCGCACCTCCCCCCCGGCTTTGCGGGCAGTCCTTCCGATGTAAGGCTATTGACAAGCCTACGCCGACCCTAATCCACCTGCAACGCGCATTCGTTGACGACATGTACTTCACATTATCTCACGGCTTTCCAAGGTTGCGGACAAGACAGGTTCAGATTGACAAAGGTAAGCGGAGAGCCTGCGTACGCACCATCTAGGCACTCGGATGTTTTGTTTCCACACGTTCCATGAGCCACAGGAATGAGCATGCTGCCCACGATACGGAGTCACCGTAACTTCCGCGAAACTCTTCACGTGAAAACTGTTCAAGAAGATTGCATGAAATTTGCGAACATATGCTACATGATTTCACAGGCGAACTCTGCCATCCTCTGGCCGTCCACCAAACCATCTTGATAAGCCAGCAGAATTGCCCTCGCCTCCCGATGAGTCGCGCTGCATCCATTTGGGCGCGGTGAAGCCGACTCCCAGGTTTTTGGCCCAAGCTGGAGTCTCTATCGTGTCGATTGTATTTCGAAACCTCTCTGCGAAATCATGGTAGAAATGTCTCGGGCCATCGTCTTCGTCTTCTTGCTGATTGGTGATGGCATTGAAGTTCCTGTTCGCGTCTCGGACGCTCGAACCGGGAGCTATAGACCGACTCGCCTCCTGCTGCAGCCGAGATGAGCCAAGAGAAGTTCTTGGAGCACGCTCGAGGTCGAAGGAAGCGCTCGTCCTGTCTGGTTGATCTGCATATCCGTCAAAGTCGCGAGACTGATGATCCTGCGACAATAATCTCAGTCCTTCGCGCCAGCTACCAAGGCCGCGCTCGTCTTCGCTCTCGTCTTCGAGTAGGCCAACACCAAGATACGCTTGAATCTTGCCGTAGATGTTGAATGTGGTGGCCATCACTGGAAGAAGCAATATGCATGGGAAGAATGTGCTGAAGCCTTTACCCAGCGGTGTCAAGTCAATGAGTTGACCGAGAAACTTGAAAAAGTTCGTATCCTGGTAGACCGCACTTGGAAGCAGAGTGATGAAATTGAAAGACAACGGCACTGTCAGCTTGGCTACCTGCAAGCTGTACCAACAAGCGCTCTCAGCGTACGTTTGTCGTTTCACCAGCGCGCGGTTTCCCCAGACCTTGACGTCTGATATGGCATATAGGGTGCTGATGTCCATGTACAGTAGCCAAGCGCCGGCAATGAGTTGACCGGCGAACCCGACCTTACCGCCAGGAGCCGAGTTGGGGAAGTGGACGATGGTCAATCCAATCACCGAAATCTTCGGCAGAAATGGTGTCACAATTTCGCTCCAGATGACCATCACGGACGCGAGCGCGAAAATTCCGGCGACAGCGATGCGTGCGCACGGTATAGCATACATGTGGAAGTAGAAACGCATCGATGGTGTCATGAGGCTGAGGCCACTGAAGAAGGTGCGACTTCCAGAGGGATTGAATTCCAACTTTTTATTCTTTGCTGCATCTTGAATCGATTGCAATTTGTGAGCCTTGTCACACAAATTGTTCCACTCCACAACAAATCGAGCCTTTTTGTGTCTTGCCCGCTTCAGCTTTCGAGTTAGATCTGCGAGATAGCGATCAGTAATGACACCTGGAATGGTCGGATTGCTCGTTGAACCAAGCGCAGTTCCTGAGCGATGCTCAACGAAGCTTGAAGTATCGGCGAGCTCATCAATCCACTCTTGTTGATATAGACTGGCGCCACCTTTGTGTCGCTTCAATTGCGATACGACTTGTTCGAGATTCTCCAGAGGCTCTGTCACCTCATCCAATTTGTCCCTGATCTTCAACGCCTGGAATCCTGCATTTCGCAATCTTGATCCGACCCAAGCGTTTTTGTACAGTCTGCGGGGAAGGGAGACCAGACCGTGACCCATCAATCCCATGGCAAGTATCAGACCATAGCTGTAAGCTAATGCTATTACGAGGCCCTTGATACTGGCGACGTGGAAGCCATTCTCCCAGATAAAGTACACGAGACCAGCGATGCCGATTGTCAATCCGATCAATTGGTAGCGAGCATTCATCCGCAGTGAGTACATCGAGCGGTCCTTGGCATCACGGTATCCCGAGTCGCAGTATTCGCCGAGGAAGGGCAGTATGAACCAGGTGAGGACAAATGTCAGCCAGTAGGTGATGCGCCAGGTAACCAGCACAACATGGGGTGGAAGCCATATGCCTCGAGAGTGCTCTGTCGAGCGGTCATCGGTCGACGCAAGATCGATAGGAACCAGGAGTATGATGCTGCACGGAAGCGCAAGAGCCAGGAAGACTGGCACGAAAAGGTACGCTGGTGTCTTTCTGAGAGGCAGATAGTTGCGAATGGCGAGGAACACCAGGATGGCGACGGCGAAGAGGGAGAAGATGGCGAATAGGTCGGAGCCTATGGAGGACGTTGCTGCGACCATGCTGTCGTCGACCAGCCCGTCATGTCATACGATAGGGAGTAGATGACGATTGTCCAAGCTCTTTCATCCCAAGATATCGTGCAAGGCTGACAGGAACGGGCTCAGCCTACGCGGATATTACCAAGAGCCGGAGCCGATGCAGGTGTGGTTGTTTGCGACAACAAGCTTGGTACCGTATGGTTGAGTTTTCATGTATTCAATCGACATGATGGACGTGCCATGAAATGCAGCACAATGATGTATGATGGTACAATACTACACTGAAAGTCAACAGTTCGAGGTGTCAGGGCGACGCTCAGCGGTCCCCAACGTTACATCATCGCCAGACTGGAAAGGCCACTGGCAGCGTCAAATGCAGGTGGAAATGCCGCCAGCTCCTAATAACAATAACAATGATAATGATGACTTTGTTAATTACCTTGGAAGACAGAACCTTGGAAGACAGTCGACTGAACTGTGCCTCCAGCACCAACCATGAACCACTGCAGGTCCGGCCAGTAATTACAGTGATAACCCTTCGACCTGCATTGGCGCAAATACCGTAACAATGGAGCACATACTGCGCGACGGTCTTTTGTCGATCACGTCTACAGCACCTATGGCGGTCGTCACGTCTCCAGTACAAGCCTACATACAGAGGACTTGCCGCTGGAAAACCTTTAGAGTGGTCGTTCACATTACAGTAGATCCCTTCACCACCACCTGAGCATGTCTCGATTTGCCAGCGTCTGTATACCTAGGTCAAGGACGTTAATGTGCCCTTCGTATGGGAAACATTGAACTTATCAGGCTGCTTGCAACTTCAGAGTCCATAACAACCCAACGTGATGTTTACTTCGTGCATTCTGTGGCGAATTCTGACTCGCTGTCGTGGCCCGCTTTGCATGGTTCGGTCAAGATCTGAGATCGCGATGGGCTTCTACTGTAGGATTGAGTGCTCCTGGTTGACGACCTTCCGATGGGACTACCGCTATCGATGAACAATGTACATTCCATGAACATCATTGTCTGTTTTGAAGCATTACGAGGGCATCGCGTGGCGTCCACACAGCAGAAAAGCGGCAACGGTGTACGCACGACACGCGCGGGCATGCGCGCACCTGCATATCTACCACGGCCAGAACTTTGATGAGTCGCCAACGTCGTACCACCTGCGCTGAGTGCAAAGCCTGCAGAGAGACTGGACACCTCAACCTTTCTCCCATCACATCCCGCAGCGGTCTAGAAGGAGATGGACGCGACAACTTGGTCGTGTTCGTGATTGACACAACGTTGCGCCGTGCTGCATGCTTGCCATATGCAGGTACACTAGTTCGTACTCGACGATTGCGTTCCCTATACACACATCCATCATCTTGAATGGCACGCCGGTGTCTCCTGATTCGGGGTGCATGGTCTTGCCCCGTACGCTTGAGTTTCAATGAAATATCTTGAAGGGGATTTCCATCACATCTCTACGGCATGGCTCACCAGATTGACTTTGAGACAATGGATTGAAAATACAACGCGAGGAGGGCGTGCTCCGATTGATTTCAGTGTCACGATCAGATCTTAGAGCTAATTTTGCGCGTTAACACCTTTCCCCCTCGGTTTTCAGCCCATCGATCACAAGCTCCATGAGCTGGCACAACGAGATGGACCGTTTCAACCGCCATTGCATTCTTTAGAAGCAAGTCAGGAACCACCAACGTCTTACGGCCTTGAAGTTCGTCATTTCTCAGAAATCAGTTGTCGTGAGAGAACGGCTTGTCATCCCGACCGAGAAATCTGGACCACGGTTATGGCTACCGTCTCACAGGCGCGTGGCGTTTGGGTCTCATCTCTCAACTCCTCTGCGCTCACATGTCAGATCTGTGTATCGTTGGATCGTGTTGTCCAGTCTGGCCTCATGCGTGTGTACATCTGACAGACCAGGAAATGGAATATATATAGGCACATGTCTCTCTCTCACTACACTTATTCCTCATCCTCATCAACACACTCGACCAACAACGAACACCAACCTTGCCAGTCTTCCCCGTCTACTTTTAGCTTCCAAAAGATTCTTCGTCACAATGAAGTTCTCTACTCTTGCCGCCGTCATCACTGCCCTCGTGGCCTCTTCTTCTGCCCTTCCGACCCCTCTCGACGCCACTGAAGACCTGATCGACAATGCCTCCACTATCGTCGCAAGCAACGCCGGAAGTGATGTCAACAACAACTTGAATGGCGTCCGCGTCCCCCGCCAGGAAACCATTACCACCACCATCGCAGGCAATGGAAACAACAACGCCGACAACAACGCGAACGGTCTCTCAATTCTTCGACGTGGAGGCATCGTGACCACGATTGCAAGCAATGGCAACAATAACCTTGACAACAACGCAAACAACCTCAAGCTTCAGCGCCGTCAGGACATTGCCACCACCATCGCAGGTAATGGCAACGGCAATCTCGGGAACAACCTCAATGGAGTGCTCGTGGAGCCTCGTGACGATGTCACTATCAGCCTGACAGGAAATGGCGACAGTGATTTCGACCATGCATTTAGCGACGAGTTTGATCACGTGTCGATTGGCATTCCGCGCGACGAGCTTTCTGGCCTACTGAATGGTGATGTCAACAACAACGACCCGAAGATTCTTGTGCGCCCCTTGGTTCATCCTAAGGTCATCGCCAACCCCACCGTCATCCCGCGCGACGAGCTTTCCGGCTTACTGAATGGCAATCTCAACGGCAACGACCCCAAAGTTCTGCTCCGCCCGGTGCTCACACCCAAAGTGACCGTCGCCCCTGTCATTTCAGGTCTCACCAAACCCCGCGACCTCAACACTATCTTGAACGGCGATGTGAACGACAACGACCCCAAGGTCCTCGTCCGTCCAGTCGTCCAGCCTAACCTTGCTGCGACCCCGCTGATTGTCCGTGGCACTCTTGACACCCTGCTCAATGGCAATCTCAACAACAACGACCCCAAGGTCCTTGTCCGCCCGGTCGTCCACCCCAAGCTCACTCTCAGCCCGGTGCTCGCGCGTGCTGAGCAGCTGAACAACAACAAGCACGAATTTGAGTCTCCAGAGATCCCTTTCGCCCAGCACAAGACCAACATCAGCCCAGCCATCGAGCACGGTGACCTCAGCAACATCCTCAACGGCAACCTCAACAACAACGACCCCAAGGTTCTCGTCCGCCCTGTCCTCGGACCTGAGATCGCATCCAGCCCGGTTCTCCACCTTTGAACCGATTTATCGTGACTCTCAGAGACAACGATGGAATGGGAAGGGTTCCCATTTTTTTTCTGTGGTTTCGCCTTGCCTGTGTGTTCTGCAATTTCGTCTTGGTTCCCGAATCGGAGTCAGTTTCCGACGAGAGTATACCCAATCAAGGAGTCTATTGGTTTTGTGTTGGAATGGACAGAAAGTGTTTGATTGCCCCAATCGATGGCAATCGTGTTTAATTAGATTTGGTATTTTCAGATTGACTTTTTCTCACCTAATAATGTTTTCTCTTGCTTCACTTTTCTCTTTGACGACGCATGTGAATGTTGCGCTACGATAAGGCACCTGGGCGTAGACACACTCAAAATGTGCTCAGGGCGAACTGATCTCACAGAGCCCTGGGGGGATATGTAGTCCGCTGCTTCAATGTTTGGCGGAGACTGGCGCACTGGCCATTGACGACGTTGGTATCGTCAGTCGCAACACACCACCAAGCTTGACCAAATAGGGTCGTGTTTCGGATCTAGGCACCGCCGGCTATGAGTTTCGTTCATCGCATACAGATTGCGACAATTGCCGCTCGGCTGCGCGGAGCTGCACGGCATCTCTAACAATTCCGTCCCCTTACCCACAGCAGCAAACATTGTTGGCGCGTGTTTTCTGACCCGAATTATTCGATCATATGACGATTCAAGATGTTCGGCAAAAGCTTCAATCCTGCAAAGGACATCAAGCCTCTTGACGGCAAGGTCATCATTATCACTGGAGGTTTGTCGCGTTGGCGCGGTGGTCATATTCTGACAACAACATATTAACGCCAAAGCAGGCAACACTGGTTTGGGCAAAGAGACCGTCCTACAGCTTGCGAAGCACAACCCGCGCGAGATCTTCCTTGCTGCGCGGACGCCGTCCAAAGCGGAGGCCGCGATTGATGAGATCAAGCAACTTGTGCCAGGAGCGTCAGTCTCGTACTTGAAACTGGATTTGACTTCCTTCCAATCCATCAAGGATGCGGCTAAGGAATTCACGACGCGATCGGACCGCTTAGATATCCTGATCAACAATGCCGGTATGTCCTTGCTCCAAATTCGTCTCAGGATTTGTTCACTAAAACCCGACAGGCATCATGATGACTCCTTATTCCAAGACGAAGGAGGGCTATGAGATCCAATTCGGAACAAACCATGTCGGCCATGCTCTCTTCACGAAGCTACTCCTGCCCACGCTGCTCAAGACTGCCGAGCTGCCGTCTGCCGATGTGCGCGTGGTCAATGTATCCTCCGCTGGACACATGTTTTCTCCTCGTCTGGTGTATGACCAGGATCGTTTGGAACGCTACCATACCGCTCGCCGATACGGACAGTCTAAGCTGGCCAACATCTACCACGCGCGGGAGTTGCAGCGACGGTACCCGTCCATTACCGCCGCAGCTATCCATCCTGGTGTCATCGTCACGGATCTGTATCTCCCCGCAGGAAAGTCGATCTTGTTCTCGAAATTCATCTTCAAATTGATGGCATTCTTTACCCCGAACGTGCAGGGCGGCGCCAGGAACCAGCTGTGGGCTGCGACCGGGCCTCTAGACAAAGTCCGAGCAGGCTATTACTTCACTCCGGTCGGAAGCCAGAGCGGTGGCTCGTTCTGGTATGGCCGAAATGCAAAGATGGCAGAACAATTATGGGACTGGACTGAGGAACAGATCAAGAAGCATGAGTAAAGTCACGAACTTCCATGTCGTCGACGTCATCCCGGCGAGAGTCCACAACACGTCCAGGTTTAGTCAGGATCATTTCGTTTGTTAAAATCGCAGATACCATTTTGCTTTCGCAGCGGCGCATATAGCCAATAATATATTTCCTTGACATGTCAATCAGCATATGACACACAAGAGGCATATTGCGAAGGTGCGCATGGCGCAATCTAATATCATCTTTACTTCGGGCCCATGTAGTTTCGTTGTTGATCAATGGGTGCCCAGGTGGTGATATCGATGAATTCCTTATAGCGGCCCGGGGATAACGGATCACCTGGGCATCCATTTTTATGACGGCGACGATGCGGGACATTTGTGCCAAGAAGCCTCACCCACCGACGGGAGTAGCCGTTCAGCACGCGGAGGACAGCGCCCACAGTCCACCAAGCGTCAAATCTGGTTACGCTCGAAATGATAGCGATTGTCGACGCTGCTGCATCTCTTGTGACTCGCGGACTGTCGATGAAACTGCTGGTCTAGTTTCAGCAATTGAGGCAGCGTTCAATACTTCAATTCCTTTCGAATTCTATTTTCAACACCTTAGCATCAGTCCTGAGGTAATCAATCGCCAAAATGGATCACGAAAAGCTCGCCCGTATGCAGAATGCTGTGCGCATCGGTATGTCCATCTTTGAGTTTGCTGCGAAATTGCGTTTGCCATTGCAGGCCTGGTCTTCATGGCGACATACTGACAATTGTTACAGGGTAAGAAATATCATCTCTTCTTCATTTCACGCGATAGAGATCGGACTGGCACTTTACGAGATATGGAGGATCGGAGTCGCGGAAGAGACGAATGGAGCAGATCTGACCAATTTCAGTGGCAAGGGTACTCCTCGGAGAAAGGTCAAGAAGGTTCATAAGAGCTCGGGTACCGACGACAAGAAGCTGCAAACAACCTTGAAGAAGATGAACGTTCAGCCCATCCCCGGAATTGAGGAGGTCAACATGTTCAAGTCTGACGGCAACGTCATTCACTTCTCTGCACCCAAGGGTAAGATGAAACAATTGAATATGGTCACACTTTGCGTGGGAGGAGGCTAAGGTTTGCAACAGTTCACGCCGCTGTTCCATCAAACACCTTCGCCATCTACGGTAACGGTGAAGACAAAGAGCTCACCGAGCTTGTGCCCGGTATCCTCAACCAGCTCGGTCCCGACTCGCTAGCATCACTCCGAAAGCTCGCCGAGAGCTACCAGAGCCTCCAGAAGGGCGCCGAGGGCGACGACAAGAAGGATGACGACGAGGACGACATCCCGGACCTCGTCGAGGGCGAGAACTTCGAGACCAAGGCCGATGTCGAGTAAACGACCACTTTCTCGGTGAAACGGTCAATTTAAGTGGCACGAGAGCCACAGACAATTCAGCGGCAGGTGTAGGCAGAGAGGAAAAAAGAAATCTACCAGCGATGTTACGACTTGTGATGTGCGCTGTCCCATGGAGCTCAGGCCATTTGCTTGGGGACACGGGCAAGCTAAATTGGCACGAATGGAATGAGTGCTATTGTACGGCGTATGTGTTACTTTGGAGACATGGTTCTCCATGACGAAATCAAAAAACATACCACAGGCTCCTTTAACTTTCTCTCTCCCCTCTTCTACTTTTTAAGTTGCAGGCCTGCAGCGTTTCGCTATTTTCCACGTCTGGAATATTATATATGAAGAGTGCTGAGGATGTCAGCGGCATTGACATCGAACATGATACTTTATTCGATATACGCTCGGAGACTGATAATCTGCACTTCGCCTGTACTACGACTTGCAGCAAGCCAGTTATTGCTATATATCAACGAGTATTACATGGTTACAGATAGAGGGTTGTGAGATAAGTGGAAATAATGCCATGCAAGCGAGCGCCAACCTCAATTGGTGCCCAACCTGCCAACAGTCAGCACTGCACAGCTTGGAGGCCAACAGACCAGTACGCAGAGAGAAGCACGATTAATGGCTTTCGTTGAGAACTATGATGGGCCTGTGTATAGTGGGAACGGTCGCAACAGTGCCCAGCAAGAGTGTCTATGGACTTGACACATCAGACAGTGGAATCTGAAGCTGGCTAGGCCGACCTCAACAGGACTCATCAGACAAATGGCGACTGACGGGATCCTGATCGCCACGTAGAGGTATCATTTCTTCGCAGTCTCCCCATCATCGTCCTGCTCAACCACCTCGCCAGTGTAAGCATCGCTGATGGCCTTCTCCAATTCCTTTGCTTTCGCACCCGTGACTGAATCCATCAGCATACCGTCCTTGAAGATATGGAAGGTAGGCATGACATTCGCGCCGAGCTCCTGGGCGATCGCTCCGGCCGAGACGCTGTCCGTGTCGTAGTTGTAGAAGCGCGCCCCGGGATACTTCTTGATCAACTTGTCCACGAAAGGCCCGATGGCTTTACACTGGGAACACCATTCGGCTGTCGCTTCGAAGACTGTGACGCCGTCGGCATTGGATGCCTTCAGATATGAGACGTGATCATGTAATTGTTCCATGATCTTGCTTCCAGATGAGACAACAGCTAAACTTGTATCGCTTGACGAGTTTCGTGGATGTTAGAAGCCATTCGCATGGAGTTGGTGGCCGTAAGCGGTTGCTTCTCTTCACTATGAGGTGGGCGCGTACGTCATATGCAGACACTTGAATTCATCCGCATGCTTGTCGCCGAGGATCTAACAGTCTAACAATTTTGGAAGGCCTCCACGCTTGTGGGTAATTGAATGGGTAGCTTCTTAGAAGTTCACGAGTACGAGCAACTCCGGATGCGAACGAGCGGCCACGGTAGGTGGGCACAAATATTAGATTTGCTTATGGTTTACAGTACAAGTATCAGCAGCACAAGAAAACATTGCCAGTCTTGATCGATCCAGGTAGTAGCACACAATCTTATGCCAGCGAATGTCTCCTAAGACAGAAAAGACGAAAGCGTTCGGGAATCTAGGCTAACATACACAGAAACTTCGTAGGAATGCATTCGCACGAAGGCGAAAAAATCGGTAGATGAGGAAGAGAAGTAGGAAGGCAGAAGGCGAAATATAAGCTATTAGCGATTACTATCGTCCCAGTTCTGCTGCCTCTAAGAGGCGTGAGTGACGAAAAGCATCAGGTCATGACTCTTGTGATCGCAGTCTATGATTAATAGTTGCTCTCACAAAAGCGGAGGGCTTTGTGTCTCTTTCGGAAATGTGATCCGGGGGGTTTGCCCTTGGTCGATTGGGGAAAAAATAGTCGTGAGCTGGCCGGACCAGCGCTGATGAACTCCAAGGTCGCATCAGGAAGAGTTGCATAGTATTCCAGCGCGATGCGCAGGGAATAGAGCTTCATGCTGGGAGCTCTAGTTGATTTCGAGCAGTTGTTGAGAAGAAGATACGAGGAGCTGCTTGACCTCTTGATCATTATGTTTGAAGATGGGTGGCATCGAATTCATCATAATTGCCCATCATTTCAGCCTTTCAAGTTGAATGAGAATTCACTTGTCCCAGAGCTGACAACCTGAGTGCCATCCGCTCTCCGTGCACGGCTCCTGCTGCGAGCACGAGTTGGGTCAAACTCTTGCTGGGAAGCACGCGGCCTCATTGCGATTGAAGGTCCTGGGGATGCGCTGGGTCCTTGTCCTCCAGTAGACAGGTGGGCAGTGTGCGCTGTGCTTGTACTGCCGTGTGCTCTGCGCTCCGTGTCCTTGTCGTAATGGTTAACGTGAGTGCGCTCACGCCTCTGCGTCGTATCCCACTCCTTGCCGCCGATAACATTACTGATCGGCGGTGCTTGGCGGAAGCGACGAGCGGACGCGGCCGAACTTGAAGCTTCATCGTCAACGAGCACAACCATCCACACGCCAACGGCACCGGAGTGGCCCAGTAGCGGCGTGCAGTGGATCCACCGGGGTCGGCCTTCGCCCTCGCCGTCCTCGTCCGGACGGCTAAGCCAACGAATCTTGGCAGTGACACCGCGTCCTTCCGCGAGGGCGGCCCGGAGGTCAGAACGCACACGGTTGCTGCCACCGATGCGATTTAGGAACGGTGATTGAAGTATGCCTGGAACGCGTAGAGATGGGGAAGTGAAAAGAATCCGTAGCGAGGGCGCCGGTCGGATGAGAAGGTACTGAAGGGTTCATGGTCAGCTTTCGTCGTATCGTCTAAGTTGCACCGTGGAGTTACTCACATGAGAATAGATACCCTCAAGCTTGCCATTGATCTTCTCGCGGATCGTTGGCGGTACGCTGCTCGGCATCTTACTTTCGTTTTCAGGATCCTCCTGCATTGGATCTTTGAGAAGCAGACGAGGTCTTCCAGATGATGGATCTTGCTCAGCGTCGTCGACGTACTCCTTGTGCATACGTCCGCCACACTTGCGCACAGTGTCGAGCTCAGCGCCGTTGAACATTTCACTCAGCTCCTGAAACTCGTCTTTGTGATATGCCTCTTCCGCTTCCTCTGGAGCATTCTCATACTCTTGCTCTTTCTCCACCATCTTCATCAGACCTTCCATCTCGCTGCAATCCTCTAGCAGACCAGAGACATCGACTTGAGCGCCAATTTAGTAGCGAATGTTGCCACGGCTATCCATCAGCGGAGCAATCATCAGAAGGTTGAGGAATGGACTTCCGTCGCGGCGGTAGTTGACGAAAATTTCGGTGTGCTCCTTGCCTTCTGCGAATGCGATTGCGAGTCTCTGAACGGAAAGAGGGTTGGTACGAGGTCCCTGCAAGAAGCGGCAATTTCGGCCAATCAAGTAATTCATTCCGTATTGTGTGGTACGCGTGAATTCCTCGGAAGCGAAAACGATTGGGTCATCCGCACGACTCGGGTCTGTTAAACAGAAAACTTCCGCCAGTCCTTCACTCGCCTCCCTCAAATGCGGCGCCAGGGTTCCAGTGATTCGTCGTTGGATACTAACGCTGACGACCTGGATCCATGTGTGCGCAATGTAGGCGGGGAGATCCTCTTGCACCAGTACGTCGAATGCTTGATTCGCCTTGTCCTCCAGTGCTGTGTTGATGGTGGGTTTTGCGACAACATTGGTGAATCCCTGTCCTTGGATCGGTTCCAAGGCTTCTGCGATCGCGTTCGCGTAGCCGATAGCCCGAATAGCTTTCAGCGCGTCTAGGTAGTAGATCAGGATCGGAATGCTCTGCGGACGATGTGTGTTCAGAAAGCCCGTGAACTTCAACAGGAGTTTGGGGTCCTCGAAGATGACGCGGAGATGTTCAGAACTGAACAATTGATCTGCTCGTTTTTCAAGCGCGTATATCCCCTGCTCCACCTCTACAGACGGTGGTCCCACCAGATCCCATGAACTCGGATCGTCTTCGATCACAGGCTCTAATGTCTGAAAATCAACATGGTCAATGCTCTTGCTCTGCAATGGCGGCAATGTGTGGACAGATGTGGCCGAGGTTTCCTGTGAGAATACGGAACCGGCACTGCTACGTGCACCTGGACCGTAGTAATCAGTCGGAATGGAGGTGTGAGAGCCCGACGACTCTTGACTTGCGCGATGGTCGGGCAGAACTGGCTCGACGAGCGACTGCATCGGTGCGCGCTGACCGTTACTACTGCTAAGAAGAGTAAGCGTTTGCAGCTTTGAGCGAGAGCCTCGTGGCACAACAGCGCAAGGCGTTGCGTCCGCGACTGTCAGACGTACCTGGTACGAGCGGGAATGTGAACGTCTGGTTTAGATGCATCGATAGCAACGCCTACTTCGCCATCATTGACGTCTCCGTCATGCAAATCGACAGAAGCTAACCCGGGACCAACGATCGAGGCAGGGGTGCTTTGGTTTTCCGATCGTTGAATCTGGCTTTCAGATTGTGTGTATGTATGACGTGTTGGCGTGGTTGGGTACCGAGTTTGGAAATCCTCGGCGTGCGGCTCTCCCGCAGCGCCGTCTGAGGGCATCGGCACACGAGTGTTATCAACACTGTTCAGACCCTTGCTATGGGTTGAACTGCTCGCAGACGATGGGATACGCTCGCCACTGTTGGTACGCTCCATTGCTCGAAGCTCGCGTCGGCCATGAGATTGATGCGGATACTGTGATGTAGAGAGTGATTAGCAAACCGATCGTCGTTGAAGTGGGCGCGCTCTCGTGCCGGTGACGAGGCAGACAATCGTGCAGTTGGCATCGTCTATGAGGTGGGACAAGGGGCGCTGTGGTCGCGGGTGGAACGTTGCCGTTGCAAAACGTTTCCATAATGAAGGGTCTGGACGAGGGTGAACAGGTTCCAATACCGTTGTGCGCGCGGGCAGGTCAAGTCGCGAAGCAGCCGGTGGCAGCAACCGGCGTGACATCAATCCAACGTCGACAAAGTTCGCGAGTAGATTCGCGATGAAGAGGCGATGTTGCTAGGTCGTAGTCTTTGGTGATGGCGATGCGTACTTGGGTAGAGTAGATGGTACGGTGGAGCGCGTTCGAGTGGGCGTCGCGACGGAGACGACGGTGCAATGGGATAATGTTAGAAAGAATGAAAGGACATACCAATCTGTAGACAGGCGCCATCACTTCGGATTCGGACACTGATGTTGGGCGCCGACCTCGTTTCAAGTCAGAGACTCTCTGAACGAAGCCGCCTATTCCGACTGCAGAGTCGCGTTTGTGAGATTCGTTGCTGTTGGACCTCGACATGCCCAATGAAGGTGGTGATGAAGCAGCGGCCAATATCAAGGGCTGCGGCACAACCTGGGACGTCACAGAGGCGCGCGGCGACATTCAGGCATGAACAGAGCGAGAGCGGTGCATGCGCAAGAAATATAGTGCGTGAGCAGCACTGCACGGTGAATTCGAGGACTCGAATGTCGCAAATGAGTGTCGAGAAGGATGTTCTTTCCGGAAGCGCAGGAAGAGAGACGGAATCGATCCGAGGAATCTGCAGGAGCGTGCCGCGCGAAGGCGAGGCGAAGCGGCGACGAGAGGAGTAGCGAAGGAGTGTGTCAAGTGTGGGGCCGATGCTGCCAGAGGATATACAGCAGATGACAATGCAAACGTCGAAGCAAGGGAAGGACAAAGACGGCCAGGAGAGAGAGTCGTGCGCGTCCGAAAGAGTGACGAAGGTGTATGTATTTGTCCGTGTATCGCGTGCGTGAGTGCGTGTGCCTGCGTATGTGTGGGTGAGGAAGAGAGTGCGCGCGAGGGACTCGAGGCCGAGCACAGGACGTTTTCGGCGACGTTGACTGTCGAAACTTCGGCGCTTCAAGGTCGCTGCCAACACACGCTATTGATGGACAAAGTTGGTACTGTAGTCGGGTGCAGGAAGGGGCTGATCGCGGGGACGCCAGACAAGAAAGAGAAGAGCCAAAACGATAAAGGTAGGTGTGATGAGGCGGAGGAAAGGGGGGAGAACAGCGATTCGAAGATGGCCCAGGAGGAACGTCAACACGCAGTGATTAAAGACAGACAGGAGCAATACCGAGTGATCGCGAGTGGACCGGCAGCACAAATGACCAAGCCAATGCGAAAGAAAACGCGCGATGCAGGAGATTCGAGACAGTTGACTAGGGAAGGACTAGCGAAGGAGTAAAGCGGCCACGGCGGGACAATCTCCTGATACTACTGTACTGTGATGCATGCACATCGGTGGATACAGCACACACACATACCTACATACATATATCCACCACACTCGCAATCCTCATCACCGCTCTGATAGCGAACAACAGGCTCGACCACCCACATACTGGTGAGACAAGATGAGATGCGCTGTATTGGAGGATGCATACAGGAGACTGGCCTTACTGCCACTTCGCCTCGTCTTCATAGAGGATAGTGGTACAGTACTTCAATTGCAACTTCCAGTATTCGTTCGCCCACTCCTCAGCAGGATTTAAGATGATGACCCCCTCCAAACCGGCCCAGAGGACAACTTTCGCGAGCAAAGACATCCTTAGCAGCTGTCAAACCAAAATACGAAAGTCGCCCTCGGGCATGAGATTCGATGCGGACGACAGATTGATGGTTCATGATCGCTGAAGATTGTCTGGTTCTCCTACCGAAATGATGGCAGCGATCGAGATGACATGTACTGTGTGGAGCATGGCGTACAGATGAGCAAACATCAGAGGCAAGCGGATATTCGTGCCAGCGCCGCCACGCTCAGGCACACACAGTAAGCGCAGGATGCCTCACGCTGGCGGCATGTTGACTGTACTGTATACGCACTGTGCTGTATTCCACGTTTTCCCATCCTCACCACCGTCCAGCGAAGTCTTCATCGGGGCACTGCAATCCACTTGAGGCGTGGACGTTGCTGACGTGTGTACGCTTTGGTTTGAATGCATAACCCCTGAAATGTTGGTGAAGCAACTAAATCCATAGTTTGTGGTCTATTCTTACTAGCGCGGCATGCGGGTTGCCCAGGTCGATGGGACAACCCTCACAGTCCAGACGCAGGTGCGCTTCTTGTTCTCAACTCCAATTAGAGGATGAAGAAGTGAAAGAAGTCCAACTTCTCGCCTCGATTCCTTTGCCTCGAGGATTTTGCGGGCTCTGCGAAACGGTGACGCATCCCTCGGTTCTTCGGCTGCCATCCTGAGGGCTTATGGGCGTTGGCATCCACTACCGACCACCGAGCAACGACCTCCGCCCGGGGAGACCAATCCGACGCCGCCGACGGCTAAGTTTCGAGGCCACCTACAGGTTGCTGTCCCTTGCTGAGGGCTCCATCGTTGTCCATTTCATTCTTATCATCATTATTATCGATATCAGTATTATCCTCTGCCGTCATCGTCATCTAGTACAGCATATCACTCTGCTTTTATTTAACATAGCTAGTTTGAACACTTTCACTGACATGCCCCAGCGTTCATACACTTCCCCATACTTATCCTTCGTTCGAACTGTGATATCAAGGATTCTAAACACGTCCGTGTCGCCGTTGCGAAAGCATGGCATCTGTCGCTTCTCCGTCCGCAATGACAAACGAAACGTCCGTATCGATTTGTCCCGATTCACGATAGCTCAGACGCGGACAAATGCTGGACTTCCACCATCGTTTTCAACAGCTCGCGTGGCACTCCATATCATCATTGAAGTAGTCCTGTTCGTGAAGTGCCAAGCTCCCCGAGTAATGCTGCATAGGGCATACTGGCATGTTTTGCGTCGGGATGGGGAGATTGCAGGTGGTTATCGAACGTTTCTCCCCTCCACGCTATGCACAGGCGATGCATTCTGGCACGTATCCCTACTGGGCTGTGTTCGGGCCAGTTCGGGATGCCATCACATCATCGATACAGTATCCCAGAAATGTGAAATGAATAAATGCGCACCAATCGCTTGTTACTCCGCTATTCGGCAAATTCAACGTGCAGATTTCCTTCTTTCAGCGATGTCCTGTTGCGTATGTCTATTTAAGATCAGGCCGCATGATAAATGTAATTACAGACGACACAGAACATGCGACCTCAAACTTACTGACTTGCAGATGTGTCATTACCACCCACACCTCAGCCTGCTCGTGGGGTCCAAACGTGGTAGCAGTAATGGATAGCTCGTCAAACATACGATGCCACGATGAAACTCTCTTTCGTCCGGACGGATTTTTTTGCAGGCGATCACTTCACACATGTCCTGCGCGCCGTATAGACGGGACGCCTTGACCATGCCGTAATCATGATGAGTCACGCAGGACGAGGGGACTTCTTCTTTCTGGTCCGCCTAATAATAAGTGAAATACTGTTAGCAAATAACGCACGCCCGACTGACTGCCCAGGTACGCAGAAGTGATCGTTTCATTCCGAGGAGCCCATGTGTCAATCCAATGATCCCGTCCATTAGTAATGTTGATCCACTATTGTAAGCAAACAGCGACCATGGTCGCGTGCGCACTCGATTCCTCTATGATGGTAAAGAAACGGCGATTTCGAATATCGAATTGTACGCCACCACTCGAGTTTTTGTGGTCAAATTGCCATTGGTGGTCACTTGTAGTACACCTTATGTGCGTGCTGAACCACTTCATGGATGGGCGCCTCCAGCGCACGTTGTGTTATTTACATACCTAGGTATCGAGGGGAAGAAACGCGAGCATTGAGGATATACCTGGTTGCATATCAGGCTCTGCTTTGGTTGATCGCAACATGTCCACTTTTCTTTTGCTCTTTGCACGAGCACAGGTAGCATGGCACGATATTGGAGACGTGTCTGCGCTTTTGAACGAGTTCGCCTCAATGATGTTGCGTGCCACAAACAAGCGATAGAAAGTCTGAGCATGGCTCCACGGGCTGACAGGTTACCTTTCGGTCGTTTGCATGTCACACCCACAGTCTCGAGTCTCTCGACTTTGAGTGTTGGCGCACATTTGATGAATTCTCAACGTCCTAGGTTCCTGACCAAGGTATCCTTCAGCCGAGTGTTATCTTCGAGTGCAACAAGGTAATGCCGAGACCTGGTCGTTGAAGGACGGTAGCGTGTTGATATCAACGGGTTCAGGCCCGTGGCGCTGCAGAGCCACATCACCAGAACCCTTATTGCGGGAAAATGCGTTATCAACCACTCATCGGCAGGCGACTTGAAAGCCGAGCGGTTCCAAGGCAACGGCTGGCGACTTTTGCTAGGAATCGTCCAGACATCTGATTTTCATGGGTCCCGAGGTCGGCAGCACGTATAAGTGGGCTCTTGCTGGCTCTATAAATACTCCGTAGTCCAATACTCTCGGGTTGGGGGTAACAGGAACCCTATACACACCTGCACCTGCAAATTGCTTGTCCACGCTCCTAGCACCCAGGTACAATTTTTTACTGTAAATACAATGATTTTACAATCGATGGATTCTCCGTCCTCGTCTTCTGCTATTGTGATTGCGATGAGTCGGAGGAATACCAGATTTCAGAGAGGCAATATCTGCTGAAACGAGGTAAATCCGCGGCTGCCATGAGCATTCCCGGTGCGATGAGTCAGGCCAGAAGAGCACACTCAGGTCGTGTCAGCGCATGACTGAGTTGAATGTACTGCAAGAGTACGGGTTACTCCTAAATGCATCACCAAATCAGGACAACGTCCTAGCTGTACTACGAGTGATTCGTACGCTGCTCCAATCCAGCATGTACGGATTTGGGATGTCGCAACAGGCCACAGTGAGCCTAGCTTTCAAGTTTGGAAACATGACCCCCGACGAAAGCAGCATTGAATGGGTTGACCTCGAATACTATTTACAATCGTATCTAAGACTGATGAGTCTGAGACACTCGCAGGGCTATCTGGTTCGCCGTAACCCAGTCTATGGATCCCCACAGCTCTGGGTTTTGTTTTGAGTCTACAGCGTGTTTCAAAGCCAGCGCTGTCTGCCGTGCCCATCGTTCCAAAGAAACCCCGCCAACGCCCGTAGCCAGGGGCGTCATCAGGATCGAATTGATTTTGCCGTCCTCGACAGCGCTGCGATTATGACGTTTGATGGCAACAAGCAATGACCATATGCAATTGTAGATCACCTCCCGGTCCCAGTTTACGTCTTGTGGCGTGTGCATCGTCGGACAGAGGGCGATATACTTGCACCCCCAGTCTACTCCGTTATATCGACCTTTGCCCTTGAATGACGTCGGAATGGTTGCAATGTAGCATTGACCCGGGGGAAGATAGCCATACGAGAAATCATACAGCTGAGCTTGCACCGCTCGTGTCAGTGCCAGATAATCATCCGATGGAGACCAAGCGCGGGAAATAGCATCATCGAAGCCACCGTCAAGCCTAGCGTATGAGTTGGCAGGAGACACCACGAGGTCAAATTTGATTTTCGGGTCAAGCTGAGACCTAGTCCATCAATCAGTATGCTGGTTTTCTTGCGGAAGGTGTGTCGGGCCTTCGCTTATTCTACGTACAGACTAGCCTCATGGATCTCGTATGAGACAGAATCTTGGAGCTGTTCCCTTTCGATGTGCCGCCTGAAAGTATCGCCAGCTCCCTTGTCATGGGCCAGAAGATAAATGTGCGGCAGATCGAGTAGGTGGTCCGCGGCCGCCATTTTGCCGAAGTCGCAGCGAAAGGAGTGTTTCCTCAAGCGAAGGTAGATGTGCGATGTCAGTTTGAGTCTGTTGACGGCGTAGAATTTACAGTGTTACGAGGAAGCGCGATATATAATTCACCGTCATGACTCAAGTGCAGGCAATGATCAGGGATCAAGCCGACATGTGTCGATCAGGCAGTGAGATTCTCAGCGCGGAGATCTGGGCCCAGGCATCAATTGCTGTGCCTGTGTGATGACTCATTTCGTCATCCTTCGTTCACATCGCTGACGGGCGCAGTCAACGGATGTGCACTTCGAATGACCCCGCGGACCTGGATATCCGAGTGTTGAGGCCAAATCACATGGCAGCGTATATGCAGGAACCCGCACTCCCATCGTAGGGCTGTGAACCATTGATCCCACCTGTAGTAGCCGCTCAATCTCGCTCACGTGCTATGATCGTTCAGGGCACCGCTCGTGCATTGCAGAACGATACAAGGCAATTGAGTACGGAACATGCGATATGGAAATATTGCTAGTTTTCTACTCCATGTTGCGGACATTTGCAGATCAAAAATTTACCAAATCAAATTCACGATGATCCGGATTCATGCCAGATATCGAATCCATGGGCTAACATCGGGATGTGGCCGGTTCGCATGCGGATGATAAGTTTCGGGGCTTGCTAGCGCGTCCGGGCCGGCCCAGGGACCTTTGGCTGTAGATGACTAATCCTCAACTTCGGAACATTCCGTCCCGTGCTACCACCGCGTCGACGTAACAGCTCAGGACGCGGTCACCTATCATCAACGACGACGTCGCATGGATCACACTCCTTCTACCAGACCGCGATTGCATATCAGTACCGATGAAGCCCGACACAGACTCTCCAAGCATCTGCGATTGGAGCCGAAAATTTCGAATCTAGCCCCGTGGAGCTCATCTCTGCCGTCGTTGACCCCACCGAACCGACACTAACGCGCCGATTCCTGTACTATCGCCTTCGCTATCATGGTGATCGCAGCAAAAGCGCCCCGGCGTGTTACACGAACTCCTCATCGTCCGGTTCGCGCCCACGTTTCCATAGAAGCCGCGACAGAGCCCCCCAACAAGAAGCGCAAATTCCTCCCTGGAGGACCTGGAGGAGGAGGGCGGTATTTCGACAACGAAGGAAATGAATTCAGTCGCGAAGCAGCTCTTGCTGCAGGTCTCATCCAACCTGAAACGACACCGCGGATGCGATCGCGGCGAGATCACACTATGACTGGACTAAAGACCGTTGCGGAAGCTGACGTGACTGCTTCACAACGTCGACCTGTCCGGGTGAGGCGAGAGCGCCCCGAAAGATATGTCCCGCCACCGTCAACGCCACGGCCGCGTTACAGTAATGCTGCAGCAGCGGCCGCGGCCAGTCAAATGAGTGATGGGTATAAACCAAGGGAGGAGAGGAGCTGGGAGGATTTCCATCCCGATCTGGAAATCGATGCTGAATTACCGCTCTTCACAGCCGACGAAGTCGACGGAAGGACTGCCCACATGGACGATGGACTCCCGCAATTTGCACTCACCAAGCCTGACCCCGAGGGCGCAAGTGACGAGCGTCTGGACAGAACAAATGGGATCGGTGAAAGCTCCACAGTGATGCTTCCCACAGACTCACAGGCTTCGTTGCCAGTCAAGCGTAGGCCTGGAAGACCACCTCGACGCCCCGAGTCGATGTTGAGCGGGCTTGGATCACCACCAGCTCCTCGCATCGTACCGCTTCCAACGCACAACCCCAAAGAGCGCCTCAACCTTCCCAAGCCATCTTTTCGGAAGTACAATCATTTCTTGCAATATGAGGAATCACAGAAAGAAAACAAGGACAACTATGTCGATAGGACGATGGCGCACTATGGCTACCAGGAAACCGATCAATTTGTGCTACCATCAAAGGTGCTCATCAGACTCTCGGAGGCTCAACAGGGTGAGGACGACGCAGAAGTAGGTCTGAGGCTAGAGAGCGATGGACCTCTGGAGCCAGGCAATGTGACGACGCCCATCGTAGGGCGGGTCGAATATGACATGGATGAACAGGATGTTGCTTGGCTCGAGGAAATGAACGAGCAACGTAAAAAGGAGGGCGTTGACGCCATAAAACCCGCCATCTTCGAAATCACCATGACGCAGATCGAGAAGGAGTATCATGCGCTAGAGAAGAGAATCCCCAAACCGCAGCCTCGTCACGCGCAGACGCATAGGCCGCGGTCAAGCTCGCAGGCGGCCGTGAATGGAGATCCAAATCCACTTGGGGACGAACCAGATAGCAAATGCTCGATCTGCGATGATGGAGACTGTGAGAACACGAACGCCATCATATTCTGCGATGGATGTGATCTCGCTGTTCATCAAGAATGCTATGGCGTACCTTTCATACCGGAAGGGCAGTGGTTTTGCCGGAAATGCAAAGAGATCGGGCGCGGAACACCCACCTGCATATTTTGTCCGAACGTCGATGGCGCATTCAAGCAAACAAATACACTCAGATGGAGTCATCTACTGTGTGCCATTTGGATACCAGAAGTGACGATTGCCAACATGACGTTCATGGAGCCCATACAGGATGTGGACAAAGTTCCGAAGAGCAGGTGGAAGCTTGGATGCTACATCTGCAACCAAAAGATGGGAGCGTGCATTCAATGTGGTAATAAGAATTGTTACCAAGCTTTCCACGTCACCTGTGCTCGTCGAGCGAAACTCTTCCTGAAGATGAAGTCGCAACAGCAGGGCGGCATTGATACTTCGGCACTCAAAGCATTCTGCGACAAGCATGTACCCCAGGAATGGAGACGTATGCAGGACACAGACAGCGCCATCGTAGAGGCGAAGCGTTGGTATCGGCATAATATGAAAGATCGCAAGTGGGCGGATAGCCAGACCACAGCCATCGAACTGGGAGCCCTACCGCAGCCTGACGGTGGGCCTGTCGGGGACGCCACTACACTTGGTGACACTATCGCGGTGCAGAAGCGTCGTCGTACCAACAACAATAGCAGTGGATCTACTGCTGCCAGCGTAGGCCAATCTCAAGCATCGGGCTGGCGTCTTGCCAATTCTGGCGCGCCAGTTGTGCCAGCTGTTGTGTACGCAACGGTGGAAGCAGGTTTGGTGCGATTCACAATTCGCAAGCGCAAAGAATTCGTTGAGAAGGCCTGCAAGTATTGGACCTTGAAACGAGAAGCCAGGCGCGGCGCTGCTCTCCTGAAGCGTCTGCAACTGCAGCTGGAGAGTTTCTCCACGATGGAGATTACTCGTCGTGACTTCGCGGCTATGGGAGCGGTGGGAGGGCCTCGCCTTGAGAGGAGGATTGCATTCGCGGAAATGCTGCAGCGAGATATCGGTCATTTGACGCAATTATGCACTCAAGTCAAATTGCGTGAAGAGCTGCGCCTGAAAGAGCTTGAGAATCTGCGCGAGTTGGTGGACACAGTCTATTTCCCGATGACGCCACTCCTTCGGCCGATACTGGACCGCGCACAGAAGTAGGTTCTGATTACGATAGCACCATTGACTCCTTTCTAACCACATCACAGGCTGGACGATAAGAGCCAAGTATTCGCGGCAGGATTCGAACTCCTATCGCAACGGCTGCACGAGCGATACTACACCTCAGTATCTGACTTCTCGCGCGATCTCTCTCATGTATTCAATCAGGTGCTGGGAGGATTCGACAGCACAGAAGCTCCCACAGATGGCGATATTGAGGCAATTCACAGCAAACTCAACGAAATTCCCTCTCGGACAGCTGAGCATAATGCCTTAAGCCACGAACAAAAAGAATTGAAAAAGCTGGCGAAACGCATTGTCAAAGCCGTGAAAGAGCCGCTCGAGGCAGCGACACGGAAGGAAGCTCAGCTGCGTGCCCGCGAGATGGAGGAGGAGATCCGCAGGCTCGATTCTATGCCTATTTTCGCTTCTGCTGCTCAGGCTTTGGAGCCAGACCTCGAGGATGAAGATCTAATGCCCGCCAATCATCGAAGCGACTCCAATGGATCGGCGGGTACGGGCGATGTTGCCATGCCGGATGCTGAGGAAACCGATGCGGACGCTCTCGATTTCCCGATCAGTACATCCAAAAACACACCACCTGCCTCCAAGAGCGGTAGCGCTGCCTCACACTTTGACCATGAGACCACCAACAACGGATCCAACGACGCAAGATCTAAATCGAAGCCCAACAGCCCTGCCGCACCCTTGTCGCCGCCCATATCTCGCTCTTCAGTTGCGCCCCTGGGATCAGCCCCTCTTCATCTACATGCTTCATCCGCCATGGAGCTCACATTACACCAGCAACACCCTTCTCCTCCCACGTCGGCTCCTGCTCATGATGTATTCGCTCAAGGAGGCGTCCCGTGGTACCTTACACCTTTCGATCCTGTCGGGACCACGATACATGAAGAGCAATACATGGGTCGAGCTGTGCTCCGTGACATGTCCGAAGAATTGTCTGACATGGACGAAGACACCCTGACGGAACTGGCACCACCTCCGGATCTCGATGCAGAAGGGATTCATGGTGTCTCTATCACCAACGGTGATACCGGCAATTTCGCTACCGCTTCGAGCTCGACTGCCGTGTCCGTGGCGCAGAAGCCAGCAAGCAAAACGCCCCACCGTCGACGTGTCGGGCGCAGGGCGCAATGGAGCCGACCCCGACGCTGAGAACCCTGCCTCAAAACCATCTGTTATTCTTCTTCAGCTTCTCATCACTCACACTCTGCCACGCGACCTCGGATCCGCCTGCCAATGCCGCTTACGACACAACCCGAACTTTCACGCTTTTAAGTCCATCTTTTCTTAAACTGCCCTGGAGGCCAGCAGACCCGAAGAAGACAAGCCATAATCCATCAGTGTTTGAGAAACGGACTGCAGTCGACCTGGATGTCTGCTCGTTTTGGTCCCTCTCTGACTGCATTGGCTGCGGCCTTCATGATATCGGGTTATTTCGGGGTGAAGTCTCTTTCCCATTTCCTCTCTCCAATTTTTACCACAAGTGTTTTCGGGTTTGTTAATTAGCGTTTGCTCCTCCAGGACTTGGCGCAGAAATGCTGTTGGCCGCGTCAGCTGTGTAGCACAGGTTATGATCTTTTTCTCATTCGACACGAAGTGTATTATCGATTGCTTTATTCCGTACTGGCAGTTCAATGGAGAATCATCTATGTGATGAATTTTATCCGCACATCTCGTCCCGAGCAACACTTGAAGCCTGATGGGATACGTCCTCAGATCGAGCCGCTAAAGGCCACTGTCATGATCGTGCTCACCGTGTCAAGGTTTACATAAACCGTTTGTTCTCCGCTTACGACTCTTCTCACGAACGGTATGGCCGATTGTCAGTGCATCCTGTCCATAGATGCTGCTCCTGTCCGACATCGCCCATATGCTACGATTCCTCACGGCATTTCAGCGCCTGAACGTTGTTTCACACCCGCATGTGTACCAAATCCATGAACCACCACCACCACAATTGTAAGGCGCTGAATCACGAAGTTTCCTGATCCATCTTGTTGATGTGACATAATCGCGCAAGACGACATGCTCGTGGGAATCACGAGGAAGCTTGTTCTCCCGCAAGTCAGAATTGTTGGGTGAGACACTCGAAGATGCATGATCTGTGATTCCAACAGACTCATCCGCCATCCTCGAAAGTGGCGACCTGCTTCGCAAGCTGAATGAAAAATCCCTGATTGGTCATGCCAGGACTCACTGTGAACAATTGGTAATCAGTAAACTTGATATCCAATGTTCAATGCATCACAGTCTTTAATGAAACGCACCTTTTGCTCCCCATGCCCCTCCGCTGTTACGGGGGGCATCCGGTGTCGTCGTTGGTGGAACTGCCGGTGTAGCAGCCTTGTAGGAGCTAAGTGCAGGCTCACGAGCCAGAAACGCTTTCACTTCGACAGCGTTGAATCCGTGCAAGGGAGCGTGTGTACGCTCCGATACAGCGAAAGCGTCGAATGTGTGCTGTATTGATCCATTGCCCGCGTTTGCAGCTGAAGGCGACACGAGGTTGCTGTGGCTAGTTTGAACCTGGCGCTGAGTCCAAGCATTGCCAACAGGCGGCCTGGCCTCCTGTGGGGCTTGTTGTTGTTGTTGTTGTTGTTGCTGTTGCGCGAGTGTCTGTTTGGGTAGTGCCGGCGGAGGAGCAGAGTGTTGCTGCGACTGACTCGGCGAGGCGTTTGAAGAGCGGTTCTGGGGTGTGCGGGACGTCAACCCAAGCTGGTGGTGCTGTTGTAATTGCTGTCGACCACCTCGACCAGCAGTTTGCCAAGCACTATGAATGACAAGAGAGAAGATCCACGGTCAGCGCACTTGCATTCCTGGTCGTTGAAGACAGGCGATGTGTCATGTTAACGCGAAAGTATGAGGAGCATGTACCGATTGCCCAGAGATGGACTTACTTCGGATGAGATGAGGAAGACATCGTATATTGCACAGTGTCGAGGGTGCTCGTTGGACTCCCGCAGTGCTGAAACCTTTCGGCTTGTTGGCTGGAGCGAAATGCGGCTCAGAGGCTATCACGAGTGCGACTCCTCGAATTTGTAGGACGCCTGGGTAATCCGTCTCATACGTCGCGAAGATTGACTTCGCAATCCTGCTGAACAGATGCCGCCGTACAAAGAAGATCACAATTGCTGCCCGCCGATCAGTCCGGAGAATGGTGAGAAGACGAGCTGTGACGCAAGGGCTTCGGCATTACGAAGTCCTGCAGGTGAGGACCGAACCGCAGTGCGGGATTTTGCGCTGGCCTGCCATCGTTCTGGATCTCCGACGTCTCTGCAGTGTGGCAATAATTGTCCGGTGTAACTTAGAGCAAGAACTATCAACGGAAAACTCATTCAAGTCGTTGGCATTGGATAATCAAGCATTGTGCGACGTTAGTACCGCAGACTTTGTACATTTGATCCCGAACAAGGCAAACGAATTGGGCGGCTTCAAATGACAGTCGTGGGACGGGCATTTATTTGAGACCTTGACAACGACTACCTTCGGACCTTCCAACCGGCATAAAACGGATTTTCATCTATGCCTCGGCGACACTGAACAAGGTAGCTGATAGTATTGGTTTTGCACCTCTAGCTCGCAGACCCACACCCTCTATCCAGTGAGGCAACATCAAGACCTAGTTTTGGTAACTTCAATGCATCCTGTTACAATATTGCATCCTGTTGCAATATACGCGGCTGCAGCGAGGACTGCTCAAATGCATGCTGTATTTCCCGCGAGATCGTCGTCAAGCACTTTCCCAATTCTTTGACACATTAGCGGGCAATCTCACAAAAGTAATCGTATGGGTCTCACCTTGCACTAGGCAACCACTTGCTCTCCGGGGTGAAGTACCAGGTCAACACTCCAAAAAGGGTGATGGCGGCGAAGATGACTGGAGAGTAGTTGAAAGTATCTCCAGTCACAGGGAAAATCAAAGGCGAGAAGAGCACACAAGCAAGGAATGTGTTCCAGACCAGCGCAATGCAGCTCACAGTCCAAGACCAGCGGCCGAGTGACCAGCGAGCATTTGTGAAGCTCTTCGGTGTGAGGAATACTCGACCAACTATACAGCGTGAGTCATTGCCATCTAAGTCACGGTAGATCAGCGGCACAACTTACATGCGATGAGTGCGTACGCGGTGATTGTTGGGACACCAGCTGCGCTAACCAGGGACGTGAAAGCCACAGGAGAGGCGAGAATGGTGCAAAGGATCAATCCGGCGACGACGTGCATGACGATGACGGCGTTTCTGGGCTCTTTCTTGTCCGAGACCTGCGAGATCCAACCGGAGTAGGGAAGCACACCGTCTCGTGCGACGGCCCAGATAAGCCGAGAGCTGGCTACACCGGCGATAGTTGTATTGAACATAAGTCCGATGATGCAAACCACGTTCATGAAGACATGGCCGTTGCCCATAGACATGGCGTAGATTGCAACAAAAGGCTGCGGAATGTTCAGTTCGTACAGAGCGTTGAGTCCGTCAAGATCAGGCAGGCAAAATAGGAACAGGATGACCAGGGGAAATCCAATTAGCGCCGATGCTGCAGCTGACGTGAAAATGCCTCGTGCGGCTACCAAATTTGCATCTTTGGTTTCTTCTGAAATGTGACCAGATGCTTCGTATCCAACCAGAACTCCTGCTGTGACGAAGTAACTTAGCATCCAGTTCCACACGGGAGGAGCACCAGTGTTGTTGTAGGTCTGTGTGAAAACATATGTCGCATCCTGAAATCCGTACGTCTTGGAGACGGCGATGGGCAGCCAAATGACGTTCAAAAAGAAGTCGAGCAAAATGACACCAACTGCGACACGGAAGATGGTGCTGTATGACTTGGGACTTAGGTAATTCGCGCTCAACGAGAGAAACAGAATGACCTCTGCCACGATCCACTGGACAGCACGAAAGCGGATGTCGTCAGTGTCTGTGGGAAAGTCCAGTCCGAACACTTGGATCTCTGAGAGCATGAAATTGGCTGCCGCCTGGCAATTGGTGGCAATGAAGGTAGTCCATGCCGTAGTGCTCCACCAGGCCACAATAAAGCCGAATAGTCGACCATAGCGTTTGCCGCCAGCTTCAGCAGCCCAGAAGTAGATGGAGCCGGCTGCAGGAAGTGCAGAGCAAATCTCTGACAGCATCGCTGCGGTAATCATAACAAAGATGCATGTGACTACATAACTCGACCTGTGCTGGCCTGTCAGCATCAACCTGATTCTGGATCCTGCTTCGCTCAATGACTGTACCAATAGGCGGCGGGGCCACCGGCTCCAACACCGATCGTGAATGTTGTGCGGATTCCACCGACGGAGTAAAGCGCAGCTGGGTATTCGATCAATACAGGGATCTGACATGAGGCAATTGCTTGTCGTACCGAAACTGGCTGCGAAGCTTTCAAAGAACTTCCATTGTCGATGCAGGGTCTGCGATCGATGATGTTAGCATCTTTATTCGACGTCCAGTATATTTCGAGTTGAGAATGCGCACCTGCTTGTATCCGAGTGATTGCTGTTATATATTAGCGCAAAGTGTTCGTATCGCGAGAGGGATGGGAGTGACATCGATGCATGTTGGTCATAGCAGCTCCATTTCGCGCAAATTACTGCGATTCAAGTTCAAGACGGTATGATCTCAGCCTCTCGAGACTCATGATCACTCCCACAAGCTCAAAGTCGCGAGTGGGTTGGTGGCCACGACGGCACGATGGTAGGCACCCGCGTGCGATGACTTCTTGACACTTCATGCCTTTTCATGACGACTCACTGAGAGCACAATGAAGATGCCTTGCTAGGACCGCCATATCATACAGCCGCGTTGAGCTCCCAAACGCGTCTTACCAAGTAGCGCTCGTCGGCATCGATGGTGCTGTCCTCCTCGATTGCGTTTTGATCGTGGTGAAGGAGGTCCTTGTCGCTAGTGCCTTTGGAAGTCGCGCCAGAAACGGGCGCATGCTGTGTATCCGACGTCATTGCTCGAGGTATGGCAAAGCGAATGCCCACGAAATTCAGTTAAATCACGTAGAACAACTTGACAAACGATACCATAAATGCACTCAACGACGACGTATGCAAGCTTTTATATCAAGCTTGCGGTCTAAAAGAAGAAAAACATATCTAGCCGACATTGACTTTTCGGACTACACCTGTAAACGGCCAAATCGGCCGGTCACCCCACCACACATAGTGACATGCGATCGAACTAAGCGTACTAAAGAAATCTCCCACGCGGCAGCACGCTTTCGCGTGTGGGCGAAAGGCGCAAGCTGAGCCCAGCACTTGATGTCCACGGGTTGATTGAAATTTCTCGCGGATCTCGAGCGGTTGTTCAGTTGGGCCACACATCAGGCAGGCATGAGCTGAATTTCGCACAAAATAAATGCCCAGGTGACAATTTCTTCGGATTTAGCTCTCTGCATATTGTCGCACAGGCAGTGTGAACATGACTGACGGCTGTCATCGCGTGAACGATAGCTATCACAAGCATTGAATTTTATTTGCTGTTCTGTTCAGCCCGTCTTCTCCCGCAATTGCGGCACCGTCCACCAGTCGTGAAAGCGCTTGCAAGGCACAACGAGCTCCACGATATCCCCTAGATATGATGCATCGAGCACTCCTCGCTTCTTGCAAATCGAATTCAGTTGTGATGCCACAACGGTTGTTGCAACGCAAACGGTCTCGAGCTGCTTGATGTCCTTCTGCCAGCTTGTTTCCGTACCGATGTATCTCGCTTGCACGGGCGTGTACATCTTGAGCTTCGACAGCAACGTCTTTGCCTTCTTTACGAAGTTTGGGATGGTCTCGCAAATCTGGGATAGGTTTAGCTTTTTGGAATCCTTGGCCTTTTGCATATCGGCCAAAGAAGGCCAGCGATGAGGCTCGGCTCTGAGAAACGGCTTCATTCGCGCTTCATATCTAAGGCTTGCTGGCGTGTAGTCCTGATTTGCGGTGCCGATCACGCCGGTCTCTTCAAGCAAGATGTATAAATCTGCGAGGCAAGTAGCTAATCCCGAGACGATTTCAAGTTGATCTCTAACACTTTCCAAATGGATCAATGCCACTTCGCACTCGTCCGCTGCGTCATTATTACCGCTCCCTTGTAGTCTTTCCAGCCTGTCCCTCATGAACATTTCAGAACGCGAGATACCACGAACGGCCTCCTCTGCGACCTCTGTCAGGACCATGTAAATTGTGCTGAGCTCGTCAGGCAGGTATAGGTCTGTTTCAAAGCCAAGCTGGATGACATATTGCGCAATGCGGTTCCTGAAAATGGTGACCCACAAGGACATTGGCTGTAATTGGTGCACTTCACCAAGGCTATCAGTGGTTTGTCGTGGAGTAATGAGTTGCGTCAATCGGGAATCTGCTTCAATCGCATCGCACTCGAGATCTGCGAGTGCCGAAAGGAACTGTGTCAGACGTCGACGAGTGCGGCAACGATTCAGGCAAAGAATTCTGTAATAGTTCAGATAGTCGTTGAAAGCTCTGGACATAAAGCCTTCGATTATCCTTGAAGCTTGATAACGGATGTCGGCAGTGTCCTCGACCTGGAATGATGAGAGATCACCCAGGGGATCCCCGGCGAGAACTAGATCTCGAATGTCAGCTAGTAATAGATCAAACTGCGGAACATCGTTCGCAACTCTGTCCTCTGTAGTGAGAATATCTTGCATTTTGGCGCGAGCGTAGGTGTTTGGGCTGGGCGACCGATAGGCGAATGTCCAAGTGGCTCTTTGGAGGCTATGCGGATTTTGTCGGACCCAAACGGAAGTCAACTCAAGAGCTGCGATCACATCCTCGCACATGTGGAGCCAAACTGCCCGGCTTTCCTTCCAGGACATTGTCGGCAATATTCTCGGCGGTGTGCTTGTCGCCAATTGACGTTGGACTTTGTCCGAGAAAGCGGCAGAGACCGGCTGCAGCTTTTGCTCAATGTCGTCGAGTTGATTCATCAAAAGCCTCACTGTCTGCCACCCTGCCAGACTGCCTTCTTCAAGCGCAAATAGTGTCTCTTGTCGAAGCAGGAGCCTGGCCCTCAAGGCATTTTTCGTGCTCTCTTCAAACCTGGGACACAATCATCAGTATTACCCTTGCTGCAATTTATGCTTGCTTGCAGCGTTGTATAAGAGATTGCTTCATGTCGTAAATCTGTCCGCACAGGTATTTAAAACCACCCATGGATGTACTTACGAAGATTCATCTATCCAATTGATACTGTCCGCAACGAGCATTACTGCCTCTTTCACCTCTAATCTTGGCAGCAATTCTAGGCCGAAAAGATAGGTGACAGTATCTTCCTCCTCGAAAGACACATGCGATTGTATCAGTCGTAACATCAATTGGACAGATTTGATGAGACCAATGCAGTAAGCACGAAGTATGTTTAGAACCAGATGAGTACGTTCGTCTTGCTTCAGATCATTTTTCGTGTGAGGTTGTTGGAGGTTGTACGGGTACGAATTTGTTGGCGATATCAATCGAAAGACATGCAGGGACGTGAAGACGTTCTGAGAAAGAGGATATCCAAGCAAGAACATCGCTTCCAACTTGATAAGCTCATCCATAATCCACATGACTTCAGACGCAGAAAGGCTTTTCGACACGTCAAAATCGGCTTCTAAGGAGTCACCAAGAGGAACACTGCCACTATCCATCTTCGGATCCATAATCTGTTGGCGAATTTGAGCGACTTCATCACGCTTCAGCTCGATTCTAACAGACCTCGAGAGCGCCAACAGCCTCGAACAGCGTAAACTCCGCATCTATGACTAGATCACCTGGCCGAAGGAGTCCTGAAGCTTCGGCAAATGCGTTGGTGACATCGCGAATCTGTCGCTGCGAGAACATGTTCCGCATGTTGTCATGTTCTTGTTGAATTCGCGCTTGGGCAGCCGATGACATGACCGTGCCATCTGCTATCGCAACCTTGGTCTAGAAATCCGCCGTTATATCTGCGCCGATGGCAAGACGTGTTGCAGACAACTTTATCAATTATCACTCGATTGTGGGTGTTCCATATCCGGAGACCAAGTAGAAATACAGCGTCCACAGGCAGTCCTGGAGGTCCGGCTACACTCTACCCTGAAGCTGCAGCTCTAGGGTTCTTAGATGAAGGAAAGCTTGGCAGGCATCCGCAGACGTTCATGATGTTATGTATACACACATATTACAGGTAATATTTTCCTTTTCAGCAGCTGCAACACTTGATATGTGGCAGTCATGCTCTATGGAAGTCGGTCTTGCGTTTTCCGGATGCACATCCACCGTCTGTTCCTGCTCCTACTAGTCATTCCCGACACCCCGAACCTTTGCCTGCTCGAATCCGGACCTTCTTTACAATTCCATCATGGCTATGTCGTACACTGACTGAGTTCATGCGGACGGCTGCGCAGCCTCTTTGGTGACCTGGTCGATGGGCTTTGCTTCGGACTGCTTGCCGTTCTGTACAAATCCGTGATCAGCTCGATCAATTCTTCGCCGCTCGCGAAATGAATGGCGGTACTCACTTTCCAGAATGCGACACGAAGTTCGGACTCTCCACGACGTTCAGCCTGGATGCGCTTGTCTTCCTTGAGGGAACGGCGCAACACGCGGCCGCTGATGGCAAGGAGCCTGTTGTAGCTGTCGAGGGAATCGGCGTCAGCAGAAGCAATGACACGCGTGGGTCGCCGCGTACCTGATGCCAGCGGCTTTGTACGCAGCAGACATTTTGTGTGTTGCTTGATTGTGAGATGATGTTGGTAGTGGCAATCTGACCATTCCAATGCCCGGAAGTCCTGACAAGAAGGAGCTGCTCGTACCCTCGGGATCAAGCTTGGCACGCCGAAAGCTTTGACCAACTACAGAAGTAAGCCGGTTGAACATGCATTGGCAGGATGTCAAGTTTGAAGGGAGATCTCTACATAACAATACGAAAAGTTTTCGTTCTACCACAGTACGTTACGTCTCGTAGCATGTATCGCTCTTACAGGGAGAGACGATGTATGGAGAAATGTGATGCGCTCTGGACTTTGCAAGTCGCGCAAAGCGTCGCGTCATTTGCCGAAATCTGTGACAAAACATGTATTTGGCCCAAGTAATTCCGTCATCTGCTTTTGTGAGGGCTTTATATTGGTACAGCGTAGTATATGCGCCAAAATGAGCAACAAAAGACTCTATCGATAGAATATTTACACGGTCAGGCCAAGCTCCTCTGCGTAAGGAAGCACGTAAAGGTCGCCCACTGCGCTGACGGATGCCTTGTTTTCCAAAATTTCTTTGGCGTATGCCTTGACCTTCTCAATGCTTGAGCTGTCAATGGCAGATGCAACATCCTCAGTTTGGTAAGGCTTGCCATCACGAACAACGCCGGCGCCAGTGAGAGCGACGCCAGCCTGGTTACCAGAAGCGTACTCGAACTCCTTGAATTTCGCGAGGGCTTTCGCCTTCTGGAAGTCCTCCTTGCTGAGGTTCTGGGCAACGCCCTTCAACGCCTCCACAACTTTGCTGGCGCCCGAACGGATGTCGGCCGCGGCTCCGTGAAGAGTGATGGTCAAGAGCCCGGCATCGCTGTAGATGTTGGACTTGGTGTCGACACGGAGAGCGGGCGTGCCCTCGACGGCTTTGGCGAGCAGAGAGAATCCGGTAGACCACTTGATGGATGATACACCACCGAGGAGCTCGGCAAGGATGGAGACCTCGGGCTTGTAGCTGGAACCGGTGGGAGCGCTGGATCCCGGAAAAGCCAAGACAAGAGAGTTGCCCGATGCGTGAGCGATGCGCTCCTCACCACCGAAGTATTTGGATTGCGTGGAAGAGAGCTCTTGCGCAGGCTGTGCCGGGATGCCGCCAAAAAATTCACCGGTCCACTTGCTGAGTTCACCATGGTCGGCACCGTTGGCGACGATAGCAAATGATGGCTTGGCATACGCAGAGGCAGCGAACTCTTGCAGTGACTCGGCGTTCAAGTATTTCTTGTAGACGGATGAGGTCGGGTAGAGGGACTCTCCCAGACCACGGTGAAACGCCAAACCATGTGCACTATCGACAGCCAAAGCTAGAGTGTCTGCAAGCTGTTTTTTGTGGCTGAGTTCGAGCAGAGGGAAGATCTCCTCATGGAAAACATGTGCTATTGCGTGTCAGCGAAGTCGTAAAGAGTATCTGATGACTGTGATGCTAACGCTGGTATTTGGTCTGCGTAGCAACCTCGGCAAGCAGTTCAACAAAGTATGGGAGGTCGTCGCGAAGGAACTTGGCGCCGACGATGAGGCCTTCGCGTGTGTGCGTCGAGAAGAGCTCAGCACCGAGAAGCTCAGACTCGCGCTGTATCCGAAGTGTTGAGCGGTTCTCAGTGGACTAGGCAAATGCTTCATTAGTCCCGATGACCGAACCCATATCGCACACTCTTGCTAACCTTGAACGCGTAGCGGTTAAGACCCTCGGTGAGACCAGGTGCAGATTGATATCTGGTACCAGCCTTCGATACGATTGCGAGTGTGGTGACTGGGCCTGCAAGATCTCTGCTGGCGACCTTCAAGCCCGAAGCTTCCGAAACCGTGTAGTTGAGCGATGCCGAGGAAGCGCTGGCATAGCCTCGCTGGGCAGCTCGGAGAGCGCGTGGCGTGACGGAACGAGAGAGCATGTTGACGAAAGCTCTCCGGGATTCGAGTCGGTGTCGAGCAATGCGCAATGCCTTCGACACAATGGCTGTGAGTGTGTACTGCTAGGAGGAAACAATTAAAAGCTCCCAGAGGTAGGCTGGAGAAACTACTTCTTCTTGATTGGTCTCCGAAACGCGGGTGATGCCGTAGCGCTACTCCCGGAAAGAAATTCCACCTGCACGCTTTGTCCGTCGAATAGAGAGTGACTGCGCCAAAGTTGACCTGTAGTATGATGATTATTATCGTGTGCGCCATAGCCGATTCTACGATTTTTCTCTCTTCGAAAAAAGACATATTGTCTTAGTCTGTCGATCCGCAGCACGCGATTCGGCATGCGTAAGGGAAGACAGCGTTGAATTACTACGGCTCGGTGATGTGAGAGATCTCGAGTCGAAGAAAATCTACAGCTCCAATTGTCAGGCAATAATGGCAACTTCTTTACAGGAGCTTGGCCGTGTCGTCGTCCAAGACATTTTGGGCGATCTTTGTGCCGAAGTCTTTGCAATACTTTCAACCAATGGTCGATCCACTCGCGCGCGACTCCTACAATTGAGTGGATTGCCTCAACGCCAGCTTAAAATAACTCTTGCATGCATGACTCAATTGCACATATTGCTTCACCAGACCACGGACGACGAGCAATCCTTTTACCAAATCGACTGGCGCAACACCTATTCGCTGATCAGATCAAGTCGCATTCAGTGCCTGGTGGAAGACAGATACGGCGTTCGTGCAGGCAAAGTCATCGCGTTTCTATTGCAACTTGGTCACGCCCGCGTGCAAGACCTTGCTGAAGCATTCGATCTTCCGAGTCAGGAGATCCCCAGCGGCGCCACTTACGAGAATGGTGTGCGCCCAAACGACAGCAGCAAAGATAACAGCGGGAAAACATCAACGATTGGACAATTACACGCTACGATACGAAAGTTGCTAGCAGCTGGGTTGGTGGTCAAGGTTGGCAACCAGGCTTACACGCCTACTGCCGACATTCAAGCCGAGATTGAGGAGCTTGTCATATCTGCACATTTCCCGGACCGCAAAGTCGGGGGACCTAAAAAGCAAACGGAATTTCGCATGGCTGTCAATTCAATGAAGCGAAAGAGACGGGAGGCGGAGGACTTTTCAGAGCAACGAGACGCTCGATCGTCGGGTGTGAATGGCCGAGCAATCAAGCGTTCCAAGCTCAACATTGGCAATGATTATGGTGCAGGGTCTGGGCATGATGATTCAGGCCTGAGGTTGTTGGTGAGTCACACAAAATCAGCACTGGGTACATGACGATGCTAACCAGCGCGATGTAGGACGATTTGGTGTTGCGTGTCAATTATGCGCAGTGTACCTCAGCACTACGAAGCCAATGCTTAGAGGAGCTGGCAGAAGAGTGTCTCGGCTCTGCCACCGCCGCTGTGTATCGTGCGTTATTGCGAGTGCTTGAGGGAAAGCAGCGAGCACGAGACGACGTCATACAACCCACAGAAGCTTCTGATGACGAGAAGGACGATCATCCGATCATCTCGACTGTGGAAATAGCAGACACATTGGATTCGTCTATCAACCTGGACATTTTTGTAGCTGCTAATGATTCGAGGATGACGAATGGCACTGAAAAGGCCAAGCAGAAGACAACTCAATCTGCGGAAGATGCTGAGAACGATGCTGCGCTCGGGATCGTCAAGCGCGAACCATTAGACTCTGATGATGATCATGCGGCAACTGGATTTTACTCACACCGCGACCGAGGCCTCCGCCTTGAACTGATCGAGGAGCACCTCAAACTCCTAGACGAACATCAGCTGAAGTTTTGCGAGAGAGTCGGTCCAGCTGGACGGGGTGAATGGCGGGTAGACTTCACGCCCCTTATTGACGCACTCATCCAGCGCAACATCGATGCCACCATAATGTCCAGATTGGGACCTGTTCACATGCGGGTCGTGCGAATGCTACGTGACAAGGGCCGGATCGATGAAAAGCAGATTGCGGCCGCATCAATGATGCGTCTCAAAGATGTCCGATCATTCCTCACGCAGCTTCAGTATGCCGGATTTGTGGAATCACAGGACGTTCCCAAAGATAATCAGCGTCAGCCTTCTCGGACGATATTTCTGTATTTTTACGATCGACAGCGTGTGCAGGATCAATTGCTTCAACGGACTTATAAGTCTTTATCAAGAATGTTCCAACGACTACAACTGGAACGGCAGCGCTACGCCAGTGCTATCGAAAAGGCCGAGAAAATGGACGCAAATCAAGAAGCACTCAATCAGAACGAGCGTGAGGCAGTGATGCAATGGCGAGCTGTGGAAGAAAAGTTGCTCCTCCAAGTCGACCGATTAGATTCCCAAGTTGCTCTGTTGCGAGACTTTTCTGGTAGAAATGTCTCTTTATTGTCTTAACATTCGTTGAGTCATCATCGGTGCGGCGCTGTTTGACATTATGTTATGCATAGAGGCGGGATATTTGATTCACGCGATCTCAAATCGCGAAGCATTTCTAGGGAGTCTGAGGGGCAGATCATTTTCTGAATTGAGCAGGGAGTGACGATTCATATGCCTGGCATGCGATGTAAGATTAGCACGCGTGGAATTGCTGTAGCATTGAGCAACTGCAAATTTATTAAAACGGTAGCCATTCAGGCAATGAGATCACATCACAAAGTTGCTCTGAGTGTGGTCTTACTCGAGCATCCCATTGCAAACGGGGTTCACAAACGATGAACGCAAATTTCGTGCAATGTGTGGTCTAAAATCTAATCTAAAAAGGTACGTCCTGCCTATTAAGCGCCATACTGCAGAGATCTATCTATTCAGGCTTTATGTGTATCGGCCCCGGCGACAATATTCGAACGATATGCATCATGATTGCGAAACACCCTCTATCCCGCCTTCTGTTAAATATTGTGCCAGACTGCGCTTTGATTATGGTACTCGAGCCGCTCACCAGTAATCACCATACTTGCCCAAGACTTCGTCAGCTCTGAGCTCGCCATGGCAGTCGTTGAGAGCATCCAGATGTGCGGCTAATTTGAGTCCCCTCAGCCGCTCAGCCTCCATGTCTTCCCAAGTCCACTCGTCCTGAAAAACTTTGGCCCCATCCTCGATAACGGTCAGGTTGGCTGCCACTACACCAGCAGCGCTCTCCGGGCCCGAAATATCCTGCAGGACGCCAGGCTTAGAGGACGCGGAGGCCACATCACCGTTCGAGGCTTCTGCTCGAGGCGGTAAGCTAACACCGGAAGGCCGCGGAGGCAGCAAGCGAGATCGCTCCAGGACAAGCTCCGGGTTGATAGTGAGGCGGCCTTTCTTGAAAACGTAACGGGACACACTGGTAGCGTAGATGTTCTTGTTGAAATCTCTGGCATCCTGCTTGGCCTCGGTCGGTTTTCGCTTTGAGTTTTTCCATGGCTGCAAGACGTAGGATTCGGGCCTGATGGCGCCCTTCCTCACGATGTGGGATATTAAGTACAACCATTTGCGGTCCCAGCTCAGGACTCTAGTATAGATTTCAAACTTGCTCAGGGGGTCAATCTGACGCAGGAAAAAACAGCTGACGGCACCCAACGCGACGCCATAGCGGCCCTTGGTCTCAATCGTAGACTTCTCAAGGCCTTCCTGGTCACCTTTGTTGAGCCGAGTAAGGCCAGTCCGGATGACAGCACTGAGGGCATGCGCACGAGAAACATCAAGATCTGCGAAATACTGATAACATGGTCAGCCGCGTCTGCTTCGATTTCGATACAGCAACGGTTTCACGACTCATGCAGACTTACTGTGGAATTACTCTTGTGGATGTTGTAGTCGCAGTCCATCAATGTATTCGTCGATTCAGTAACCCTGCCTCGTATCAAAACCAGCCCGTCGACCGCGCGATTGGACTAAAGCTCTTACATGGGAGTGAACAAATGTTTCGGGGTTTTCAGATAATTCCGGTTGAACCAGAGCTGGTAGATCATTCCTAGGCGATAATATTTTAGAAGTGCATCCAAAGGTGTCAGCTGGATGCTGGTCATAAGCGTACCTCTGAAGACGCGAATGTGCCATACTCCCGGCAAATTCTTAAAGTTCAAGACCACATAGAGGATTGCGAATAGCTTGAAGACTGTGGACATGGTGGAAGATGAACTCAATGATCGACCAAGGAACGATTGAAGTGCAGGTGAGGCTGAGATTGAGGCCACTGCGGCCAAAAGAGCGACTGAAGTACCGACGGATGGCATTCTTTGATGTTCTAAGCCGTCATGCTTGTGGTCACATCAATGGGAACAAAGCAAAGGCTTAGCATCAACTTTAAAGCAATAGACGCCGAGGTGTTGCGGCTCTGTCGAGCTAGCGAGTCGAACCCCTTTACAAAATACATGTCCAGTTTCCAAATTCGGCACGGAATTCGGTAGTATCGTTATCGCGTTTGCACTCAGACTTCAATATGTTGACCCATTTTCGATGAAGAAAAGCCATACGGGCATGTGTCTACGAACAATTAATCTTGCATCGGGCGGACCAATATTGTTTGAACGAGCTTAACACACGCGGGCTGTAATGCGGCCTCTTACCCGAGTGTCGAAATCACCCCAGCGTTGAATTCAGAGAATACGTTTAGCCGTGTCATGCGAAGAATCTGACTATTGTCACATGCGGCGAGACATCCCCTTTGTGCTTTCTCTCTTGCTCAAGATCAAGAATTTGTCTGTAGCTAAGGTGGCGCTCCCACGAGAAATATGTGATTATCGCTCCCTACGTACGCACCTCAATATCACGTGATGCTCCATTAGACTCCTCCCGCGAACTCGATGGACATGCGGGAAGTGCTCCGAAACTTCAGCAGACGCCAATTGGGGATTCTCGCAGCGGCGACTCTTCTCCTTTTCACCCGTGGAATTAGTTTATGATGAGTGATCGTATCTTGTTCGGCGCATTACATCCTGGCCGGAAACTTGTCCGCGTTAGATCAATGTCACCTCGTGGTTCACGAATCGCGATACAGGAATCTCGTCATCTTCTGCGTAGATCTTCGAGATGGAACTACGCAAGGGGAGACATTTGTTAACAAGGCGTGAACGTGAATTGCGACTGCGACACTCGTCTTAACAACTCCTGATTATCGGGTGCGAGTTCCTACTGGAACCAGGGAGCAGCTCTCGGCAGAATCAAATCGCAGCCGACAGTCGGAATTTTCCACCGGTCAGATCTGCATAACACCGATGATTATTCGAAAGCTGATAAGACAAATCTGTGTTGTACCATCGAGAGCAAGATCGTTGTGATGCGATCGTCGTGCTATCTTCGTGGTTTGGCGGGTCTGAGTTTGACTCCGCTCGACCACCTCAAGGTTCGTAATGAGATCGCGAATGCCGCTATATACTAGACTCAGATGCTCAACGCAGGGATCTTGCCGCAGGCGAGGGAAAAAACGAAAGTTTCCAGTGGCCGACAGGACGTGTACGCTGACGCTCTAATGTGAGACTCTCAAAACCCCATGACAAAGGGGGAGACGATAGGCTGAGACCATGCCATAGTTCGTCGCGATCGATGATAGCTACCATAGGAAGACGTTTAAGTGATCCTGTAACATTCTCAGTGCACCCACGAGCATGCCCTTGGTCTGAGGCATATTGTAGCTTACAATTATAGAACAAGATAAGTTGCTGGCCTGCGACATCAGTTCCCAGTATCACATGATCTACTGATTCTGTGAACGCCAAAGATGGAGAAGCATGGAGACCTCAAAACGCAAGCATGCTCGAGATTTTTCGATATGCTTCGGCCGGCGATGGAGTCCGTGGTGCCGGCTACGAGAGCTCGCTTCACTGGAGAACTAAGAGGCTCAGGTCACAACCCTCAATGATGGGTTTTCATATCGATCTAGGCAAGCTGTTTCCGGCCTCTGCGACTCGGCTAGATACGTGAGAGGGAGTGAGGGAGGGAGACTGGGATGGAGAGAGCTGCTAGCAGACGACTACAGCCGGAAAGCTAGAACTCCGACGACCAGAAACCTATAAGAATAGGTCCGTTCCGGACGACTACTGCCGGGGTACAGCGTGAAGACTCGAGCTTGGGCAGTACAACGTGAAGGCTCCAATCGTACGACGGTCAAATAGATCCTAGCGCGATCTATGTCTTCCTTTAAGAATCACAAAGACACGATCATAGTAGCCCAGGCAGCGCTACAGTGGAACTACCCCAAATGACTCAAGGTCGTAGAGACCCGTGTTAAATGGGCTAGCAGGTACCTAGTAGAGGCTTGTCGGCGCTGAATATGTTGACTTCCAGAGTTCTCTTCAACCGGCTGCTACGTAAAGCAAAGTACATACACAGGGCAAGGCAGGTATGAAGCACGCAATTGATAGGAGATGACTAACCAGGCAGCGATATTCCGGTAGAGGGTTCTAAGGAGTAGATTAAGGACACGCATGTATTCAGGAATACCTGAGAGCTACGCAGGTCTTTGTCTTTCTAGACAGCTCGTTGGTATGAATCGATCATCATTATCAAGTATGCTTCGCATCCTGAGGATATTCCCTTTGTCCAGATAAACCCAGTTAGCCAGAAAGCACTCGTCGGAACAGTGGAAAGGACTCAGTCGTCGCCAACGATGTCTGAGACTGCGACTAAATCAATGGCAAGAGATCGCTGTAAAGCTTGACGAGCTCATCTGAGCATCGACCCTCGGTGCTACCCCAGCCATTTCGCATTATAAATTGTGTTACAACGGACCTTTCAACGATGTGACGAAAGATATAAAAGAGAGACGATCATCACCACAACGGGATAGTGAACATGGACAACAATCTAGACTAGGGACGGGATCATTGATGTTGACTGTTCGAAAAACTCAATTGTAATCATATACACCTGCATTATTCAGTCATCGGTCGCAAATTTGATGTACATTCCTCGCATCGCCAATAAGGAATGCGCTTGGGCAACTTGAGGCATTTCAAGTGAAAAGCTCGTGCACAGGTTACTTCAGAGCAGCCTATTGTACCACGTAGCCCAGCGACAATCTTGCCACATACGCAAGTCTGAAACCGATCCTGCGGCACTCTTGCATCCACACGGGTATCGAAAGTCGTGCCGCTTGTGGATGCTTCGAGCAGTGAGCCATTTCGGGCAGGTCTTTCTTTTGCTCTATCATCGTCATCTGTTGATGTCATCTTACCAGCAACCCAGCGAGTCCGATTGCCAAGCCATGAATCACTGTCCGAGGGATCCCAAGGATCGAGGCGAGGCGACCTCTCGCTCACCGGCGATTCTGCAATCGTCCCGTTCTGGGAATAGGTATGTCGTGATGTATTTGGTCGCAAAAGCCCGGTCTCTCTTGTCTGTGCAGAGATACGTTGGGCATCTTCTGAGGCCTGATTAGGCGCTGATACAGGCCACTCTTGTGGCTGCGCAGAATTTGCAGCTGTATCCAGCAAAGAGGTACAGTACTTGACAGTCGCCCCGGTGATGACACACCCAGTTTCCAACTGAAGGAGCTTCTTTCGCATGGCATCTGCCCATCTAGGATCTCTTGACTGTTCGAGGTATTTTCGCGCAAAGCGGACGACTGCATCCTGCATGTGAATGTCTGAAGATGGCCGTTCTTCGTTGATATGGACGTAGAATAGCTCATGGAATTTGCAAACCGCGGCATGATCGCCGAGGTGCATCAGGTCACGCCGTTGACGCTGCGTTAACCAATAATCATCAATGTCTTCGTCGCTTTCGGAAAGCTCATCGCCACAACGCACAGCTTGCTTCGACGTCGTTCGGTAGAAGGTCACTCCGGGCACATTTGGCACCTGATATGTCTTTCTGACATGCAGTGGCAGATTTTTCACCTCTTCTGGCAAATGACGTTTTCCCTTGTTCCGGGCGGATGCAGCAGCCATGGCTGGTTTTAATGCAAGGCTGGTCGAGATTTCTCTGCGCATTGCACGGCCGGGCCTCTTCATGGGGCTTCTGTGCTTGTTATGCCCTGCGTTGATCCAAGGCCCCTCGCCGTAGATATACGCGGCGATGTCTACGGGACATGATGGTGCAATCCAATTCATGTTACGATCTCTTGACGAATCTGTACTAATTGGCGTTTCCGCATCTTGAATCCACAATACCACTGTCATGCCGCTGGAGACCATCCACTCCGTCCCCTCCGCTCGATACTCCCATGACTGATGTGAGTTTGTATAATGCAAGTATAATCGTGCGAAAGATGAATGTTCAATTCCGCTGCCACAATGAACACATTCCAGTGAGATTTTGGTCAGCTCACGAACTTGAAACCCGTCTCGAAACTTGTATCTGATGGTCCATTTGCTGGGCAATTTCTCAAGATCGTCTGACGCACTCGGTGTCAATAAGTGGCGCGCCCTTGATGCGTTCACTAAGCCGCGGTTGTACTGTACAAGGGGCGATTCGGGATGAATCCAGCCCATAGACACCTCGATTCCATATGCAAGTGGCAATGTCGTGTTATTCGTTGTGCAGAGAAGTGGCAGAGTGCTCCCGGACGTGGGGCATTCCGGCAAGGCATCCCAGAAAGTCCGCAGCACGCAATTACTTGGAACTGTGTGACCCCTCGCGCCAGTTGGAATACTGTCGAGCTTCGACAACAGCTGATGAGCGTCATCCGAGTCCAGACATTCTATGGTCATCTCCAACGAGTACCTATCAGACATTGCCCTCCTCCAGCGTTGTGATTCACCAACGGAACCGCATTCTCTCACAATGAGCAGCTTGCTCAACTCGGTGTGAAAAGGTTGATCTAGCTTGATGTCGAAACTTGGTCGGCCGCCGCTGTTTTCACATTGCAAAATAGTGCCGCTTCGCATGTCCACGTGAAGCGGGCTTTCTCGTGAATTACGCTGGTAAATTCTTGCTTGTATTCGGCATTGTAGCAGCAGCCGCTGTGCATCGGGTCGTGGTAACCAGTTCGGGAGACCGTCGTCTCTGTCCGATGTTGGCGAAGAACGATCGGCCTCCACTGGTGGTGCAACTTTGCCGGAGAGTCCGCGAATTCGTAAGCCCTCAATGGTCAAAACTGGTTTGCTCCCATGAATAGAGTCGTCGAGTAAATCCGTCGATGGATAGTCCCAGCTGGTGCGACGATCTTCGAGCGCAAGCATGGCCTGAGAAGTACGGGCATTGGTGTTCTTCCGCAGGAAGTCGATTTCGTGTCGGTCCAGAATGAATTTGAGGTTGCGACGAAGAAACGTGCGGTTTGACGGATGATCGACAACGCGCGCGAGAGCAGCTTTGCCAGTGAGTCTTCGCGAAAGTGTTGATTCGCTCATGACAATGTGTGCAGAAGGTCAATTGACTGGTCGTTTTGATTACGCAAGATTGGCAGGTTGTCAAAATCGATCGACTCATCATGAACTCTGCGCGTTACTTAAGGAATTCGTGGTATCCCGACCGTGTCGCAGCGCGGAGGCGGTGACAGAGTTGTGTTCAGATGCAAACGAGCCAAGCTTTTATCTTGTTTTGATGTCGATTGTAAATATCCGCGACCCTCGCCAAAAGGCGGGTCTACGCTCAAATAGTAGGCAAACTTCGGAGCGCGTTGTCTTCTGCTACCATACATGTCATTACCCAATCAAGGTTGAGGCTGTGATGATGAGGTGCATAGTAGAGCGTTCGCGCACTTGAGTCGCGCAATTGCATTGCAATTAATCGAAGCAGGCGATCATTGACGCCGCGTTCTCACTAGTCGACCAACACAAGCAGGCGGGACCAGCCAGCCCTGCCACATGGAGGCCTGAAATAAATCATGACTGCAGGTGTAATGAAATGTTCATGTCACGTTTCGTGCACACGCCTCTTCATTATCAACGATGGGTCTGTCCCCAATTCTCGCGTACATACCTTACCAGACACTTGTTCAAAACTACAGACTTCCACCTGGAGGGCAATCAGAAAGACTAGTCTGTTCATATGAGACTGTTCACATGAAGATATTCTTAGCCCACGGAGTGCCTGCATAACTGTAAGAGATAGATCTCTCTGCCAGAATTTGAGTGCAAGTCAGTCGATCGTTCGGGAAGGACCACAGAATGCAGTGATCAGGTCATGGGTTGAATGCTGTCATAGTGAGGTGCGCGAGACCAATTTTCGAGATTGAATCCCAAGAATGACTGTCGAGCACACTTGGGTAGCTTATGCAAGACCCGATCGACCAGCCTTTGGAATCATCCTTAACATGACAATCTCATGACAATCAGCAAAGACAACATTTCTCATTATGCGTATCTTAACTTCATCGGTCAAGCCAGACCTGAGCGAAGCATTGGACGCGCTTCCCCATGTCGCATATCCATCGTGATTATCTAAACAGACGCGAGGCGAATATGATTATTCTACGAGTGCGTGAGGATGTGTATGTGGCGAATTGTTGGCGGTCGCACACCATCATTCCACCTCGCATCCCACGCCATGAAAACAACACAGTGCGCAAAGGATATCGGATTGGGAAGGCTCTAGCAGCAGCCGCCAGCACTGCCGGACTGCACATTTGAGCCCTGGCCGACCTGCACCGTAGGCTTATTGTTGACGGTCGTGTTGCCCATGCGCTCCTTGATCTGGCGAGCCATGGTCAAGAAAGCCTGCTCGACGTTGCTGGCGTTCTTGGCCGAAGTCTCAAGGAAAGGAATCCCGAGGCTGTCGGCAAATTCCTGTGGATTGTTAGGCCAGGAACGAAAAACCATCGTGGACTAAGCCCAGACTTACTTTTGCAACGCTGTACTCAACAACCTTCTTGTCTGCCATATCGCTCTTATTGCCCACCAACAACTTGTTCACGCCCTCGGTGGCGTATCGGTCAATTTCTTGCAGCCATTGCTTGACATTGTTGAAACTGTCCATGTCGGTGACATCGTACACGACACAGATGCCGTGTGCGCCGCGATAGTATGAGGATGTAATTGTTCGGAAACGTTCCTGGCCAGCAGTGTCCCACTATTTCCATGTCAACGAGTGCTCCGCGTGCTCATATCCGTGTTCTGCGACCCACGATTTGAAGCTTAACAGTCTTGCCGTCCAACTCGATGGTTCGGATTTTCTGCGCAGACGTTAGAGCCAGCCTTTCCCATAATCGCCCTAAGAGCAGCGATTGGAGCGACGTACAAAGTCTACACCGATAGTCGAGATGTAGCTCTCCGTGTAGGTGTCATCGGCAAATCGCAGCAGCAAGCATGACTTTCCAACACCAGAGTCTCCGATCAGGAGAAGCTTGAAAAGGTAATCGTATCTATATTTGTGGGATCAGCTCCTGATATAACCATGGTGTGCGGCGCTCGAGAAGCGACTAGCGGTGGCGGTTGTAAGAGACAAAGGGATTGAGCGCTGAGCTCATGGCACTGGAATGGGTCGGTTTTGGAGAAAGGCGATCAGCAGCGAGGGTCGGAAAGCAAGTCCTCGCGGTGCGGAGTAGTGGTCATGAACCATCGCATACGTTTCGCGAGAGGGAAGCTGGTGCGGTGCAAGCTGAGATAAGGAGGACTCTGTGTAGCCGTGCGAGTCAGTCTCTGGAGATGCACCACCCAGAAAGTCCCAGTGCCAGGCGCGTGTATGCGCCTGGTGCCGGTATCTGTAGACTCACCACTCGGGATTCATGATTGCGGCCCTGACGCAGCAAAGTGGTGATTGGTAAGGAAGTTGCAAGGACAACGAGGACAGCGTCGCGGAGCTGACCGGAAAGTGGCAACTTTGAACCTTGAACAAATTCTGGGGTGTTGTCCAAAGGAGGCCTGACGAATATAGCAGTGAGTTGTTCGATCGTTGCGGCGGTCACAGGGCAAGGCACACGCACTCTTGACTCTACGGATGACCTGACCTCGCTGCTGGCTTGACGACCGTTGCATCCTCCTGCTTGGCGCTAATCCTCGGGCGACCTCCCTCTTCGCTGACGTGCCGCAATTGTTTGTTGGCGCAGCTAGTCCTAAAACAGAACCCCGTCTTCGTACCTGTCAACGTGCTATCTCCCTACGAACTCAACACTGGACTGCTTGATCATCGTCCACAAAACCCTTCTTCACAGGCATTTTCATGGTGAAATCGACGCAAGATCGGGCGTGGAGGAACCCCGTCGCAAACTTTCTTATATCTTCATTCGGGGTCATGGGATCACCAGCCTCCTGCTGAGTGCTGTTGTTCTTCAACAAGCGCTACTTTCTGACTACACGCTCACCTTTGCTTTTACTAGAATGGATCTGATTGCTGGTCGATAAGGCGATACATTCAACAGATACATAATTGGAACATCGTGGAACGTGAAGTGTGCTATATTCAGCGTGGGAAGTGACCTCAACCCTCAAGAGAATGTCCCCACCCTCAAACGATCCGGCAAACTCAGAACCGGCGGTGTCTCCATGAAAGAAAGCTCATTCAATCTAACGTTAGCTCTTCATCACCAACCGGGATTGGGCGGCTGTGACTGATATTGCTGCCCACCGTAGTTGCTTTGCGATGCGCCAGGATAACCAGCACCCTGGTTATGCGAAGACTGACCAGGATAAGCTTGGTACGGTTGGTTCTGATTCTGACCTTGTGGCGGCCCTCCATGAGAAGGGTTGGGGTAAGACTGCGTGCCGCCTCCGTATGAGCCTTGTTGGGGAGGAAATCCGCCTGGGGGTACAGATTGATTGTAGCTTGACTGTTGAGACTGGTTGAATGCACCAGGGGGCTGGTTGTATTGTCCCTGAGGATACGCGTTGTGGTTACCACCTTGATTGTAGTTCGGCGGACCACTGTTGCCACCCTGTTGATGACCTGGGCCATTGCCATAGCCGCCTGGGCCCGGAGTACCCTGGCCATAATGCGTCTGTGGAGGTCCAGAATTTTGCTGAGACTGATGAGCTGACTGGCCGTATCCGGAACTACCCTGGTTTGTAGGGCCGGATTGATCGTGCTGACTATTAGAATGCTGCTGAGGTCCGCCATGCTGCTGTCCCGTACCAGAATAAGAACTGGTAGACGACGAATAAGCTCCTGCGCCCGAGGTCTGCGCTGCTGGCGGTTGATAAGAATTCGGAGGTGCAGTTCCCGAATATGTCGAGCCTGAAGAACCACTGTTGGAGTAGCCGTAGGGGTTTGAGCCACCATTGCCGTGCTGAGGCTTGTTGTGGCCGCCTAGGAAGCTACTAGCCATGTTGCCGAGGCTGCCAAATCCTCCGCCGCTGCCACTGCCGCCGCCGCCGTTACTGTTGTTGGTGTTGTTGTGGTTGTGGCTGGTATTGTTGTGGTTGCTGGAGCTGTTGTTGTGATTGCCGTTGTTATTCGGCGACGAATGTCCGCCCAGAAATTGTTGGGCGAGCTGACCGGCCACACCGCCGATTCCGCTGGTTTGCGAACTGCTGCCGTGGTTTGATCCATGACCTTGGGACGAGCTACCTCCCAGGAACGAAGAAGCAAGATTGCCTAATGGTGAGCTGGAAGGTTTGCTCCCATTGTTATGCGAATTTCCTCCCAAGAAAGACTGGGCGAGGCCCCCTAGTCCGGATTGATTCTGCTTCCCACCGCCCAGAAAAGAGTTCAACACAGTAGTCTGAATTCCCAAATCAGCCTCATTGTATTACTTCAAAATCGTGGTGCGCGGTCGCTCGCGGACTTACTCCCAATCCCCGATCACCTTCTTTTCCTTGCTGTTGGCTCAGTCAGCGCAAAGGTCTTCCGGTCGGCGATCGACATCTCTTGCCTCAAATCCTCTTTCACCCTCTTTTCCCGACATGTCGCCGTTCGGTGCGGGATACGGATTGAAAGTCGGGACTGGTGTTGCGCTTGGTGACGGTACTTGTGGCGCTGCGCTCGTTGGTACGTCCCACGTTGATTCGCCCGTGGATATTTGAACGAAGTAATACTTTCGCGATCTTTATATGCCGGCCTAGTCAGTATGAATGTGATTGATAGCGATGGAGTGACGATGGAGTGGCGATGTTCAGAGAACAGTGGTGGCTGTGCACGAGAGCGAAGTGGTATGTTATGTATGAGTGGGGCTGATGGTGAGGGGCTTTGCGCCGCTTGAAATCAGCGGCGATGCCGGGCCAAATGGGACGGGATGCGACGACGCATGCGTTGTGTTCTCCGTGCGGTGGAGGCTGTGGGTGATTCAGATGTTGACGGCGACACTTACTTTGCGTCCCACTGAGCGACCCTTTAGGTGCATAACATTCCGTCAGTGCGAACGGCGAAAGGATAGAGAAAATTGCAGGCGCGCATGCGAGTTTTGACGCACCATCCGGGAGGGAGACTGGGAGGTGCGTGATCAGGACCACCGTCAGGAGTGCTTGGTTCGGCCATGGCTGAACGTCTGCAGTTTGCTGCTTGAGTCTCCGCGAGATTCTTCGGAGGGTGCCGCTGTATAGACAAGATCGAAACCTGAGCTTGAAGGCTTGACTTTAATGCTCAGCGCAATGGGCAGTATATACACCAGCCGGCCCAGGTGGGCAGTATAGGGTCGGGTCGGACGCCGAATTGCGATAATGCACAATGAGGTCACTGCCGCAGACTTTCTACAGCGTGAAGACGCCCTTCAAGAGCAAAGAAAGAAGGTGAAACTATTGGGGAAGGCTACTGGGGATTCATTTCACAGAGACCGCTGTCGCCTGACTAGCAGCAGACATAATGTGCTTTGAACTGTGGAAGTGTGGGTGCCCAGGTGAACACGAAGGCAGCTGGGGCCAGATGGTCAGGGTGTTTGTCCTGAACAATGTCCAGAGGCCAGCAACCTGAGGACCGATGCGAGTGTGGACTGCATATATGCGTTCAAAAGTTAAGGTGAAAATTGTTCATCGACAGAGTATGAATAGACGGGGTAAATATTTATTGCAACCTTAGCGAGATGGAGTGGACGATAGGCATCGTGTGTGCGATCTGTGCATTTGAAATGTGCCAGGTGACCATGTAGTACCAACGAATGGATCCACAGCGCAGCCCTGGAGATTGGTGCAAAGGTCACGATTGCCCATCATCTCGTGCGAGATACCTATGTAGGCTACATAAAGCCGGCGACACCGCGAGGATCCACACACGTGTGAAGTGTAATACGCACACGCTTGCATTTGCCTGCGTCACTATCGATGCAAGCCAGATCACGCCCGGTCGATTGAAGGTCACGGGCATTTGTCAGATCTTTTCTACTGTGTGCCCATGTGTAGATCATTCCCGCCGGGCGGCAATTTGCGCAATTCAGCAGGCTCTGGAGGTTGAATACCATTTCGGCGCTCGGACTGTCTAAATAGCACCCTTGAACTTCAATCGAAGCTCGCAGTAGCATTCTCTGAACGCGGTCTTGAGGATGGGTACCCTTCACCAACGTACGGCACAGTATGACTAGTCGCACACTTGTTGCAAATAGAGAATTGATGATATCGAACGCTCTTGGCTACCATTTTGAATTAAACTTGACACAAAAGAAAGCTGTCCCAAGCACCAAACAGTCAACACTGGCAGAGACTCATAGCCAAAGCGATAAGAATACTTTGATCATGGAGAGGTCAAAAGATGATGATCGAGGAGAACCCTTATCCAGCTCGGACGAGGGTATCAACGTCGATCACAACCATGTCTCTCTTACAGACCGCGCATTTTTCACATCAGTGTGCGAATCGTCTGCTTTTAGAGACTACTCTAGTACTCGGCCTCAGCACCTTCCTCGCCTTCGGCAGAGTCGGCAGCGACCTCCTCGTAGTCGCGCTCGAGCGCAGCCAAGTCCTCGCGGGCCTCGGAGAATTCGCCTTCCTCCATACCCTCACCGACGTACCAGTGGACGAAGGCGCGCTTGCTGTACATGAGGTCGAACTTGTGCGAGAGCGAAGACCAGGCCTCAGCAATGGCGGTGGTGTTGGAAAGCATACAAACGGCGCGGTTGACCTTGGCGAGATCACCGTTGGGAACCATCTGTGGCGGCTGGTAGCAGATACCGATCTTGAAACCAGTGGGGCACCAGTCAACGAATTGAATGGTGCGTTTGGTCTTGAGAGTAGCAACAGCCTGGTGAACATCCTTGGGAACGACGTCACCGCGGTAGAGCAAGCAAGTGGCCATGTACTTGCCGTTGCGGGGATCACATTTGACCATCTGGCTGTTGGGCTCGAAGCAGGACATGCTGATCTCCTGGACGCTGTTGGCCTCGTGAGCAGCCTTGGCAGCAGAGACGATGGGAGCGTAGGCGACAAGCGGGAAGTGAATGCGAGGGTACGGCACCAAATTGGTCTGGAACTCGTTGAGATCGACGTTGAGCGAACCATCGAAACGGAGAGAGGCGGTGATGGATGAAACAACCTGGGCGATCAGGCGGTTCAGGTTCTCGTAGTTGGGGCGCTCGAGGCCGAGGTTACGGCGGCAGATATCGTAGATAGCGTCGTTGTCGACCATGAATGAGCAGTCACTGTGCTCGAGAGTGGTGTGAGTGGTGAGGATGGAGTTGTATGGCTCAACGACGGAGGTGGCGACCTGAGGAGCTGGGTAGACACAGAACTCAAGCTTGCACTTCTTGCCGTAGTCGACGGACAGACGCTCCATCAACAGGGCACCGAAACCAGAACCGGTACCACCGCCAAAGCTGTGGAAGACGAGGAAACCCTGGAGGCCAGAGCAGTTGTCGGCCACGTGCCTGACCTTGTCCAAGACCTGGTCAATGAGCTCCTTGCCAACGGTGTAGTGGCCACGAGCGTAGTTGTTTGAGGCATCCTCCTTTCCGGTGATCATCTGCTCGGGGTGGAACAAGCTGCGGTAGGCGCCAGTTCGGACCTCATCAACGACGTTGGGCTCAAGATCACAGTAAATGGTGCGAGGCACGTATTTGCCGTTGCCTTGAAGATTGTTAGTTCCATTATAGAGGCAACTATCTCAGACAGAGTGACATACCAGTCTCCGAGAAGAAGGTGGAGAATCCATGATCGTCGTCAGCAGCCTTGCGCTCCTCAGTGAGGTAACCATCGGGCTGGTCGGAGTGTCAGTCTCTGCTCCAAGGTTCGATTGGAAGGCAGTAAGTCCCAACTTACCTGGATACCGTGCTCGAGGCAGTAAAGCTACGACAAGCAGCGTCAGTGAGGTGTTTTCTAGCACTTGTGGCAGTGACCATTTTCCCTGCGCCACGACTCCATGCACGCTCTTTATCCAATGATGCTCACCTCCCAGCAGCTGTTGGCGATCTGACAACCGGCCTGGCCGACTAGACACGCGCAAAGTCAGTACAAAGTTGTGATTGAGCCAAAATTGTGACCAGGCGGTCAAGCTTCAATTGCAGGCCATTTGAGGGCGAAATCCTTGTCGGGGTGTCACGTACCGTTCAAGCTGATGACTTCACGCATATTGACTGAAATGAGATGGGTGGCGGTGGTTGTTGGGCGTCTCTTGACTATTGCAATGAAGAGGTGTATGGAGAAGGAAGATGAAGTCAAGGATGCCGGGTAGTTTTCGACTTACCAGCGCGTGAACGATGTTTGGTCTGGCGGGGGTCAGTCAGGGAAGGTGTGTTTTGCCGTGCTCCATAGTTCGGGGCCCCTGCGGTGTGGGCCACGCTAAGTCCAGATACAGAGTAGCCCCCAGCTTAAATCCCCTGATGATTGGTCAAAACAGCCCTCGCTCAGGCATTGGAGAACCCTTTCTTTCGGGGCGGTATGCAGTGTAGCTCCCGAGGTTCATCACGCTCTTTGTGTGTGTGTGTATTATTTCGACCGTAGCAAATGATCAAACGAACATGGCTGTTGGACGCACCAAGATCACGTTTTCTTAGAACTGAATATTCGAAGCCACGGTGGCGCGCTGGTTGTTCGCGATCGCAGTACCATGTCGACGTCTCTATGGTCGTCTCTTGTGTCTGCCGTGTCCTAGAATGTACGCGTTCCGAAGTGGAAGCTTCCAATGACCATTACTCCTCAGTCAGGGCTGGTGGCCAGGCGCCTGCATTTCGGACCGGGAAGGAGACCTTGCACAGTGCATAGACAGCTGCTGTGGCTGCATCTGAGAAATACAATGCAATCGATTCATCGCCCGGGCGTGTTGCCATGTGCACGAGACGATATTGCATCTGAATCACGATCAGTCGTTAGTCCCGCTGCAGTCAGTGTATTAACATCGCTCCACTAAATTTGTGCACCTAGGCATGTGACAAATTCACGTACGTCTTCTCAAGGTCAACACAGTAAGACATGCTCACCTTTTCAGCGTAACGACTCCTTCGTGGTTGCACAATATCGCAACAATATGAAGCTCTCGCAAGGCTTCATAGCCACGTCTTTGCTCGCCTGCTCACATCTCGCGCGCGCAAACACCGAAAAGGTCATCTTTATCGCACCCGCTGCCATATCTTCATCTGAGCCGTATTTGAAGCTCGAAACCTCCTTCATCGATACTCTTACGCCTGGCAACGGCTCCAGCTTCCGGACGTCTCTCTCTGTTGCCTTTCCCTCGGGGGCGAACAAACGTGGAATCGAATCGTGGTATCTCCTGGACAGCCTGACGCCGCATCAAAGATACGAAGTTCGGATTTGTTGGCCCGCGATTGTGAGCTGATCACCCGTCTGATCTCTGCATTCACGAACACATGCATCGTGTCCCTGTGATAAGACTGACCTTGTACATAGCAACCAAGCGAATTCTGGCTCGATGTTCACACATTAACACATGTTCTTGGTGACTCATCCTTGTCACAGAGCCTTTCCAAGCATTCCGCAAGCCGAAAGGCGGTCCAGACTCCAGCAAAACGGCGAGAGTACTCGAACAAAAGCATACTCCTGCTGCATGTTCAATCGACGGCAGACTACTACACTACAAATCGAACTCTCATGCGGAATCCGCCTAAGGTTCACGCCGATATCATACTAGATCCGTATCTGCACAACATCGTACCCAAATCACTCGGCTTCACTGCCGCCTACGTTGTTACCCTCGCCATCTGCTCATGGTTTCTGGCGTCCCTTTCTTTGCGATCTGTACAGCTTCCTCCAGCGAAAGTGCGTCAGGAATAGCGTACGACGAGATATTATACAGCTTGTCCGAGTTCAACCGAACTTGACACAAACCGGCTGGTAGGACCCGGCATAAAGAGCGCAATGTTCGCGGCGCCGCCGAGACATCCATTTTATTCGTTGCCACCCGAGCTCGTCCTTGCCATTGTGGATCTTCTTCCACCTGAGACCTTCATCAATTTCGCGTTTGCTAATTATCCCCTGCTACACGCTCGTGGTCTGGCACCGGCTCTGTCTAAATCTCGAGTGCTGTACATTACGAGTCAGACACGATTATCGCAGCTCTTCCCTCTGTTGAAAATTCCGGCCGAGATTATGCTCGTCATTATGGGGCATCTGAAGCCTATTGACATCATGAGATTCACGGTGGCCAACTATCAGGACCTCGAGCGCAGTGGTATCGCGCCGCCTCTCACACGCGAGACGATACACCAGCTTGGAAGTGCTATTCAGAATCACGCAATATAGTATATGCTTCCATTCGCTTTTCGCAAACTTTTCATGCTGTGGGACGTGAGAGGTAAATTATGACGAGTGGACCCAGACGTGTGATGTCGGGAAGATGTGAGAAGTCATGTTGAAAACGAGTTGTTTGGGTCGTGTTTGAGGTGAGATGCCCGGGCATGTATCGTTCTTTTGTTCGATAGCGGCCTTGTCGTATACATGCTGTCGCATTGTGGACTAAAATCACTCCTACTACAGCACGTACTGCTACTTGTGCAGGGATTATACACTTCTCACCGGGTGACATTTTCTCCCTTACTCTAAGTAATCATTCTAGACAACCAAGTCGAAGAGTGCAGAGCTCATGTCGCACATCATTGTAAGCTTGGAGTTGGGTTGGGGACTTAAGAGATAAGTAGAAGGAGAGACATGTTCGGACAGAAAACGTGGGAAAGGTGACTCAACACCGGAGATTTGAAATTCGCGACACGAGATGCGATCAATAACCTTCAGACGTGGATCCACCTGAGATCCAATCACCCCTTGCATTGATTCGGGAATCTGCGATCTGTGACCTTCTTCCCTATCAGTCCATATTTGACGGCATTATCCAATCCCCAAGCGCCAGGCGCCTTATATGACCACATAAACCACCCTTTGGCCGAGCTCTCGAACGTGTCTAGCTGGGCCTCGACGTACCGCCGGGTAGCGTCGATGAGCGGCTGCTTCCAGTGCTCTACATCAACGTTGCTCGAACACTGACAGCCGTCCTTATGGCAAACACTTCCGGCGATAATGCTTCCATCTGGGTTGGCGCAAATATTTGTTTGCGCGCTGAACTCGCCCACAATTACCGGCATCCCGTTTTGATGCTGGTCGAGAGGCTCTGATCTCTTCCAGCCGCATGCTTTCTCGATGTGTTCCTTCTGCGTCAGCTTCGAGTCTGCATCGACCTGATTCTGATAAAGGTGCGTGTCGATGACGAAATTCATGTCGGCCTTGTTGCGCACGTGTCTGGTGATGTTGACGCTGACATCTTGCCATTTCTCCGGTCGCATGAATCCATCATGCATGATTATGGCGAGATTCTTATTCGTTGCAGCTGCTTGGACGCGATGGTAGGCCTGCTGAGCCCAGATCTTTGTGATCAAAAAATCATTCTGCGCCCACGAGATGGGCTCATTGACCAATTCAATACCGTAAACGACATCCGCGTACTTTTCTGCACCATACTTCTTCGCCATTGTCTCGAGGACGCGTGTGCTCCTCTCAAGATTTGAGGGATTTTGCCATTGAACAACGCCGGTGTGTCCGGAACTATCGAACCCGTTCTGAGATCCTGGAGACCCATGGCAGTCTACAATAACCTTCATGCGGTACTTCCGCGCCCATGCTATTGCCTTCTCTAGATATGCGTCGGCTCCAGAAATGTACGGCGTCTTCTCGTTATCGTACGCCCAGAAGCCTACTGGGATTCTCAGGGAATTGATGCCCCAAGAAGAAAGCTTCTTCACGTCATCTTCGGTGAAGAAGGTTTCCCAGTGCTTTTTTAATTTGGCCTGTGCACCTGGAGTGGCGTCAAACGTGATCTGGTCTTTTGCACCAGTCCCAGCGAAAATATCGGGCGTCATCCAGTATTCGAGGACCAGCCAGGATCCTATGTTGACTCCACGCATGCGTTCTGTGCTGTCTGCTTTTCTCTGGACGAGTGCAGAGCTGAGCGTGCCTTCTAAGTGCTGATCTGATTCCACCAAGTTCGTTGACGAGTTGTATGCTTGTTGTCTATCAGGCACGGTTTGTAGATTTGACCGGTCCCAGGGCATTGCGCTGCCAAGTTGCAAAATCGCGAGAGAGGCCGTCAAGGCCATCAACCGAGAGGGACGCATGACAAGGCCCAGGAGTTTCTTCGGATTGGAATTGTTGTTACGCAGCTTATCAAGGATAAGGTTCTCCAGTCCCGCTGCTGGTCACGATTCTTGCGTCCTAAAAGAAGACCCGCCTGCGGGTTTGTATTTTGGGGGAAATGCTTCCAGAATGAGCTCGCGCTCGAACAGAATGTGGTATATGCACGCCGTACCGATATAGTCGGTCGTCTCTACTGTGCCTCTAGACTCAGAAATATGAGGTCAGTGATTTGAAAATAGAAATGGAAAGGCCATCAAGCGGCCGCCGGGCGAGCGACATAAATAGTACAATGATCATACCAGGTAATGCATCAGATGTCCTGTAGAGGATCATTGTTCGTCATAATATCACTACAGTGGCATGCATAGTGGGTCATTTCCTCGTCTTGTCACAGGACCGGTCCTTCGGCGACACAGCAGGCACACGTTTCAAGCTTCGATTTAGCAGGTCACGCCCATATCTGTTTGGGCATTTTCACGAAACGCAGCGCAAGGCGCTCGACAAGCATTCATAACAGGCTGGGCCGAGGCAGACACAGCATCTGCTAGAGACCGGGGCAGATCGAGTAACATAGAGCAGAGTGTCGACCTTGCACGAAGGATCGTAGCACTGTACCTGAGCGCTATCCGACACTCGCGCCATGATGAAGTCGGGATTGCTGCAGGATCAGACTCCGTCAGTCGATCTTAGAGGAAAGCAATTTAGTCGCGCGCTCTCTGAAACATATCTGCACGCCCCAGATCAATTCGGTTAGCGTCACAATTGCTTAGTTCACCCAATCACATTGCTTGGCTATAAGCACTCACTTCGCGATGTATCGGACTTGGCAGACACAACAGCTGAGATAGACAAATGCTACACGGCCACTATATACGCAGTGTGAGCCTAATGACACATTGTACAGGGTTTACAGTAGATAGGAATACTGTTCTTACCCCCTGTCTCTCCCTCTCCCTCTTTTCCCTCGTGAGGCGGCCGACAAAGTGACGTCGGACTCGGCCGGCCCTACACGCCTGTGGCTTCGGTGCTCGGCGGCGCTAACTCGTGTGCACATGCGTTCCGGCAGTCGGCTTGGTTGGGCTTGCTGTACACACCAACCCTAAGCGCACAGTACTCCAGCATCCATGGATTGATCAACACTCTCACGACTACGCCAACATGGCGCAGTTGGGACGGCGATCGAACGATGACTCCCGACGTGCTAAGGCTTCAACAGCATTGGTGGGTCGCTTGCAGCTTTGATTTATGCCGGATCAATGCAGGCCGTGGTCATCGCATCATGTCGAGACTCCTCTTTCCTGCTAAGTCAAGGTGTGTTAGTATGCCTTACGCAAGCTGCTGCTCGACAGAGGAGTCTGAGCATGACCCGGCATAGGGTCGCAAGATCTTCATGCTGATCGCGTCGAAGCAATAGAGTACCCGTGAATTCCCCCTGCCATATCGAGGCTCCTGAAGTCGTGCCCGATCAGACGTACATGTCCGCTGCACACCAAAGGACAACCAGGAGGACCTTGGCCTCTGCCAGGCCTTCCCATACTCCAGTGTAATCAGAGGCCTGCCGACGGCCGGACATGAGCTGCCGATCGCGAATGGCATGAGGTCATGAACAAGCGATGCTGTGAAGTCTGTAGAAAAGCCGCTTCCGATCGCATTACGCGGGCAGCCTTACCCCGCTGTGCCTGCATGCGAAATGCATACGAACATGGGTATCCGAAAGGTACTTATCATACATGGGTCAAGCGACCGACAACATTTGCTTTTGCTTGCCAGAGCAGACTGAAGCAAATGTGACCATGTTGCCAGTGAGGGTCATGTTCCGCAAACTTCACGCCCGATGTTCGGGCGACGCTAGGGCATGAAAACACGGAGTTCACGTCGCAATTACTCTCCTTCTCAGTGCTTGCGCTACACATGAATGCCCGGCAATAGTATACACAAGCGGTGGAATGGGGAAGACGAGTACGTTCAGCGTGGAATTGTTACATCGAGCCCCTCGGCCGTTTGACGATCACAAAGTTGATGGCCGAAATCGGAGCATTGCCCACAGACCATGAGGACTCTGGAAGATTGACACGTGCTTTTGAGTCGTGCAATTGCTACCTAGATACTCCAGGGAATCGCAATCCTGCTGGAACCTATTCACCACATGGGAATCGCGGAGACTGTGTGCCCAAAGGTCCTCCACGACATCAAGATTGTGTATGACATCGAGCAAAGCTCGCATGGTACTTTTCTCTGTATACTCATATTCCTCCCAAATTTGTTCCTGAGGCTGCTCAAGGAACGCTACCTATTTTATTGCTGATGGTCATGTCCCATTCGAACTCATTCACAGTCCCTCATTCAATTGTATCTCCATGTCTCGTTGCCACCCATCTGCGGAAGCATCGGGTCATAACCAAGGCCTGGGGGCTTCCGTCCCGTTGCATTGTCGTTGCGAGGTAATGCGTTCCATGGGCTTGCATTCACGGCCGCGTTCCCGGAAATGAACGACGGGGTGGCAGTGTCTGCTAGGGGGTTGGTGATGGGCCCTTGTGGGTTGCTCCAAATCTTTGATGCATCGAAATTCGTGTTCCGCAGGAATCCGGCGGCGGGATTGTACGGCGTGACGCCCTGATCGCGCAGCATACGTGCCTGCGCGCCGTTTCGACTAGCGGTGCTGGGTAAGCCTTGAAGTTGCCGAGTGTATTCTTGGGCAGGTTGAGGATCACCCGAAGGGAACTTTTGCAGAGCCGCTGGAAAATGCTGTGACCGCTGCTGCTGGGGTGGTGGCGTTGGTGGTTTGGACAAGCCTGCCCTGACCCAAACTTCAGAAGGCGGACTCCATTGGGGGTTCGGCAAATTCGAAATGGAATTCTTGGGTGTATGGCGGCTCTCGTTCCGCTTAGCGGAAATTGCGTTCTCCTGCTTATGAAGCTCGAGAGGATTGTACTTGGTCGCGTAGCCACCGTCAGTTGAAAAAGGCGAATCGTAACTTTTCTGTCGGCGTGCGAATTGTTCGACCAGATAAGGGTACTTCTGAAGATTCTCCATGTATCCAGCAGACATCTCGGGCTTAGAAATTGATGACAAAGTCGTCGCCGGTGTGGCTGGGCCACCTAAGGATGAACGCTGACTTTGTGATGAGGACGGTGGCCGGCTGTTGGAACCTGGTTGAAACGACGCGCCAACAGATGCTGTCTGCCTATGATTGACCTTGGACTGGCCCGCACTGACAGCCATCGTGTCGAAGTCAGGTCGCTGGAGCGTCTGCGAGCCCTGCGATTGTCTTCGGAAAGAAGAATATTCACCATTGTATGCGGCAGGCAAGACTTTGGCAGAATAATACTGGTCGGATGGGAAGGATCGTAGTGGTGTCGAGTGACGCGACGAGTCGCTGCTCTGGTAGCCGTATAGTGCAAGCGGTGGATGATACATTCTCACAGGAGAAATGTTGCGGGACGTGTCCATCAGCTGTTGATTGTCGGCGAAAAACTCACTCGAGTCTGGAAACGCCGACAAGTCTAGCGTATTTACCGTGGAATTCGACGCTGCAGGCTCGCGCGGCTTGTACACATACGGCTTCTCATTTCGGGGTGCAACGACGGTTTGTGCGGGAGGATTTCGTGGTACCACGTTCGAGGGCGCACGAATTGGCGCAGTGGGTTGTTTCGCAGGAGGGTTTGTGCTCGCAGACCGATCGGAACCAATCATTCGCTCCATGAAATTGGCTCTCGTCGAGATCTCTTTACTACCAGGCTTTTCCGTGTAAAACTGCTTCGCATCGGTAGAGCCGTCCGGCAGATAGTAGAACAGGTCTGACTCGAGATCTACGACAGGCTTTTTTGCGACCTCAAACGGACTGCTCGCGTAGCCAGGAGGCGGCATATGCAGGTTGTAGAAGTCGAACCACTTGAGAGTCTCATCTGTATGGAATGGCTCATCTTGTGTCGGGACACCATCCTGGCGATTGGACATGGAGAAGTTGTCTTTGTTGAAATTTTGAGGCATGGGAAGTGCGGACGCAGAAGGCTTCGGCCGCAACGAGTCGTCCTGATTGAGCAGGGACAACCACTTCCATTCCACCTCGATACGATCACTGATGAAGCTAGTTAGCATCCATGACTGAAAAGTGAAAAGTCTCTCTGCACTCACCCGTCGGGAAGAACATCAATGATGACAGTCATCTCTGATGGCCTGTTCTCCACTACTAATCCGCCGAAAATAGCGCCGCCAGAATGCTGAGCCTGGACTGTATCATTCGGCTTGAGGTCCTTCGCAAAGTTGATGATCCGCTTGCTGTTCTCTAAAGCATCCACGTTGAGATTTTTTGGCATCTTTGGTCGGTGGTACTGACACCGAAAGTCGAAGCCTTCCTCGAAGTACTCTGTGCCGTCCTCACTGAACGTCGGTACGGGACCGGCATCAATGAGTACTCCTGCCGCAACAGCGCAAGTCGCGTGGAAAGCGCGGGCGCACTTCTTGTACGAGCATTGGAAGCAGGCACCACGTCTTGAGCGACAGAAATTGCATTTGAGCTCGAGTCGAGCTTTGTCGATGTTTGCCACCCCACAAACCTTCTCTTTTCCGTTAACAAGGACAACATACGTCTCGGGTGTGTAGAGCGCACACGAGCGATGCGCCATTTTGCCGGTGTCTGTGTGAAGCAACGGCTCCCAGGGGTTGTCGTTCGGGCACATGACACATGGCTCCCTGGTCGACCGGCGAATCTTGATGCGGATTTTGGTCTTCTTCTTCGGCACTTCGGTCTTGGCATCCCGTTTGCGTTTCTTAGTTTTGGGCTTGCGACCTTTCACGCTCGCAGGTGGTGAAGGCAAATTTCCGTCTTCTTCGTTGTCCAGATCCTCGTCCTCGTCGTCAGTTTCCTCGTAATATTCAGGAGTTGGCTCGCCCCTCAGTTTCCGCTCGATTTCGGCCACGTCGACCCAAACATTGTCAGCTTCACAATTGCACTTTCGAGCAATGCGCCCGTAGTCGAGCCAGGATTCGGTGGCGAAGTTTACTGATTCTGCGCAATTGTACCCAACGTTGTAGCCGGAATGATAGCCGTAGGGGTACGTGATGACGAATTCACCCTCGTAGTGAACGAGCTTATTCACCTTGACGCCATACTGCTTTTGAAGCACATCTGGCGAGATGAGATAAGTCTTGTGGCGGAGGAATTGGTCGCAATTCTTGGCGTCCAGGGGCCAGACTTGTTTCATGGCACGCTCGAATTTACGAGCATCCTCTTGGGAAATACTGTACCACTGCTTAGGAGCACCGAAGTGAATGTAGTTGATACTGTACAAATCGACGTCTTCTAGATGCCAGGCAAAGGTAGCCTTCCACATTCCCATGTATAAATAAGCAGTGTTGACTCCTGGAACTTTGGTCCCGAGAACATCAAGCAGGTTTTCCAGTTTGGCCACGTTCCAGCTTGTTGTCGAATCGTCAAAGAGTGATCCAGGCATATCGGCAGCATACATCGGCTGATTGAAGCCCAAGCTCTTCCAGTAATGCGTCTCAAGTTCAGCACAACGTTCAGGCGTAAATTCTTCAAGGCCCTCCATGCGGTAGTCGAAGTCTTTGAAAGCTTTCTCATCCACGTATTCGGCAGCCTCGGCAGTATTGTTGAGACGTCGAGCAGTTACTGACTTGGCCTGGCCTGCACCCTTGGCTGGACGGCCCCTGGGTCGTTTGGTGGGCTTCTCTGTCGGAGCAGGAGAATTCGGTGTAGGCGGCTCCTGAATGCGCTTCTCTTGAGCCTCATCGTCCGACGCAAGCTCCTCGCCTGGGAGAGGGTTTCGACGCGGGCGGCCAGGTTTCCTTTTTGACTTCAAAACCTCTTCGTCCTGAGAGGTAGGGGCTCCAGAAGAGACCCGTCCTCGAGCGTTTCCACCACCTCGCGTGACCTTTTCCTGATTCTTGCGTCGCTCTCCACGTTTAGCCGGAGGTTGATACTGTGTCTCCTCAGTCAAAGCCTTCCACTCCGGCAAGTTGTAGGATCTCTGCTTTTCCACGTTCTGCTGTGTGTACGTTCCAAAAGTTCCGTTGAATTCCTGTGTGATAGGATTCTTGATCCGGATGCGTTTCACGTGTTCGTCCAGTGCCGGGAGAGAAGCACGCCTGATGTACGATTAGCATGGCAAGCTGTAACGCTGAGATGTGAACAACACACCATTCCGCTGGCGGGATAACTTTCACGATGCCCGATTTCATGCCGTATTTGTCAATCTTCTCGATGTACCTCTTGAAACTTCGAAACTGGTCCATCGTTGGTTTAAATACTGGGATTTTACCGCCATTCTCCTCGTCCCAGAAGTGATCGGGAAAGACTTCCTCGTCATCGTCGTCACTCAGGTCTAGCTCACTTAGATCCGACTCTTCTGGTTCCTGCTTGGGGTCGATGTTCATCTCCTCACTCGTGGGTGGCGTGAGAGCGTTGGCAGGCTTGTTGGCCAACTCGATTGAAGGCTGTACATCCGACATTGGAGGCAACAGTGAATCCGAGGCCGGATTTGCATGGTTGTTGGCAGTGCTGGCAGAAGCCATCATGAGATGCGCACGGTCTGTGAGTCGTGAGCGTGTCTGCAGCGGATTGATGCGCCGACGCCGACGCCGGCGCTTGAGGCAGAAAAAGGGTTGAGACCTAAAAGTGACGTTTGAAAAAGGCAGGGAGTGTCACGTTCAAGTGTGGCACGCGCGCGAGGATCGCGCGCGGCCGAGAAGGTCGAATAATCGCAGTGAAGGAGTGAAGATAATGAGGAAGGGTATAAGAACGGAGGCAATGACTGTAAGTCTCGGATGGTGGATGTGTGTGTGCAGCACAGTATTGACCAGCACTACCTATCTACCTAGTATGGTGGCAGTCAAGTCCTGCAGCAAGCCCTTCGGATGAACGAGGGTTAACGAATTGCTGACTGATGATTTGACTTACGAATTGTGCCTAATAAACCTGGCCCGTTTTTTTCACCTGCTGCCACACAAAGTCGGGAGCGTCTCATCATGCCTGGAGGCCTGCAAGATGATGGGAAGAAGCACGCGGGGACTTCCGTAGCTAAACTCTAAAGCGCAACCCGTCCGAGCACGCTCGGGTGCTGTTACCCACCCCTCACATCCATGGATTTCATGTGGGAAAAATTACTTTTGATGGATTACTTCTCCTTTCGTGTACATGTGAGGGATTACAACTGATCACGTTATAGTACTTTGTTGTAAGTGAAAATATCATCCAAAGAAAGGTGGATTCATCGGTGGGCGAGAATCTGTAACAAATTGTGCCCAGGTGTGCTATCAGTCATACATACACAGTGGTGTAGACCGACACTGAACTCGAGGTGTGATCCACTCTGTACCGTGCTACAATACTACAGTACCCAGTTGGGCTGTACAAATCAACATGGATGCTATCAGATTTTCGTCCGCATAGCATACTCGTAATATATAGGGGAGCATCGCGACGAAAGAGTGGAATCATCAACGGTGCAAGCGCTTGAGCATTCTTTCACCTTTCTTGAAATGCCTAAGTATCCTACAATATTCACTATGCCGAACTAGTAACGCGGTTACATGTCACCTGAGCATTCCAAGAAGAGAAACAGATAATTGTTTTCCACGTGGAGCTCGAAATGTCAACAACCTTGAACGAAACCATTATAGCTCTCGGGAAGACGATAGGGCAAATGATGGCACTCCTGGGCAGTGCAGTCCGCACTTACCTTGAGCTGCAGGCATCCAGAGGGCACACAGTGCTCTTTTATACCTCTCCAATGATTTCACTGGCTAGACTGATGAACGGCGGAACAATAATGTCCAAACATCGTAAGCATTGCTCACCGCTTCTCTAAAGACATGTACTGATCCAGTGGGGCACTAAGCCCAGCTGCGTGAGCTCAGCTGACCCATGTATTTCAGCGTGCTATTGCAAATAGGAAGGGCGTTTGTCTTTCGAAGGCGCGAAAGTACATGCCGTGTCTTGTAGAGCGAGTAACAATTCTGCAACAGCAGACGCACCTGGGCAGCATGTGAAACTGAAGCCGTCGGGCGGCTTGCGGGGATTATCGTGAATGTCTTGCATAATTAGCGTCAGGGTCAAGGCTACCATGGTCGGTGCGCCTTGAACGAAACGCATGCACCGTATCTCTTACCGTCTGTCATAAATCGGAGCTTGCTCCTCATCGGTCATGTCATTTGTCACACGTAACGTATATGGCAAGAGTCGACGACAGGCAAGCTAGACATATTATACAGGCTTGCGCGAACGAAATGTCGGTGTTCTGTCTCGTTGTTGACTTCCAAAGGTTCCGCTCGCGCGCCGTGGTGTTGTGAGAGTGTCTGCCAGTCTGCGCGCTGCCGGTGTCATGGCGTGGCCTTTCCGCAAGGGACTGCTAGCAAAGGTGGGAGTTTTTGATCTTCCCGGTGTGATGCCAAGGTCGCGCAAGTGCTCCAGTCTATTCCTGCTTCGGCGATTGCCATCTGCTTGTTCGACTAGTTTGCGATGTATGATCTCCCGTGAATTATTCTCCGGGATGTGAAATCGATTTGGCCCACTAATGTCAAGTTTTGGAAGTAGGCGCATCACGCGCGTGTGCTCAGCATCAGCCACGTCTTGCTCGTCGGCCGGCTGGCCATACTCGTTCGGCGTAGGCTCTGAATCGACAAACGCGTACCCATTGACCCGCGGCGTCTCCGCACCCGAGTAACCAGGTTCAGACTCGGTACCTGCTGAGCGACCCGCGATAGCTGCATCAATCGCACTCATAGATGGACTCGGTGGAATCATTTGTGCAGATGGGGCGATGCTTGGAAGCCTGGTGTTTGCATATATAACGGCTTTTGGCGGAAGCTCTGTTGGGCTGCCTGGAAGATTGCGCGCAATTGTTTGCTCTTCAATTCCGTCTGGCCCAAACATAAAATGATTCCTTGCGCCCTGTTTGTTTGGAAATGGGTCCAACGAAGCAGGTCTCGCAGCTAGGTCTTGCGACGGTCTTGGGGCTGCCTGAGCGGCATTTGAGTTCTTATCGGTCTCAAGCAGTGCAATTGAATTTGAACTTGTGGTTCCCTGCCCAAGCAACTTCTGGCCATCGGCTCGATACTCCAGCTGCCGCGATGGAGGTATTCTGTCGCCATTATGAAGAAATGTGTACTTTTGTGATCGCTGGTTGTTTTGCTTATCCAGTATTGCGTTGAAGCTCTCGTTGTCCTCCGAGGTGTATTTGGCTTGAAATGTGCCCAGGCTCATATTGATGTTCACGGCCGGATTGTCTGGCTTGACGGCGCTTGAGCGAGGCGTTTGTCCGGGCGTCTCGGCGGCGTAGCCTCGAGGCGTGTCTTCACCAGTTGTCGCACGGCGACTACGATCCATGAGGTTTTTTCTCCCCTTGTAACGATAGCCTTTTGGTGTCATCGCCTGTGTGAGCCTCACGCCCGCCTCTCTTATCCAATCTTTGTCGCTGCTTTCGACTGCTTCCATGTAGTCTGTCTGAGCTTGCATTTCATGAAGGGCTGGGAAGTAGTCGCGCGCAATGATGTCGGAAACAGCCTGTGCATACTCGTCTTCGTCTAAAACGATTGCAGGGCGCTTCTGTCGTTTTCGAGGCGGTGGGGGAGGCATCAATGCAGTCTCCATAGAGCGCTTCGTGAGTGCTTGTGAGGAATTGAACGGCATGGTGGTCTTGTCGTTAGGATGGCAGTGTTAGACTCGAGTGTGACCATCGAGGCATGGATATGTGTATGATTGTCGTGACAAGCCTCCGGAAACTTAGAACCAACCTTACCCCGGCCTTATTGTTTGTCGTATATGAATGCGGGTTGTCTGAAGTAGGCGTGATTGCCGAAGGTGAACGATTTATTCATGCAACCCACCCCGGGCCTGAACACTGTGCAAGAGCCCTCGTGTGCTGATCTTATCTGGTCGCAAATGACGGCACACCCTGGTTCCCAGGCAGGTGCGCCGAGCCAGGCACGTATTACAGGCACACAGGGCTGGTGCATGACAAGCAAATGGAAAGACGTGGAAAGCGGTACTCAGATCCGGTCCACCAACGTGGTTTGACTTGTGTGATCATCTAACTCTCAGAGAATCGTAACGAGTATTATCCATCTTCTCATCAAAATTGCCGACTTGCTGATCCATCTGAGCCCACCCCCACAATCTTTGTCAATAGCCGCAATCTACCTGGTCACGCGATACAATGGCTTCCGCAGTCGACAACAACACGAACTTGAACGGAGAGTCCAAATCCGCGCGCAAACGAGCCTCGAAAGGGAGCACAGAGGCCAATGGCACCGCATCCACCCTTCCCGTAGTTCCATTGAATCACATTAAAGAGAACTCTGCTGCAGCCGACTCAGAAAATGCCACCGACCACCCATACCTTCGCGAGCTTCAAAAGCAGATTCGTAACATCACCAAGAAGTTGAGCGCATCGCAGAAGATCGACGCAATAATTGCTGAGAACCCCGGCAAATCGCTCGACAGCCTGGTTGCCGATCGCAAACTCAACGCTGACCAGAAAGCTGCTGCGCTCAAGAAACCCCAACTTCAGGCCCAACTTGCCCAACTTGAGGAGCAAAGTGCCCACTATCGCAAGTTCGATGCCGACTATCAAGTCAAATTCAATAAGCAGCGAGAAGACTTGCTTGCGACACACCAGAAAGACTTGGACGAGCTAAGGGCAAACACACATAACGAAGCCACACAACTCGGTGCGGCCGAGTTACGTAAAAAGCTTCTCATCTTCTCGCAATTCCTTCGTGCGGCTGCCGCTAAGCGTACGATCGAAGACGATCAGGATACGGACGAAAGCATTGCCTTTGAAGGTGCGCTTCTGCTTGTTTATGGTGGTGACGAAAAGGCTGTGGACGCTGCCATCAACCTCATCGAAGGCTCAAGCGAGCAAGTACTGAGCATCGAGGGCACCCCAACACCAATAACCTGTAAGTCGCCTCATATCATGTGGAGCTAGCGCGCAAGGATTCCCTTTGTGTGCCTGATGGTCCATTAGACTGTGCTGACTTGAAACAGACGCCCAGGTCAAGGAGGCTTCCGTCAGCCATGCGCCATTTCAAGCAGAGGAAGCATGGCTCGAATCGGTAGAGGAGGCGAGAGGCGGTCAGCCTGCAGAAGAAGTGCCGGGTGCGAACGGCTCGGATCCGACGATCGTCAATGCGGGACTTACAGAATTGAATGCTCAGTCAACAGCCGCGGCAGCGCAAGAGCAAGTTCCTACTGTTCAGGTTACTGTCGGTGAAACCAGTGGCAACGTCGCTGGAGACCGCTGGGATACCGCTGCAGCAGGAAATTCGAACGAAAGCGCACTAGAAGAAAGCTACGAGATAATCCCTCGCCCTGCTGAAGAGGTCAACGATACGACAGGCGCTGCACCTCTGCCACCGCAAGGTCTCAACTGGGCAGATGAGCCCTCGACACATGATGTGCCTACCGGCAATCAGGCTGGTGAGGCATGGGATACCCGGGCTCCTGGAGACCAAACGGAGAGCGGCGCCGTAGCCGCATCAGGTCCTGATGATGGTTTCCATGAGGTCCCTGGCCGCAATCGTGGTCGTGGAGGGTTCCGCGGACGTGGCGATGGTGAATTTCGCGGACGAGGCGGTCGCCGTGGCAATTTCCGCGGCCGCGGAGATGGCGAGTTCCGTGGTGGCCGCGGCGGACGCGGTGCCTTTCGCGGCGATGGTGAGCACCGAGGTGGCCGTGGTGGAGGACGCGGTGGCCCACGCGGTGGCCCTCGGGGCGGAGGCGACGCTCCACGTGGGGCTCCGGCATCATAAGCCATAGAGACGCAGCATTGCTTGCGACGTCGTGAGGAGCATTGGCCCTTACTTGACCACCTGGCGATACCGTATGGAAGCATGGCGTAGTTGTACCGGGTCAGCATGGAGGTGTTTTTTAATGAGCATGCACAGAACACTTAACGAGCCCGCCGACTGAGCTTCATGTACATCAGACTTGTGGATGAGCAGGCTGGCATTCGCCATGTCACTGAATGGGAGTGTCGGCCACTATGTAACAACACTTTCGCACCTGGGAAATGGCAGACGATGACCGCGGCGTCGAGGATTGGAATGTGCTCTCGCTCATGGCAAGATTACCCCCAAGATTGGTGCATCTATGTGTTGCTGGACCGTTTGCTTTTTACCGGATTCGTCCCAACAAGTAAAGCTGAGTATCAGGCCGATAACATATTTTGAACATTCCTTTGCATTGTAGCCTCTCTATTAGCCCGCACTATGCAGTACTGATGGAAATGTCTCCCAAGTCGAACACTTCCACAGCTCTGATCATGCCCAGAGCAGGTTTTCCATTCTTTCGTTGATTTTGTTCGCCCTGGTCCTGTGGAGTGCTACAAGCTGCGACACCACAAAGCGGATAGTGAAGTTTGTCTTGTGGGAAACCGAGAGGATTGTCATGCTGCTGGGCTGAAGAGTTTCGTTTCTGGTCTCATGAATGAGCCCAGATCAATCTTCGCTATCCTACCATCCTCCGCGCGTTTGGCATCCTCTTCTTCTCCTTTTGGCCCTCCTTGCGTTGCCGCCTCTCCATTAATCTCTCCCGCTCCTTGCTCTTCAAACCCTTATATTTCTCAACCAATGCCCGCTCCTTGATCTCTTTGTCCTTAAGGTAGTATGGCGTCTTGCCTTGCTCAACCTTGAGACGTTCCTCCTTGCGATGCTGGCGAATGACGGCTTGCGTGCGCTCCTTGGCTTCGCGAGCCATGATCTGATTTCGCATACTGCCCGCCGTGCGCCGCAAACGCGCTGCATCCTCCTCGTTCCGACTCTTTTTAGCAGCAGCTTGCAGCTCTTCAATCTCAGCTTTCTGATATTCTCGAAGAAAACCGTAGGCTTTTTCGCTGTCCCCTGTGTGCGCAGAGCGTTGTTGCTGGATGGCGTCAAAGCGTGGATCCCGGTAACGACGCTGCGGAACATCTATGACGTTTCGTCGCCGAGACACCTGGTGCTTTGAAGACTGTGCAGCCGGAGCATGTTTGGAAGTGCGGGAGCGCGAAATGTCATCACCTTCTTCAGACGGCGCAGAGTCTGAGTCGCTTCCCGTATCCTCCTCCACACCGTCCTTGCCTTCAATTCGTCTTGACCGAGTCTCAAGTTTCGCTGATGCGCCGCCTAAATCTTTGGCCGAGGACGACGGCAATGATTTGGATTCTTTGATTTGTCTTAATCTTTGCCGAAGAGCTTCCAGTTTCTGGTCCTGGTCTTGCGTCTGATCCGACCCTCTTTTGCGCTTGCGCGAGAGCGCATCCTGAGCTTGTTTCAGAATCCCAAAGGAAACATTGGTGATCTGGTCGCCAACTAGCCCACTGTCTGTGTAGCGGGTTGCGCCATCTTCATCGCTGTCGCTCAGCTCGAAATCATCACTGACTTCATGTTCTTCTCCATTGACCTCCTCGTCACTGCGGGCTGGCATGCCGTCACTTTCTTGCTCATTTAAGCTTGACGATTCACCGATGACGTCTTCGCCCGTATCATCATCGTACTCAAGTTGAGCCTGCTGTGGTCGGACGTTGCGGTTTAAGAGTCGTGCCGAAGTCATTTCAGGATCGTCTCAATACTCCATCGGCACGTGCGAGAAATTTAATTGCTTCAAAAATGAGCATGTGTAAGGGCTGAGGCAGCCGCCGCTAGCCAGAATTTGGCCTGGTGAGGCGGCGATGATTTATTACTTGGACACCTGGGCAGCCTTGTAAGCCGTGCAAGCTCCCGCTCGCCGCATCATGACGTTACGCTTGCGTCCTGCGACGATAAGCCCGAGCTTGTGCCGCTGCTACAAGTTATGAGTTGTTTCTTAACAAATTCCGCCCTTCTCAACATTGCAACATTCTTCTGGAAATCCGACATTGGTCTCGGGCGAATTGCAGCCATCAATCGCCATCTTGCGCTTTGAATCTCCCGGTGGAAATTCACAAAATGAAGATTCTAACAGCCGAACAAGAGGCGGCTCACTACAAGTATGCGAGCACGCGACCCGACACATTAATTGGATGCTAATAAACATGGTAGTGCCACATTGAAAGGCGGTGCCATTGGCGGTGTCGCCGGAACCATATTGGGAACAGCAGGCGTGTATGCTGCCTCCGTTCGATATCCAGCCTTCAAAAGCCTTACACTGCCGTTTCGAGTCTTCCTTATCGCCTCCTCTGGAACCTTTGCATGTGAGTATAGAGCATGCCAGCGAAGTAACACTTGTTAACATTTCTTAGCTATTGTCTATGCCGATCGATACTCCCGGCAATTTGAAACCGACAATTGGGCAGGCAAGGAGTACAGAGATGAGCAAAAATCAATGCAGGAACAAATCGATTCGCAGAAAAGTAGCAAGCAGAAGTCCATGGAGTGGCTGCAGGACAATCGATACAGCCTCGTCTTCGGCTCTTGGGTGGTGTCTATGGGCGCGGCGCTAGGCATTGTTGGTCGGAGTCGGTGGCTTACTACACAGCAAAAGCTAGTCCAGGCTCGTGTCTACGCACAAGGGTTCACCATTGCGGCTGTTATCATCAGTTTGGCATTCGAGGGTAACGACCGCATGGCTGGTTCCGGCCGCTGGGAGACCATCAAGATCGTAGATCCGAATGATCCCGAGCACAAGAATCTCATCGAAAAGCGGATTCACCACGAGAAATACAAAGGAGAGGATCAATGGATGGACATGGTGGAGGCAGAGGAGCGACGCATCAAAGAGCGCGAGCAGGCCGTAAAGGAGCGGGAAAACGCCGTCAGCAAGAAGGATGGTCACAAGAATGGCAAGAAACACGCCACTGAGGACTTGACCAAGGGTAATCCGGAGGAAGCCAAAGACAAGAAGCTCCGGGCTCCATGAGCGAAAGCACGTCTAGACGAGGGGCAGGGTTGAGGCTCCATGTAGAATCCAATGTCCGAACCGACGGGTTCGGCGACTGAGAGGCAGTCGCTACTACCAGCAAGACAACGACCTGCTGCGAAGAGTTCAGCTACGCAGGGATGTGATCGTCGAGGGAGCATATTCCTCGGCCAGTCCATCAGTACGATGTATACACGGCCTTTCTAATGTACCTAGTATTGATGCAGTTACTAGTCAAATCGGAAAGACCCTTCCGATTAAAAATCTGATACATCTTCACTCCGATGACTACCTAGGTAGTTTTACACTTTTCGACGTCGTGCAGATCCTGTCCCTGCCTGTTCTATGCGAGCCTAATATGCAGAGAACCTTCTTTGCGTAGGATCTAGGATTTATATCCCCAGCCTTATATTAAGCTACAGTATGTCGATCAAATGATAATACCTGGGTACGCGCATGATGAGTTGTGGATGGTGAGTTGTGGGGCTCACTAGAACTGCATGAATCATGGGCTGCGCACTGTGTGGATTTTGATCCTCGTTGCATTAAATATCACCAAGCGAAGGTCACAGTACATACTATTCCTGAGATTCACCCTGGCCAAGAGGTCATTCAACAACCTCCAGACTGTCTCACACAAGAGGTTCAAATATGTGACTTACTCCAGCCACCCGAAGTCACCTTCTGCGGAGGAGAAATCGCTGGCTCAAAGCCACAGCCACGGATCGTCCCGGCGACAGCCTTCGATTGCGAACTGTATAAACCTAGGTCCTTCAAAAGCAGACAATGTCTGGGCCGCACAACAACGCCTTTCTACCTGAGTAGGCTCTCTCTCTCTCTCTTCCAGCACAGACAGTACCAGATGTTGCATGCACGCCTGTGTTCACCCGAAAACAGCTCTCATCCGGGCGAAAGAACCTCGTTTGCACGTCATCGCCGTTGATCATGTTTGCTGTCACATGTAGTTTAAAGGTCTGGCCTGTGTCTCACTGTGTTCTACGACATGAAGCGACGTTGCAGACACGCGCTCTGCGAGTGGAAGAACATTGGGAGGACAAAGCCGCCTTGTACGATGTTGGAGAGTGAGTGAACGCCGAATCAATCTCGTTGGGTAGAACAAATATTTGATGATCGTCACACACACACGCCTCTCTGATGAGCCCTTTCCCTAGGTAGTCTCTCAAGCTCTGCTGCGTGGGTACGTACCAGATTACTCCGTTAGGCCGTTGAAGCTCAGTCTAGCGTGCCTTCATGCAATTTCACCGACTGCAACCAGCCATTCACGTAACGGTGCCTAGGTAGGTAACGGGTACCTAACAAAAGTGCGCCCACCATCTCATCTACACTACTGGCGGTATGTATGCACGATGCTCCCACGCATGCTACGGCTTCTTGCTTGCATTCTCGCACGTCGTCCAACGCCGGTTCTGACCACCGCCTCATCCAGGTCGAGTGCTCGCGCATCGCGGCTCTACTTTGCCGACCTGCCGCTCGTTATTCTTGCCTCGCGCCGTTGGATCTGGCAGACCACGCACCCTCGACCATTCTCTTCATCCACCGCAGGACCTTACATTGCTCCTCGACGCGCGAACCTGACTGAGCCGCTGCTCGGCCTCACCTCTCATCATGAGCCAGTACGGTCGTTTTTTCGATTTCTGTCGCGATAGCGGCAGTGGCTATGCGACAATCCCAGTGTGCAATCTCTTCTACGAATCGCGCGCGCGGCCAAACAATGTCGTCGATCAGACGAACTACTTTGGAGGCTGCCAACTCACCGGCATACCTTTGGGGGATGATCGCTACTTGGCCAATCTGGGTAGGTCGATGGATGATAGCAAGCACGATGGGTCATTGATGGCGTGAATAGGCTCAATTCTCGTGGCCGGAATTGCGATACTCTCGGTATTCTTTCTGCTCTGGCGGTCAGAACGGAAAAGAGCTGCGGTTGGCAGAAGGTAGGCCGCATATGAACCATCAAAGGTCATAACTATGCGCAAGGGACCATCTGACACTTCACACAGAGAGATGCAATTCTTCCTCATCGGCTATCTCATCATAGAGGTTTGCGAGATCTTCTCGATCGGCGGATTCCCCCTCAACAGTCGCGTACGCCGAGCGTTCTCGGCAGCACACATCGCAGCAGTCGTCGCAACCTCATGGATCCTCCTAATGAATGGCGCAGTGGGCTTCCAGATCTTATATGACGGAACATGGGCATCTTTGCTCTTGATCTTCGGTTCCGCCACAGCCCTTTTCGTCGGCACTGGATACATTGCGCTCGACACTGGCTTCAGCTGGACTGGCTACTGGGACAGCACCCTCGTGGCACCAAATCAGGCATATGCGTTGTACACGCTCTTCCTGCTTGTCCCGTTGATCTTCGTTGTGTTGTACTTCGTTCTGGAGTCCGTTTTGGTGTTGCGTGTCTTGGGCGAGATCAGACCAATGTGTAAGGCATAATCATCACGACGATACTGGCACTCTGCTGACGCTTTCTTAGATTATCTTGTTGCTGCTGCATTGTTATTCGCGATTGGCCAGATCTTCCAGTTTGTCATCAGCGTGCATATCTGCAACGGCACCAATGGCAAGATCAATGGTGGCCTCTTTGAATCATTGTTCACATACTTTTCCGTGGTTATGATCTGGGTTTTTTGGTCGAGCATTACGGAGGATGACTGGCCGACATCAAGTACGACGGAAGGATATAATTAATGTAATTGGGTCATCGGGTCATCGTCACGGCATTGGGGCTTTAAGAGCGCGAGTTCATCGCGTGACATGGTGCCAGGGTCATGCATACATATGGGGCCGAAACGGAGAGGTCGGGCGTACTGTTCATGAGTTGATGATTTGTGTAATTAGCGAGATACCAATTTGTAGTGTAGTAGCCATCAGCACCAATGCGACATCTGGCACCTTGAGATCGTTTCTTCTGTTGCGAAATATGCAGGTGTTGGCCGGACACAAGTCTACCTAGTATCACAATATCAGATGATCGCGCGGCGAGGGATAATTAAACACTTCTCGCACTGACAATTTTCCGCATCTTGTCGACGAAAGTCCCTGACAGAGTCTTTGGATGAGGCGAATTTCCTGTCGCACATCATTCTTCACCATATGGTGGATTGTGAGCTTGACAGAGTATGTACATGTATTTGAATGTGACTTGGGACGTGTCTTAGTCCGTAGAGTAGTCCTGTCAACATTGTTGCCCTGCCTGTCAATCAGATACCTCAGATAGGTATGTTTTGCGGAAATTGCTGAAGTCGCCACGCTTCCAATCTGGCTCGAACACATCAAGTGCCCAGGTGTGCATGACTCCAGCTCACTTCGTTAATAAAATAGTGATAAGCCGGCCAGGTAGTGTTCTGGAAATCTATATTTTCCTCGCACCCAATATCCAAAGCTCTTTCCGCTCAGGTCATCAGGTGAAAGCTGAACACAGTATGCGCCAATACCCAAACCCATCCCTTCACTCGGTTGTGCAAGTCCGGTTTGACACATCTTCTAGTCTCTCACTGCGTTTTGTAACGTGGACGATGCCGGCTTTTTGATCAGTCCGTCATGGCCAGCCGTACGCTCTTTATCGAAAGTGAATCGGGCGACGATTCTGTTGCAACTGACACCACGGTTGAGAGCGAACAGCTTGACGAATATGCCGTGGAAAAGGTGCTCCTCGAGGAACGCCATCACGAAGACAATGAGATGCGATACTTGATCAAATGGGAAGGCTATCCATTGAGCGCGGCGACATGGGAGCCGCTGAGTAACATCGAAGATAGGTCAATTATCGAGCAATGGGAAGAACAGAAGGCTGCTATCGCTCAAGGTTTGGCCGAGCCATTTGATCCTGACGAATTTACACACGCTGTCACAGTCGCTTGTGCGCAAAGAGATGATCGCTTGAAGCGAAGGGAGGCTAAGCGAGCCAAGCGCAGAGCTCAATCCTCTAATCCGAAACCTGCGCCCAAATCTAGGAAGAACAACACTTCAGATGGAGAAGATTCACTATCTACCCAGTTCACGAAGGAGAAAGCTTCGCCGGACAGAGCGCTTGAGCGGCCACGCAAGGCGACCAAGCCTACGACTACACCCATTCGCAAGGGCCAGGCTCGAGTCGTGGCACGACGGCTAGCCATATCGTCAGATGGCTCTAATTATAGTGAGTCAGAAGATGAAGCTCTCAACGAAGACGTACTAGAGGAGCAGTATGAACAGCAACCTGCGGTGGTAGCTCGATCCGCTCCAAGGAAAACTGCGCCTACGGCTAACATGATGCCTGCCTCGAACGCTGCTGGGACTACATCAAGTCGAAAGGTATCAGAGACTCGGGTAAACCCCACTACACGGCCGGATCTCACTCTCGGTCGAACGACGAGCTCCGCTGAGATTACACAAAACAAGACGTCGAACTTGAGAGAGTCTGTGCCTCGCAAGCAGCGGCCAAGAGTAAGCGGTGATACTCCCAAACAGTCGACAGAAGCGCAATTCAGAAAGCTCTCTCAGATGGGCCGGTACCAAAAGTATGGAGCACAGAATGAACCACCTCCGGATATAAGAAAGCTCGTCCTGCTCGACCCAAAGACAGGCAAACCGGAAACGGCCCCTCCAGCTCCTTCCACAGCTCAACAGGTGACCTCACAGGCATCTTCAAACGTTTACAATCGTCGATCGCCACCCCCTAAGCCGGGACGTCGCTCACCTTCGCCGGTTCCACGAGCCCGAAATGCGAGCGATGCTGCTTCACGCCCAGTGACTGCCACAAGTGCTACTGCTCTTCCTAAAAGCGCATATGTCAAAACGTGTCCTGAGTGGGCTGCCGGTCGATGTCCAAATGATGCAATCACGTGCACTCGAGCCCACCATTGGGCAGATCCACAAATTCTCGGTGCCAAAAACATCGCTTGTCATTTCTGGAGAACGGCAGGCAAATGCTATCGGACTGATCAGGAATGTGCATTCGCCCATCATGATACAGGGTACTACGGGCGGCCACCAGGAGCACATGATCGCTCGCAATTAAAGCTACACGCAGCTCCGACGGGGCCAAGAGGGTTCCATCGCGTGCCCAGAGAAGAGACGACCTGCTTCTATTGGAAGGATGGAGGCGGGTGTTTCAATCCTAATTGCCGATTTGCCCATCGAGACACAGGATACTACACGAAAAAGCCTGGGACGATCAGAGAAGTACCAGTGGGAGATCGATCTCTTGACGACAGACACATGTCTCTTCCGAATACAATCGCAAACCACTCTCGCAGATCCTCCCCCGACTCATGCCGTGAATGCGGCTCCCGTGCTGGTACACGCGACCCGATCACTGATAATGCGCGGACGGGCACATCTCGTCTCGACGGTATCGATGACGAGCGGAGCCCGATCGTCAATGCTTCTGTGCCAAGCAAACATCCCGACGTCGATGGCTCAAGGCGGGATATGGCTTCTGAAGCCAATGCGTCACAAAGTGGGAACCGTAGTGGTACAATGGCCAGGAAAAGCAGCAATTCAATTGCTACGGATTCTCGGCCTCGACGTGCTTCAAGCGTTTCCCTACAACTCTTGAAGGCCACTATTCACATCACCCTGGAAGGCGTCTCGGAAGACGTCGAGCTCAATGTGCACCTCGAGGCTAGTGACCATGCATTGCCGTCGTCCTCGGCTACCATACTGGAAGTCCAGCATGCAATCATGGCCTCTGATTTCCAGAGCATTGTCTGGACCAAGGGCACCAAAATTGCAGAGCAAAGTAGCGGCCGTGTTATCGCCGATGCAGACCATGCCACTTCAGCTCAGTCTGTCGCTGAGTTGTGTAAATCGACCACATCGGGTTTGATAGCAAGGGTCAACAGCGGCATGCTGAAGATGTTGATCTATCCTTCTACTGCGGAAGAGTGGAAGTTTCTTCCACCAGTCGAGTCTCGACCAGGGTCGACAGATTCTGCCATACTTAGCTTTTGTTTGTTCACTCAGATGCCGGGATTCGAAGATCACCTAGCTGCTAACTTAACACAGTTTCAGAACAGATCATTCAGATCCGTCGAAGGCGTGGGTGCTGCAATAGTAGACCTTGATGCCGATCGACTGCTCCTGAAGGAGCACGATAAACGAATCGAGGCCGTCTTTCTTATGCTACCTGCATCACGACACATTGAGTTCGAGTTGTTTTCACGATTCTTCATCGAGCAAGGCTGTAAGATTTACCACTCTGGCACAGCGGGTGCTTGGCTGTATTTTGTCAAAAAATACCGACGTTCGTGCCTTGTCATTATACATCCCGAAGTGCGTCTGGACAGCATACCACGGCTGTACGATCTCATCGCCCAGCATGGTGCTGGGCCAAGATTCTTTTCCGTAGGCGTCAACCGCGATGCAGCTGCCGTTCTACACGAACGACCTTCTTTTGGATGTGTCAGATTGTTCCCCAACGGCCAAGTCATATATCTGACAGACGAGGCGTTACAATATCATCCGAACGAGTCGCGCGACATCATCACATTCATCAAAAGAGATAATGAGCGACCTCTGTCCCACAGCAAGATCGTCACCCGACCCAACGTCAAAGCTTGGCTGCTGGACCTGATCGCATCAACGCAAGACTCCCGATACGTGGAGCTCTACACCGCGCTCTGCTTCTTCTGTCCCGCCGAGGACCACAATCCTGACGATATGACGAAGACCCTTCCGACCTCAAGTCTGCTCATGATCGACGCATCGACGATGCCCCGACTCGCAAGTATGGACGACACCGCACGATCGGACTACCTCATAAATTGGTTTGCCGGCTGGGCGATGCTACACGCGAGCGTCTGGCGGATGTTCGTCATCTGCTACGAGCCCAAGGAGGGCAGCACGCGGATGGTGCCGGCCAAAACCACCGGGTTTGTTGTCGAGGCCAATGCGGATCCATTTGGTTGGGCGAAGCGTTATCAGCATGTGGGAGTGGTGGGCCCGAAACAGCTGCAGGAGAGGTTGGCGAAGAAACAGGAATCATCGTTGCTGCAGAGTGTGGTCGGGGAAATTAAACGTAAGATGTGAAAGTGTGGAGTGTGTCTTGGGCAAGGTGCAAGTAAACTCATATCACGACCAAGATGGAAAAAGGGGCTTTGCAAAGGCGCATCGGCGGTCCTGTCACATCACGAGAAATTTCACTCCGTAGGATGCGGGCCAGCCACCAACAAGTTTCTAAATCAGCAAAGGCGACGCGTGGTTTATTATTACTCGCGTCAAGTGAGCGCTGTATGGACTGAGGTATTGCAGCCCTCGAATGTGAAGGATTAGCATACACACTTCTAATCCTCACCGCCCACAAGTCCGTCGGATGATGTCCTACGATGTACGTGTGACAAGTGTTAAAAAAGCAATTTATCTGTGGAATAGGAGCTATTATGGTTCGCAGGATGGCCAGGTGAGGATCACTTGCACATGTCAGTCGCAGACAAAACTGTTTATATCGTGAAGGTAAAGTACAACTACAGTATAGTTGACTAGTTCGCCAGATATTTTGCGAAAACTTCTTGATTTTCCGATTGGAATGTACCTACGACAAGACAGGGTCCCGCCCTGTTCTAGGAGAGAAAAAAAGTAAAAAGTCTCCTGGACTAAAGACTTTAGCCGTGATTTGACAGCCTTGACGTCCATTGTCTGAGGCTCATTTGATAATTAGAGAGCTTGCCTGCCTTTTACGTCATGCGTGGTCACCACCGTTCCAGTCATACAAATGCTCGGGGGTTAAATGAACCTGTGTAATTTACCTGCTCCAATATTCGATCAACAGAATCGGAGCCGGATGATGCTAGGATGGTCGATCGACGAAAGATCGGGACGTTTCGGGGAAGGCCGTGAGGGAGAGCTGAACACTCCAGTGATGGTCGTATTAGATGTGAAAATTCTGGCGCAAGGCGCCTGATGGTAATCGTGGACGCTGAGTTACCGAAATAGAAGCGAACATTGGTCGGTCCTTGCTGGCATCTTCATGAGTGGAACAGGTCCCATGCTCTCTCCATCAAGCGCATGAATTCCTCCTTCTTCTCCGATGAGCTGATACCTGCCCGCCAATCTTCCTCTGCGCGATCCCGGTCATCTCCTCGGACAGCCACTGTCGCATGAGGGTGTCGCGGTTCGGCGGCATGCGCGCCAAACCTTGAATGATAAGACGAGGGTCCGGATGGGGCGGGGCCGGTTGGTGGGGAGCTTCCCTGGTCGCGCTCATATTCATCGCGGCCGCGACGGCGGCCATTAATCGACTGAGGACGGTAAGACGCCTCCGAGCGTCCCCCAGGGCCATCGAGGTCGCGACGAGAATGACGCCCAGCATGTGGAGAAGGCTCGCTCGAATCATGAGGATAGTGGCTGCTGTGAGGGACGTGCGCTGACGGCGCACCACGCTGGTACTGGGCGTGAGGCATGGGTGAAGGTGGAGTTGGCGGTTGAACACCTCCATAGTGAATGCGCTTGGGAAGCATGTCTTCGCGGCCGCCTGCCATGCCTTGGATAGCTTCTTCTGAGGAGCGGAACTCTCGACCGCGAGTACTGGGAGGAGGAGCCTGAAATTGCGGTGGTGGGAAGCCTGGCGATGGTGCAGGAGGTGCAATATGGGAGCCACGTGGAGAACCATTCATATGACCTCGCGACGCTTCGAGTCGGTCGTTTGGGAAGACGTCCGATATGGGCGGCAGTCGGTTGTTCGTCTGAGGCGGCGGCTGGGGATTGTTGACATGGCTGCTATGGCTGAGACCACTCGGGCCGTGTTGAACATGACGAGTATGCGGGTACTCACCAGGTCGGAGACCTGTGAACGTCTGATGGAGTGGAGCGGACTGAATGACACGATCGTTCGCAAATTGAGCAGCTGACGGCGCATTGATTGACAGACCGGGCGGCGGTCCTTTCCGACGAGGATTACTAGATACCCTCGCACCGGCATGTCCGCCCAAAGAATGACCATCCTGCGTCCGAGCGCCTTCGCTATCATGTGAGCTCCCTGGCTTGGCTCCCTGTAGGCGTGCTTCAATTATCTGTCTTTGGTGATCCCGCACATCGAGACTCCTTTGCAACTGCTCACGCATGCTCGGATCGTTCGTCTGAAAGCCTGGCGAGAGGCATGCGATCCCCACATCCTGAATAGCCAATCCAGCCAATTCTCGCGAGGTGAGCGGTGGAGCTGGTCGAGCGGTATGCGGAGCACGACTTATGGCGGCGGAAGAACTGGACGAAAGATCGAGTCGCTTGGGTCGTGGTCGAGAAGAGGGCGCTGCAGGCGAGCCAGGCTCTTTCTTCACTCTAGTGGCAGACGACATGCCAGTGCGGAAGCTGGGCGCGGAAGGTGTCAGCTATTACACAGTGGACGTTGATTCGTGACGGAGCGATACGTACGACAGAGGCGAGCTTTTGCTATTCGCAAGCGATCGCTCTCCAGCAATCTCTGGTGAATCATTGCTCCTTGCGCGCTTCGCTGAGGGCTCATGGCTGTTCGAATGCGCCGAGGATGTGGGAGCGGAGGGCGCAATCGAAGCAAATTGTCGCGGCGAGATCTGTCGTTCGGCGGCGGCGGAGGCAGCGGGAGGATTTGCGTGCGAGGGTGCGACGGCCGTCGACATGATGGTGGATCGGATCGCGAAATGCTCGAGAGAGCGTCGTTGCGAGATGGTGTTCACTCACCCGTCTGGCGCGAAGGGCAAGAGGGCAAAGAGAATGAGAAAGGAAGAGAATGCGGCAACAACAGGCGTAAGTGTGCGATGGTGCTAGCAGAGGATGCTTGCTTAACTGCAGGTCCAAAAATGAAGGAAAGGCGCGCTGCAGTAGGTGCGTATGTGTGATGGTAGTGGTGGTGGTAGTACAGTAAGTAGTAGTTTGTGGTGGAGGGTGGAAGGTGGGTGTGATGGCGTAGTGCACAGCACGATCCAGCACCAAATTGTCGGCGGAGTGAGGCGCGTGAGAGGAAAGTTCAAGACAAAAGCTAGGTGCAGTAATGCATGGCCTGACAATGCCTGTGCTGGACGGAGAACGTGTGGAGTGAAAGGCTGCTCAAGGCGGTGATAGTTGTGCGAGGGAGAAAATGAGGAGGGTGGAGAGAGAGAGAGAGGAGAAAGAATGATGACAGAGATAGACGCCGATAGATGTGCAGCACCTCAGACAACTCGCGATCTTGTCCCAGGGGGGGTCGCAATCAAGGCGAGATTCGTCGTCGTCTCCTTGTTCTTCTATTCGCATTATTATTGTTGTCAGGTGGGTAGTATTATTATCATTATTATTGTTGTTATTATTATTGTTATCATCATCATCAGCAGCAGCAGCATCATCATCAGTGTGATGTGGGTATGTCAAGAGTTGTTTGGTCACCAAGCTGTAGGCTTTGTTTGATGTTATAGTGGTGTACAGTTCGTCGACCAGCCTCTATGGATGGATGGATGGCGTAGGAACGCTGCGCTTGAGAATTACGTGTGCGTGCGGATGAGGGAAGCGGCGGGTGCGTGCAAGTGGGTGTGAGTGTGAGGTAGTGGGTGGGCAAGTGTTTGACCGTGGTTTCCGCCAGTGGTGGAGCTTTTGCTGATTAGCCCACTACTGTCGCGCTGGATTCTCACGTCGTGGGCTAAAACAACACCCATCCATGCTGGAATGCACTAGTCCAATATTTCCCTTTTCACTTGTCGCATTTCCTATTTCGCAATGTGGGACTCGCTAACCTCCAGGTCAAGGGATTGGAGTCTGTGGTATTCTCTTTAACAGGTAAGAATATACGACCTAAAAAGAAGCGGGCGCAGCAAGTGGAGCGGAAAGAATCTAGGCCATTCGCGTCGAGGATACCTATCCACCTGCATGCAGCAACAAATACAATAGTCCACTACTGGTGATCAAGGATGGGGAAACATAAACCTCCCCCGACGAAACCACGTATCATCATGATCGATTCGAGCGATTTGGCAATTGCATAGCATAGAATTCCTCTAGCATTATGTCCGCGCAAAAGTGTAATTTCAAGTTTTGACGTGCTCTCTGGCAAAGCGAGAATTCATTGAACGACACCGGCAGGGGACTGCCGCACGAGGGTGTATCCCTGTATCATCGCTGTTGTCGTGATTTTGGATGCAACGGATTCGCGCGTGCTACGTACGACCATTGTAACAATAATGATACTAGAGTGACACTTTGAATTGTTTTGGAACTATCACGCAGGATTTTCGCTTTTCGTGAAACAAAGCGAGTCACGATCCGTATCGAAATGACAGAAAGTGGTGTAGGAGGCAGCGCCAGGCAGGCAGAGGAGGAGAGGTCCGAGGTACGGGCAAAGAAGAGCGACCAGCTTGTGAAACATGTGTAGTGGACATTTCGTGCATGCACCCGGACACTAGCTGCCCGGCTGGTCACACTTCGGCTCTCCCGCTAACGATTTTCAGATCCAGTAGAACCGCCACCAAAGCACGAATATGCCATTGTGGCTGTCCTCGTGGATATTGCTCTTGATCCCTTCCGGCGGCAATGAGTATTTCATGTAATATGTACTTGGCGACCGCTGATACTGATCGAGCGAGAATTTGGTCTATGATCATGTATAACCATGCGCATCTCCGACGGCACTGCAGCAAAGTGTCAAAAAGAGGGAAGGGGAGCTGCGACAGTGGTACCGGTGTCGAACGATGATGCGGCGCGGTCGCGCGGGCGCCCCGATGACTCGTTCCTGGATTGCAGGATGACGACCGGGACATCTGTAACAACACTTGTAGACTGTACCTCTCCTTGTTTGTGACTGCGATAATATCGACACATCACGAGACCAGGAATGAAACCGACGAATGCTTCATCGTCGAAAATTGAGACCTTTCTGGGACACTGTAGACCCCAGACGGATGTTTCATGACCTGCTACCAGGATCCATAACGCGTGAATGACGAGTGACGAAAGTAGTCTGACTCGTGTGTCGGCTCCGCTCAATCGCAGTTTGCAGGGATCCAACACCTATGCTAGTATATTTCCTTTTGACATTTTGAAGGATTTATCGAATAAGTTTCTGACACCGGACCTCTGGGAGCCGCATTTGCATGCATGTACAGTGCACACGTCGGTGGGTTCCAGGACGTTGGGCTTTGAGGGGCGGATCGGGATCTCCTCGTTCCGCCACGAGGTTGAAACATGGCCGACCTGCAGCTTCAGTATCCTTGAGAGCAACGGCCTTATTATTATATACATAGGATCTCGTGATGATGCCGGCGCGAGATGCAAGGTGAAGATGATTAATCCCCCACCGAGCAGCTGCTTGTATGTGATTAGTCATCACACAGGATCGAACGGCACCGGGCTGATACGCTTGCAAGGAACGCCCAAAGGAGCGATCCACAGAAGAAGAATATGAAACGATAGATCCATCACAAGCGTCTTTTTCCTCCACCACTAACCCCCGCGCCCTACCACCCATCACCTGCATGCCTCCAGTCCTGGGCTATCGATCTTCTCACTCAACATACCCTGGCCCTTTCCCCACCACTTTTAATGACCAAATAAAATGTTCCGCTAGCCTGGTCGATCAACCTGCCACGCATCCACTCCACATGTTTCTACCTCGTATGGCAAAGAAAAGCATGCTCGCAATTGTTTGTTTTCGATAGCGCACGAACAGTGGCATTTAGTATTTGTCATCGTCGCAGCATCATGTTTGTAAAATTCTAATCTACAATCGCTGAGCCCCATAGCTTCAACCTGATAAAAGTCCGAAGAGGAGAAAGGTCCGACGCCAGTATTCATGCGCGTTCTTCCTAAGCCGTTCCTGCGCCGCCGGCTCCAGCCCGACATGCTGCATGAGCTGATCGACCGTAGTCGAGAATCTGCCCTCGCCACTGGCCTTGACGTTGTCGTTGCTGCTGCCGACGATGGAAGATACTTGTAATGCTCGTTGTAGATAGAATCCATCAAGTGCCATCTGGAGATGTTGTTCCCGGAGTTGTGCGTCAATTTTGGATTCTTTAGCTGTGGATTCTGTCTCGGCCTCATCGGCAACTTTGTCTTCTTCTTCGTGGTCGTCGTCCTCGAGCACCTCTACTTCTCTGGCTGTAATCACATCGAATACATCGCGCTCCGCCAATTGCTCAATGATAGAGGCCTTCAATGTCTGCACGGCATCAGGGGCCCAGAGATCTGTCCCAGAAGCGGACATTTGACGATGTAAGTCGGTCAAAAATCGGAACGTCCCGGTCGACGGCTGCACGGGCAAATTTGGCGTACCGTCCCAAAGGCTTGTTGGTATGTAGCGAAGGACGCGCATCCACCGGCTGTACGCTGCTAACGGAGGGTCTGCGACTGATGTCGCGATACGCAGATGTAACGACCGAACAACCGCGTGGTCACAGGACACCGTGTCGAAGGATGCGAAGGTTGCAACGAGGCCACGCTTCCGAAGGTCCAATTCCCGCAGCATTCGAACATGCAGGGCCACGTCTACATTTTCGCCTTTTGCATGCTCTTCGATGACAGTATATGTTTTGCGAAGTGTTGCGGTCGCCGCCTCGAGCAGCGCCTCCTCCAACCGCTGGGGATCTTGTTTGCTGAGAGCAGTGAGCATGGTCTCTCCGTCATCCAAATCATCCAAATCGAGTTCAACATCATCATCCCATTTGGTTGCACGTAAGGCAACGGCAATGCTTTTGGTGCGTTCTAGCCGCTCGATCCATTCATCAAACAATTGTGTATGCCGTCGGATACCATCCGAACGCCCATGCTGTCGTCTGAGGACCGCCTGTCGAAAAGCTGTCGCACCTCGGCCAAGATCCAGATTCTCGCCCGCCAGGTTCCAAAGATCGAGATCACGTCCCTGGCCAGCAGACTGATCATGCGCATCTGGGAACATATCTGACAATGCTAACTCCGCTGCCTCTTTGGTGAGAGTCTCAAGCTTCGCAAGGAATGCTCCCCGCATGTCGTTAATTGCACGGAGCTGGCTCTCGTCGCGGAAACGTGCGCCAAGCGACAGATATTTCGAGAGCACTTTGTGCCGCATTTCCAACACCTGCTTTGCTTCAGTCTGCTGCGCCAAACAGTCTGTGAGGCCTTGCAGCAGGTACTTCTGAGCATGTCGCGCCCACGACGAGAGCGCATTCTTGACTTCCGAAATGACGATCGATTCATGGCTAATCCAAGGTATAAAGTTGCGCACGTCTGGCGCGATCCATTGCTCGTAGACGTCCAAATTGAGTTCGACGACTGCACGAACACCCACGTCTCGCGTCAAAGCGACCTTGGAGATTTGCGAAAGCGATTCGAGGAACCTTTTGGGAAACAGCTCTCGCGTATCTGCCAATGTGCGTTGAAATAAATCGAGAGCATCCATGAGGTCCGCCTCCGAAGCACTCTCAGCCCGACTCTCGAGCTGTGTAAATCGGACCTGGAGAAAATGCCGTAGCACATCCTTCGGAGAGGAATTTGAGATTAAAGCATACGCACAAAGTGTCTGCAAAGTGAATTTCTTGTCCACATCCGCACGAACCAGCGAGCGTTCGATGTATGATAGCAGTCTCTTCCTCGTCCGTCTCATTCTCTTCGCCAGATCCTCCAACACTGCAGGCGCCTGCTCGCTCTCGGCGACGCTCTTGTGCAGCAATCGCGCTAGAACCAACAACTTTGATGCAAGCAGTGCATCTTCATTCGCCTTGATTATCCGTACTGTTACCACCAGCGCGTTTTGGAGGACTTTCGTCTGCGCAAGCGCCCCATATCGGGCCTGCTCTGAGGTCGCACGCTCTTTCTTCATCTGAACATGGTTGCTCTCAATGCGTTCGAGCATGCGTGCGTTGCATTTCCGCCCGATGTCACCGAGATGTGATTCAACGCCTTGGATCTGCTCATCCATATCAATGATGCGCTCGGCAGTACCTAGGAGGTCTCGGTAGCTGGCGCCGACCAGGGTGCGTAGTTTCTGCCGATTATCTTCCATGTTGCGCCGGAGCTGCTGCTCCAGCTTGCGCACAACTGGCAATGGGTATTGGAAGGCATCCTCCCAGGTCGTTAACGAGCTCACATCTGGTTGTTGAGCCGACATTGTGCAGAGTTGTATTTGGTGCAGCGATGCAACCTGATCGCGATCATCTACTCAAAAAGAAAAGGACTGAAGTCTGGAGACGTGGCTTGCTCTCAATGCTGAATTGTGGGGACAGGCACCATTCGACATGACGACTTGCCCGTGAAGTCGGCTAACAACAATAAGAATACCTACCTAGGTATGATGGTGTCAATGTAAGTGCCTACCTACTAGGTACGCTCACTTTCTGAACATCTCACATCCCGGCCTCGTGACGCCAACGAATGAGGTACTCATTAGTTGAAGCTGAACCCTGACATCTCGACCATCGTTTGTCACCTCGGAAATCGAGTTTGTACTGTACTCGAATTACTTTCATATGTCCATACATAATTTATGATTAGAACTATTCCTAAGTTATTTTCAAGTCTACCTAGGTACGCTTCAATATTTCTGTCTGCACTCGAGTCATGACCGTCTGTGTGCTCAAGTCATTTCTGTCTGCACTCAGGTCGTGTCCATGCAGGTGTGCACGCAAGTCCAAAGTAGTAGATGACAACACTCTAGCACCGGATATGTCCGAGCCAATTATAAAGCTGCAATTGTAGTCATACCACTCGTGCTTGAATCGCGGCATAACCTCGGACGATTTTTATTGCCTCCAACCTTCCATGAGGCGTACATGCCCAGGTGATTACATGTATAACAAATTAAATTGATTGTTCCAAGGTCAGTCAGCGGTATATTTCATGCTACATAGGCATCCATGGATCTCAGCACAAGTCCTAGTACTCAAAGACAACCAGTCCACAAGCTTCATAATTCTCTGCAGACAGGAATGTCATAGAATACCACGCGGCGGAGGCTTCACCTCATTCAGTAGGAAAGATCACTTATAAAAGAGACAATAAAAGCATAAGGCGAGAGGTGCGTAATCCTCACCTCCGGAAGGCGAGGCAAAGTATGGGAGTGACTTAGTATCTCCGTTGCGACCTGCCTACTCTTCCAATCGTTCCTCGCTCACCAGAACGGGGTTCAATCTTCTTCACGATACAGACGTGATTTGCAATGTACATGTTCTATTTCTGGTTGACATCTGGCCACCCTAGGACGTCGCCCACGCTTACCACACTCCACCTGACCCCGACGAGGGCTACAAGGGCTCCTATGAGCTCGACTAGTAGCAACGAGATGATCGCCAGAAGCATGCGTGGCATGAACACGCGATAGAGCATCAGATGTCTCCGCAACCATGCAGCCTCGATGACAGTGGCGACCGCAATAGCTGCGTAGAACATCAGGTGTGTGGCCATCCCTCCAGCAATTCGACTCAGGAGAGCTGGGTGTTTCGGTGGCACCTTCCATAGTGCAATCGTCGGCACAGCAACGGCGCAGAGGATCTGTGGACCAAAACTGTTCAAGACGACAAGCAGGGGACTCCAAGGATATTGGATCGTACGGAGCGGAATAAATGCCGACTCCCACTGTATCGTAGCCAGCGCAGCTTGGTGGCCGGTTTTGAAAAAGTGAAAGCTGCCAAGCAGGGCCAGGATGATTGGGCCAACAGGTGAGGAGCGGATGTTGTTCGCGTCGATCATTTCAAGGATGTTGAGAATGGAAATCATGCATAGCGCAAGGGCGCCCTGTCCCATCGGCTTCTGTACGAGTAGGAGGGCGAGCAGCCATGCGCAAGGAAGGAGGAAATAGCGAGTGCCGTGAATGTTCGCATACCCATAGATGATGAGCTTGGTGCGAGGTGCAGCGGGAGGTGCACGCACAGTAGTTAGAACAGGTGCGTCAGGCTCGCCATTGTCAATTGGTTTGGAGACCGTGGTGGCCGGTGGGGCTGGTGCTTCTTCTGTCTTGACAGCCAACATCGGCGCGGCCCATATGTAGGTCGCATATCCAGCAGCAAAGGCGACGGAAAGCACAACCTGGGCAATCACGATGCGTGTAGTCTTAAGCAAATTCTTCGAGATCCCAGGATACCACTCCCCGTCATCAGCGGCATCAAGGAACCAGTATGAAGCGACCATGACCAGCCCCACGCGCAGGGCGATGCCGATCCAGATGACAGCTGAGCCATGGTAGTTGAGCGTACGAACAAAGAAGAATCTGATGATCGATGGCAAGACGAGCGCCACCACAAATGGAATAAACAGCTGCCAATTGGACGATGTTGACGATGTGGCCGACGCGTAGTATGATGAGCGGCAGTTCGGCATTTGCTCTTCTCGGCACAGACGCGAGAGGGAACTCAACCGCGTTGCGACCAAGAACGAAACCGCATTAAGAGATCCAAGCTTCCGATCGTAAGCCTCTGCCCGTCCCAGAGATGCTCCAAGCATGAGCACACCGAATGTGGTCAACAGGAATAACAATTGCTCGTCTTCCCACACGACGAATGAGTTGGACGCAAACCCAATGCAAAGCAGAGCCGTGATCAAGAAGCAGTATCCGCCCCAGAGTGTTCTTGGAAGAGGAAGCTGCAGGAACTTCCTCGCAGGCCAAAGTCCATAAGACGTAGCCAATATTCCTCCAGCGGCTGCACCAAACGCAATTGATTGTAAAACGCCCAAGGTCAGAAGCATACCAAAACCGGCTCCCGCAATCGCACCAATGACGGTTCCGAGCAGACCCGATCCAAGTAGCGGAGGAGTGATTGCGGCACGATCTCCAGCAATGCCTTGAGCATAGACGATCAGTAAAACGAATGTGCCGACCAGCGTGACAATGCCCATCGTCATGCTGGTAAGGTCAAATCGTGCCCAGAGATGCTTTGAGGTCCGTAGGTTCTCTCTTTGATAAGCTGCATAGGCTTCGTAGAGACCCCAGGCCTCATTGCTGCCTGGCTTCAATGACTTTGATGACATCGAGCGCCAAACACTGTCGGCCGCCTGCCAGAGACTTTCTGCCACGGCAAAAGAATCGCCCATTTTCCTCGCTCGAGCATATTCTGTCTGATAGCGATGGATCTGCGCTGCCGTGATGCGCCCCACGATTGAAAGATCCTTGGGACTTGAAGGATTAAACGCTTCCTCAATTGGCCAGCCGAGATTATTGAAGGGTATCGGCATGCCGAGGAGCAAGGACAAAGTCGGGACGAGATCGATTTGAGCAACGGGTCTCTCCTTAGCTGTCGCTGGTGGTTCCACGAATGACTTCTCGCGCCGTCCAAAGAAGGGCCGTTTCGAATACATCCACAAAGCGGCCTCCACCTCGTCATCCGACTCACCTCCGTGGTCACCTTTTACATCCATGCCATGATCTCCCATGACCACCAATAAGGTGTCCTCATCCAATGCATCAATCATACGACGCAATACTCCATCCATCTGTTGCAGTTTATCCGCCATAGCGGGGTGGTCCGGTCCATAGCGATGGCCAGCATGGTCCACTCCAAGATAATGAGCAATGATGACATCCCAACGATCACGCATGGCCGGATCGAGAAGTGGAAAGATGTGCTCGTTGACGCCATTGTCCAAGGTGTGCAGATCCCAGACATTGAACGAGTCGTAAGCCCGCGTCAAGTTGGGCTCGAAATATCCTGGGAACAGAGAATGCCAGGTATCATCCCCCAGATGCACTACTCTCTTGCCCGCCTTGTAGAGCTGCTCAATGATGTTGTCCTCGTCAATAGCTGTTCCAGCAAAGTTTGACCCAGCATCGATGAATACCGGCAACGTCCCTGTTGTGAGACCTTTCAGTCGTTGAAGTGTTGTGGTCGGCGGATCGGCAATGAAGGGGCGAAGAAAAGCGTTTGCTGGGAAGTTGACTGCTGTTTCGTACAGGATAGGAAATGCATCATGAAAATGATGAGCGGTCTCTTGTCCAGGTCGAGGCTTGAAGGGCACTGTGAAATCGTACCGCAACGCGTCTACAACCACTACGACAGCTTTGCTGAAGCTTTTAGGTGTCCAACATCCCAGCTCTTGGGTTCCAGGAGAGTGGCCGGGGGCGTCATGAACGTCAATTGGTCGAATGGCGCATTCCGATCGATGCGGCAGTACTAGGCGCGAAAGCAAGAAACCGCTGCAGAAGAGATAAATGGCGAGCGCGTGAAAGACACTTGGGACATTGGGTCATCAGTTAGCGATGGCACCAGACCAAGGAGGATAGTAAGAAGTTTCAGGACAGTGTTCAGCATACAAAATGAGAATGAAGAAAGCTACAATGAGCCCATGCTGGGCCTTGAACTGCACCGCGAGACGCTTGTCCTCTGCCTTTACATCGCGAGGCGCAACACCCTTGGGTGCTGCACTGGGCAGCGGGGCCTTGCTCTGCATTGGAGCTTGTGACAAGTAATGATTCCAATGGGAAAAGAGAGACAAATGCAAGAAACGAGCGTGATCTATGATGGCCTCAAGTGGGCCGACATGATGGAGAAAGGGCAGAGTTCCAGATTTGCCCGGCGTGGTGTTCTGGTAGAGTGCTACGTTTGGGTCTAGAGGCAGGAGAGAGCGTTTTGACACATGCATTGGTTGAAGCATCACCTGCATCATTCATCTGGCGTCTCCACCAGCCGCCAGGGCAGGCCGCATACACGTGGCTCAACAACGATTTTCTCCGCAACGTGTAACGATCTGGTATTGTATATCACACCTTTGCCACGATATAAACTCCGGCCACATATAGAATAATTATACCACCTACCGAGAGACTCGTGATATGGATGCGCCAGGCGATAGCACATGGACGAAGCGTTCCGTGCTGCGTACCTGGACGTGGGCATTCTGAGGACTGAGATGGACCGTGGGATTGATAATAACCTTGGAACCTTAGAACCATCGAATTGGTCGCTCGTGCCTTTGTTAAGCTCCCTTGAAATAATTCCTGTAATAGATACACGCGGTTTCTTTCAATAAGATTATGGGTTGACCAAAGACGAATATCGGTGTCGAAAGTAGGATGATCATACAGGTGTGGTCTTACTTTCTCCCTTGCGGGTGTGTCAAACAACAAGGGCTTAGAATCCTTCACAATGGTGAGGGATGATTAATATCACTTATGAATATGTTTATCCAGGTGAAGATTTGGTCGCTATAGTCCTACACTTATCGTAGCCACTGTCCGTGATTTCCCCGAATACGATTTTCACAAGTTGGACAATCTCGCATTGCGCTTATTCATTAGAGGTCTTTGTCGAGACTACCACCCTTAACAGCATCCGAAGAGGGGACAGAAAATATGATGTATGGTTTTCATTCTGATGGCCTATGGCACCAACGCATGAGCGGTTATTGAGGGCAAAGAAGAATATTTACACGTAGATCGTGGATACTCCAAGGGTATCTTTCTTGGAGGAGAACCATTCTGAAGCAAGTCTCAGCGCCAGCAGTAAGACATTAAACAGTATCTTCGCGGGTCCCGGTGAGCCTTTTCGTGTTCTCGCCATACGCATGCTAGTCCAATGAAGCAAAAGTGGATGAAATAAAGATTGTGGAATGAGTGTTGGCGAAGGTAGATGGTCCGTGAGGTTGTTGGTAGTTCTCTCGGATGTGGAGAGGTAGAAGAGTCGTGGGTCGTCATAACCGGCTTTCGCATGTTTAATTGTTGCCGCGCAAACCGGCTAATGATACTCCTTCTTGGGCGAGTTTTTGGCCTTTTCTATCAAGCCACCGACGCGCTCAAGGTCGATGGAATGGAAACGATCGCCTTCGGATTTCTGATAGGCAGGCAAGACATCGACCACGGGTTCCATTCCGATAGCAGAATCTCCCATGTGAACCACGACGACCCGACCTGATTTCCTCTTGCCGGTTTCGTCGACCTCCTCCGGGAAAGTGATGCGGATCTCTGGGAGAGGGCTATCGGGCGGGCTGCTGGAGTTGGCCATGAGGTCCTGCTTTTCCGCATAGACGTGGACAGGCTCCAATTGTCTCGCGCGAACGCGACGAGGACTCGATGAGGACGAGCTTTCCGAGAGACGTTTCTCATTGTACTCGGGCAAGATCGATTGCTTGAGCATTCTGCGACGGTATCGCAAGTACATCAAAGCGGCGACGAGGAAAAGTCCAACGACCAGCAAGGACAACAAGACAACGAGCAGTATGACGATTGTCGGATTGACCGTGGACTGCGGAGATTGTGAGGACGCCTCGGCGTCTCGGCCGAAGAGGTTCATAGTGAGATCGAGCATGATGTATCGACTGGAATGCGCGTTCAATTATTGTTGTTTAATGGAAGTGATTGAGATAGTGCAAGCGTGAGCTGTTTGCAGTGCGTCGGGTTCCGAAAGATGTGCGACGAGTTTCAAGCCTCGATAAGGAATGTGAGGATTACTACAGTAGTCATCTCTCGTCAGCACTGATCGGTGAACTCGTGGCAATCAGGTCAGCAGCAGAGTGAGCCGCCGGGCGAGCAGTCGTGGATACCAGAGTTTGGATCCCGAGAGACCATTCATCCAATGTCTCTTCTTGCGTGACGTCGCTCTGCTCTACTCTGCTCTGCTTTGCTGGCGCGAGTGTCGCCTCTGTGTGCCCAGGCGAAATCGCGCGCTCCAGTATGGGTAACGTTAGGTACCTACCTAGAGTGCGAAAGGCAGACCTGATGCTGCAACCAGTAAAACAAGAAAAGAGCGTAAGAGTAATGAAGCCAGACTGAATGAATGTGGAAGCTGCGGTCGCGCGCGCACCGTGGAACAAGGAAAGAACGCTCGTGGTTGAGCCAGAAATGCAGAGATGGTCCAAATGGAAATGGTCGAGTCGCTGAAACGAAGAAGGGAATGGGAAGGAGAGCGGAAGACGGTGCGAGAGGGCGCCGCACTAAAGAGGGATGGCAACTTTAGAGTTGGGGCATGGGGGGAAATGATGATGGGAGCGCTTGCGCTTGTCTTTCCACCACGCTGTACAAAGTGACCACCTGGGCCACCTACGTGTCTGCCGATCACGCAGCAGTTTGAGCCAGTCTCTATCACAACTCTACAGTACCACTCTGCGGACTGGAGTTAACCCCGTTTCCTGCTTCAGCTTTTGAATGGGAGAACTGCACACTTCTCGCCTTGCAAGGGAACATTTCTAATGGTAGAAATGGACAAGGTGAAGAAGGGGGTCGAGCAGATGGAACCATCTCGCCTTACTTTACAGTTTCTTACCTCTTACAAGCGAGTTCTTGACGCGTCGTCCTCTATAACATTCCTGTCGATGAGGAGACGAAATGGGGCTTATCTCAGTCTGCGGAGTGAGTACGAAGAGAACTCGCAATTGTATCTCAAGTCCCATGTCTTCGCGTACAGTCCGAGAGACGTATTCTCAACGTGAGAATCCATCATCTTTGCCCATTATTGGCCCATCATGTCGATCTTAGGACAGACCTTGTCGTCAGTCGGAAATGTTTCGAAGATGAGCCCTCCCAGCTCCAATTTGGGGAGGGTTGCACGCAGCAGCAAGGGAGAAACAACCATGAGACCTGTGACGGAAAGCACCTGGGCAGCTACGTGTCGCTCTGGATGTGCGGCATGATGCAGCAAGTTTGCACTCAAGAAGGGGCGATCCCTTTTAGTGGCCTATCTAGTGATGAGGAGAAATTTGGAGATTTGGACTACGACAGCACAGGAGAGTGCTGTGAAGTGACGAGGCATTTGTGTGTCTGGCGGTTACGCTAAAGGGCAATTTAAGATGAAGAGCTTAGCCCCATTGGCGCATCATCCACACAGGTGATGGGATTGGCGCTCTGGCAAAAAGTTCAGGCGGGCAGGCGGGATCTCCAGCCCATGGCGTGAACTCCAACACCAATGGGCCAACTCACCCACATGAAGGTGGGCTAGGGTTCTTTCTACATTCAGTCTTCAACACCAGCCCTAGTGGTCACGTCTAGAGTACATGTCTACACAGTACACACTCTCCTATATGTAAACCGCTTGACACGGAGTAGCCTGTCAGATGCGCATATACTATCACATCCGGTGTCATCGTTGTTGAAACGGCTCCCATGTGTCTAGACGGCTTTACCTAGATTCTGTTCATGACGAATGTACCCAATTTTTAAAACATCTTGGAAACGTAAGTAGCGGTTCCACGCGAGCACAGCAACTGCCGAGGGGAAGGTAATCCGACGAGGAAGAACATTTTACCAAATGCCCACTTGCAGGGATGAACAAGGCCACCTGGTGAGAGCAGATCACCTCGACCAAGTGACTCCTCGAGCGCAAAACAGTGATCTGTTGGTGTTGAATCTTGCCATGCTTCTCCACAGTAGAAAGACACATAGGCCATTAGCATGCACGTCCACATACTGGTGATCTCCGTCCACTCGAAAAGTAGCGGGACCTTCTGGTGAGGTATGATTCAGCAGAGCCATCTCGCGACAGGCGTGTAATTGCCATCACTTCGACAGAGTGCTGGAGTGCTGTACTGAATCATGGACCTACATGGGTTAAACCGTGTACAGCATGTTCTATGCTCAGAGACTTGAAACTTGCCTCACGCTTAGACGCTTCGGAGGCATTTCGTCCATACCGTAGACTGTAATCGCAACTCCATGTGCCGTCTTTCTGTCCCGTAGCTTGGGTTGGATTGAACCTGGGCGCCGACACAAGCATCAGCTGCGTGCAGCCTATACGCTGTGCGCGTTAGTGGAGGCACCCAGGTAGACCCTGGGGAACAGCGCGTCGCTGCCGCAGCGAACGTTTGCATTAATGGTTGTGCACGCGACGACGTCTGATGTACTGTAGATCATAGGTGTTACATATATTGTACAAAGATGTCATTCCCATAGCGAAGAGAACTTTGCGCGATCATATCGCCCAAGTCGTTGGCTTTTCGCTGCCACAACCTTCGCTCGTGGAGTGGTGAATTCGCCAGACATGGACGAGGTCGAGAATCCTGCTCTTCCTGCTGCCGGAATGTCCAGTCCGACGTTGAGGCCATTGGGAAGCGATGAAGATCCGGGCAGTACAATAACCGAAGCATCGCAATCGGAATTGCAATCGGATAATGTTCAAGAGTCAGCAAGATTCGGCGGTTTGGACCCGGCAGACCCGGCTCCAAACCCATCAAGATTCGGCGTGCAGTCGAGACCATCAGTGCAACGAGAAACCTCTGTGCCGCCGCCTCAGCAGCCCCCACCAGCACCTCCCGTCCAAACCAACAGTGACATGAACGAATACTCGCAGGATCCACCGGACAGCTTGACTTTGGCTGATTTGAAGCGAATTCGAAACTCTTTTCCTGCTGCGGTGGAACCCCAGAGGCAACAGGTCGTCGAACTTCGGGACGTTTACGACTTTGATTACCGCGACGCACAATCGCTACCATGCGAATTGGAAGAGTGGTTTAGCTATAGCGAGGAAGAGGAGAAGAGACTGTATCAATGTAAAGCAGTCTTTGATCAAGAATGGCGTGCTTCCGAACATGGAAAGCAGGATTGGTTGAATGTTACGGAGGATGCACGCAGAGCTTTCACCAAGAGGTGGATCCAAGTCTTGAACGACCCATCGCAGGAGCAGGATGTCGCGAATGCGCTCATGATACTCACATATCTAGGCCTTGGGGTCTGGGAAGAGACGGCAGGACGCAACGAAGGATGTGCCCTGGAAGATCTTTTCAACGATAGTGGCTTTGGCGGATCTCGTCTGGAAGAGTATGGCCGTTCAAGCTTACAGATCCAATGGATCGTTGCCATGGTTGACACGCTCCATGCTTGTGACGGGTTGAGCAATATCTACGACACGCTGAGACGGATCTGCGAGGATGATTTTGCGAATAGTGCCGTAGAGCCAAGCTTACGGGATGAGGGACAGGCTCAAAGAGGCGACACCACCATCGAGCTTTGGTGCGCTTTGACACTGATGTATCTCTTCGTTGAGGTGGCCAGGACTACGACTAATGCTCGCGCTTTGAAGCAAGACGTCGTTGCGCTGGACCCAAATATTCTCTCATATCTGACGCAGATCGTCGCCAGGATGCGATGGGATGAAAATGCACCCATACCCTTGACCAAGATGTTGCTGCTGGCGTGGAAAGCAATTCTGGTATGTTTTGGTGGCATTGCTGACATCGAGCAGCTGAAGAAGTCTCTCCAAAAGCAGGAGGTGGACAAAGATGTTCGTGGCGCGCCCATCATCACTGCCTCCCCACTTGACTATCACCTGTTTCGACAGGAAATTAGTTCCAAATATCCTGCCTATCAGCCACCATTACCACTCTTTCCTCTGGAGCCCGAGCACAATAGCATTTTACCGCCGCTGAGCCATCGCCGTCCAAGTGTTTCGCGGTCAGATGCAGCCATCACTGGGGCTCCCAATATTGGCAGCGATTCAATCATGCATCAGCCGATGCACATTGCCACGCCAGCCCCCTCACCTCCTCCATCGCCTGGCGGTCCTGGCAAGGCTGGCAAGAAGCAAAACTATCAGACGAATCAACTATTTCCATTCCTCTATCCTCCTCTCGATGCCAGCAGTAATGACCTCGGAGGAAAAGGAAGCACTGAGCTGCAGGACACGCTTGTGGGCCGTCGATGGGAGGGCTCCGACGTACCATCAAGTATCTTAGAGGGCGCAGAATTGTTTGCGCAGCGCATGCGTGCCACACGTGGCATGCAACAAATGTGGGATGCCCGAGATGACTTTATGAAGGAAGACCGAGGCTGGGAAACCAACGGTGATCCCAGTGCCTTCATCGACGTTGATGCTCGCGAAGAGCTGCGAAAGGGAGGACCAGCATACGCTGGTCAGAAAGTCCCGCCCGAGGCCCAAGAAGTTATTGCCAAGGTCAACGCTTACTACAAAGACTGCCTTCCACATTTGCAGAGCCTGGTCGTTGTGATGTTGAAGGTCATTCTTCAGAACGTTACAGAACTCGTCACAAAGAGTGGCCACAATGGCTTTCCGTCGAGCATCCAGCTGAATGACATGAATGGTCATCGAACAATGGAAAACAGCGTCAACTTCTCCGCGGATAGCATCGAGAATGCTGTCGACGAAGCCAACAAACAACGATCCCAGGAAATCTTAGCGAAGGCGTTAGGGGCTATCATCTTGCTGCTGTTGAAATGGTTCAGGCTTTCCCATGTACTACAATACGAGTACATGACGCAGCTTCTCTTGGATGCGAACTTTGTACCACTTATCGTGCGAGTGTGGCAATCACAGGACATTGGTCGGGCGTGTCATATCAAACAAGATCGCGAGGATCGTAGCTTTTTCTACTACTGCCAAAAGAATTCACGGCAAGGCGCACCGGAATCGACTTTGGCTCCAGCGATGGCATCACTAAACGAGGAGTCTGAAGATGAAGCAGCGCCGCCTCCGATCAAACGTAAGCGCGACGATTCGAGCAACGAGTTGTCTCTACGACCTGATGACTTCTCCCACCTACCCGAAGTTGATGAGTTGGGTTATCAAACGACTCCGATGCCCCTGAAGCCGATCAAGTCATACTCATATCGCAACATCTTCAGTACAATCAATTATCTGCGCATCCTGCAAAAGATCACTCACCGCAAGACACATCGTGCCTTGACCCTCGTAGGCAGTCACAAGACTCAATTCCTCAGAAAGACGCTGAAGATTCCAGTACAGCTTGTTCGATACTATACCTTGAAGCTCTACAAATCGCAGGTCCCCTTTTGTGGACGCAAGTGGCGGCAGAGCAACATGAAAGTCATCACTGCGGTCTGGTTGTCCGTCCCAGCAGATCTCCGCGACGACTGGCTCACAGGGGGTGGAGGCGGCATGGGCGGCGCATATGTTGGTGACGTGGATGGCACCGTCGAGGACGCCCTCCCGCTTGAACAGAGCTTGCGGACTATCACGCATTGGTGGAATTTACGCAATTTCCCGGACGCCATGTGCGCAACGAACAACGTCCAAGACGAAGGGATGGATTTTTTCACCCGCGAGCTCGAGAAGATGGATTTGTTGAGAGAGGATGAGATGGCAGATAGCCAGAGCCTCGCGGAAGGTTTATGGGAAGGTCCGGTTGATGGCTATTGATATCATTGCACTTACACTGGTGTAGGAAGATCTTGAGGTTGTGCATAACGTTCAAATACAGGTTCTTTGAATCTTTTTTGAACCAGTGCCATCGAACTCGTGACTTCGCCATCGAGTCGTTTGGTACTGTGTCCGGTGCGACACCTGTCAACTAACTAACTAGTCTTTCAACTAACTAAATGATCCAGCAAAGACTGTACCAAAAGTGCCCTGTCCGATTTGACGGATCCATGGATGTCTGCCAGGGATAGGTACATTCAGACGCTGTCCGAACAATCCATGGATAGCAATCTTGAACGAGCTAAAAGCGAGAAGTCCGAAAGGCGTGCAACGATCCAGGGTGAACAGCGAATTGATGACTCATCACTCAATGAGCTCCACTGATTAGTCACCACGGTATGAGCTCAGGACGAGTTCGAAGGCAACTTCATGTACTTCACCTAGGCGATGTGCATCAGTAAATGCATGAAGTAGTTCGTCCTCCAGCTGTTTGACCGAACCCTCTGGCCCGATGCAATGTCATAGAGATGAGCCAGCTTTTTGGGAGCTGTGCAGGTGCAGGCTCGGGTGCCCAGGTGCTGCCCAGGTGTTCAGCGGCTTTATTAGGGTTGTTCCTCGGCTTCGGCTACTCGAATAACCCCATTCCAATGTTCTTTCTTACTTACATCCATACCTACCTACCTAGTAGGTATCTAGTAGGTATCTTCCACAGGTGAACAATCCTGGCGGACAAACCGTTGATGATACTCGCAGGCGACGTATGTGTTATACCAGTCCGCAGAGAGGCAGTGCGGGACCCAGGAACTTTGGTAGCATGTACTGTACGGTATTTAGTCATCACGTCAATTGGATCAAAATTGTTTGCGGCATATGGCAAGGATTCCAGTTTGGAAACACGATGTTGAGTTTCTTACATCTTGCCTCGCATATGGAAACTTTCGATAATATTAAACGTACTGCCCGTATACTAGTGCTTCCAGTGAGGCTTACCATCTAATATAATGACAGGCCATTAAAGAGCTACGGTAAATATACCAATACAGGAGGGCTACATTCGTTACCCAACAGTGCATCGATGGTGCTTCGTATATAGTCCGAGGCTCCCCATACAGACAGCGATCAGTTTCATCAATAGTGACAACAAATACTGACCATAGTAAACACCCTACCTACCTAGGTAGATAGACAACGACAGCTCCCAGGCTCCATTGAGAACACATTTCGCCGTGACCCATTGAAGAGCACGTTCCTCAAAAAACTCGGGCCATGGGCCTTGGCAGTCGGCCCGTGCGCTAAGCTCCTCCCTTCTCTCCCGACTTCTTCCAAACAGCACTGCAGCTCACCAGCTCTCGACGAAAACTCACCCCATCAACCTCCATCATCATCACCTCCACGATGCTGAAGAAGTATGTTCCATCTCCATCAATAGTTCATTGGATCTCTGTGTCGCAATTGGCATCAAAAACGTACTGACTGAGCTACAGCGGCATCGCCCGGTCGCTGCGCGCCTCTGCCCTGCGCAAGCCTGCTTGCCAGCGCGCCTTCCAGCCAAAGACCTTCGTCCCGGCTATCTCTCAGCGCTTCGCTTCCACCGAGACTGGCCAAACTGGACGCATTCATACAGTCATTGGCGCTGTCGTCGATGGTATCGCCTCTCACGCCTACACCGAAGCCTCGAAGGATTTGCCGAGCTAACAATTTCATCAGTCAAGTTCGATGGCGACTCACTTCCTCCGATTCTCAATGCCCTCACCACCGACAACCAGGGCAACAAGCTAGTGCTCGAGGTCGCCGTACGTCTCGAAGAGTTGGGTTGATGCAATACATGCCGAGGTTGGATGCTGACCAGAAACTTTAGCAACATTTGGGAGAGAACGTCGTGCGATGCATTGCTATGGACGGTACCGAGGGTCTCGTTCGTGGTGCCAAAGCTGTCGACACCGGTAACCCCATCCTGGTTCCCGTTGGAAAGGGCACGCTCGGTCGTATCCTGAACGTCACTGGTGACCCCATTGATAACCGTGGCCCGGTCGAGCACACCCAGAAGCGATCCATTCACGCCGATCCTCCACCATTCACCGAGCAGTCCACCTCCGCCGAGGTCTTGGTCACTGGTATCAAGGTCGTCGACCTCCTCGCGCCTTACGCCCGTGGTGGTAAGATTGGTCTTTTCGGTGGTGCTGGTGTCGGCAAGACTGTGTTCATCCAGGAGCTCATCGTACGTATTATTGATCTGGCCTGAATTGGTGCCCAAGATTGACCTGTCCTACAGAACAACATCGCCAAAGCTCACGGTGGTTACTCTGTCTTCACCGGTGTCGGTGAGCGTACCCGTGAAGGAAACGATCTTTACCACGAAATGCAGGAGACCGGTGTCATCCAGCTTGACGGAGAGTCAAAGGTCTCCTTGGTCTTTGGAGTAAGCCGCAAACACCTCTCAAAGTTATTACCATATGCTAACAATTGACCCCCAGCAAATGAATGAACCTCCGTATTTCTCCCCAATTTTCCTTTGCAATCCATGGCTGCGTTCGTTTCAAAAAAACCACTTCTACACAACCTTTTTTCCTGGGGAAAGTTCTGGGTGGATGTACCAAAATCCTGGAGTTGTGATGCGGTGACTCGGGCGGAGGAACTTGTGTCCGCGCCGTGGTGAACTTCACTTCTCCGGGTTGGATGCATCACCTTGCTGTTTTGCCTCACCCCGCTACCTTGCCTCACCTCGCGATCCTCCATCACTTCGCTGTTTAACCTCACCTCACGATCCTGCATCACTTCTCTGTTGAGCCTCACCTTGCTATCCCCGTGATCCAACATTGCCTTGCTATTTGGGAAAACATGCTGACTTTCATCACAGGGGAGCCCGTGCTCGTGTCGCCTTGACTGGATTGGTAAGTGTATTCTTCAGACCCAATTTCTACTCTCATTTCTGACTTTCAAAGGCCATCTGCGAAGAGTTCCGTGACCAGGGTCAGGACGTGCTTCTCTTCATCGACAACATTTTCCGATTCACCCAGGCCGGTTCCGAAGTGTCCGCTCTTCTTGGTCGTATCCCATCTGCCGTCGGTTACCAGCCCACCCTAGCCGTGGACATGGGTCAGATGCAGGAGCGTATCACTACCACTCGCAAGGGCTCTATCACATCCGTCCAGGCCGTCTACGTGCCCGCTGACGATTTGACCGATCCCGCCCCCGCCACCACCTTTGCTCACTTGGACGCCACCACTGTGCTTTCCCGAGGTATCTCAGAGTTGGGTATTTACCCCGCCGTCGACCCTCTGGACAGCAAGAGCCGTATGTTGGATCCCCGTGTCATTGGTCAGGACCACTACAACACCGCTTCCCGCGTGCAGCAGATGCTTCAGGAGTACAAGTCCCTCCAGGACATCATCGCCATTTTGGGAATGGACGAACTCAGCGAGCAGGACAAGCTCACTGTCGAGCGTGCCCGTAAGCTCCAGCGTTTCCTCAGCCAGCCTTTCGCCGTCGCCACTGTCTTCACCGGTATTGAGGGCAAGTTGGTCGAGCTCAAGGACACCATCGCCTCTTTCAAGTCTATCATGAACGGTGAGGGTGATGACCTGCCTGAGGGTGCTTTCTACATGGTCGGCAACTTCGCCGAGGCCCGTGCGAAGGGTGAGAAGATCTTGGCCGACCTTGAGAAGTCATCGTAGATTTCATCAATCGGATGAAGTGGTGAACAATGTGGCTGAGGTCCGACTTTCTGATTTTTGGCGCCCCCACTGTACAGAATTGAAGTGCCAAAGGGAAGGAAGGCCTAATTGAGAATTGTCTGTATCCCTAGATCTCGAAAGCGAAATTTTTCCTTTGTGCGCAAGGATGTGCTGTAGTACATACGATGGTGCTTCTGGTGTAAAACAGCTATGAAATCCTTCACACAATGTAAGATGGACTTACTCTTGGCGATCTGCCACGCCATCGGGAAGTGTCTGTGAGGTTACTCTGCTTGTGATGGGGTCGGCAAGATCCGTCTCCATGTTCGGATACAACAAAACAATGCCTTGAATGCGGATGTTTACGACAATCGCATCAAATCAAAGATTCTTCTGTGATCATCAGAATTCCTCCTGCAAAACCGCATGACCAACACGTGCACTACGCTCATAGTAGATAATTCTCTTTCCACCGAGGCAAAACTCGCCTTGATCTTCTCCCGGGTAGGTGACTAGATGACAACGCTCATGTTTGTGATAAGGACTGCGTGATCTTTGTCACCTAAGACTCCAGATCACAGGCCTCCTCGAACTTAATTCTATAGCCGATAGACCCATGTCACACAAACGGAAGGAACTTGTCACGTTCGGACCCAACTTAGGTCGAATGAGCTTTCAAACAGGTGATAGAAAGTGATCATTTGACCGGTCTACTGTGTGTCAAGACAGCTCACAAGGCAATGTTAGTATTCTCACCGATCGGGAAGGTCGCAAGGTCATGGAGCACACGAATCTCATATTGCGAATTGTTTCTCTGCTGGTGACTTTGCTTTCATGCTGTTGGACATACAATTACTGCTCGTGAACAGTGACAGATCCTGGTGTGCTAGGTGAACGCTGACGTCTTGCGAAGACGGATCTCCCATTTCCCGATCCGCGCACTTTCACGTCTGTATCTCCCAGTCGAGCGTTTTCATCGAGAAGTGAACCTTCACCAGGCTCATCTCGCCAGATTTCAATTTCATCCCAGATGCCCTGCTTGGTCATCAAGGAAGCGACTCGCTGTGCCTGCGCCATGTCTGCGACTTCGAATAGAACGATCTTGACGCCAACCTGCAAAGCCAGTTCCAGCAGTCTCGGATAGAAGCGATCTCCAATTTCCACGTCACTCATTGTAGGCAGCGAGGACGGAACCAGCGCTAGCGGAGGCTCAAACATCCTCACCGATCGAGAAGTTGTGCGTTGAAACTCCTGCGGGGATATATACGGAGGATTGGCGATCAGTATGTCAAAGTCGTCTCGACCATCATCAAGCTGCAACCTCTCTAATGCTTCCAGGATCGGGGGTGGGTCAGAAGTAGCCCCGTTCGCTGTAGTATTCAGCACGTCCGCCTGCACGAAGCCAATCCTTTGCAAAGAACGCCTGCGTGCTACGGAGTCATCGCCAACATTGCTTTGGTCGGCAATACGATGGATCAAATTTTCCCTAGCTATACTCAAGGCTACTCCAGAGACATCGATGCCAACGATTTCGAGCGCGGTGTTCGTTCTCGGTCGCTCGGCGTAGAACTCATGGTGGAACAGGAGAGGAATACAACCGGTTCCAGTGCAAAGGTCGAGCACGCGCAGGGCCGATGAACGATCTTGTTCGATGCTCAAAATCTTCACGAGATGCGTGACAGATGCGGCAGTCTCCTCACGAGGAATCAGCACGCCAGGCCGACATCTAATCTCAAGGGCGCCGAAGAATTGACTCTCCAGAATGTATTGAAGTGGCTCTCCTTGTGCGCGACGGCTGACGTAGGATTCTAGAAGATGACGATGGGTCTTCAGTCCAACTTGCTGAGAGATCTTGATCGAATGCTCTGTCATCCATCGGAGCTCATTTTGAGCCGAGCGGAGGTCTCGACATTGCGGCAGGAGATGAAGGCAGTGCGGACCGATGCGCCGCGCCTGCCATAACGCAGCAGGCCGGATCCGTGGCATTCATTCACTCGTGAGCTTGGTTCTTCAGGTAATTTTGTTCTCTATCCATATAGTGTTCTGGACTGTGTGATTGGCGCTTGAATGTGGAGTAGGCTCACCGCTGGTAACCTTCCATGTGTGAGGGTTCGATGTAAGGAAGGATCATGGCTGGTGAGTTTCCATGTATGAGATACGCTGTATGCAACTCGTTAGGTAGAGCGTGCTCACAAACCTGCATGTCACATTAGCATTAGCCTTTTTACCGCCGAAAATGCCATTTTGGGCACAGTGGTAAGCCGGCGGCAGAAGGCGCGGGCCGCCACTCACAGGTGAGAGGAACACTGAGTATCGGTCAAATCAAATGTTGAGCGTTCACAGCTCAATAAAAACGACACCAGGTCGAGGTGGCCCCTGAAGCCACCGAAAAGCTACCTAATCCTCCGTTTATCCCTCGGCGATAGTATGTGATAAGTCATGAAACTGTACCGTCCGATTGTCCAATTTATGGATGCCTGTATGAGGTCGGTGGTCGTGCCCTTTCAAGCTTCGATTAGATTCCGTCTACTTTACTCGTCATTACCATCACCTGATGACACATTTAAACGTTGCCTCGCCGATTTGAATATTCACCCAACACGTTCCAAGCGTGCTACAACCCGGAGCCGTCATCCAAACACGTACGGCCTCACATCATCGCATCGTGCTGGGAGTTGCGACCGTCATCGATCACCGTTATCAAGAACTTGCCCCACCATTCATTGCTACTTACACGACCGCTGTCGGTAGCCACACTTCAACATGAAGCTCACCTTCAAAGACCTCAAACAACAAAAGTTCATCATCGAAGCCGAGCCAAGCGAAACCATCGCACAATTGAAAGAGAAGATCAGCAGCGAGAAAGGATGGGAACCACAAACACAGAAGCTGATCTTTTCGGGAAAGATCTTGCAAGATGAGAACACTATCGAGTCGTATAATATTGAAGAAAAGGGCTTCATTGTTTGCATGACAACCAAGGTAGGCTCTTACTCTGCAATTGAAAAGAGATTCTCTTGAAAAATTTGCTGACACTGCACAGCCCAAAGTCGTCGCATCAAAACCCGCGGAACCGTCAACTCCTGCGAAGCCTGTGTCGACCCCTGCAGTGCCAGCGGCTCCTGCGCAGTCCTCAACATCCTCGACTACACAACCACCTGCCACGCCTTCACCGGCGCCTGGCGCAGCAGCCACGGCTGGTGGAGCTTTCAACGACCCAAATGCCTTGGCTATTGGCGATCAGCGCAATGCTGCTATCGCAAACATGGAGGCGATGGGTTTCCCGCGCGACCAAATTGACAGAGCCATGCGTGCTGCCTTCTTCAACCCGGACCGCGCTGTGGAGTATTTGTTGACCGGTATTCCCGAATCAGCACCACAAGAACAGCGACCAGCTGCGACCCCCACCGGAGCTGCAGCCCCTGCGCAGCAGCAGCAACCTCAGCAGCAGCCGCAGCAGACCAGTGGAACAAGTGCTCCATCTGCGCCGTCAGGTGACGAGCCTATCAACCTTTTTGAACAGGCCGCTGCGCAACAAGGAGGAGGACGAGGGGCAGCAAGAGGTGCCGGTGGCCTTGCAGGTGCCGGACTCGGTTCGGGTGGTGCTGCAGGAGCCGGGCAAATCGATACGTCAAGTCTTGATTTCCTAAGGAATAACCCTCAATTCCAGCAGTTGCGTCAGGTCGTCCAGCAGCAGCCTGCGATGTTAGAACCCATCCTGCAGCAGGTAGCCGCCGGCAATCCACAGCTCGGGAACTTGATCATGCAAAATCAGCAAGCATTTATGGAGCTTCTGGCCGAGGACACTGGCGATGATGATGTTCAGCTTCCTCCGGGCGCTGTGCATGAGATTCCTGTGACCGAGGAGGAGCGAGATGCTATCGAGAGAGTACGTGTTCATTTCTTGTCGCCATGTTACTAGATTGATTTGACTGACTTTTGAAAAGCTCTGTCGTCTAGGCTTCGATCGCAACATGGCAATGCAGGCCTACTTTGCGTGCGATAAGAACGAGGAGCTTGCAGCAAATTTCTTGTTTGACCAGCCCGACGAGCCTGATGAACAGTAAGCGTAGCACTCGCGCCAGATCGGCAAAGTGTATATGAGAAACGAGATACGGTCATGTGTGCCTAATGATCAAAACCTCACGTGCGGACCACGCCCATGGTAATCCAGCTCCTTTGGCATGCTATGTAGCTCTATCGTCCTCGGATGATGTCCATCTAAGTCGCCCCGATGAACAAATGGTGGCAGAGCTTTGCTCAATTGATCATCGAAGCCATTTGTATGCATAAAGCCTTTGGTGAGATCCTGAGACAAGTGAAGGATAGCCTCTCAATGTGCCATCTGACTCACATATGAGGAAGGAGCACCTTATTGAGTGAACTAATGCACCTAGGTAGGTTCTTGAAAGCATTTGCCTCGAAGCCTTTCAATGTCTACCCAGGCATTGAACGATTTTCACACTCTTCCCACACCTCCATTCGAATAACATTGCCTTGAAAACTTCAGCCTTGCATCGTTTCTGGGATCGGTCAATCGGACGGGGCAGTCCGACTGTTTAATAGAAACGTGCCGGTGTTCCATTCTGCCTTCTCTGCCTAATAAAATTACATACTCTCCCTTTCGCTCGATATGATGAGACTAAAGGCATATATCCTACGCCTTATCTACGTACAAGACTCGTCTAAGCTAAGGTAGAGGTATCCTTCGAAGTACACCTGCACACCGTAAAAAAGTGTACCTTGTAAGATCAGTTATCAGTCATCAAATTGAAGATATGTTGTCTCAGTCATTAAAGTGCCACCGTCCGATACGACCAAGTAATGCCTGTATGAAAACCTCACTTCGGTGTGCAATGACCTTGAATGGGGATCTACGACGCTCGTGATGGACAACAACCATTATTTCAATCGCTACAAGGCTTGATCATGCATGTCCATCATAATGATGAAGCATTCGTTGTCTTCCAATGTTGTGTACTGTTGGCGACTGGCGGTTGTGCACCAAAGCTAGCGGCGGCTGTCATTGGCTGGAAGGCTGGTACCGAGAAGAACAATCTCAAGGGAAGCCGATCGATGTGCATCAAGTCCATCAAGCGACGAGTGTCCTTTGATCTCTCATCGCCGTCAATTCGAGGCATCACCCTTATTACAATGATTTAATGATATTGCTTGCATACCTTGATGCCTTTTCTGCCTATTCGACTTTCATTTGCGCAACACAACCTTTGTGTTGACACGCCCATACGCCTAACATTGCGACCAGATACACACAGCCCGGTCATCGCATCGCTAGTATTGTTGACCACATACCTCGAGCAAAGTAGTAACGCACTCCTCGTGGTCAATTCAAGATTCATACAGTAAATCGAGGGAGCCACAGTCCACAACCTGCATTGTATGACACCCCTCTTGGCTATTGTTGGTCACGTTCTTTTGGCTTTAATCGTTGACCTTCTAGCAGCCCTGGAGTCTTGCCATTGTCGGCTTCGTATCGCGCCGACGCGGCAGTCCAACGGCTCTCGAACACTGACCTCACCATTGATATTGATTTACTCAAATTGATCGCGCGTCGTAGATTTGATTATTTACACTGTCGATGACTAATGAAAAATTGTCTGCTGGAATGAGCAACAGTGGCGCGACTTCCAGACGCCGCACGCCTGGGAAGCCAGGTCGGTTTGAACCTTCCGAGCCGCTTCATATGATGACAAGGAGACACGCCGCGCGAAGCGGCAATGATAACGGTTCACCTTCTCTTAATGGATCTTTCGATGACAATTACAGTCGTCGAGGATCGATCGATGATATAAGGCCGCAAACATCACAGAGTCTTGGCAGTCAGCAATCGGTCAAGGACATTGACATGATGCGCTCGCCTACGCGCAAACGGAAACGATCATCTCAGACGCCACCAGAAACGCCAAACGAGAGACCCGCAATCTTGGACGCTCCTCAACTGATTGTACAGCAATACGACGATAAGCCGAAGGCGTCCGGTATGCAGATCTCCGATCGAGAGAGTGTTGGCAGCGATGAACCAGATGCAGAATTTGGCTCGTTTGTCTTGAAAGCCAAGCCATCGACTGAACTCACGCCAGCGGACTCTGAGGCCGTCTCGCCAATATCTGAAACGTCCAATGCCAACATCTCATTGGCGAGGAAGGTCGAGGAACGCGTGCCGGGAATCGGATTGCCCTTGCAACCTGAGGAGCCAGACGACGTCGATGATGTCGATGAAGGCGCAGATGCTGACGAAATCGACGAGCCCGATGAAGTCGACGATATTGACGATCCTGACGACCAGGCGAAGGGAGAAGGTGATAGTAGATCTCGTCGGAGATTTTATGGCAGACGGCGCGCTGATCATCACGTGCCGGCGATTGAAGCAGCCATGAGACGACAGCTGCAGCTCAAATCGTCATTTCGAGCCATTACGCGTGCACTCAAACCAGTACTGGCGGAGATAGCGCTCAAGACTGTGGAGCAGCTCGAACAAGATCCTACGAAGCACGAGCAAGTGGTCGAATTCACCGGCCACGAGTCAGAAAACGGCGTTGATCAACAAATCGCGATGGCCTTCGAGCGTCGTAAGGCTCAACTGGATGCACAGCTAAAATGGAACAAATTGCAGCTCCAGCGGACTCAATTGGCTGGGCAGGAGATCAGTAGATCAAAATGCGATCTACAGATCGAACAGGCGCGGGAGGAGCATCTAAGCGATCTCGAACATCAATGGCTCGTGTTAGCACGTGAAGCTCAAGTTAATCAACACCAGGAGCCAGCAGAGACTGACGACGAAGACGATGATATAGTGGCGAAGCTGAAGGGTATGGCTTACCGCTGTCAACGCACAACTGCGCTTGACTCCAAGTACGATTCCAGAAGTCGTGTGGCCATCGAGACTCAACGTGCCATAGACGGACTGCAACTTCGGTTCGAGATGTTCGAGATGCTCAGAGATGAAACAGGCGAGCATCATGTGCGCCCAGTCGATTTTACTATCATGGACAATGAACGGCGACAACTTGCAATGGCTCGTCGCGACGCGTGCACGAACATTCAGACAATCCTTGCCGCTTTTGAGGAAGAAGAGCGGATAGCCAAGATTTCCAAGATCCCCGTGATTCCGAACGAGATGGCGCACGGATTACAGCTACTAGGTGACCTCGTTTCGCGGCCAATTTTCGACCGAACACCAGCGTTCCTTCCCCCACCGAGGCATCTGCCCAGTCTCAGCTATGTACAGCCTGGTCAGCATAGTATGCGACCACCTCCCCTACGTCCACCGATACACATGGAGGTGCACGAGCACGACATGTCGCCGCGAACTCAACACTACATGGAACGTCCCACGCATGGCAACACCTATCATGATCACTCTAGACACGGCAGCTTCTCAGATTCATCCCGTCGAGACCTGCATCTTCTGTCTCCGGCGTCCAGCACCAGTCGAGCTGGTTCTTTGGTCCCGCTCGCGATGAAGCTTGCTGAGCACGAGCACGATGCCCACAGAGCAACAATGGCTCCATATCGTCATGCAAGCTATGAGCCCGGTCTGCACCCTGCTGAACGGCCCGACTCCTCATATCGAAGCTCACGAGAAATGGATGAGATGCCGATGGATTATTATCATCGTCGTCAATTCTCATTCGACCATGCTCCAAGACCTTTGCCTCCGCCAGATCGATCTGTGCATGAATTTTCTCGAGGTGGACCACTCGTTATCGAACGCATCGAGCCGCGAGATTCGTTGAGACACGGTCAGCATCGATCTGAGCTGATGGAAGATCCCAGCATCAATGATCAAGCATACCCGCCACATTCGGTGAGATGGGGTGGGCCACAAAGTCCCGAGGATCATGATGCCCGACCAGACGAAAGGCCATCTCCCACGCCGAAGAATGAGCTGTCTCGGGAGGATTCCGACAACAAAGCTCCACCAGCGCGAAACGCTTCCCTGAATCTTTCCGCGGCCGATTTCAACGGCAGTAAGGTACGGGCACCTCGCCAGCCGCGTCACAAAGGCGTCAAGATCAATTTTGGCACAAAAGGCACCAAATCTGAAAGGACAGGTACGACGCGGAGGGCTTCTAAAGCGCAGAATCAGGAAGAAAAACGTCCGTTGGAGCCCAATTCGCCCCGTGAAGCAGGACCGTCGATCCATCGCTTCCGCCTCAACACTGATCAGCGGCCACGAACACCACAGCAAGGCCAGCCATGGCAAGGCTCGCCGCCACGTACTGCTCCACTTCCGCTGCCTCCTAGCGAATACATCTATACATCTCAGTATGGACATACTGCACCGCCACCGATGGGTTTCGGCTATGGACCGCCTCCATATGAGCACCATGCGTCTTACCCTCATCCATACCATCACCACCGAAACGGTGGACCGGGACAAACGTCACAATATTCAGGGCCTCCTCCACTGCCTCCGCCGCCCGGAGGATGGCAGCATCAGCCTCACAGTCCGCTCTATGGAGTTCCTCAGCCTGTGCACCTTGCTTCTGACCCATGGCAGCAGCATCCACCGCCACCGCCACCGCCACCTCCAGGCTACCCTCGAGCTCCATCATCTCGCGATGGCCCACTTTCATCAAGCATAGGACATGCCCCGCCACATGGTAGTCCATACGGACCGAGCCACTTCGGGCAGTATGGGGGGCCTGCGCTCGCTCCGGCCACACCAGACGGGAGGGTCTGGCATGCTGGCTCAGGACCGTCGCACGCACCTGCATTTGCACAACAGCAGAGACAACAGGAAGGAGCTGGCACCAGCACCAGCACCGGCGGCCGGCAACGACGACGCACTAACAGTGATGTGCCAGCCAACTCCAAGTTTCAGCATTGGGCGCCGCGCCGTCGAGAGTGACGTGGCGGGTACTGAGAATACAAGCCAACCAGAATGGAGTTCATTTCTGATTTATATTGCTATCTTCATTGTATCAATCATATCACAGTGACCAATTACACTTGTCTATAGATCTGATTGCCTCACGCGCCAGCTAAGATTCGCGGCCCTCTTAATGAAACAAATGAGTAACACACATGTACAGACATAGCCATGTAATCGATTCAGCAATAGCATCGAACATGAAAATCGTTGAGTTATCAAAGAGCGTTTATGCGAAATGACCCGTCAGACTGGCAAGCCATCTGAGCGGCAATGCAAATAGCTCGTGGTAGATCCCTGTCCAGCCTGCGCGCGCCAATTCACTACCTGGTGGCCTATCCTAATCTTCACTGACAATCCATAGATATTGTAGCCACCGTCATTTGTACTTCTCGTTTGAAGTGCTCACGAAAGGGCGCCGACGATGGTGCAACCCTTTTGATTTTCGGAGAGATTAAAATCACGACGAGGTAAGTTCATGCTGGGATACTTTACACTCGATGGAGGAATACGAACCCAGCGCAAGGACAAAGTTTATTCCATGCCCACGAGGTGCGTGCAGAACTCAGTCAAGAAGAGCGCCCAAATACAACCCCCGGACATGTAGTGATGGGATTATTCATCAACAACGAGGCTCGGCGATTGATCACCCAAATACCACGGATCTGAGCTTTACTTGTTATTTGCTAAGCTATCGAAGCGCTTCATCCTTTTTGAGCAAGCCCTGGGTCTAATGAACGGTGGATGGGCACCAGACACGAGCGTTTATCAGACACAGTGGCTGCTCCAGAGAAGTATACGGGGATTGAGCTGCATGACGGCAAAGAGCCCTGGAGCGTATGCAGTAATGCATGCAAGTCTCGGCGTCAAAATCGATTTTGCATGACAGTACGGCAGATACCGTACCCTACCCGGTCATCGGCGGCTAGCAATAAACCATCCAAGGAAGGTGAATAATGTCTTTCGGCACGCCCGGGTGAAGAAATGCATTTCGATCAAAGCTCCTGATGAAAGGTACAACATGGCTGTCGAGATTGTGTTGGGTGAGTCATCGTGTGGTTCATCCCGTCACATGGAACAATCCGATCAACACACCAAAACACAAGTTCACGAGTCATCAAGCCTCCCTAAGTACTATACCTAGGTAGGTACTCAGAATCCACCGGCGTAAATGATTTCCAATAGCCCGTACGTGCCCTCGAACTAGATCCATGTGTGCAATGACGATGACAAGCAGTTTCGGGGGCTACCAACTTGATTTCAGAGGAGAAATTGAAAAAATTCCCCGGGTGCACAGCCGTCGAGGAACCCGTGCACCCGCCCGTCTACCGAAACAGATTGGACTGGAAACGGCCGACAACGGGCAAATTGACAGCGAATGGGGCCAGAAGGAAGTCGATCATGACGGCCCCGGGGTGCAATCGATGCGACGGAGGGTGCCCGAAGAATTGCCATTGGCCGGTTTTCGCTTAGAGTCGCTTGCGTGTCGCAATATGAGGTGGAATTCATGGACTGCGTATCGATTTTAAATAGATATAAACTATCTAGGTGGACCGCTGGATAGCCTACTTCCGACCGGGCGGTACGTTTCCTCCTGTTCTTGTTCTTGTTATCCTTGTCAACGACATCTCCTCATCATGGCAACACAGCGCATGATTTCCGTCTTTGGCGTCCACGCGGGAGAGCAAACAAGCAAACCCTGCCACGAAATGATTGACGATGAGACAGCCTCGCCATGAATAACAAGATCATCTTGGTAAGATGAGTGTGAGATTCCTAGACCTGGCGCGCTGGTCCTGCAGAAGTCTTCCCGCGCATGCATATGGTGAAATTCCACCGTCAGGCAAGTCATTTCCGTGTCATCGCCCCAATGCACTCTTCTCGCAGCTTAATGCAGGAGCTGCTCTAGTGTGCATATCGCAAGCCAGTTTCATCTCTTTCCAAGTGCACATCAGATCTCTTGCCAGCGTACGTCGCCCTTCATCAACGATGCCGTCGCCGTCGCCGATGGATCCTGGTCGTGCTTGCATCGTCAGCTGCATCTTCTCGTCCTTCTTCTGCAGCTGCAGCTCTTCCCTCTTCCTTGTTCCTGTTCGCCTCCGTCTCCGTCAGCTACCGCTGGCCTCACGTCTCCGGGAACCGCTGGCTTCATTGTTCGCTTCTGCATCCTCGTCTGCTGCATCGCGCACGCCTAGGGCCACCTCGTTTCAGAGTCGTGATGCTGGCACTGCCATTCTCTTCGCTCCTTCCGCATTGAATTGTTGCTACGCGCCTTCTAATACCCTTCATTTGTGTGCCCTCGTTGATCGTTGCTATCACGCCGAGGCCTGATTTGGTCCTACACTGTCGCTACTGTTCTACATCGCTCGCTTCCGAATCGATCAGCCTACGACTCTACGACACTTTACGCGCGCGCCATTAATGATTAATATATCGATCAAGGGCAGCTGTTGCCTTTTATGATCCTGCTCATCCATTCGCTTCCTCTCGAATTCACTTCCGTCTAGTGACATGGCCGAACATCCCGAGCAGCCATGGCAATACTACGAGAAGGTACGCGAATCCCCAAACAAGACTCTGTCGGAGTGTCGAAAGTCTGACTGATGATATCGTGCTAGACCAACTTGTTGCTAGAGGTGATCAAGAGCTCACGAATCCACCCACATCTCCTACGAGACATAATTTTACAGTACCGAATTGCCATTCCTGCTCTCGAGGAAGTCGCGCTTCCACAAGGTCAGCATGATTAAAGCTGCATTGCACGCCATGTTGTCACGAGTTAACAAATCTTTACAAGCAGGTCGCTCACTACGCTCTTGCTCCAACATTCTGGTGGAATTGGGCTTAACGACATACCCGCAAGGTCAGCCACAACAATCAAGTCAACATCCACAACATTTTGGCGGACCTGTACAACAACAACTGCCACATACGCCAACGCAGGTATTGAATACATATACACAACAGCCTCAGCCTCAACCCCAGCACCGTCCCTTGCAAGCTCAAATGCATTCATCGTTGTATCCTGTGATCGGTGGTAGGGCCATTCGACCAAAGACATCGACGCCGGCGATCAATCCACATGGCTCTCCTGCGCCCACAGAGCCGCCTGCCAAAAAGAAACGTGGACGTCCTACTAAAGCGGAGGTCCAGGCAAGAGCAGAGGCTGCAGCTGCAACAGGCACGGAGTCAGGTCCGCCGACGAGACCCGCTTCACAGGCGGCAACACCACGGGTACCACCACCACCGCTGTCAACAACAGCGGCAACGACGACAGCGACAGCGACAGAATCGAGACCTGCACCTTTATCTTCCTCCACAAGATTCTCTATCGCTCACATACTGACGCCAACCACTGTCACACAGAGAGAGAGCCCGCCAAGCAATCATTCAAGTGGTGGATCATCAGGCAGGAGGCGAAGAGCGCGGGCTCGACAGTCGTCAGGGCCTGAAGAAAGAGCAACAGCGAGTATCTCCGGAACCCGCGCGGAACAATCGCCAGTGCTTGCTGTCCCTCGTCAACGCGAGTCTGGTGGTAGCGTGTTTGAGGATACTCCAATTCGCTCCATTCACGGCCAGCTTGACCAAAGTGACGAGCTTCGCCTACCGCGCACGTCGCCACGTTTACTCAATCGCCCAGAATCGAGATTGTCCCCTCGCGGATCCGATCCTGCTCGACTGTAACGGAGACACACATCATCGAGCATGTTTTACGATCGTTTCAACCATTATTCATTCTCTTGCGTCCACTTAGCGGGATCAATCATCACTTTACGTCGCCACGGCCACATTTGGGCAGGAAACATTGAATCTTTTTCACACTTGCGGATTTGATTGCCTTTTTTTCGGACATCGAGCTGCGGTGGATTGTAGTCAATTCTGAAGATACTCGTCGCCGTAGGCTAGGCTATGGTTGCCACGAGTCCACGTTTGGGATCACATGGTGGCCTCTCGGAAGACAACGCGTACTATCAAATCAACCTACACCAATCAGCCTCCATATCAGCTGCCAAATATCACGACCATTACTCATTCAAGAATAACTTCTCACATCATCTAATCGGGCTCTCATTATACCTTCGAAAGATCAGGAGGAGGGATGTCCTTGTTCAGGGAAGTCAACTCTCAAGAGCAGCCTACTAGGCCAAGGACTATCGCCTCTCCAAAGACGGCTCACCTTGGGATCTCTTCCACTCCAGAAGGTAGTTCCATCTAGTCTACGACTCTACGCACACTCAGATCACGAACGCGAGCACCTCACGGATTCATGTGAGCGATAAATTATCTTTCCCATTTTGGTGGTGCAATCTGTTTTGAGGCATGAGAAAAGACCTCGCTTCTATTCGACGCTGCTTGTACTGTAATTATATTTAATGCCTGAGATTTGGTAGGATACTTACGGCTTGTAACAATCTCGCGCTTCTTTCACAAATTTGTCAACTACCTAGGTACCTATGTATAGAGATGTTGAGATGAGTTAAATTGGTGATTCCCCTCAGATCGTAGTGCTGTTACTGTAATAAGTCAACTCGTCGACGCCAACTATACAATCCAAAGTCTGTGAGATCAAGGTGATCAAGCTCCCCTCATTCTGATGAGGGGAAATATCGCAAAATCTCGATGATGCTGTTTATCCGTGAAAGTTCATGATGACCACCGCCGCAACAGCAAAAAGGATACTTCACATATTATTCATTGTCCCTGATGAGGAACGGGGAACGGCTCGCTGATCTCCACATCCGGAAGGTCGGGTAAATTTTGTCGATGACTCAGCAGTCGCCTGCAGATGGCGCGGAAGGACAATCACAGTGAAATGGCCTACACTGCGAATATCGCGATTAATGATCTGTAAAAGTCGTGTCCTTCATGCTCTCAGGAACGTGCCCGATTTTACAACATTCGTCGCGACGCAGGTATTGCCATCACAAGGCGCAAAAAGGCTGGACCACATACCTGCTTCATAGAGCAGATTAAACATTCTTTACGCGCAAAGTGGCATCATCAGTCTGGTTTGCCTTGACCATACCAATTGTATGACCAAGAGTGTATTCCGAGCGAAGAAGTGAGGCATCATTCAAATACAGTCATTATCCAAGTGCTTTTCCGTGTCGAATACTCGCGCCCGAAATTAAGCCATCTCGCCAATTCAGGAATTTGACAATTTTTCCCATGCCTTCACATTTCCAGTGCAAATAACGCTACGACACAAGGCTTTCATGTCCCTTGATAAATGCTACGTTACTTGGCTGTCGAGGCAGAGCCAACGCTCGTGACCGCCTCGCATCAGACGCGACTTTGCAAGTCCTCCGCACGACTCACTCCCGACCCGCGTCAGACACCAACACCTTAGGCCAGCTCAACGACATCATGCCTGAAGACGGCTTCAAACAAGAGAGCTTGGAACTGGAAGTGCGTGGGATGAATTTGAAAGAGGAGGATCGCGACGTGGATATGAATAATGACTCTGGCGCGGCCTCGTTGAAACAAGAGCCCTTTGCTCGGGTCGCCGCTCTCCGCAGCAGCACAAGCACACCAACGGGACTGCGACGATCGGCTCAGTCCCCAGCGAGCAGCTGCGGTGGAAGCCAATCCACGTCTGCGATGAATGAGCAAGAGACAACGGTGGGTGGCGATGTATCCATCAAATTGGAGGAAGGCAAGCCACTTAAGCTGTCACGCTCGACTACGCAAAAAGTCGAGAAACGAGCGGCACGGCTCTGGTTCGACCACGAGGATGCGACGGCCGAGGCCTGCTCGACTTTCGACAAGTTAACCGAATGCACATACGCAAATAAGAATTTGGGCATCACAGAACATGCGTTGGAGTGTGATTGCTCGGAGGAGTGGGGTAAGCAGTCTTGAATTCCAAAATGGCTTGCGAGCCTAGCCTCACACCTGATACATTATGCTGATTGATGGATAGATGGCGCAACGCGGACGAATCAAGCATGCGGCGAGGACTCAGATTGCATCAACCGCGCGACCAAAATGGAATGCGTCGGGGACTGCTCCTGTGGCACTGGCTGTCAGAATCGGCGCTTTCAACACAAGCAGTACGCGGATGTTGCAGTCATTAAGACGGAGAAGAAGGGCTACGGTCTACGCGCCAACACCGATTTACGTCCAAATGACTTCATCTTCGAGTATATCGGCGAGGTGATAGGAGAGAATGTCTTCCGGAGACGAATGCAGCAGTACGACGAGGAAGGCATCAAGCATTTCTACTTCATGTCGTTAACGAAGGGCGAGTTCGTCGACGCCACCAAGCGAGGCAATCTCGGTCGCTTTTGCAATCACTCTTGCAACCCCAACTGTTACGTGGACAAATGGGTTGTTGGGGACAGGCTGCGGATGGGCGTTTTTGCCGAACGCAAGATTGAGGCAGGAGAAGAGTTGGTGTTCAACTACAATGTAGACCGGTATGGCGCTGATCCACAGCCGTGTTATTGTGGCGAGCCGAATTGTACAGGGTACATTGGTGGCAAGACACAGACAGAACGAGGCACGAAACTCTCCAATGCCATCATCGAAGCGCTGGGTATCGAAGACGCCGAAGCATGGGACACTGCTGTGGCGAAGCGTCCTCGCAAGAAAAAGGCAGGCGAAGACGACGAAGAATATGTCAACAATGTCGAACCAAGAGGCTTGGATGAGGAGGGCGTCAACAAAGTCATGTCGTCTCTGATGCAGTGCAAGGAGAAATGGATTGCAGTGAAGCTTCTCACTCGGATACAGCGTGCGGAAGACGACCGCGTACGCAACCGTGTCGTGAGATTTCACGGCTATCGAATTCTTAAGACAGCCCTTACTAATTTCAAGGACGATGTCAATGTCTGCATCCAAATTCTGGACATCCTCGACAAAATGCCGAGACTCACACGCAACAAGATCCAAGATTCCAATATCGAATCAACAATCACGGAGCTAGCCGCCGTGGAGAACCAAGGTGTGGCATCCCGGGCACAGGCACTGGTCGATGCTTGGGCGAAATTAGAGATCGCCTATCGAATCCCTCGAGTGAAGCGAGATCCCAATGCCGCTTTGCCTGATCGGAAGTTGGACAGGTTAGAAAGACGAGGCGAAGACAGACGGCGAAGCAAGTCAAGGACGCGTTCGCCGGAGAGAATCCACGCACCTACGGGACCACGCAACAATGCACCGTCAAGGCCGTCCGCCTTTTTTTCCAATCCACGACCATCACGACCACGTCCCACCGCACCGATGGGTGCTCTACCCGTCGGTTGGTTCGAGGCGACGGCGGCCAATGGATCAAAATACTATTACAATCAGACCGGCGATACCACATGGCAAAGGCCAACTATGCCCACTCTATCGGCGCCTCCGCCACCGCCGCCGAAGGTGGTCTCAGACCAACAAGTTCTGTCCGATTTGATCAAGAATATTGTCTCTTCGAAGAAGGAATCCAGCAAGAATCCATCTGCGACTGCCACGCCGGTTGAGACGCCCAAAAAGGAGCGCAAGGAGGATAAATGGCGCTCTTTGCCAGAAGACAAGCAGAAAAAGCTGTACGAGAGCGCGTTGCAGCCTCACATCATGCATGTTGTTGGCAAATTTAAGCACAAGCTTCCTAAAGACGATTTGAAGCGCTGGGCCAAGGAGTTCGCGAAGCAGGTTGTCAACTCCGACTTCAAAAAGAAACGCGTTGAGGACGTGCACAAGATCAGTGACAAGAAAGCCAAAGAAGTCAAAAAGCACGCACAAGTCTTCTTTGATAAGGCAGTGAAAAAGAAAGGGGCTGCCGAGAAGAAGAAGGTGGAAAAGAAGGCCCTTAAAGAGCAAGACGGAGACGCCGCCGTCGGCTCTCCACAAGCTGATGAGGGCAGCCCGACGCTTGAAGACATCGAGGAGGCCCTCTCTGATCACGATATTGAGGAGAACGGAGCAGAGGCAACGCCTGCGGAGTCTACGGATAGCTTCATGGTCAAACGCAGGAGAGACGACGAAGTAACAGATGACGAGACTGCGGAGCAGCTGCTCAAAAGACAACGGGTGGAACTCGAAGATGCGCCACCGCCACCCCCGCCACCGCCGCCGCCCGCGGAGACTGGATTGTCGAATGGAGCAGACGGTGAGGAAACTGATGTCGTCGCTGCTGTTATAAGCGGAGATCAGGACCATCAATTGAGCAACGGCGGCGACGACTTCGACGCTCACAGTGCTACCGGATTGATGGCCGTCACAATCTCCAAGCCTGACCTGGAACCTTCCCAGGTAGCGACACCGCCAACCACCGGCTCGCCTGACCAGGGTGACGCAGAGATCGAGAAGTAGAGGGTATTTTCGGATGCCTTTCGCAGGATAGGCCGACGAAGTAATCCTCTGCATTCAATTCATAAGACAACATCGCAGGATTGCCGGGGGGCATCGTATTTAGTTGACTTTCATATCCTCAGGATGCTGTACATTTAGTAATCACTCTTGGCTTGTCCTTAATGCAGCCCTACCGTGGCGCCGTCATTTTTCATTGCTTCAACACCACGCGTCCTGCCTATCAACTTGATTGAGTCATAGGGGAGCACGTGATCGACTCGCGACGTGCGCATCTGTTCAAGTTGGTCACGTCCACGGGCGCTCTTGGATAGCATTTGAAGACTACCTAATCACATCGAACACCTTGGCATGCAAATCTCGCACCGTACCAGGTTCGCTGAGCCACGCGTCCAGCGTCGTTAGCTTATTAACGCTAGCCGATCCTGGGGATGACATGTGTATGCACAGTATTTGATGTTCGGCATGGCTCTCCACTTTCCTGCGACAAAATCTCGCTCATATCCGATACCGATACGAAACTGCAATATGAAGAATCAGATTTCCGCCTGTCTTTGCTTACTCTTGGGAACAATGGCACAGGCAAGCGAACGCCAGATTCTGGTTTCCTACCCTGAGGATACCCCTCACCACATTCTCCAGCAAGCAATCGATGCCGTCAAACAGGCGGGCGGCACGATTCTACACGAGTACACATTGATCAAGGGTTTCGCGGTGGGTGAAAGTTTGAGATGATGCTCCAGGAGAAGTTTGAACTGACAGCTCGGTGGCAGGCCAAGGCATCCGCTGAGGCGCTTGACACCGTGCGGACATTTGGATACAACGTGGAGATCGAGGACGATGGCCTTGCCACGACCATGGGCTCGACTTGAAGGATGTATGACAGACTGAATGTGCCCGACACAACGATGGCTCGAGATGAAGAACGGTCACGTCATGTGTATGAACGCTCTGTGGGAGCCGCGTCTACTATCCTTTGAGGTTCTCTATGCTGGTTCTATGAAAGTGATTTGCACCGATGAAGTGCGACCTTATTTATCACAGACCCCGACCTGCACCCGCTGATAAAACTCCATAGACGCGCACATGCAGAAATGTCGCATTTCACAACAGGAATGCCCAATTGCAACAGATATGAGGGACTGTAATTGCTCGCGAGATATGGAACAGGACGGGTAGGGTTCCAAGGTTGTAGTAGTCTTGTGCCTCGAACCTGATGGTATGTGAATGACGTGCTCCCGTCGCACGGGGCGGCCCGCAAACACCATTTGATCCGCAACATGTCTCGCGATCACGGGCTGACAACACTGAACAAGTCTTGCGCAGAACAAGTTATAACTTGTGCAGGACAATCTCCTCGCGCCGACCAATTGACCGTCATCAGACTACACTCAACAAGATCCTCTCAACCAAAGTCAAGGCTCAAGTGCTCGACCAAACGCGTTGGCCAGGGATTTACACGGAAAACACTGCGGCCCTACGTTCAAGACAAGCTGGCTCGCGACGTGCATGCGGTCTCTGCGTTGGAAAAGAGGAGGCTCTCATATATTCGTGAGCAGAAAGAGCTTTGAATACCTTCAGGACCTCAATTGTTGTTGTTTTGAACCGAGCCGTAGCTAGCAACCTGTCATCACACGTGCTGCCATACTTCTTTCACTGTGAAGGTCGTTCCTGTGTGGATAGCCTCTCGAGAATCTATTGATGGTCTGATTCTGGGCAAAAGAACATCAGTTGGAGGGCAGAAGAAATCTTTCAACGTCTGGGCCGAGTCCCACAAGTGGGGTTCATCCTTCCCTCGAGGTACCCACGTCTGCCTATGGTTTATAGCATCACCGGTGAAACGTGAAGTGTGCTGTCTCTCTCGCGCGTAAAATCATCATGTCTTCGAGGTCACCTAGAGGTTCTTTCTCCGGCGTGTCCTCGGCCGATGTTGCCGCCGATTTTGAAGACTCCCTCAAGGATCTGGGGGCAAACAACCGCTACGAGATTAGCAATTTGACCATTATCGCGAAAGAGAGCACCGAACACGCTGAAGCTATCTCCAATGTCCTGGAGAATCATATCAAAAACGTGAGATCGTCCGCACATACTCTCGTATATCCACTGGGCGGTACCTTTGCTGACCTTGTCTCATCATCACCAGACATCGCCCTCACGAAAACTCCCAGCCCTCTATGTGTTGGACAGCATCGTAAAGAATGTGGGAACGCCGTATAGTTTCTACTTGGGAAGAAATCTATTTCGCACGTTCATGGACGCATATGTCCTGGTCGATTCCGCCACCAGAAGGAATATGGAGGGCATGTTGAAGACGTGGAAGGAGCCTGTGCCTGGATCAATTGATTCTCGCCCTGTTTTCCCTCCCGAGAATGTACGGCCCATCGACAACGCGTTGATAAAAGCGAAGACGGCTGCGATCCAGAATCAGCGCCAAGCACAGCCGTCTCAGGTCGCATACAGGGGCATTGCAACGCCGCCCCAGCACAATGGGCAGTTCGCACCTCCGCAGAATCAGCCACACCAGCAATTATACGGAGGCCTCCATAATCAGCAAGTAAGTCAAGTCATTCTTTAGTTGACAAAACGATTCTCATTCGTATTGTCTAGGTACCGCAGCAGCACACATATGCCGCCATGGGCAACCAACCATCCTCAGAACTAGAGATTCTTAAACGAGACATATCCCTTCTCATATCACGCGATAGGCATATGGTCTCTTTGAATCCTGCTGATATCGGTCTACAAACGCGCTTGCAAGCATTGTCTGATCTGAGGAATCTTCTCGATATGCGGAGCTTCGTTCCGAATGAATTGCAGGCCATAAGAGCGCAAGTCCAACAAATAGCACCATCCGCACCAGGACCACCTCAATCGTCGACACCACAACCGCCACCGCAATGGGCGCAAAGTAGCTCAGCTCCTCAACCTTACCAGGCCCCTCAACCCACCTTCCCAACAGCCATCTCACAGCCCAACATACCGGCACCGCCTGTCCTCAATCCGGCGGCGTTGAGCGGGCTACAGGCATTGTTGGCCAATGTGCCGAAGCCTAGCACACCTCAGCTGCGTGCTGCTTTGCCTGAAATGCGTAGCGCGAGTCATTCCCAGCTTGATGCGATTCAGCACCATACAGCTGTCGCACCGGCCGCTAGTGGTGCAGCTGACCTGCTTTCCTCGCTAGCCAAAGCAGGACTTATCAAGCCCACAATAAACGTAACAAAGCCTAGCAGCAATACCGTGCCAAATCTGTCCCAAGGTCAGACAGCTATGTTGCTGAAGTCTTTGCAAGGCGTACTCCCGCCTTCAGGGCAAGGTATACTTCCTGTGGCAATGCCCGCCCAGCGCATAGCAGCAAAAGTGCATGTGCCTGTCTCTGCAGCCTCTCTGAAGATTTATCGACCGGAGATTATTTCGTCACTCTACGATGCGCAGCCAAACCAATGCAGTACCTGCGGTCGGAGATTCGAGATGACGGGCGTGGGCAGGGAAGAGAAGAGCCGACATCTCGATTGGCACTTCCGAACAAATCAGCGCATGGCGGATCCCAATTTGAACCGAGGGCATCATCGAAATTGGTACGTCGATGAGCTCGAATGGGTTCGACACGTTGAATTCGATCCATCCACAGCTGCGACCGGAGCTGGCGAGGTCGACGCTGCGACCAAGCCGAATAAGCAGGCAGCCGAGCAGTTCGTCCGGGCGCCTCCAGGTATGACCAAAAACACATGCAACATTTGTTTCGAAGAGATGAAGAGCAGCTACTCCGAAGATCAACAAGATTGGATCTTCGCGGATGCTACCCTTAGCAACGGCAAGATTGTTCACGCGCAATGTCACGCCGAAATGAGCAAATCGCTCCCTTCTACAGGCGGAGGCGCGCTGAGCGGTATCTTCTCCAACAACAATGCCGGCGCCCGGGAGCGGAGTGCGACTCCGGACTCGACGCTCGGTAAGAGGAAAGCGGAGAGCGCGATGGTCGGGAATGGTGCACGCTTGAAACTGTCACAGTAGCTACACTAGTCCAATTGTCGTTCAAATACCATTTCTCTATTGATCGCGATGTGGCCCGAAACGTGGGATGTGTTACATGTCCCCACAGGACAGATATTTTGCCGCCAAGTCGACAGATTTACCTCCATCAAATGGTTCTCCAACACAAGTGGCCACCGTCGACCAGGTTTTGATGAACAATCACGTGGATGTTGGGCTTACACGTAGAGCAATCTGTCGAGGGGGTTTTCACGATGCCAAGGCGTGCGCTGTGAGATGCAGGGTTGGGATGATGGAAGGTCGATCATGCACTGACGGCAGGAGGAACATCAGTGCAAGCATTGACAACGCAGAGGCAATTATCAAAGTTCAACTTGGTATACATTTGTTAATCATGTTAGGGGCAATCTGGCCCAGATGCGGGTATCTCTGACGGCATAATACATTCAGATTCGTCATCGGAAAAGAAAATCAGAGCACCCGCCCATAAACACTCCCATTACGCCTGCGCTTGAAACCCAAAATTTCGCTCTTCGTAAGTCCGACATGACACTCGTAAAAGCATGCTCAGTATCCGGCTTGTTGACTTGCATACCATCCTTCAATCTCCGCCAATCGAGCTTTCATCGCGCTTGCTTCTTTCATCAATGCCAGATTATCTGCAGACAGTGTCTGGATGTGTTGGATTGCGCTTTGAAGGATGGTGGATTTGCTTGGTTTGTCGTCAGCCAGTATAGGGGAGCCACCGGTGGCGGACTTGGATGCGACGACCGTGGCTTGCAGCGATTTGATGCCGGCATTCAAGGCTTCACGATATCTGAGAGGTATATCAGCAATCGTTCGATGGTCTCAAGTGCGACTCTCTGAAGCTTACCGTCGCTCCACAGCTGTGTGGGGAATGCGCTGCCGCTTTCGGCTGCGTTGCTTGCTGTCGCCATCGAGAACGAAATCTTCTTCTTCGCCCTCACTCCCAGCCAATTTCTGGCTTGTAGGGCAGGATGTGACCTGCTGCAGTCTTCGTCTTGTGGCTACCTCTGGCGCGGTGCTTGAACGGGCAATGAGAGGTCGGGATGATTCGTATAGGCTTGCCGCGGGCACCTGCGGGCTGGTGCCGTCGTATGAGCTCGTTGGGCTGTGAGTCGAGGAAGCTCCTACTGAGCGTGCTGAAGGCACCTGGAGATTGTGCTTCGAGTCGGTGAAAGGCAGAGACGGGAACACTTCCGAGGACGGTGTGCCGAAGGTCATTGTTGAAGGCGAGTGAACGTCATAATCGGAAGTCCAGTCGGCGTCGCTTGCATAACTCAAGTGCGGCGAGAGCATTGCGGGTGTGTTGCCGGCGTATGCGTCGTCGAATCGATCCTCTTGAAACATGCGAAGATCTGTGTTGTGCATGCCACCTTGACCGGCGTGCCAGTTTTGAAGAGGGAAGGAGGGCTGTCCCTGATATGAAACTCGCCATGTGTCGGACATGGGATCGATGATGTGTTCAGGTGTGTCGAACGGCGTAACCGAGTTGAGGTTGACAGAAACCATAGCAGTCATCCTGAAAATGAGGCGGAGTGATACTCGAGAATAAGGAGTCGCCGATAGTTGAGAGCTGAAGGATGTAGAGATGGTTGAGACGAGAACACCGTGAAGGGAAGTGATCGACCGAGGACTCTTATATTCTCTTCGTCGGAGATTACAGACCGCTGCAGCATTTACGAGCCAGCAATATGACGGCAACTCCGGAACGAGGGCCCTGTCCGCGCATTTCCCACATGGTCCAGGGCGCCATGGTCGACGCCTTCGTAGGGGTTTCCAGAAGCCCTGCGCACCCGCACGAGTCCTGTGTGCTGCACAATGCACACAATCAATGCATGGATGCAATCAGTGATTGGAGCTCGCCAAGTCTGCCATGCGCAAGCCACTGGCGCCTCGCTTGGATGCGTTGTGCCTTCCCAACTCACGTGGAAACTTGTCGGTCCGCATGGGTTGGTGGTGGTGGTGATGGGCGGTTTCGGGCTCGACCAAAGTCGACGCAAGCACGGCAAGAGCCCTCTGTGTTCTCCCGGGGTGCAAAGGGACGCGTTGTGATGAAACTTCTTCTCGCCCGCCAAAAGCAGTTTAGAAGCTTTCGCTTGTTAGCAGGCTAGATCGACCTCGGGAGCTTTTGGGCCCCAACCAAAGCGCGGAGGACTGCCGGATGGACCGAATCAGTGCCTATGGTGAAGGGCTGACGGCCCTGGTCATTGGTCGGAGTGGCCGACAGCCACGTGTGAACTAATGCAGCTAATTTTACTCCCACGAGAATACTGATTGTTTGTACAGGGTATTTCATGTGCGACAGCCCTGGAGTCCTGTGTCCTGTACAGATACGATATCCAACGGTCTAGTATTGTACATTAGCTCGGCTCGCATGGATGGTGACTATGCCGCAGGGGAACAAGGGCTTCATCACTGGGCTCGAGTTCCACCAAGCGGAAGAAAACTCTGTTTCTCGCTTCCACGTGCTGATGACTGTGCAGGCGAGCATTAGCTGCATTGCGTTTGCTAACGAGAATTTTCCAGCATATGAGGACAGGCTTAGTAAGAATGAGGCGATGTTGATGCAGACATGTCCATGCAGCGGCTCGCTGACGGTGAACGAGGGCGTCTGGAGAAATCTCAGCCTACTACGCCCCCAGCCCGCCTCTCGCAGCAACCTTAGTGCCACCGACACTCTCTGTCACTACCCTGCACCAAAGGTGGCAGCGGTGCATCGTTGGTCATATCCTGATGGCGTCACGAGATTGCGGCTCATCATCTCTTGCTCCACGAGCCCAGTACCGTCTTACGTAGCTCAATTCGCTATCGGAAAAGACGAAAATATCAACACAGCACAACTGCCCAGGTGGTCCGTCGGAACTGCAGGGCAAACGGCGGATCAGGGCTTCTAGAACGGCGAGCGGGAGCGATAGAAGCTTCCGTTCCACGAGCCCCTGATGATGATAAGAGCACCTGGGCAGCTTGTTATTAGTATCCATGGATGCCCAGACATTGCTTTACCGACGCAGCGGATGGATCTTCGCTTGTGGTCTTGGTATGTATCTTGGTCTGTGCTCATTTTCGCTTTTGGGTAGGGCTTCGGGAATTCCTGCGCCTTCCACGCTATGAACAGTATTTCCTAATTCCGCGCCTGGGAGTATTCCAAGAATGCCAAGCACCATTTCCACGAGGCTCGATCCACGGCATCCTATTCCACAACACACCCACTGTGCTTACCAGCGTTACGACAATCCTACCGTTGCAAGTTGCTCACACGTGGAGCAATTGCATATGCCGTAGTGGATCTATACTCTTCGCCCATTCAAAGCGCAGCATCGTGTAGGCATCGTTGCTGGAGCTCCGAGGAAGCTACTACCTGCATGCCGCCAAGAGACCCTGTGAATGTCACTCGGTACGGATGCAGTCGAGGCACTCTTTCGAAGGTTCAGGATCTAGTGCTCTTTTGAGTTCGTCACGCTTCATTTGCTCCGCCAGGCATTTTATTGTAGCAGCAAATGCCGACGAAGGTTCGTCAGAGCAGGAGTGGAGATTACTTGCGTCGCTTGGTTACGGTCGAGCCAACACGGGCGATGCCATACTATTCGCCCGAGATATGCGAGGAATCCTTGGAAATGGGTTCATACAGATGTAGAAACAGGCTCACTCAGCTGCAGAGCGCCACCTTCGGGGCATCCGTAGATTGCATAGCATCAAGGCTGCCTGGGCGACTTGAAAACGGAAGAAGATTCGTGCGTCGATGCGCACGGGACCAAGTTGTGCAGATGTATGAAAGCACGCAATGGAATATTAGAAAGTTGTACCAGGTTACCGCCCAAGTATTTAATGCGCGAACCTTTCATGTTCCAGCGAGTACGCGGGGGCGTACATTGCGTTGTACCATTGGATTCGTCGCCCAACGAAGTTTGCCCAGAAACCAAAAGTCTGCTATGATGGCCGCCATGGAAGTGACATATGTTCACAATTGCTGTGATGGACAGCAAGGTCCAATTGAAAAGGTCAACACGTGTAATAAAGCCCATGGGCCGCAAGAAAGGAGTGCAGAGGTTGAATGTTGTCCCACAGTAAACTTCAAGGTTCCCAAGTTCCGAGATTGTGTTGAATTCGACCGTTTCCATTCAGTATTCTCACTGTTCTCAATCCAGGATCGTGTTGAACCGGTCTTGCTCAACGCGAAAGCGAACGAGCTTACACTAAGAAGATAGTGATGGTTTTCACACGACGCATCATGTGCTAAGAAGTTATCAATAAAATGTCGATAAGGTTTTTCGTAAACCCTGTTGAAGCGCGCCTGAAGATCTAGACCCGGATGACTCATTCTGAATTGATGCGCCCGCTTCGGATCGAGGCAATGAAATCACGTGGCCTCGCGTCTCTCTCGAGCTTCGATTGCGACGACGTCACTGACTACCGCGCGCTGCCGACGCGATCGACACAGATCCCTCTCCTGGATGTCTTCTATACTCTATCGGAGGCTCAATGTCGTGCTGAACTAGTAATGGAGGTCTCATCTCGCAACGAACGAGACCACGGGCCCCCGGAAATTCCAGCGCAACAGTCACCGCTGTCATATACCAAGCTGCTGTCTCGATATGAGGAGCTACAACGGCAACATGCAAGATGTCAAGGAGAGCTTCGGCAAGCTCTGCAGAAACTGACAATCTACAGAGAACGCGCTAAAGCTTGGTATCTGTATGCTCAGCGCAAGAAGACCCAGGGCTCACTTGCGAATCGACCCGCGGGAGGCACGTCAGATCTCGGCCAGGGCGAATGCCCGTCGAGGTTAGATGCTCGATCATCTAGTCACGCGCTGCCAGCAATGGTTGATCCTCGACTGCGGCAGACACGACATTTGTCACAACAAACTGGTGAAGCGAGATTGGCTGCTCGAGGCGATGTTGGGATGGCGTCAAGTCAAAGTACAATAGTAGAAGCCGACGATGCAGTGCAAAGCTCGACGAAACTCGTCTGCATCAAGGCTGAGCCTGGATCAGACGATGAGCCCGTCATTGTGTCTGAGCGCAACCTGAAGCGCAAGCGAGGCGGAAGCCCCCTTAGAGACGACACGATGCGCCGTGTCAAGCAGGAACCCGTCGAATCTGAAGGACTCTCGGACGTCATGAAAGATTCTGAAAGTGGCGTACGAGGGCAACAGTTGCGTACGATGAAGACAATGACGTCCGATCTAGAGGTAGATGGGCCTACGGTCCAGACTCCACGCAAACCTTCGCGCAATCTAATTTCCCACACAGATCGAGCATCTTTCTCGGACGGGAAAGCGTCCAACCGTCCAAAAGGCAGACATTCGGCCTCGACCGTTAATGTCGCGCCTCACGTTACGGATGAACCGCTTGCATTGCGCCAAATCAGTACAAACATTCCTCCGAAACGGAAGGCTGCGAGGTCCAGTCCTCCAATGCATCGTGCCAGCGCTGTTGACAAGCTGGCAATGCTCTCAGAAGACGGCGAACTTGGACACGAGTATCCGAGGCTAGAGGAGCCGAGAGCAAAGGGCAACGATCGCAAATTAAAAGTCATGCTCCAGCAGCCACTAGCTGAAAGATCACCAGCACTAGACAAGAGGTCGACGAAAATCGCAAGAAATACAGATGAGCATCCACTTCCCACGCGGATGGAAGAAGAGCCCCTGCGCATTCGAGATCCCAAGACGCTCCAACTGACAGACTTCAAAGTCAATGCTGATTATATGGGATCATGCTTTGCTTTTGCGGACACATTGCGAGGTCGTGATCAGCGCCAGGGACTACATACTTGTACGAAACCTGACTGCTGTGGTGACGCTTTCCGCAAAGTGATTGAACTAGGCGGCAAGGCCGCATCAGGCAAAACAGACGCGCAAGCTTTGGAGATCTACCTTGGCCGCGACTGGTCAGACGTCATGGGTTCTTTTGCTCCTGATACTAGGAAAGAGATGACGATGAATGCGCATGTGTATGCTTTAACCGAGGAGAATGGCAAACACAAACTGGCTTTTGAGCGAAGGAGCACGCCTCCTGGGTTTTGGCGTACTGACATGCCCACCTCTCAGGAGGCTTTAGAGGACCGTGCGAAGATCAAAGCAATAGAGGACAAAGCCGTCATGGAGAGATGGCTGCACGCCACGCGAAGGGGAGGACGCTGGCGATTCCGTGATGAGTGAGAAGCAGCAATCTTCTAGATACGGTCGTTAGCGAAGTCGAAACATTGAAGAGACATAGATCATGGCTGGCTGAGAGCCCATTATATCATCATCATCTATTTCTTTGTCCAGTCCAGATCGAAACGATCCGCAGAATTTTGGTAATGCTTTAATGCATGCAAGACCCCGTCAGCCGTCTTGGCTTCAACCATGATCCCCGAATTGTGCTTTGAAATGAATCCCTTGTCCACAGCTGTGTTGACCCACTGGAACAAGCCGTCGTAGTATCCGTTTACATTAAACACCACAACTCCTCGCCCATGGATTCCCAACTGATTCCACGTCACTACCTCCATCAGCTCTTCCATAGTCCCGAAGCCACCCGTGAGTGCAACAAATCCACCGTTGGCTCCACCCTCGATAACCTCACGGGCCATGAGTTGCTTGCGCGTATGCATATCTGGGACAACTGTCGTCCGTCCGTAGATGTTCTCGTCGATGGCCGACTGTGCAACGTCGCCGACGCCGTTCTCGCCGTACTTGCGTTCGTATTTGAGCAGGGCCTCTGGGATTATTCCGTGCACAGCGTCTTTGCCCGACAGTGATACCAGCGTCTTGGCAATCTCGCCCATGATGCCTGCAGTGCCGCCGCCATAAACGAGATTTATGCCGCTCTCGTGGAGTGCTCGACCGAGATCCCGGGCAGCTGCGAGATGTTCAGGTGAATCTCCCCCGCTTGCGCCGCAGCTGTGATCAAGAGATCGGAGATTAGCGACGATGTCGTCACAGAAATAAGAAACTGGAAACCTACAACACGCAGACAGTCGGTCGTCGTGTCACTCCATTGACAGTAGTCGCAGCTCCTCCAGCTCCGACGCCTCCGGATTGCTCGGTGGGCAAAGACATGTTGCGGCAGATCAAGGCTTGTCGAGTTACCCTGTATGAACCTAGGGAATGCGAAAGAGGAAGAAATCTATGTAGAGAACGCTTCGAATGCACCGGGCACCGTCATACTTATGCCTTGATGTGACTACATTTCAGACTGGGAGTGTGCTGTTGGCATCAAGGCATGGTCCACACGGTAGCTGTCATTGGTACCTTGCATCATCAATACTGAGTCTAGATACCTGAACATAGCTAGCTCAGTGATGCTGGGACCTAGCTGTGCCTGATGCGGTGGTTGTCTGACACCACCACACGCATTACTGTGCCTACCTAGGTATCTACTGCACCGACAATTGCTCGACCACACAGGAACGGTTCCTGTTACTGATCGTGACAAGCCGCACAAGGTCGCTCATTGCACAATTGTGCATTGTGACAGCACACCTGGCGTCCGGTGAGATTCCAAGGTTTGTCACAGTTCTACACGAGACCCCACCTAGACAAACCCAATTTGGCAGTCAACGCACGATTGGGGTGCCAGCAACCACACACAGGCATGCCACGTACTTTCATGCACACGTGAGACTCGCATGGGCCATAATTCAGCATCCATGATGAGTGAAGATGTCTCTTAGTAAAATGACAGAACAGCTGTTTCGGCCTGACTGGTGCAAATGCACAGTATGTACTGTGCATGTTTACCTAACCATTTGAACGCTGACGGGTATCCACCAACCTGAGGTGACGTATCCAGCACTTCTTAATAGGCTCTATCCCCAGGCCCATTGACGATTTGATTCACAATCCTCAGCGTATGATAACCAACGCGCCATATAAAATCATACGCAAAGAGAGCTTCATCTGATCCGATAGGGAATCATCACTCTGTAAGTTCCTGGCTGATGAATACACGAAGGACATGATTAGACGTGGGGTGAGTGGGTTCTTCTCGATCATTTCACAGGTAGGTATACATTCATCGACGCCGGTTCCAACGGCGCGGCCTCGTCACGATACAATTCATGTTAATATTCGATTCGATGCCGTTCAAAATGTGCCACATAATGTACTACAACCTTTCAAAAGTTCAGATTTGAACGTATGGATACATGCCTAGGTAGTAATGATAACGGAGCTCAACGGGGAATTGTCGGCTGATGAGCGCAAGCGCACAAATGTGCAGGTGCAGGTGGTCATCATGCGCCGTACGTGCAGCACTAAACGCTCAGCAGGGCAGATCAAGAAGAGGGCTGCCCACAGCACAAGGTCACGGAGCCGGAGCTCTACCGTTGGGATATAGTCCCTCACTGCATCTTAACCGACAATCTTGGAACTCTCTGATATCTTACGTTTCGATACTTTCCTGTCGCAATTTCGAGGTTTCCATTTCTTCTCAATTCTGTGCCTCAGCATCTCTATCGACGCCCCGCCTAGGCGACAGATGCGATAAACGTGGAAACCTTGATATCCCCCATTCGTCTGATCTGTGATCGCCGGAATGGCGCAACCGTACGATTTCATTAGCAAGATTGTGTCTCTCGGAGATTCGGGAAGCGGCAAAAGTATGTGACATTGGCTCTTGACTGATCATCTCGTTTTGCTTGCTGATCAGTCCTCTGCGTTAGGCTCCGTAGGTTCATTCCCATCCCAGCTTTCAGCATTTTGCTGATGCCAATAGCTGACAATCCGCCTTTGCGAAGGCCGCTTTGTCTCCCACCACGATGTCACCATAGGCGTCGAATTCGGATCGCGGATTGTGCCCGTAGGTCCTCCAGCCAGCTTGCAGTACAACATCAACAACCCGACTTCGGCGAGCGATGCCCCGACAAATCAAACCCCGTCCGCTGCCAAAGGCTCGAAGGGCAAGGTCGCAAAGGAGCTGGAGCAAAAACATATGAAACTGTCGCTTTGGGATACTGCAGGGCAAGAAACATACAAGTCAATAACGCGATCATACTTCCGGGGCGCTTCCGGCGCCCTACTAGTCTTTGACATCACTCGACGTAGCACGTTCTCGTCTGTGACGGCATGGCTTAATGACTTGCGCCAAATTGCCGAAGATGATATCGTGGTAGTCCTTGTTGGCAATAAATCCGATCTTGCGGAAGCCTCAACAGTCTACGGTGACGACACAGCGCCGAACAGGAGGCAAGTCACGCGCCAAGAAGCTGAACAATGGTGCAAGGAGAACAAATGTGTCCAGTATGGTAAGTAGGCTATTTCCCGGAATCATCGGATGGAGATTATAAGTTTCTAAGGAAGGATAGACAACTAACATCCACATTCTGTAGTCGAAACTTCAGCCAAAAGCGGTGAAGGGGTTGAGCGAGCATTCTTGGAGGTCGCAGAAAGAATCTATCAGAATATCGAGGCCGGGAAATATGACCTGAACGACAGAAGGAGTGGTGTCAAGGGTCCAGGTGCCGGCGGTGGAAATGGAGGCAGAGGCGTGAGTTTGGCAAAGCCGGACAAATCGGCCGCGAAGTCATCGGGTGGCAGAGGCGGTTGCTGTTGAAGCGCGAGACTTTTGATTCGCCTGTTTCACATTCCCGCAAAGTCAATATCGTCCGCGGATCATACTTTTCGGAGATAGCGAGACGCGACAGTAATGTGATCCCTCTCGTCCGCAGGACAAGGCGTGCGTCATACGTGGAATGCGCCCTCAGGAGTCAAACCGGAACAGAATCCGACTTCGCAGAGAGAATCATCACTCATGGAGTATGATCTCAGCATACAAGGTGAAATTGTGATGTTCTGCTTCCAGCGCAGAGGCCAATGCCTAAAAGCAAGGCTGAACACCACCGTGATCCATGATGTGACATTGTCAAGCGTCTCATACAGTATCTGCTCTGCATTCAGCTAAACTAGGTTTCGAACGATACCAGAGCCGGGATGTTACCAGTACTTGTGTCCTGCAAAATCAACTCTCCGCCACATGCAATAACATCAGAGCATAACAACAAATCGATGCCCAGGTGACCATCGATGTCGGTCCTTATGCAGCACTGCGGTAATTCCGCTGTGAGATGTGCAACAAGACCCTTCTAAAGTTCCTCTCCACGGGCGCATTGGTCAGCGCGTTACGTCACCACTCAACATGCTTGACGCGTCGTAAATTCTACAATTGAGGTGTAATAGACGAATGAAGGAATCAGGCGAGCGCTGCTGTTGTCAGCGCTTCAAAGCAGCGAACCACTTCGCTTACGCCTTCAAACTCAGGTGATAGCATGTCTACCGCAGTCACCGTGTCAATGGCGCCTACGCCACCAATGTCGTCGGACGGCGAAACGAAATCTGTTGAAAATGGGCCTTCGCGGACCATGGAAGAGGAGGAGGCGAAAATCGCAGCAGCACGAGAGAAGCAAGATGCAAAACACAATCGGCGACTGGCTGAAGAACGCGCGAAAGTTTTGAAAGGCGGCAAGGATGCCGTGGACAGCAAATTTAAAGCACTCGAATACCTTCTCAGTCAGAGCAAGTTGTACTCGGCGATCATGTTACAACAGATGACACAACAAGAGGATGAGCAGGCTACCAAAAGCGCGAAGGGCCGTATGCGGATACAGAACCAAGAGGAAAAGGCCGACAAAGCTGCGCAGGCGAGCCAGAAGAAGGCGACACGTGCTTCGACGTCGGCTGGCGAGACCGGAATGACGGATGAGCAGCAGCAGAATGCCTCTCCAAAGCGGCGAGGTCGCCCCGCCAAATCTAAGCAAGGCAATAAGATCGCCGACCATATAAAGAAGGAGGACGTTCAAGCGAAGGCTGGCCAAACCACAATCTCGGAGGTCTTGGCGGAAGAAGCGAACTCCTCTGATATCAAGGCAAGCAGCATTGGCATGCAAAATCTGCGATCCGCGAAACAGCCCGATCTAGTCACTGGTGGCCTGATGCGTACGTATCAACTGGAAGGTTTAGAATGGCTGACATCGCTGTACGAAAACGGGTTGAATGGGATCCTTGCAGATGAGATGGGCTTGGGAAAGACGATTCAAACCATTTCATTCCTGGCATTTCTGAGAGAGAAAGGGATTCACGGTCCCTTTCTGATCGCCGCTCCACTCTCCACTACATCCAACTGGGTGGCTGAGTTCAAGAAATGGACTCCTGATATCCCGGTTGTGCTGTACCATGGCAGCAAGCAGGAACGCGAGGAAATTCGACGCATGAGACTGCGAAACCCTGGAAGCACAATGTTTCCTGTGATCTGTACAAGCTATGAAATATGCATGAACGACCGGAAACATCTTGCTCACTACGGCTGGAAATATATCATCATCGACGAAGGCCACCGAATCAAGAATCTTAACTGCCGCCTGGTGCGCGAGCTTCAATCTTATCAATCGGCGAACCGATTGCTCATCACGGGAACACCTCTGCAGAACAACTTGGCCGAATTGTGGTCTCTTCTCCACTTTCTCATGCCCAACATCTTCGACAAATTCGAATCGTTTGAGTCGTGGTTCGATTTCAGTGCACTGAAGGAAAAGAATGGCTTTGAACAAATTCTCTCAGAAGACAAGAAGAAAAATCTTGTCACGAGTCTACATGCCATTTTGAAGCCTTTCTTGTTGCGAAGAGTGAAGGCCGATGTAGAGACATCGTTGCCCAAGAAACGAGAGTATGTGCTATACGCACCTCTAACATCGACGCAACGGGATCTTTACCAAGAGATCCTCAATGGTGACAGCAGGGTATTCTTGGAGAACAAGATGGTCGAATCGCTGAGCGGCAATACAACCCCAGTGAGTACACGAAGCGAGAGTCGCAAGCGAAAACTTGACGTTCAGAGCGCGACTCCGAACAAGAGTCTCAAATCCAGTCGAGCGTCAACTCCTGCAACTTCGAGAGATTCTCCGCCTCGCTCACGGAGGGCGAAGAACACCCAGAATTACGAAGAGTTATCTGACTCAAAATACTTTCAGCGGCTTGCAAAGGAGCCAGCATCTCCGCCAGAAGAGGAGTCCGATGAAGTGGATAGCGATACTGACCGTCGAGAGAAGACTCTAGCGCTTGCGAAGCGAGAAATCTCACAGAAGAAGCTCCAGAATCCTATAATGCAACTCAGGCAATGCTGCAATTCACCGCACAATTTCTACTACCCATTCGACATTGACGACAACACGCCGGTCGACGAGACACTCGTGACCGAATCCGGCAAGATGTTACTGCTCGATCAACTGCTACCAGAGCTATTGCGGAGAGGGCACAAGGTCCTCATCTTCTCACAATTCAAGAATCAATTGAATCTGCTGGAGACGTATTGTAATGAACTACGCCAGTGGCCAACATGTCGAATAGGTCAGGAGCATAAACAACGCAGAGTTTGTGAGACATGAGCTAACTAATACGATAGACGGTACAATCGCTCAAAATGACCGCCAACAGCAGATTCTTGATTTCAATGACCCGAAGAGCGACACCAGCGTTTTTCTGCTGTCCACCCGTGCCGGCGGTCAAGGCATCAATCTTGCGTCTGCGGACACTGTGCTATTATTTGATAGTGATTGGAATCCGCAGCAGGATTTACAGGCACAAGATCGAGCACATCGGATTGGACAGACTCGACCAGTCATCGTCTATCGATTCGCAACAAAGGGCACCGTTGAGGAAATGCTTCTAGAGAAGGCAGACAGCAAACGAAGGCTAGAGAAGCTTGTAATACAGAAGGGGCGTTTCCGCAATTTGAAGGGCGGAGACGGAGCCGACTTCTCTGAGCTTCAAGCCTTGCTTAGCCGGGATGACGGTGAACACATTGACATCACTAGTGGCAAAAGCCTTCTTACGGATGCAGACCTCGCGGTCCTCACGGACAGGAGTCCCGAGGCTTTCGAACGGGCCGAGAAAGGTCTCGAGACTGCTGGTGACATGTTCAAGGCTGTCCAAACGGACAAGAACGGAGGTGGATTGCTGAGGAGTCTTGAGAAATAACCACGGTATTGAGCTGAGCTCTACCAGACACGATTTCATTATGCTTGGGTATGGATCATGGAATGATCGAGAGTTATATGTAAATGTAGTCTGTTTCCGGTGTGTGTCAATATCGATTAATAGGCTAATTTGTACCAAAAGACGTTCCCCCGCGATCATGAAACAATGGCCACCTTCACACCTTGTACATCTTGCGTATGATGCGAGTCACAAATCGACAAATTATGCGGTATGGGGATGTGACAAAATGCAAGGTGTGAGACGAGGTTGTGAAATGTGAAATTAGCCATGTGTAAAAGGCACACATTGTGAGGTAACACATCGGCAAACAACGTCTTCAGCTTGTTAATGTCTGCTGATGGAAGCACATGTAGAATTTCCCATCTCCCTCCGTACGCCAGACACTCGAACAAAGCGCCTCCCACTCGACATCATCTCCACCCTCGGAGCCGACCGTTGCGCGAGTTGCGACAGCCAGGTAGGAGATGACCGCACCGTCAGAACCAATGCTTGTCACATCAACGTTCTTCAGTGAATATGTCTTCCAAGGCACAAATCCAGGCGTGTTGAGGATTTCTGTGAGCGATGGCTGAGAGTCGGCGGTGACCTTGACGCCCAGCGGGAATTGCATGATGGCGTCTTTGGTTAGGTAAGGCATGAGATCTTTGCCGGATCGTTGCAAAGCTTGCCACGTCTTGTCCTCGAGATACAGAATCTCATCGTGCAGCGCATTTCCGGACATGATAATTTCTGGATTTATATGTTCGCAGAGTCTTCAAGTTCTTGTCCTTGTGGTGTTGTGATAGACGACTTTTCCCCCTCCTTGTGGTTCGACGACCAAGCAAGATATCTCTCGCACGTGTCAAATCCCCAAGTGTCATCGTGCATACCTAGGTACACATCTGGACCACGGCTGAAACTACCTTCATGGTTTACAAACGAGTTCAAATAATTCATGTCCTAGCATACCATGCAACGAGAGGGCCTGGATCATTTCGATAGGGAGTTTCACTTGCCAGACATATCACGACAAGTTAGACAGCATGTAACAAACCCCACCGATTCAACCCGACATGTTTAACCCAACCCCAACGCAACCCTAAGATTGATCAAGGCCGGACATATCAACATGCGCTCCCCGCGTGCCAATTGAATCACACCTGGGCAGTAACCATCGCTCTATCTCATACTTGATCTGTTATCGTGACTACTCGCAGCTTTCTTTGAGATCAGTCTTTCGTCTCTTGCATCCGGCTCGTCAGTCGTCGTTAAGTTCCTTTGAGATGGCATCGCTGCGAACAAGGTACCCCTATCATCCTGGCTGAATGCAGTGACACGTCAGGCACCGGCTGACATTGAGCAATAGCTGTTCAGTCAAAGGTGCCCCTCATGCAATACATATAGCTTGACTCCCGCGACGCTCTTTCTTCGTCTTTCCGACGACTTCAAATGCATCAAGACCTCGAGCCAGTGGCGCTCGTGGATATGCAAGCCTGCAGATGGACAATAACTTGCTGCATGCTTTTGGAAGTCTGAAAATTGCTAACGACCAGGAAGAGCGTGCTCAGATCGCTCAAGGGCAAATCGAAAACAGTCCAAATTATCCAAAACCCAAGAGAGTTCGCCGCAAGCGAAAAGTGGCAAAGTTTGACACTCAGCCCACCGTGCTCGTAGCTGCACAAGAAAGCCATCAATCGGATGCCAGTTTGTGCACAGGCAGCGGTAAACAAGTTGCAAGTCGTCAGCAGGATAGTACCAGTGCCAGTGATGCGACTCATGGCAAGGGCGGAGATGATGTCTCCATTCAGCCCATGGACGACTTCCGACCCAGACAGAACGGTGCCAAAGACCAGGGATCAAGTCGTCACTCACGGCCATCGCCAAACCATCGTCAACCTGTTCCGGTGGCCAATCACGAAAGGGATTTCCAGTTGCCAACACGTGAATTGTCTATACGTACCAAGACGTCGCCACTTGCGTCCGATGCGAAATCATCACTTCCTTCAAAATTAGTCGAGCAGGCGATCATTCGTCCCACACCCTCAAAATTATACCTTGAGAAGGCTCACGAAGCACCCACAAAGTCACAGTCCGAGAACCCAGCCTTGCTCGTTATCCTGGATCTCAATGGAACACTACTATACCGACCGCAAAAGGGCGGGAGCAATGCAATCCATCGCTCGGGAATGAAACGATTCATCAATTACCTGTGCAAAGAGCACTACGTCATGGTATGGTCTTCAGCGCAGCCCGAAAATGTCAAGAATATGTGCAAAAAACTATTCACGAAGGACCAGAAACAAAACGTGATTGCAATATGGAATCGGCATAATTTCGGTCTGAAGCGCGAGCACCTCCACAAAAAAGTACAAGTCTATAAAGAACTTTGGAAAGTCTGGAAGGAACCCAGCATGGCGCGTTCCAAAAATACTAAAGGATCATGGGACCAGACCAACACCGTGCTGCTCGATGATAGTCGAGAAAAGGCAGCCAGCGAGCCCTTCAACCTCATCGAGGTCGACAGCTTCGAGGGCACGGAGAAAGGCCACATAGATACACTTACGCAGGTGCGCGACTACCTGGAGACCCTTCGCTCACAGGCCAATGTCAGTGCATATATCCGCGAGGCTCCGTATGTCTACGATCCGGAGCGCCAGAAGGATATCACACACAACGATTCCTTGTCTCCGGCGAGTCTCGTCGGGGAGGAGGGTTGACCTGCCACGAACTGCAATGACCCGCCGCGAGTGACCATTCCGGCCAGCGGACTGCCGACGGGATCTGAGTAGCAAAGAGTCCGTGCGATGGATCGAACAGGTTTTGGATTGTGGGAGTCGATATCACAACGCGTACACTAGTCACTGTCACATCTTTAAGCGTTTTACTCACTTGAAGACCAAAATGATCCATGTCCAATATCGACAGACAATTGGTTTGGAACAGGGATCTAAAGCTTCGATGTGATAATGCTTTGCGCACTGCAGGCATCTGGGGCTGTCTAAACACAATGATGATCCGATCACCACCTGCTTCTTCCTATCAGACCTCGCGAGGAAACTCGTCAGCAAGCTGTAGACTGGCTTTGACGTTCATGCTCATCAGCTCCTGAATCAGGAGTTTAGCGGCATACGGCATAGTCATCCGCACCACGGCTCGACTCGTCCCACAGGTTTGACACCACATATTGTATCCCATCATGCCGCAGGTCTGGCACACATCAACCTGATGTGCATCTGAGCTGAGCATGAGTCGCTCGAGCAGCAGCTGGCTTGCGCCATACGCAATCAAACAATCACGTTCCATTTCTCCCAATCGCAGACCACCTTGGCGCGACCGACCCTCTGTCGGTTGGCGGGTAAGAATGGCTCGCGGCCCGGTCGATCGCGAGTGCATCTTGTCCTGAACCATGTGCTTCAGTTTTTGGTAGTAGATCGGGCCCATGAATACGTATGCGGGCAAACTCTCGCCGGTAATGCCTGAGGTGAGGAAGTCCTTGCCCGAGTAGCTGAAGCCATGTTTGACGAGCGTGGCACCCATGTCTTCAACCTTGCTCCCACCGAAAGCTGTGCCATATTCCTGCTGTCCCGCAAGGACGCCCGCCTTGCCGGATACTAGCTCCAGCATCTTGCCGACTGTCATACGTGAAGGGAAACCGTGGGGATTCATGATAATATCTGGGTTGATGCCACGATCGGAGAAGGGCATGTCTGCCTGTTCAACCAAAAGACCCACAACACCCTTTTGGCCGTGACGCGATGAGAACTTGTCACCAATCTCTGGTCTACGTGTTTGACGCGTCTGAATTTTTACAATAGTGGTGTTTGCTTCGTTAGTCGTAATCATCACCTTGTCAGCGTAACAGGGATCGGGCAGCTTGTAAGACATGTGCATAGGTGACCACTTCTGATCCTTTTGCGGAATGGCTGAGGCTTGGTTCAAGGGCTGCTCCTTGAGCATGTACATCTCGGAGCTTTCAAGCTGGGAGCCAACCTCGACGAGACCATCTTTTCCGATTTTTTGATGACGAGGATTTTTCGGATCTCTATCAGCCAATCGATCGCGATAGCCGTTGCCATAAGACTTGAGCGGCATGCTGATCTTCTTGAAAACCTGACAACGTCCAAATCCTCGGTCACAAGATGCTTTGTTGAGCACGAGCGCATCTTCGATGTCATATCCAGAATATGACATGACAGCCACGACAGCGTTCTGCCCGGCCGGTAGCTTGTCATACTTGACCAGCTCGATGGTGCGAGTAGTGACCATGGGTTTCTGTGGATATACCATCAGGTACAGCAAAGTGTCAATGCGCGTGAATTGATTGTACGCGATAGCGCCGATCGCTTGCTTGCCCATGGCACATTGATAGGTGTTTCTTGGCGACTGATTGTGGTGAGGATATGGAATGAGACCAGCTACAGCCCCAAGTATGGTGAACGGCTCAATCTCCAGATGAGTGGTGTATTGGTTGATGTCTTTCTCGTAAATGGCGATATTGGAATCATTCTCCTCGTTGACATCAAGGTATTCAACGATGCCGCGGGAGAGTGCAGCATCAAAATCGACTCTTCCCTTGCGTAGGGATTCTAGGAAACGAATGTTCACTTTCGACCTGCCCTTTTCAACCACAATCAAGGGTCGGCACACTCGTCCCTCATCCGTTGCAATATGCACACCATTGTGGTGATGGTTGATATATATACTGACAAATTCCGAGATTCTACCCATTCGCCGGAATTTGCGGAAGCCGACAAGGAATTGCTTGGGTTGACGAGTCAGTGCCATGGGTGTACCGTTCATGAAGATGATGTAGGCGCCGTTCGCGAAGATCTCGGTGCCTGACGCGAAGGCGATATCTTCTGCGCCCAGCACGAAAACAATCTTTCGCACAGGTTCTTCATCGTCGGCTGTTGTTATGTGGGTCATGAGGGCCAGATTTTTGACGAGACCACACGCTTCACCTTCAGGTGTGTCTGAGGTGCACAGCATGCCAAACTGTGAAGGCTGCAAGGCACGTGGTCCAGACACCTTACGTGTCTTCTCAAATTGACTCGTTATGCGGGTCATCATTCCAAGAGCACTGATGTAACTCAATCGACTCAGCACATGAGTAACGCCTGCACGATCCATGCGGAAACGCTTGAGAGTCCAATTGCCTGTGGAGATTGCACGCTCCATCCCGCTTGTGATACGAGCTTCGCCCTGCTCAACAATACGTGAAGGATCGAACTCTTGTGTGGGATTGGGCTTCTTCAATAATTTGTCCATATTGACTTTGATCTGTCGGATAAAATCCTTGAATAGATCTTCGAACAACAAGGCTAGCATCTGCCCAGCGAGCTCTAACCGTTTGTTTCCTACATAATCGCGGTCGTCAACAAGCTTGGGATCATGAACAGCCATGAGTACCCGACGAGTCATGAATGCCACATAGAGTGCTTTGGGTCGAAAGTTCAAGCCTTCAACCTCGACGTGCGGTATGATGGTTGCAGCGAGTTTTTCTAATGCTTGTTGCTTAGGTGTCCTCTCACGATTCTTGAACCTTGAATCAAAGCGCTCCTGTTTCACGCGGCTAGCCACATAATCAAGAGCCTGTTCTTGAGTGTACACTCCTTCCCTTGCTGCAAGCTCCATGTTCTGAGCAAACTCGTCCTGGTATTGTGCATCGCTCCCGGCCGTGAGCAGGAGAATTTCGTGATCAGACTGTATGCCCATCGCGCGGAGAATGATGACCACTGGAATGTCCTCGGAAAGGGAGTTATGCTTGAGGTAAATGTACCCCTTTTTCGTAATCACGTATGTCTTCGTCTTGACATTTGCTGTGTGACTGGTGACAGACGCTTGAATGACACCCTTGAAAGATTCAACAATAATACGATTCTTGCTGAGCTGCTCCTGTACCAGAATGACTTTTTCCTGTCCCCGGACTACGAAGTAACCTCCGGGATCAACGGCGCATTCGTTCAGCCACGCCATGTCAGACTCTGGACGCCCATACAGTACGCATTTGGAGCTACGTAACATCATTGGCATCCTGCCAATCATGACATTCGTCTTCCTGACATTTCCGGACTGCTTGGGATAAATGAAGTCCACAAGAATTGGTGCAGCATACGTCATGTCCCGCAGGCGACACTCGTTCGGCGTCACCACGGTTTCGACGTAACCTAAGCCAGTATCTGCGACACGACAAGGTTTGCCTACGCGGATATCTGTGAAGCGAATCCATTTCTTGTTATTGGCCTCCGAGACGATAAGAGAGTTGGCCTCGACAATTTTCTTCAGCTCAACATCGGTGAAATAGTCGTATGAGTCGATATGCTGCTTGACAAGCCCTTTGACCTTGAGAAATGCTGGCAGAAGATTCCACTTATCTCTTGCTGTGTTGATAGGATCTGTCAATCGCTTGCTGTAGTAGAAAGGTTTGAGGAGGGCATCGAGGTCGTCTCTAGACTGCAATTCCCTCTTCCTTGTCGTCTGCTTCGCTTTCCGCGGATCCATATGAGAAGTTTCGTCTGGATTACCTGTCGTGCCGATGTGACTGGCAGTGATAGGTCTAGCCGTGGCCTCCGATGTGGCTCCAACCTGTATACAATGAGCAACTTCTCCACATCGGAATTTCCCATTGTTTTCCTGTGAACAGACCTTCGCAGCCAGGTTGTCGTGGCTAGCAGTGCCATCCGCTTTTCTCACTTTGGGAGCCATGCTCCTCTAAATCGCTCTTTATGCTCATACAGTCTACGCGGCTGATCGGTGATAAATCTCAGAGAGCATGACTAGATCCGGAGTTGTGTTCGCTGTTCGTGCAATCTCGGCATTAGTCATTCGATGGGAGTTTCGAAGGCAGGGTTTGTTTGCCGTTTTGCGATAGCGCGCATAGCGCGGTACAATGCGGACACGGGGTCGGCAAACTTGCTGGACGAAGAATTCGAGACGGCCATTCCCGCAAGTGAGTCAAAGCGGTCTGTGTGTCTGTACTGGGCACAAAGCCTGTGCTTGGTACAAGTCCTAAAACTGGACACACGGGGTTCGATCACAGTTGGAGATGATGCAAACTCCGAGACGCCCTGGATTCAGTAGATATCAAGTGATCCCCATCTGGGCACTCAAATTTGGCGGCCTGCAGATGACCAATCTGCAAGGTCGGTTCCGGCCTGAAGTTTCCTCCATTGGAGCGCTACGCCTCAGATCTCTGTCTTGACCGGAGTCTTCACACTACGTGGCGGTGGTTCCATCGCCGCAAAACGGACCAAACGCCGCGTCGTGCGAGACTGGGACATGCCATTTTGGAGAGGTAATGCTCGTTCTACGATATCTTGTTCACATCTGGACATGATTGGAAGACATTGTGCGAGCCGCCGAGAGTCTCGCCAAAGACGATGGCGAATGTGGTGCGAAAACGTCACGCGATAGTCACGAGGAGGGAGCTTTCGTCCTCCACTACTATACTCCACTGGGCAGGTCCACGCCCAGGAGCGAGGACCGTAATGCACGCCTACAGCAGGTGCATTGCATCGGCGCTTGCAATCATAGTGCATATGCCCTCCACATCTCTCTGCCCACCACATCTCTCTGCCCACGCGTTGTTGCATTGCTTTCACCTCAACTCATCTGACCTGGTCGGTAATAGAACCGTTCCTTGACATTCCACAGAATGGGTGACCGCCTTTTCACTTTATTGTCAGTGAAAGTCCAGTCTCGCATGACGTTGATAATAATAGGTTGAGCTGCTTATGCTGCTGTGATCGAGCTATCTACCATGAGGCGAGAGCGGCAGGTATGTAATCAAAGTGCTCAGCTACTGGCGGAATGTCCCTGGTCGGATAGCTCCGCCAGCGTTTCGTGTCGGGTGGACAAATGGCGGGTGCATCTCGAGCTCGAAAAATGATGACAGTCGTGGTGGGGATCCTGGCAGAATGCAGCCCTCATACGCGCGGCGCTGTGAAGTTATGCCGCTTGGCCTCGAGGACATTTCCAGATCGTCAGCTGATGAGTACGAATAAGAACCTTTTGGCGAGCTGAATATTGCCGCTGAGTTCAGCACAGCGGCCTGACGATGTTCGTGAGGGATTGTGACACTCGGGGTTGCTCTGTCTGGCTATATTTCCTCTCGTGCTATGGGAAGGTTCGCTGCCATCAAACATACAGTAGTAGAAAACCCACCACGCCGACAGCTTCAAATCCATGTGTGGAGGTCCATGGGTGGGTTAAACTGCACTATGTGGGTGCCTGTCCGCCCACTCGCACATCCTGCTGTTGACGAAACTGTGGAATGGGTGTTTACCTAGGTACACAACGGGGAGGCTTCGCTGGCAGAGACACTAAACTTGCCTGACAGCGAATTCCACTTGAGAGGCAAGATAACGAGTCAAGGCAAGACGTAGAAGAATCTTGCATGTGTAGCTGGTAGCCGAAGCAAAGGCGGAAATTATGGAAGCATCACAACGCCTTCCTGACTGCTGGCGTTCATGTCAAATCGGACGGGGCATATCGATTACTCATCAGATACCGACTCCCGCTGATGACTAATATTGTCGTTTTTATTCAACCGTCGGAGCGCCGATGCCCGTAGAGCCTGTTCACGTTCCGGATCCAAACGTCCTACTCACCTCACCAGCTCAGATAGTCCCGCGAACTCGGAATAACGAAGCAGTGTGGAAGCTTGGGATTGGATGTGATAGACCCTGACTAGGGTAACTTCTGCAACTTCTCCTCTTCTGCATTTGCTGTCCCGCTTCGCTGCTTCCTGCGCCGCCGCCGATCCATCAATTCGCGGTTGGTCCCTTACGCAGTGCGCCGGTAAAGGGTAAGCCCGGGCGAGGATGAGATGAGCTGAAGGCCCGACGGTGGTGGTAATTTCGTCAGAAGATTGTGTACACAGGACGGTTCAAACGAGGGCGTATTTGATGCCCCATCGCACACGGGGAGACGACTGGTTATCCTTGGGCACAACCCCTATGGCTCTTTTTCGGTAGACTAAATAGTATTAAGAGATCGCCAGTGTCAGCGGGTGCGTATTACCTCCAGGTTCGTACCATGCATGGCGCACTGCGCTAATGGGCACTCCACTCCAGAAATTGCCCAGGTGAGGTTCCGTCCGCCGTATCGCCAATCAGGTCCCCTCTTCTTGGGGCTGTCCCTTCAACCAGCCAACTCTAACTCTTGCTGTTGCACTCTTCCGTCTTTCTTTTTGCTGTTTTGCGGTTCGCGATCTTTTGAGGTTTGTTCCCGATTACCGTTCTTGTTGCTCAGTTGGAGTTTGGTCTCCGTGCCAGTACTGACGCGCAACCCAGATCATGGCTTTCTATCGCGGACCGCAGTCTCCTCGAGAGGAGCAGTATACAAACTCATTCTCTCCGCCTCAGCCGAGAAACCCGAACCGGTGGAGTGCGAATATGGCAGCGCCGGCCGATGTGCGCGGCTCACTGCACCGAAGATTCACTACGACTACTGTACCGACTATGAACGGCATCTCGGGACTCTCGCCGATCGGCCAGCAGCGTCTTCAAGCTGCAGGCGAAACCCAGCCAACCGTAAGTGCAGCACCTTGTTTGAATCCACGAATGGTCAAGAAGAGCGTCTGTAGACAGTGGAAGATTCGGAATGTGTGGCAGCCGGTGGCGGTGTTCGCTCCGTTGGTCGCGCAACGGGCAAGATGCGAGGCAGAAGACCCATGCGCCATGTCTACAGCCTTGGAACGGCGGACTGGTGCATGCTCTCTGGCCGAAGGTTACGATGCCAACAAACGCGCGAGAATGTATTGCATGAGCAGCATGTTTTGCAAATGCAGCGTCACAGTGGAAACCCGAGGTCTATTCTCGACTGCCATGCTTTTCGCTGGCTTTTCACAAGCCAATGGCTTCTTACGCATGCACTCCCACCACAGCGCTCACCTTGACATATTGTTTTCTACTCTACTCTACACTGGTTTTGTACGATCAGCTGGAAGCGACATTGATGTTGGCCAAGCTGATCGACTCGATGAGATGAGCCACGTTCTGATAAGCTGACCTTTGCATCCAGATCGGTTTGCACCATCGTTACGAAACCCTTCTACAACAGCAGCGACAAATTCAAGAGGAACTCGATCGCATTGACCCAGAAACAAGACGAGAGGTCGATGAAAACTTGCGACACGAGCAGGATGTGAATCAGCTTATTGCGCAAAGCGAGCCTACCACGCCACCCGAATATCACAACGCTTTCTCGGGTTTCAGTCGCTCGAGCCGGTACTCTACTGCAAGCCTAGCCTCGCCCCCGGGCCTTGCGACACGACCGAACAGAGCAAGCACCCAGCTCACGTCTCCGTCTTTGAGCTTCGTTCGCACGTACATGAATGGTGGTGGTGTCGGCGGCAATCCCTCCAATATTCCATCGCAGTCTGTGCCGGGCTCGCGTCGTCACTCAGATGACGAAGACGACGGTGACTACAGATTTCAATTTGAGCAACGTAACGATCGCTCAGCAGCCAAGTAAGTCCATTGTTATGCACGGCACATAGTTTCTATCAATTGTGTTGCAAAGGCTTGGCAAAATTTCCACTACCCGTGCGCATGCATGAGCCAGCCTGCAGGCACTCGATTGTGTCGGGCTTCACATGCTCACTATGTGACATATGATGTGACACACATCCATCGAAGGCATAACACATTCGTGTCGGAATTATTGCTCAAAGGCAGGAAACTGATTATTTACATGCAGATCGAACCGGAACTCCATGCCCGTCTCTTCATTTGATCGCACAAAGCGCAATACGACTGACTTGAGCCTTGGCCACATTAATACCACGGGCTTCCTGTTCGGCGACGACGGCGAGCAAATCCCGCATCTTCCGCAAACCAACCCGAAGGCATCGCCATCTGATACGAAGACGTATCTCAAAGTGCAGCACACCGCCGACGGCTTTCCCAAGCTCATCCGCAGTGAGCAAACATTCGAACCAGCACTTTCTATTTCATCCGCGCTTGATCTCGCATCATCAGCCAAGGCGGATCAGCAGCAGACAACGCGGGGACCCCGTCAGCGCATGTCGCTTCCGCCTGCTACGATGAGCAACGGTCTCAATCTAGCTCCACTGAACAGCATTCTTGCGGGAAACAACGACAATAGACAGCCCGCGTTGGATCGCCGCTCGATGGAGGTGAAATTCCCATCTGACAATGGCCGCCCTGCTCTGATGTCTGTCGCTCCACGTGCGTACACCAACGGTGCCACGTCATCATCCACCAATGACTTGCCCACCCTGAAGAGCATCAATGGCGCCAACGGCCATTCTGACAGTGCAATATCGCTCAGCTCGCCATCCGCTCAAAGCTCAAAAGCACTGGAACCCATGTCGCCAGAACGAGCTGCAGCATCCGGCTTGCTGACACCTCGATACCACCAGGATTTCAGTGCCGGAGTACGACTTGAGGACAACCAGGACGGGCTTGGTCGATCCATGCTGCAGGGCAGTGCTGTGCCTTTCTTCACGCCTGCTGCGGAAAACGTTTCGCCTCGACCGTTCGGAGGCCCCGTAGCGGCTTACGGGCAACCATACTTCAATCCATATGGCATGCAAATGCTCAGCAACGGCTTCGGGGCCATGAATATTGGTATGGGTGCAGGCTTCGGGATTCCACAACAATTTCCTCTCGTCGGAAATCCTTACCCCCAGCCTATATACGCAGGTTTTCAGGCATATCCACCGGTCGTTCCAGTTCCAACCACTGCCGCTGCCGCTGCTCGAATCACTTCTCCTCAACGACGCGCTACTACGGAGGAAGCGCAACAGAGTTTCAACTCGATCAAACTGGAACAAATCGTCGGTCAAATCTACACGCTCTGCAAGGATCAGCACGGCTGTCGTTTTCTGCAGCGCAAATTGGACGAGCGCAACGAGCAGACCGTTCAGATCATATTCGAAGACGTTAAAACTCACATGGTCGAGCTGATGGTCGATCCGTTCGGCAATTATTTGTGCCAAAAGCTCTTCGAAAGCTGCAACGATGACCAGCGGACTGTTTTAGTAAAAAATGCGATGCCGGCAATGACGAAAATTGCCCTGAACCAGCACGGTACTCGAGCTCTTCAGAAGATGATCGAGTTCGTGTCCAAGCCCGAACAGACCGCTCTTATTATCGAGGCCCTTCGTGACGACGTTGTCGCCTTGATTCAAGACCTTAATGGTAACCACGTCATTCAGAAATGCTTAAACCACCTCTCTCCGACAGATGCACGTTTCATCTTTGAAGCCGTTGGCAACAACTGCGTCGCGGTCGGCACTCATCGCCATGGCTGCTGTGTCCTCCAGCGCTGTATCGATCACGCAGACGGACTTCAAAAGGGCGAAATGGTCAATCACGTCATCAAGAACGCCGACCAGCTCGTCAAGGACCCCTTTGGAAACTATGTTGTACAATACATCCTTGATCTTGCAGAGCCATGCTTCACCGAACCGTTGTCTCGTGCATTCCTGACAAACATAGTGTATCTCTCGAAGCAGAAATTCAGCTCGAATGTGATCGAGAAATGCATTCGATGCGCCGGCCCGGATACCAAACGCGACATTATCAGGGAGATCATGCTCCCACAGGCGCTTGATAAACTGCTTCGTGATAGCTACGCGAACTACGTTGTACAGACGGCTATGGACTTCGCTGATGAGGAGACGAAGCCTGTTCTCATCAAGAACATCCGCGACGTGCTCCCCACCATCAGGAACACTCCCCACGGCCGTCGCGTCCAGAGCAAGGTTGCAGACTACGACGCTCGTATGGCGAGCTCCGGCACGACGATACTCTCGGCACTCGAATCCAAAACCGCTGCTCCTGCGGTAACTTCGAACCAAACGCCGTCCCGGGCCAACCGCTATGGGATGGTCGGCGCACCTCAGCAATGGCCTGCCAAAGATTATAACTACGTCTCCTACGGCAACAATGGTGCCGCGAATGCCGGCGAGCAGATCAATGGCCATGCTGAGCATGACATGATTGCACCCACCCCACAACGTGGCAACCCGAACTTTATGTTGAATGGCGGACAAGACTACAATGCTAGCAATGGCTACGTAGCTCAACCATTCGACATCGCCAATCCTCAGATCTATAGCCATTTCTGAGTGATGACCCCAAGCATGCTTCTCACACGTCTTTTCGGTCATCACATGTACCAGTATCGCATTCATTGGACAAGCAGACCAACGTTCTCCGACTTAGCGCCTGGCTTCCGTTCCATATGAGCTACGACCTTACGCAACCGCTGACGCAAGCATTGAAACAATAACTGGCGCGGCATCACTTTCGACTTCTGCATTGATGTTGTCTACATTTCGGATCGCCGCTGTACCAACAATCAGGCATCGCACGACTACCCAGCACCTCATTGCATTAGGTGCTGAATCATGGTTCATTCACATTTCTTTACCTTTTCCCGTGTCTTATCCTCACCAAAAATGTTTCGATTTTTGCAAAATTTTCCAACCACCGCATCAGCTCACTTGCAAGCTACGAATCGATCGATACGATGATGCCGTATGGCAGCTTGTACAAAATTTCTGCATATGATGAAAATTTCACAACCCATTGGGCTAGAGGTGAATTGTCTTTATATTTGCAATGCTATCGGGCGCGGAGGCGATTACATTTGTGTGAAAGCATGCGATTTCGCCAGCGTGGATTCTACTGGTGATCTGGTGGTCGCTTCACGGTGTGCATTGCATTGCATTGCATCGCACCGCGTCATGCTGTCCTCATAGATCTGAGTCCGCAGACGTCTTCACAATATTACCTTTGTACTGTTTCATCTCAATAGAGTTCTGAATCTTTCTTTACGATGCGTCAAATCCGCAAGGAGCATGATGAATTATGATTCTTTGTATAGACATCAGGATCAATTTGAACAGAAGCTCAACGTCGTCCTCCTCGTCCTCCACGGGCATTCCGATCATCATCGCGCTTCCTTCGCTTCGCATTTTCTTCTGCTACCAACCCACTGAGGTCCTCGTGGTCTGCAGCCGCTCCCTTCCACCCTCCACGGCTCTGCTGTGCCGTTTCCTGTTCGTACCGTCGCGAGATCTGTTCCTTTGATAATCGATCGTCCTGCTCGAGTGCATCGATATCGATGGAAGCGTCCACGTCGTTCATCTTGCGCTTGCGCCCGCGATCGTCACGATCTGACCCAAGCACAGGGCCACGAGAAGAGTTCCCGATATCGTATGCGCGCTCTCCGCCGAAGAAACCTTCAGCCCGAATTGACCGTTCCACCAGGACTTGTCCTGCTGATCGTGGTCCCGAGTCCTCTTCTGTCTCGGTTCCAGGGCGAGTTTTCCTCAATGTGAAGTCCTGGCGGCCCCCTGCGCGACCCAACACATCATTCGGTATGGCGCTCTGTATGCCACTTGGTGCATCGTTCTCTGAGATGAATGAGGTTTCCACTCCAGGTCCGCCTGACCCTGTACCCCCGTCGTCCCTATCGTCGTCGTCGTCCTCTTCTTCTTCCTCCTCTTCCTCCTCTGGCTTCTCTCGAGGCTGAAGCTCACCCCATAATGTGTTGTCAGCTTGCTCCTCTTTCATGATGGCTCTCTCCACCCCCCCTCCATCCTGCTCCTGCTTGGCTTTGTCATCGCCTAATAGATCATACAAGAGCTTTCCGTTGCTATCGACTGGTGGCTTGCCCCACTGGCCGGGCTGATATCCCCATGATCCTCCAGGTGGTGGTGGCGCAGTCAGTCCAGGAATTTTGAGTGCGGGATATGATGGTGGAGGCCCAAATTTCTGCATATTGAGCAGCCAGGGCGGTGGCGCATTGGGCGGCATATTTAGGACTTCACGCAGATCATCGCTGATATCTCCTGGCTTGAGATGTCTCAAATTTGTCTCAGATTCTTTGCCCTCATAATATACCTCTCCGTAGCCAGTGAGTGCTGGCCTTGTCTGACGATAAAAGAAGGCGTCGTAGTAGGTCTGATAATCGATGTCGTACTTGCCGAGCTTCGGCTGAACACGTGCTCGCTGCTTCTGCTTGAGGGTCGCATTTTCTTGCTTTTCGATAGCGGCTTGACGCTGCTCTGTGATACCAGTCTCGGCAATGTACGGAGGCAGCGTATATTGAGGCTTTTCAATTCCGCGCTTGCTGCTGAGATATTCCCGTTTCAGGCTCCAGTGACCCGGGACTGGAACGATGTTGCGATTGCTTTTGATGGTGACTAGCATCCGTGGGTGATGCGCTGAAACGTCGTGCCATTCCACGACCTCTGGCATTGCCACGGCAGCCTTGAGTTCCGCAACGCTAAGTTTATCGACTTGTTTGCGTGCTTTGTTGGAAATCCGCTGCTTTGTTGCCGCTTCTTCGTCTTCATCCTGAATGTAGTCCTCATCGTTCATTATTTCAGGCTTATCTGATCGCTCTGCTGCGTCAAGGTCCACCGCGCTGTCGCTCTGTCCATGATTCTCCCTGAACTTCGCGAAAACGCCGGCGAAATGTTCATACAGCGCGTTGTCAGAAGCAGTGATGGCTTCTGGTATAGATTCCTCCACCACGACAAGAGGCTCTTCCTCATCTTTTGCTCTGGATGAACCCTTACCGTTCGGCGCATTTGTGCTTATCGTGGATGTGGATTCGCCGTTAGGTGAAGCACCGAGCTATTGTACATTAACATATGTTCTGGCTAGTATTAATGCGCATATACTGACATCCTTCTGGTTCTCTTTCTGTCCGATTCCATTTTGCTGCTTCTCTTGCTTCTGTTGCTTTTGTCGTGCGCGACGCTGCTCATTCTTGGTTGGCTTGCGCACAACTGCGCTATGGCTCTCCGCAATGATGCCGGGCATGGTGATGCCTACCTGTTGGCCGTGACTGACATTCCCGATCTGAATCAACTATTGTCCGCAGGCGTCGACGGAAGCGTTTTCGCGTTGGCTCTCCGGAAGGTTTGTGATCGCCTAATGTATGGTCTGGTCGATGAATTGATACGGGACCGAGTCTTTCCGTTGGCGTTCGGGCGAAGTAGCATGCACGTGTGGAGAGAATGATGGCGAATGCTGAAAATTGAAGGAGCTGTTCGTACATGCAAGACACGCGAGCGCGAAGTTCCGTCCCATTTACACCACGAGGTGACGCCACGAGATAAAGTGGTGGGACGAACTTTTCAGGCCCATCACCACCCTGCTGTCTACGTAGATTGAATATCACTTGCATATTCACAATTTACATCACCCTTTACAACTCATGGTCCACTCTCTAATCCATGGAACAAAACATAACAAGCTAAGAAACGTGTAGTCCTCTCGTATATATATTCTGCGGGCAAACATTACCACAAGGTGGGGAGTGTGTCCTACCTTCGCAATTGTATATGAGAAGGCGCACGTGATACCGCATCCATTGTCGATCCAGCGCGCGACCCTGTTCCAAAATTTGGCAACATCCAATCTCGCGCGTCCGCCGTTCAAAGTCGTTTTTGTGAATTTTGGATCTTACGTAGCTGCGCAAATCGGAAGACCATCAGTCGAATAGGAAACATGGACAGGGACAGGAGGTATGTGACATTTTGCAAGACGCGGTGTGCTCTCACTGACACAAGTCAAGACCACGCGACATTCCGCCAGAGGACCAATTTGGCAATGGTCGAGGCCAGGTCGGTTCTGTCCCATCCTGGAAACAAGACATGAGCTGATATGGAGTCAGTCATATCGCCCTGGTAAGGGTCGCGAGCGTACACCGCCGCGCATGGATAGCTACCGTGGTCGCTCCCCATTGCCTCCAAGAAGATCGGACTACATGGACTCGTATCGCGGCCCTCGAAATCGCAGCCGGTCACCTCCTTTCGCCTTGCCCATTCGGGATGGATTTCGACGTCGCTCGCCTTCGCCAAGATTCCGGGAGCATGATCTACGAGGAGGAGATGGTTATAGAGCAGGTCCACCGAGAAGAGAGGAGCTACCAAGGGACGATCTATTTCGGCGGGAGCCTGTAAGAGAGCCCCGCGAATTCCAGAGAGGCTTTCGGGATGACATACGAGATCGAGGATTTCATCTGCCAAGTCGATCGCCGATCCCGCGGTTCAGGGACCGTAGCCCTCTATCCTTAAACAAGAGAGGACGAGAGATATCGCCGATTTCAAGTCGAGGCAGGAGATCGCCGCCACCTGCAAGACGTGAACGGCTGGTAAGCCCACCTCGTCCGCGACATGACGAGTTCCCACAATCGAGAATCGCATCGCCGCCACCGCGGCGCCGATTCTCCCCCCCTCCACGCGAACGACATATTTCGCCTCCGAGAAATATTGCTCGAGATCTTCGGCCTCGTTCACCTTCACCGACGCCCAGGGTTGATCGAACTGATGTCCGTCCAACGGAGGATAGACGAAGGCATGTTTCGCCCCCGTTGCGAGAATCTCGATTGGACTATCCAATTCGGGAAGGATCTGGATATAATTCTACGACGACTTCACGGCGCTCCTCACCTCCCATACACCCCAGTCGAGCAGGGCTTCAACACGTGGTAAACGAGGAACGCGTTCTGCCCAGCAAAGGTTCGCCTCGGAGAGATATACATGAAATCAGACCAATGGCCCAATCTGTACCAACAGAGCCGAGAAAGCAAATGAATGAAACTCAGCACCACGAAACACAAAATCAACAGCAGATCCAACGACTCTCATCTCTCGCTCCACAGGCACAGGCTCATCCACAACGAATGGCACAATCGAATCAACAAGAGCGAGATCGAGACCCAGTACGAAAACAGGACTCAGCCGAGCCAAGTGCTGCAGGCGCTGACCTATCCTCGTCTATTCCCGAATCTCGACGCCCGGAAGAAGCCCCATCCGTGACTCCGCGTGCGCCCCCGACTGGTCCAGCAGGACAACGTCATCCCCCAGCGTCTGCAAATCCACCCACGGGTCCCTCTGCTGGAGCTTCTTCGAGGTCGTCAGCTGTACCACCCTCAGGACCACGTGGGACACCATCTGCAAGAGGAGATTATTCATCACGAGGTCGTGGTGGGTTTGGCGCAGAATATACGCCGAGAGGTCGCGGAAGCAGTTTTGGACTGTCCTATCGCGGAGGGCGAGGAGGGACTCCCCCGACTTCGAATTTTGGACGAGGTGATAAATTCCAACCTGAACCGGCGCCATTCGGACGTGGCGCCGCGCCGCCCTTGGGGCCACGTGCAACTTCGATTCCCTCGGGACCAGCCGCGTCATTTCGCCAAAGCGTGGGAGCGGCATCGTCTCCTTTTACGAGATCGCAGCGATTCGGCCCTAATGGAGAGCCAATCGCCGAGCCAACCAGCACTGGTCCGCCGACAGGGCCGAAGGCGACACGACGCATCGTCGAGCCAGCGGCGACAGGGCCTCATAGCCTTATCAATCGCCCCCATCCCGCGCTTGTCGACTTGCCGCAGATCGTCGAGGGCGGCAAGAAGCTTGAACCCCTCGTTGATCGTACCAAAGTTGTTGCGTTGGAGGAGGAGGCTGAAAAGCTTCGCCGCCAGCTCGGCGAGAAGGAGATCAGGAACAGGAAATCGCTCCGCGAATGGGATCGACTGACACGCGAGACAGAGCTTGCTGCGCTACGGAGCGAATTGGCCGACAATTCGCTTCGGCAGCTCAATGGAGAGGTGGAGATGCAGGCTGCATTCTAGTAGCAATGCCTATTTGTCCATGGATCGACTGCTTTGTGAATCATGTGATCAAGCAAAAAGAGACCGTTTGCTGGACCGAGACCGTCTTATGTCTTCACGACGAGACATGTTCACATTCTACGCCTCGTACGCCGCAATTGGTACATATCCTTTGCTTCTTCGATGTAACATAGACTGAAGTACAGATTCTGTCCAGATATCTCATCCAGATCGTATGTGCAACCGTCTAAGGTGAGCAACTTGACGCTGTCACCAACCCTTGCCAAGTTCTGTAGGACTCCTAAATGCTGATCTGCACCGTGGCAGCGCCCAATCAAGACTCGGCTCATCTGCTTCGCAAGCAAGGACTGGACGTCGCTTGCTAATCAGCCCCGTTTTCATAGCGGATACATTGTTGCATTTTCTCAAAAAGAGGGCCCTTGACTTCGTCCTCCGCCGCTTTTGCCGCCTCTCTCATCGCCGCTTCGTATCTGCCGACAACCTCAGAATTTGCGTCCTGGGCCTCCAAGGATTCGTTTTGGAAGCGGCTACCAAAGTCTTTGAGAATGCGTTCACGTGCTTCCTTTGTGACCTTCATGAGGTACTTTATGATCGAGTCAAGATAATTAGAGAAGTCTTCCACGGCAAGGTCGATCGCAGCTTGAAAGACAGAGTTGCCACGCGTTCCGCGGATGTGGTCCCTGATTGCTTCAGAACGCGCGGATTGTACTGTGCCCTTCGCTCGTCTGGGACGCTTTTGCGAACTCGAAGATCGCGGAAGCTCTGCGCCCCCGAGATCGCTCGCTCGCATCAGCTGGCATTTCTCATATACTGGCTGCATAACCCTCTTGACGTAGTTGTCTTCCTCATCCACAACGCACCTGGCACGAATGATCATGATGAGTTTTTTGAAGTCGACGAATTGAGTACTCAACTCTCTGGCGACCTCTTTCAAACGGCCGTCGATGAACACAAAAAATTCGTGCATATCAATACCGTGGGATGCTTCGCATTTGTCGATGATGTCCTTCAGCTTCTCGGATATACCCATGACGCGACTGTCGAACGCTATCTCTTCCTGGTGTATATTTTCGTCGAATTCGTCGAAAGCACAGATCAGATCGTCGTCTGCAACATGTCGAATCAATGTGTTCCAATTTTTGGCTTCTCTTCTAGGACCTTTGCCAGTTCCATGCTGTACTCGCCACTCGCCCGACCTGCGGCAGAAGGCAAGAAATGTCTGTGCCTTGCATTCGCTAGTCCATCCCGAAAGTAGTTTCTCACAACTTTTGATCCAATCTTCTTGATTGTCCGTGACCGTGCTGACCAGATTTTGTTGGACATGCCTCATCACGCTTTGCAGCAGGCTACTGATGATCTCAGGAAGATACTGAGCGAGGGACGACTGAACAACCGACTCTACTTCTGTTTTTCGTTCCATCGGGGTTTTGTTAAGGATGCCGTTGATGCCTCTGATGAGATTCGGCAGCCTAATCTCGACGATGTGGCGGAGAGTTTCAGCCTTTCCGCGAGCTGCAAGTTCGTAAATATGGGTAGAAAGTGACGGTATGCCAGTAGTCTCGAAGTCCAGTAGAGGTCGCTTGCCACTGAGATGCTTGCGGTACTCACTATTGGACACATAGAAAATCTTGAGCTCTGGCGCCTGCTTAGATGGAGAAAGCTTCCTCCAGGTGTCCCGAAGGCGTGCGTCGTTGAGCGTGCAATTGGCTTTCACTGTCAGCTGAGTCAATTCAGCTTCAGCACCCACGAGCTTCGTCTGCTGTGCCTTGATGCGCCTGTCAAGTGATTGAAGTTGGGCGAATTCAGTGGCATCCTCCTTCTCCTTCTCAGAAGCAGCAATGGCCTTTTCGCAGCAGACGATTGTCTCGCGAAGAGAGACCATAGCTGGAGTAATATGGGCCTTCTCATGTGATGCAAAGTGCTTCTTTTCATCAATGTGAGTCACGACCAAACATGTCTGCCGCTCCTTTCCGGAGGTGATACATTTTCTTAGATTCCTGCGAAGTTCTTCGTTATCTTTGCATCGCGAGATGTCCGCGAATACGAGGACGGCACTGGATGAGCTAATACAGCAATCTGTGTTGCATCGAACCGTGGGATCAGAGTCGCCGGTCCCTGGGGCATCTGCAAGAACCAGTCCGGTGTTGAGTATGTCGCTGTCATGGTACACGGCGATCTTATCGATGAGTCGCCAGAGCGCGTTGACAAAAATGCCATGAACGGTAGGTCGAGCAAATTGCATAAACACATCTCCGAGCGCTGCTTGATCAGTTACGGTGAGTTCCAGAGCCGACTCTTGGTAGCCATCCACCTTCTTGATCTTGTCACATAAATCGCCAAGGACATCGTGATGACGGCGACCGTCATCATCGCCACCACCACCACCACCACTATCGCCATCATCATCGTCATCATCATCATCATCATCATCTTCTTCTTCTTCCTCTTCTCGAGCTTTAATGAAAAACCGCTCAGTGCTGTTTTGGGACCCGAATTCATCACACGACATCTGAAGTAATTCGGAGAAGAAGTCGAGACTTTCGAGATATCTCGCCTTCCGCTCTTCTTCATCATCAGCTTCAGTGCCACGGCTGAGATCTTCGTCGGCGCTGTTTTCGTCCTGGCTAGCCAAATAGCGGCGGATAATGTCATAGTGTTGCTTAACCAACTTGTCGACTGCTGATGGTGACCGAAACGTGATGACCACATGAAAAGCTGTCTCCTGGTTTCTGTGACTTCCATGATATTCATGAACCACGTAAGTGCCGCGGTCACCCCCATCGTGCTCGATAGCCACTGTGTCCTTTCCTAGAAGTGAATTGACCGTAGATGATTTTCCCGCTCCTGCTGGTCCAAGACAAGCGACAGAACCGTAGACTGGGTACAGATTTTGCGGCCTACGGACCCGTACTAACTCCTCATTGCAAACATATTTGATAGCCTCGTCTGAGAACGCAAGTTCTTGAGAGATATTCTCATGGGCACGCGTCAGTTTGTTGACAGTGAACGCCACGAGATCTTCAGTCTGTCTGAAAGTCGGGCAATACGCAGCGAGCCGTGGCGGCCCGGTTCTCGGGTGCTCGCGCTCTATCATGCTCAATGTACGCTTTTGCGATTTTGTTGAGTCCAGTCACCGATATGATAGATCTCGAATATGACGCGAACCTTCTGATTTAGAAAGCTGATGCACAGCTGCAGCGACAGGGAGGCGCAGTGGACTTGACGTCTTGTAGTGATTTTGTGTCAGGAAGCCGAGAGGCTAATTTGTGTTGACTTGTGATCTTGCTCTGGTGTGTCGTGATCATGCCAAATTTGTTGGCTAGATGAGAATCGCAAGTGTCGACGAACAAATTTATAGACCTGACTGCAAGGAATCGACTTCACGTGTCAAGTGTGAAAAGCGCAGAATTGACGAGAAGGAACGAGGAGGAGACGTGTAATGCCAGATTGACATGTGATTTGTCTCTCATCATTGAATGTTATAATCTCCACGGATTGAAAGGATCTGCCCAAGCACACAAAGGGTCATGCTTATGTTCACGGAATACTCAGCTCGCATTCAAAGCACCTGGATACTGATGGCCGTGTGCTTGACCATTGCTGAGCCAGCCGCGAAGCCAGGAGTACCGTAATGGAAGCGCAAACATGTGCGGACTGAACATGTCGCTCAATATCCTATTCATACACCGGAAGACATCAAGATGGCATCCCGAGACATCGACATGGCCGGCGAGAATCATTTAGAATAGTCATGCACACCTCGATGTAGACGTGCTGAATGAGAGGGACGCTGCACCATTGTCGTAGTATCATCAGTTAGGGCAGGCAGATTGAAGATGGCCAGGCTGTAGAAGCGCACATGTCAGCATGTTGTACCGAAGAGATCGGCAGATGAACAACTCACCTGCTTGCACTTGTAGCAAACACGCTCGGCAGTTTCAGATGGACAATCGCGAGAGACATGACCAACTTCGCCGCCTAGGATTCGGATCAGTGATGACTCTCATGTTCGATTAAGACTCAAGAACCCACAGTTGTAGCACTTCTGGCCTTGAGTGCAGTCTCGGCTCATATGGCCGTAGCCGCCGCATGTGTAGCAAGTCTGTCCGCCGGCATTCTTATTGCCGCCGCCGTAGCCACCGCGCCCGCCAAACCCGCTGCTGTAGCCACCAGCAGAGCAGTCACGAGCTATGTGACCAACCGTGCCACACTATCCACCTGGTTAGACTCGAACGACATCCGACGCAAATGACAAGCGTACCTTGTAACATTCCTGGCCACCAGATGCAGGGCCGGGCTTGGCGAAGCCACCGCGGTTCCCGCCACTTGGACATTCTCGAGATACGTGGCCGGATTGTCCACAGCCGTAACAGCTCTGCAGATTCGTCAGCGACTTTCCCAGGCTTGCAAACAGTGGGCGACATGCCTTTGCCTTGGCGGGCTGTGTGCACTCGCGAGACATGTGGCCTTGTCCGCCGCAGTTGTAGCAAGTAGGCGCACCCTTAGTCGGGCAGTCTCTCGCCTGGTGGGAGGCATCGCCGCCTTTGCGTATCATCAGCAATGCAACCGTTGAGAGTTGGATGATGAGCACGCACAATTGTAGCAAGTTTTGGCTGCGTTGGTGGGGGCAGAGAAATCCATCGTTGCAAATGAAGCTGTGATGTGTTTGAATTCTGGTTGTTGAGACGTGGTTGCACGGTGTAGCGATTTCGTAATCGAAAAATGGATCTGAATGCTTTCAAGGTTTGGAGGCTGTCAATACTCACTTCGTGCGTCAGAAAGTTTCGTATGCAGGCGGTGGTGGGCGCTAGAGCGGCGCTAGTGGGATACGTACCGTTCCGCACGTGGGCGCTAGGTCCAGGTCGATCACGCAAAGCTGGAGCATAAAACGACCTTCGTCAACAAGAGTCCGCAATCAACCGTGTCGTTTGACAACAGGATACTCTTCGCAGCTTTGTTGGTTGTCCGATGAGTTCTAAAGAAACAGCCATGTCCATCTTGCTGTTCCGATAAATCTCCCTCTGACTTCAAGAAAAGTTGCAGATAACCAAAACCTGCTTTCCTTGACCGTCCTCTCTCAGGAATACGACGTTCTCGTCGTCAAACCCGATCCAGCCTCGTGTGACCGAGAGCTCTGATAGTGGTTGTTGAGATGAACGATCTGTATCATCTCCACTAGCAGATATCTTCGGAGTGCTCGTGTGGTCAATATGTGCCTTTTGGCCCGGTCTAACCTTGATTCCCAAACCACGATCCGTAAGACGCTTCTTGGCCACCATAGATGTTAAGCCTCCTTCGAGCTCCCAAACACGGAGCTCATCTCCTCTTCTGCTTATGGAGACTGCTCTACCGCGTCCACCAATGTGAGCACCGGAAACGGACGAGGTATGCCCCCAGAGTCTGCTCCCTGGACTCACCGACAGTGACTCCGCTGTTGAGGTCACGAGATATACCGCCAAGGTGTTGTCGGGATGAGACACGAGCAGATACGGATGCGTATATGACAGCGAGATCGGCTTTGAATGTATGTGCCGTAATTCTCTTGCAGACGTTATCCCAGGAAAGCTAGGTTGAAACGAGGCGATGTGTGGAAACATCGGCCGTGATGCGAAGGTGAGCGGTCGAAAATGCTCCTCGATTGCCGATGCGATGCGAGAATCCAATAGCTTTCCTTCCAGGTCCACAACAATTTCTTGGATGCCAACAGTCCATCCGGATAGATAAGTGGGCAGTGCGAACCCGAGCGATACAGTGATCGAAGATTTTGATTCCCTGATCGAAGTCGAAAGTGGAGGCCAGATGCTGCGCGACGTAAGCGTGTGCAATGCGGCCGGTGGCGCTAGCTCGCAATACGTTAGTGATACGAATTTATGCCGTCGGTGACCCCAGCTTACCATATGTATGCGATGCTGTCTTAGAATGCGTCGAGTCTCCACGCCGGGACCCGAACTTCCACAAACTGAGCTTCTGTGTAGCTGTCAGTGTGACCACATACGGCCACGAAAGAGCAATGGCCGTGACGACCGCATCGTTTGACCCATCGTTGTGACTGTAGCAGTGAGTGAATGTTGAAGAGTCCTTCTGCAGTGAATATACTGCGAAAGTGCCATTTTCATGCCCAACTACCACGATAGAGGTGGAAGACTGTTGGGCCGTTATGCAGACAGCTAATGAAGTCGGGGTCGCTTCTCTCGAAATTGGAAGGTGGGCCACGAGAGAGTGCGATTTCACTGACCAGGCCCGAAGTCCCTGTGTCCGATCGACCATGTAGATAGTACCTTCATGTAATTGCACCAACATTGGAGGTATGCTCGATTCTGCAGCAACGTGGACTTCCTTCATCGTACACGAGCCTTTATTCCAGTTATGGCGGAGCTTGTAACGCCATTTCCATGTCGTTCCTTTCAAGATTTGGTCAAAGCCTATGTCTCGCATCCCAGCTGTCTGCTTCCTTCGTGGTCGAGTAGAATCCCTGTAATAATGGGCCTTCCATAGTGAGCCATCTCTCGCAAGCGATCGATATTCACGTGAGATTCTTTCCGTTTAGCACTTCGAAGAGATTGAATGATCCAGCAGACTTACTCCTCACAACGCAATAAATCTGATACAGTCAGAAATGAGAAAACTCTTAGCTTGACTTCGTCGGGCAGTCTAGATAGATGATCTGTGTAGAGAGGCTTTGAACGCTTGCTTCTGAAATCGTGGCTGACATCATCGTCTTCACGCACACGCTTCACCATGGTTCCAAGTACCTCATTAGCCACCTTTGAAAGCTCGTAGCATGAACTTCTGCCGCGATCAGAGATGAGTCTGCCTAGATCAGGTGCATCCTAATGTCGTGCGCAAATCGAAAAACTTGGGAATAACGACCGAATCTCTGGGCGATCGCGTGCGGACATGCACAGCGTGGTCTAAGAGTACAATGATGACGAGAATACAGTGGGTACAAGGGTATTCTGAGACTAGGCAAAGTCGAGTAGGAAACTGGCGGACTTTAATGCTGACGAGGAACATCGCGTCCTCGGATGGTGCTCCAAGTGCCATGTTTTGGTGCCTTAGGCCGCAATATTTCATGGATATTGTCTTCGCGTGTTCACTACCTGGCACTCTCGTAATCACTGTTAAGCTGCGCTGAAGAAGCCATTACGTATGGACGCAGTGTGCGATCTTTCTTCCGCCACAAATTACAGTACCGTCGAATGATGCATTTCTTCACACCGAGAATTGAATTTCCAACTTTATGTCGACTTTCTTACGACTTCCGTTGAAGTCGAACATCAGGAACAGGACAAGCAGGCATTTCTTCACCTTTGCCTCCGGAGAATGGGCGCGACAAAGCGAATGTCGGATGGCGAGGCTAAACCCATTGTACTTGAATCAGTCGCTCTGGTAGATGCCGGCCCACTTGGTCCTCACCCATCCACCATTCGTGTGTCAGCACCATTTCTCAGTCATGCCGCTATCGACCAGCATCTATCACATGCCCGGAACAACAGTGGCAGCTTGAGCATAGGACTTGATGCACAAGAGCGAAGTCTCGCTGAAGCGCGTGAGGACAATGTGCGCCTCCAAGGGGTGATTTGGCTGGATAGTGTGCGTCGCGCGCTGCAGCTGCCAATCAGGACCTTCACGACTGCGTGCGTGTACTATCACAAATTTCGCCTGGCCCATCCAAGTGTCGAGTACAGTTGGATTGATGCTGCGGCTGCCAGTCTGCTCACGAGCTGCAAGAACGAGGACACATTGAAGAAGAGTCGGGATATCTTAGCTGCGGCGTATAATCTTAAACAACCCACAACCCATGAACATGTCAGCGCAGACGATCCCATGTTCGAGGCGTCTAGTCGCATTGTCATCGGACTGGAACGACTTGTGCTAGAAAGCGGAGCATTCGATTTCCGGAGTCGGTCACCTCACCATAGCTTGGTCAAAATCGCGAAGAGCCTCTTCTCGCGAACACCTGGCGAGGAAGGAGTAGACAGCCATGCTGTGACAGGGTTGGCGTGGACCATTTTAACAGACATGCATCGGACATTTGCGCCTCTCAAGCAGACAAGCGCCACGCTCGCTCTTGCGAGCCTCGAACTAGCATTACGACTACAAACATCCACCATAGACGAGCTGTCGCCAACAATCTCGACCAATCTTTTAGCACTCCATGACAAATGGCACTCATCGAGGCAGGAAGTGATGGAGACACTCCTCGACGCGCTCGATCTCTACACGCATCACACCGCTGCGACAATTCTTGGATCGCGATTTTCCTTGGACGATTTTCTGCGTATACGTTTGACCTTCAACAAAGAATGCAGTTCATCGAGCCTGCTACGGCATGCAAACGTGTTGCCCGCTGCGCTTGACAACGGAAATGGGTTCTCAAATACGTTGCGTGTCTCCAATGGGCATCCTACTCCTGTCTCACCTCCACAACTTGGGCAAACGTCCCAACATAACAACGGTATCGCGCCAATACACCCCATGGCCGAAGGCGGTGGCACCCTGCGATTCATGCTCAATCCGCAACGCGCCATTGATGAGAAGGTCCAGTACAATCGCTTCCATATTGAAAAATGGGAAGAGTACGAAGAAGAGATCGAGATCCCGATAGTCCAGCCAAGGTCCCGAGAGCGCGACGCCGATCGCGACCGGGATCGAGATAGCCATGCTAGGGGGTCCGAGAGTGGCAGGCGGCATGGCCGGGACGACTACTCCCGCGACGAGAGACACCGAGATCGCGAGCGGGAAGGAGACCGCGACCGCGGCCACCCACGAGACCGCCACGAGACACGATACGACGACCGACGCCATGAGGATCGAGACCGCGACCGGCGCTACGATTCCCGCCGGGATAGGGACCGGCGATATCATGACGACGAATCAAGACGAAGAAGCCGGCATGAGCGATAATATGTAGTTGGGTGGGATGGGAAAGCAATCTCAGATCTCAGCTCTGATTGGATTGTGCCTGATGGTGCAAATGGGCATCGTGGTCTGAGGCGCTCGCCGCACATCGCTTGCCCCTCTTCACAGAGCGAGATCATACCCGAGTCGCGCTGAACACCCAACCATGACTATGCCGTTATGACATGCTATGTTGCGCAGTTTGGGTTGCACCCACAAAGCCATGTACATATCGTAGCTGCTGACGATCGCCACTTCTTTCAAGTTGGCTGAAATGCATTCGAGGCAGATATTCGTATGCAGGGTCATATGTAGTGTCTTGAAAAACTCACGGATCGTGTGTACATCCGATGAGGACTGCAGGTCACGTCGCAAGAGATATTCGAAAGAATACAAACGAAAGTCAATTCATAGCTTCTCAGGCATCTAGCTTTTCCGTCCCACGGCTGGCTTGACAGTCATCCCTGCTGTCCACATGCGGACCGATGAACAAGTCAATCATGCAAGCGTATATGCGTCTGCACCGAGTCTACTTACTCGCGTCCAGACCGATTCATAATTCCCCAAAGGCCGTACCAATTAACATTGAAATCGAAAAGGTAAACTATTTACAGCTTGTCGTAGTAGTTCTCGTAGCCCGGAACGTCAGGCTTGAGACCCTTGCGCTTCCGCATGTCCTCGACGATCTTACCCGACAGAGTGGTCTTGTCGAGCACGCTACCGCCGGTGAGAATCTGCCAGTGGTCGAACACTGATTGAGGGAAGGCCTGGCCACCAGTGGCCTGGCGGAGATCAGCATTGAAACCGAAAGACTCGTTGACGGGCAGGTAAGCCTTGATGTTGAATAAAGGAGTACCAGGGCGCTGGGCCTCCTCGAAAACGTGACCTCTTCGTCGAGTGAGCACACCATAGATACCACCCATAGCTTGTTCCGGAACTTGAATCTCGACCAAGAAAACGGGCTCAAGGAGACCGGGGTCAGCAAGAAGGGCGGAAGCGTAGAGAACACGACGCGCGGTGGGAATGATCTGTCCACCACCACGGTGAATGGCATCAGCGTGGAGGGTGACATCCATGATGTTGAAGCGGACGTTGCGCATGGGCTCTTCAGCAACCGGACCTTCCTTGGTCGCCCACTGGAAACCAGAGACGACGGAATCCTTGATTTCACTGAGGTACTGCACGGCCTTGGTCTGGTCAACGAGCAAGTTGGCACCGTTGGTGTCAGGACCGAAGCACCAAATCTTACGGGCATCAGTGACATCCCAGCCGTGGTCGTCGGCAAGGATACGGGCACGGGCCTTGAAATCGTCACGTGGACCGATCTTGCCAGACTCAATGTCCTTGGAGACCTCCTCGGCAAGTGGGCTGGCAATGACGTACAGACGGTTGTGCTTGTTGGGCGACTTGGACAGCGCAGTAATCCTTGAGTCGGCAGAGACGGTCTCACGATATTGAACGACGGGGTCAGAGATGCGGAGAGGTACACCAGCGTGGTCCTCCTCGAGATCCTTCAAGCAAATTTCGAGATGAAGCTCACCGGCACCAGCAACGACGTGCTCACCGGACTCGGAGATGTAGGTCAAGACACAAGGATCCGACTTGGACAGACGCTTGAGACCTTCGACAAGCTTGGGCAAGTCGTTGGCGTTCTTGACCTCAACGGATCGCTGCACGACGGGCGAAACGGAGAACTTCATGACCTTCAAGTTGTGAGAAGTCTCGGAGGTGGTGAGGGTACCAGACTTGAGCAAGAACTGGTCGATACCGACAAGGCCAAGAATGTTACCAGCGGGGACATCCTCGATAGGCTCGGTGTAACGACCCATCATGAGGATGGTACGCTGGATCGACTTGAGGAACATGTCTTCCTTCTTGCCGGGAACGTAGTTGGGGCCCTGAATGCGGACCTTGAGACCAGAACGAGCGGTACCAGCGAAGACACGACCGAAAGCGTAGAAACGACCCTTGTCGGAGGTGGGCACCATCTTGGAAACGTAAAGCATGAGAGGTCCCTTGGCATCACAATCGCGGATGGCAATGGCGGACTCGTCGTCCGGAGGACCCTCGTAGAGAGTCTCCATACGGTACTTCTGTGCGGTGGCGGGTGATGGCAAGTGAAGAACCATCATCTCAAGAAGTGCATCGGCAGCTGGCAAGAACTTGCGCATGACAACCTTAAGAAGCTGCTTACCCTCGAGATCCTTCTCGTCAGAGGCAAGCTTGATCTCAAGCTTGGTGAGGAGGGTCTCAACGGCATCCTTCTTGAAGTTCATGACGCTGTCAAAGATACGGAAGATGGGGTCCAAGCAGAACTGGTTGAAAGCACGCTCGAGTGGCTTGCCCTCGTGGGTGGAAACCTTGGTCCACTTCTTGGTGTGAGGGTTGAAGTATGATTCGCCCTAGATGCGGAAATTAGTCCGATGCTCATACCGCGAAGACTACGATTTCCGAGTGAACTCACCCAAAGTCTCTCCATCATCTTGTTCTTGTCGACACCGAACTTCTTCGAGTATCTAGTGGCGAACTGACGGACGGTGAAAGCCCAGCCGTGAAGACCAGAACCGAAAGCAATGGTACCCTTCTCGGGGTAAACCTGGCAATCTCCGAGAGTCTTGTCGAAGTAGGTGGAGATGACGACATTGACGGACTCAATGACACGGGCAAAGTTCTGGAAGAGATCCTCCTTGGACAATTGAAGCTCAAGAAGCGCACGGTCGACCTTGTTGATGATGACAACAGGCTTAATACGCTCACCGAGGGCCTGACGAAGGACAGTCTCGGTCTGCACACAGACACCTTCGATCGTGTCAACGACAACAAGGGCACCGTCGGTGACACGGAGAGCGGCAGTAACCTCGGACGAGAAGTCAACGTGACCAGGCGAGTCAATCAAGTTGATCAAGAACTCGTTCTTCTCGGTCTTGACCGGGATGTCCTTGAGATCCTCTGCGTCAGGAAGCTGACCGAAAAGGGAGATGGCGGTAGACTTGATGGTGACACCTCGTTCTTGCTCATCAGGACGTGTGTCTGTGAAACGAGCGGAACCGGCGTTCTTGGCTGAGATAATACCAGCTCGCTGGACGAGAGAGTCGGTCAAGGTGGACTTTCCGTGGTCGACGTGGGCAATGACGGACATGTTACGGATGTTGACCGGGTTGTCCATGAGAGCACGGATCTCCTCGACGGTGAAGCTGTGTGAAGAATCCGATCAGCCACTGTTCTCTCTCGGTATGAACAACTCTTTTTCATCATGATCGCAAAATGGCGGATCTCAATGTCTTGACGGTCCGAACGACTCTTCGCACGTGTGACCGTCATGGCAAAGAGCCACTCGGCGAACGATCTGGGCACCTCTTGGATGACTTACTTGACCATCTTGGCGGTATTTTACGATGTGATTTCTTCGGAAGGTTTTGTGGAGGGACTTGAATGCCCCGCGTGTGTGAAGTGCTCACTGGCACGGACGACCTCTGCAAGTAACAGGCCTATTGAGGAATCGAGGTTAGTGACGTGTTATGGAAGACAACGAACGGCGACGAGGTTCTTTAAGAGCATACCGTAAGCGACAATTAATTGGCGGCTGTGGAGGGTGCAAAAAAGAGAAAGAGGTGGCAGCAGAATGGAAGTGGCAGAGAAAATGATATGGTGGAGTAGTGCGAGTGCGTCTGTCCGAACAACCTTGGACAGCACCACTTTCCATTACCCGCCCACCTTCTCTGCATGAAGATTTCTAATGGGGAACAAAAAATCTTGGTGGGGCTTTTTCGCCCGCACTAGTCCACGACCGGCATCAATGTGAGGGGCGGCGTCCATTTGTAGACATCTCACGTGATGACGAGTTCACCTTCCCGCAATCTTGACTCTGCCCAACCTGATCAGACTAATCGCCTCAACATTCCATGGTTGTCGTAAAATTCTGTGATAACCATATCAACAATCACTCACGGGTGATCTCAGGAAACCAGAGAAGTCTGAGTTCCGCTGGGTTCCGCCGACGAGCTCGTAGACTCCGTATCCGTGTTTACAGATCACGCATGCCCAGAAGGGTTGACCATAGGACCGGTCTGACCGCGCGGGAAGGTTGGTACTGTAATAACAAGACACATACAAAATTCATCATGCAAGGTGAGCTGATGGAGCGACTCGGCTACATCTTTCCTCTGCTGGCTGTGTTGAAAGTCATTCATCGATCGCCAGTCACGAACCTGACAGCGCTGAGGTCAGATATCCCACTCGTACATTTTTACAACGTTACATTTCTGTCACGGCGCCCCGAATCACCTCATGGTGATAGTTGAACTCCATAAACGCCGATTTTACCATGAATCATTCGATCATGAGGTTCCCAAAATGCTCTCATACGCATCCTCAACCTCTTTGCACACTTCTAAAAGGCTGACTATGATGATTTGATGAGTCACGTGGGGTAAGCGATCCCGTTGGAGGCCGATCCATTCCAGAGGCGGTGTCGCTTCGCCCATATCCCGTAACTGCGGTGTCTCAATGACGGGTGGCGCCAACGCATTGTAGTTGTATCGTGACTGGGGCAATTTGATTTCGGCCGTGATTTTCTCCTGTGCTCGCTTTTCGGTGTCATTCTTCTCTACGCCAGGCACCGCATCCCCTTCCTGTAGGCCTGCCGTGATCTTGACGGCAGATTCGGGTAGCAGCTTCCCCAAACGCGAGCCCAGCGCACGAGTGTGTGTCGTCCACATCCCCTTGATGAAATTCACGCGGGCGAGGTTCCACCCCACGTCAATTTTGCCTTCGAATAGACTGCGGAAGATATAGTCGACATTGTTCGATTCCGGGGTCTGCCATGTTTGCATCGACGCGGTGACTTTCGGCACTCGAAGGATTGTGCCGCCTTTCGCATTGATGGCATTGGTGATGACTTCTTCGACTGACAATTCGAGCGGTCTCGAAGTTGCGCTAATCTTTCGAGTTGCGGCTAGGCCAACTTGCAATTGTCCGAGAGTCATACCCAGTCCACTGGTGACTCTACCACGCTCCAGGCCAGCTGCGAAACGTGCTTGTATATCGTTTGCTTCCATCTTGAGCATCTGACTGTCAAGAAAGGTGCTCGGGTACACGCCGAAGCTTATGGCACCAACCGTGACAACTACGTCCGTGTGAAGCATGATTGCGCTCTTCTTTCGCTGCTTTTTGCCCATTAATATCTCTTGCTGCATAACGACATTGGGGGCTGCGTTCGGCCCCGGCCTCTCCATATTTGCCTCATTAGACGCGTGTTTTGTGATGTCCCGGAGCGACTGTTCGAATGCTGCTTGTTTTTCATGTATAAGACGATCAAACGCCTGATATACACCAACCGCCTGTGCTGGGCTGGTAGCAGTGCAAAATACATATGCCTTTGCACAGTCGAGAACGGCAACGAGTCTGTCTTGTCTGCCCTCTTTCAGCTCTCGCACATTGTACATAAGGAAGTCGAACCCTTCGATGTCTCCGAAGGCAAATGCTTGATAGTCGAAAGCAGCTTTGGCGCGCAATCGTTTGAAGCCAAACGAGGCCTGAATCAAAGGTGTCGTGTGGCCTTCGTTTTCATTTGTGTCCTCTGGCCACCGAATTGATGTACGAACGCCCAGGCCTTCCAAAGACACGAAGCCGCTCATACGCCCTGAACCGCTCATAGTCACATCGTCCAATCCGATGGACAAGCTTTGCTCCCAATTTGACGACTTTTGCTGTGATGCCCAAAGGTTCTTGACGACGAATGACGGCTTACCGATACTTTGGCCAAGATCCAAGTCGACCGCGAGACGTTTAATGCAGATCGTGGCATTCCACGGAAAGGCGGCTGCCGCTGCCGCACTCTGATACCTCTGCGCAAAGTATTCGTCGGCTTTCGATTCATTGGGTGGCTCGGAATTTGATGCCGCCATGGTATCACGGATCTCAGCCGGTAGCCAGATCTCCCGGAAGAGCAATAGATCTTGCAATTGCTTCCCATTGACGAAAAGACGGGTCGGGTTAATGTTGAGAATTGCGGAAATTCCGGGTGTGCCGCTCAAGTGCTTATCGTTCATCGCAGAGAGCTCGACAGACTCCATGTCATAGATAAAAGTTGGTTCTCGCGAATACATATGTTTGACTTGGGCGGTGAGCTTTGTCATGATTGCAGATGTGGCAAAGAAGTGACCGTGCTCGTCTGAATCAATCGTGTTGACCACAAAGTAGAAGTCTTCGAGTGATGCCTTTGCATCGACCCGAGCAACAGGCTGACAGCTCAACCCGAACTCTTGTCTGCAGACACGTATACCAACATCAACTCTTGTGCGGCCGAAAATCTTTGCAGGGTTGGCAATGATGATCGAATCTTCTTCGAAGAAGCTCTGGGTCAGCGTCGACTTGCTCATGATTTGACTGCCTTCTTGTTCTGAAATATTATCGACAAAGTCACGGCCTTGAACGAGCTCTTTGACGCCGTCACTGACCTCGAGGATCAGGGGCACCACATCCGGTAGCAGCAAGTTCGAAGACGCTTCGACACGAATCTCAGCATGAAAGCTCGGCGTCGGTCCATCGGCTCGGAATTCCAGTTTGAATGCAATCCCTGGACTCGTCAAACTCGTCTTCAATCGAGCGCCGTCAGTTGCGTATTGGCCGAACCTCCCATGATTCACACTGGCACTTGGTTGCTTATGGACGGATGTGCTTTCGGGGGCATCCGTCTGGTTGTAGGCGTTTGCTCCCTGCAAATGAAATATAGCGCCTGCAAACTCGGCTTCGATAATAAGAGATTCAAGTCGCTTAGTGTCGAACATCGTTGATCTAGGAGCTCCGCTCACAGTCGGTGTGCTCTGCCACGTCCTCGTTCCAATTTTGAATTGTTGCACTGCCGAATCGATCGATCGCTGCACGGCAGCGACGGGCAAGAGGAACCTCGACTCCAACCGCACGTCAAGCGGCTTTCCCGAGGCCTTGAATGCGAATCTTCGTTTCTTGTCGTGCGATCGATACATTACACTGAACTCGACCTCGGGTAGGATCGCAGAGTTTGTGGCACGAGAGCCATTGTCATCCGTGTCTTGTCGAACAAGTTGTAGCACGACATTGTCCAGGCGGAGTCTAGCTTCATCCACTCCACTGATGGCCAGATCAAGTTTCTTGATAGAGAAAAAGAGGTCTTCAGGCTGATCATTGGGTCTCGGCACGAACGTTTGATTGATGACCCACCGTGCCCGCATGTCCAAAAGTTCAACATGAATCTTGATGGAAAGAAATTCTTCTGTCAAAAAAGGCACGTCCCCGACCTTCGGCTCTGACTTCCTACTGAGTCTCTGCACCACCGTGTGTCTCCTCTCGTCCCTGAGGCGGCGCAAGTACTCCACTTCGCTTGAAAGGTCAAGATGTCGAATTCTGTCTTGTAAGTGATTTATGACATCGATAATTGTTGCCGCGGTCGCTGGGTACATGTCAAGTGTCAGCTGGCTGCTTCGAACGAGCAATTGTCGCGAGAACTCTCCATCAAAATCTAGCCATAGCTTCATGAGCATGCTACCGCATGGCTGTGTGCTGTGATCGTCTCGTGTCTCGAGGCTTGCACCAATGTCCTGGAGCTTTGCGCTTATACTTGGTACAGACAGGACTTGTGATGCAGACTGACCCTGGTTCGAGACTATGGCGTGTACTGATCCTGTGCCAAACTCTGCCGCAATGAACGAAGCATCCCTTACTTGCGATACGAGAGCGGAGAATCTTATGCCTGCCACCGCCAAACGTACATCAAACAGAATTCGATTAGCACCTGGTTTTTCCGTTGAGACATTGGTTGTTCCCACCAGCTCCAGGGTGGCAAATTGTCCGCGAACGTCAGATACACCAGCTTTGATGGTTGATATAACGTTTTGCACCTCCGGTTGAGCTAATATACCTGCTACTTCGAGCAAGGACCCAGCACTCACTTCAATTCTTTCAATGCTCGTGGCAGCAGTGATCCTCGTCACTTGTGGCCTGATATCGAGTCCAATATTGCCATTGATCGGGGGTATGTCTAGAATTTTAGACATGTGCGATTGTTTGCCTGAAGTATTGATAAAGACATGGCTCTGACTGCCGATGTCATAATCAACGCTGAACGCGCCGCGCTGGGTCGAACTTGATGCCATCCGAATGCTGGTTGCCTTACCCTCTAGTCTGTACTTCAGCGACTGTAGAAGGGACACTTCGATGCACAAAGTGCCTGCAAGTACAGCTATGTTGACCTTTGGGGCACGATGCCATCCAATTTCACCACGCATGTCGCCCAAGGTGTCTTCATTCGCATTTTCTGTTGCCTCTCGATCGCCGAAGTGCGCTTTGATCAGATCTCGTATCTGCGTTGCCTCGTCGATGATAACGGATTCCATCAGGTGAAGAATTCCTGGGACTTGCTCTAGGATAATCAAAGACACCTCTTTATAGGCTACAGCCACGTTAATGTCCGATGAACTGGTCTTGTGTATGGGTAGAATATGATCAATGTATATGCTCGGCGCATCGAGAAGTGTGGTCCAGATGCATTGCGAAGTATTGTAGAGCTCAGTGACGAGAGCATTGCAGATAACAGTGGCATTGTAGCTTTCGCTGAAGCTCTCATTTCCTTTTATGGTGCCGATCAATGACATCTTCAACTCATCTGCTCGCGAGACGTGGCGTAAATTCAAGCTGACAATTGCAATACTAGCGCTTTCCGTGGCGAGAACGATCTGAAAGTCCTGGCGAATGAGACCGATCTCTCTGCTCTGAATAGTCGCGTCAGTCTCATTTGCATAGATTCGTGTGAGCTCCTCGAGGTCAGTCCGTCGGCCCAAGACAGTTTCGGCCACGGAAATCAAACTCCAGTCGATGTAAGCAGCGATCGAGTTGACACTCAACCGCAGTATAACCTTGCTTCTTTTGTTATCCTCTATGAGCATAAGACCTTGCGGAAGCTGCGGGGGTGCGGTAACGACGTCCAGGGCCATATCATCAAAGATAACATCACTAGTCTCCACTTCCGTTTCAACAGCAGCGCGCACAGAGCCTACGCGGAGTGTAGATATCGAAGGCTTGAGATCCGGAACGCTGCTACCTTCTGTCGCCTTGGAGCCTGACACGACCTGAAATATCACTGTTTGATTGACATAGGGTATATCCCAAATCGGTGACAATGCCCAGCTGCTTAGATCCGTGGACGATGGGTTCGCATTTGGCGTGTTCGCTGGGTCTGCAAAAGCTCCCTCGAGCTCTTCCTGTGCGCTCGCAGGCAGATTTTGCATGATATAGCGCAGACGAGACAGTATCTTCCACGAATCTTCGTTGCGAAAATGCTGCGGATAGGCTCGCAGGACATACATCATCCGCGTCATGAAGGGAGGATCGCCAGTGAGGTCCCCATGGCGAACCAGGCCTGAAATAAATGATTGTAACCTCAATGCATCGCCTGATCCAACCTTTTGGAAATTTATTACCATGTCATTGACCAATCGGGCCAGTCTGAGGGTGAGAGACATGAGATATGGTGCCTGCGTTCCCGAGACCACTAAGTCCAAAGCTTGCAGCGAGGCATGTACCACATTCGAATGAGCAAGTGCACACCTCATAAGGCTATCTCTGATATCAATCTGAATGGCGGGGGCAGTGGAGCTGGCAACACCCAACCCACGATCGATGAGCGCAATTCCAACTTTTGCCACCCTGTTATGTAGTGCTATGGTTTGTTTGACGCCGCTTTCAGATGGTGTCTTGCGTATCCGGGTGAGACTAGTAAATGATGTGAGCGTCAGATCAATCTGATCTCTGGCGTCAGCATTTTGATCATCATTGATGACACGTAGATTGGCTGTGGGCAAGCAAGATTGTATTTCAAAGACCTCGCATTTGCTGCGCAAGCTCGCCTTCTGACTTTTGATGGATTCCATGACGTTCATTTGCAAGCAATCTAATCCGTCTTGTGGATTCGATGGAAGCATGATGTGTATCAAGTGCAATATACTCTGGGTGAGCTGAGGTTTCACGAGCCCTCTAATGCCGGGCTTAACATCGATGAAAATTGTTGTCTGCTCATATTCCTGATCAGGGGGTGACGCAAAGTCGGCACCAAGATTTGATTCCTCTCTCGCTATGCTGCATTGATCAGCCATGGGCGAGTACATTGGAACATCGGACTCATCTGGATGTACCGCTTCGAGCGGGAAGTATGGCCGGGCATACGGACTCGAGAACGCCATATTAGGGGCTGCTGGATGTTTGAGTGTTCGATTCTTGACGCCTGGAATTGATTCGTGTTCTTTAACAGCATGCAAACTCTTGGAAGGAGTAATGCTGTGGCTTTGATCGTGTGCGGTCTCAAGCTTCGATACTTGTAGAGCCGCCGCGTCATCAAAGTCCTGCATTGAGTTGCGACTAGTCGAGAGTAGAGATGCGGTCAGAGATGTAGAGGATGCCTGTGATGACATCGACCCGCGATGACCAAGCAACCGTCGCTGAGAATTGATGGAGACGGGTCGAACTACGTGAGCCGAGTTGACCGGAGCCGGTATCTCGGGAAACGGCATTGCTGGAGGGTCAACAAAATCCTCGTCGCGGTCGATTGTAGACCAGTCATTGTCAGGACGCAACAGGAATGATCCTCTGTTGGTTCGCCGGTCGCTGCTGCGTAAATGGGATTGTTGACATTTCCTGGCTATGTCGAAATGAGATTTGCGGTTTGCCACCTTCAACTCGATGCCAGTCTCTACAAAAGCATAGGTCTGTACTTTCGATTTGCGAATTTCTCGTCCGCGTGTTCGTGACACCTTCTCGGCATCTATGCATGCAACTACAACGCGAGGTGCCTGCACGGCTATCTTTTGTGAAAACATTCCACTTGCCCAATCAGACGTCTCCACTTGTACAGGATCCATCTCCAGAAGGATCGCGTCCCTCTCAGAATGTAGCCACAGACGGACGACATCCGTCCGAGCACGCACAAATGTCACGTCATCGACAGTCGCTTGTGTTGGTATCGGCAGGACGTTTTCGCCGTCCTCGAAGGAGAAGGCAAAGACTCTGCCAGCAGTCGTCAGATCACGGAAGAATGAGTCCGAAAGCTCGCCGGTAAGCTCTCCAACATGGACATCCCATTCGCTGATATACGTTGGCTCTTTGGGTGGCAAGCCAAAAGCGCGGTGGCCTCGGAGATCAAGACCAGCTAGGTAAATCTGTGCGGCAGATTCTGACTTCGCCGTGGAGTCGTCATCATCAAGATCACCAGAAGGCCCGCTGAGAATGCTGAGTGGCGAAAGATTGAGACCCATATCTAAATAGTAGCTCGTGATACGAAGATCGAGGTCAGCAAGAGGTAATTCAGCGCGTACACAGCTCCGTCCACTGTACAAATTGGTCGGAACCATGAGAATTACATCCTCGGCAACAATGGCCAAGATGACGTCCAGCTCGTTTGCAGCTTTTGGCTTCTGTGGGGTCTCCACGTTTGCGATTGCGGGCTCGAAGTCTTCTCCGGCATCCTGAAACTCTTCCAAAGTTTTGAAATGTAGATAATCCCCGAAATAATTTTCCTGAAGGTTGAGAAATCGTCGGACAACAAAGCCGTGGGTCATGAGTGAAAGTCCAGTACCAACGAGATCCAGGCGCAGCACGTCTGTGAGCGTAGATGAAGTATCCTGATTCGAGTCAAAAGACCCCTTCAGCGTCAATTTCGGCAGGGTAGCAATCTGATCATCGTCAATAAACGTGTGCAAAGTGCTTCTGGTGGAGCTTGAAAGTCGCATTCGCAATTGTTGTGCCAGCACATCAAATGATATTCCGTTTCTTCTTGGGCGATATTGGTTGATTGGAATCTCCAGCCTCGCTTGCAAAAGGCCTTCAAGAGTAAGATAATCGTTTTTCTCGAGATTTGCCGGATCGTTGATGATATTTGCGTCGTTTACATTGAGATATATGCAGAAATTTCTCAGAGTAATGTCTAAGGCGTAGATGAATGGCACGAACGTATAAAAGTCAGGCGGGTCTCCTGAAGCCCAGTCGGTGACCATATCGATAAGAAGGAACAAATGATCCCTGAGTATGAAAAGCTCCAGATCATCACATGTGATACTGAAAGGCCAATCACGCACACTGTTCCATGAGAGAGGATAAGATAAGTCGGCGCTTAAAGTCAAAGATCCTGATCGCCAAAGAAGGCCGTGGTTGACGCTGGAGAACATCTCGATTCCCTTTACGTCAACGTCGAGTTTGTTAGCGAATCCGCTTGGGCTGGCATACATATCCATGCCGTATTTCACCACTGAATTTTGCTTGACAGACACGTCAAGCCACGCATATGGCCGAGCATCAGTCACTGTAGTATTTTCTTTGGTGGGGTGACGCTTGCTGTGTTTCTGTCTGTTGCCCGGTGCAGCAGCAGTCATGGCATCTGTGTCATTTTGTGACGATATTGTGGGAGAATGGCTTGTCCAGTCAGAGTCTTTCGATTCTTCACGTAGGGGAATCCTCAGCGTGACATCTTCATGCACAATGATCACAATCTTGAAGGATGTGGCCAGACGAAGGTCTCCAGCTTTTAGCGGTTTGGCGGCCTTGCTGTCAACTGAAGCAGCAGGAAAGAAGACGTTTTGTAGATTGTTTCGCTGCCGATCGGCCCAAGGCCCATACACGATCTCACCCCCATACACTCCAAGTTCGACACCGTAATCTGGCGATTTCGCGCCATTGATGTCTGTTGCATCAGCTAGTGCTGTGATAAAACTGGCGGTCATGACTTCTTCGGAGACGAAACCAGGGACGTCCCAAAAGAATCGCAAAGCAATCTTCGGAATGTCCACCAGTTGTGAGGCCTTGCCATATTCTGTATGTCGCCATCGGTCGTCTCCGAGCAATGGTCCCTCGTCAGCATATCGATGTAGTCCGTGCCACTGACTTGCGGGTGGAACGGCATCGGAATTCGACTTTTCTTCATCTTTGCTGATGGCTTTTGGCGAAGTGGCCCTGACAGAACTCGTGTCGCTGCTAAATTGGCCAGATAGTAATGCTTTTAGTCTTTTCCAGACTTTAGCCAACACTAGCAGAAAAGGACGGGGTTGATCTGTAGCAGTCAGAGACTCGGATGAATTGCGATCCCACGCCTGCTTTGCAGCATCTCGCTGCAGCCCTTTAAAGTCGCGATTTGGCTTCAATGCGACGGTAACAGTATTGAGATCGAAGTTAAATAACAGTCTATAAAGGTCGAGCGGACCCGCGCGAGCAGCATCGATCGTGCCAGCTGATCTTTCCACTGCGGCAATGATCACATTAGTGGTATTCTCGTTGCCGATAGTGGCAGCTGCTCTTTTGCACTCGATTTTGATAGGAAATGATCTGAGGAAAGAAGGGAGTGTGAGTTTGGTGAGACCATGCTCTGTGGACTTCGTTTCGTTCGTCTCAACACGTCTTGGGAACGCGTCATTCTCGTCGATATCCTCTCTTGTATTCGCAGCCGTGCTAGATCGCAAAGAAGCAGAGGGCAGACTTCCTTCATCTGGAGTGTCAGGCTGCGCCCCGCGATTTGTGTCATGTCCCATGGCCTTGATAATGGCATCGTACTTTGGACTTTGATTGTATATGAATGCCTCGACTCCAGCAAGTTTCACAGACATGCGGCATGGCAATCTCAACCGCGCAATTTCTCCTGAACTCTTGCGTGCTGAAGCACTATACCCGCTTTCACCAGACTCGTTACTGCCAGAACCCTTGCCACTGAGTGGATTTTTCATTCCATCCGGACCTGCAGGGCCATGCTCACGGCTGCGATGGCCGTCGTCAAAGACCTCTGCCTCTTGGACAAGTCGCAGCCAGTAACGCCAGGTGATGTGTCCACTCTGAACATGGAGAGTAATGTTTTGGGCATGATACCGGACACCCTTGAAAAATATTCGACCCCCAAGTAGGCTGAGTTGCAGGGCCGATATCTCGATATGCGCTCGGAACTTGTGCCATGTATATGCACGTATGGCATACGATATCACGGTTCCGACAAGCCGATTCAGATAGAACAGAAAGAAGAGAGCCAGTATTCCGCTGACCAAGATCTCAATAAGGAAGATCCAGTTGAAGCCGAGCGCGAATGTCAAAGGCGAGGGGAAAAGCAGGCTCGACATTATGCATAGGCACCATGAGCGACCATAAATTGTGAAAGGCTAGGACATCAGATGTCGCCCATAACCTCATTTATCTGTAACGCTGCCGTCTCTTTACTATCGTGAGGACACCGTTTGCTCACGTGTGAGGTTCTCCGAGAGGTATTGGGATCAATGGGCTTCGGCATATCCTCCGTACTATTCGTCAGAGCTTACCAGCTCAATTGATCGGCCCCTATAGTCTGTCCTCATGGTATGGGCTGTGGGCGAATGCGCGTGTATTGCGGGCCATACCATAAAGGGTGCGCTTTTTGATTCGTAATCTTGCTCTTGTCGCATGAGAAAGAGAGCGTCGAAATCGATTTGTCCTGGCCTGGTTGGCAGTGCCACAACTTGAGGTGCGGCAGTCAAGATTCGCGGATTGTCCTGGCCCCGATCAGCTTTGGAGATTGAAATTGACAGAGTTCACACAAGACCCGTCATGAATGGCCAAGAGCATAAATCTCGAAACACATCGGAATGAGGGATTACTGATAGGCTGATCGCATGTCCAGCCCTATTGTTCATCATCGGCGGAGACGCGTTGCGGAACATTCCACTGCGAGCTTGGGCTTGTTCTACATTAGCACAGTAATTGGCGGGCGCGACAAAGTTGCTTGGGGTACCTGCTTGGAAAGAACAACGTCATTTGGTCAAGCCCTTGTCCGGGCGGGCATGAGCGGGCGCATGTCCGCGGCGAAATCCATCTGTGGATGGGCGGGTGCTCTGAATAAACCGCGCTGCCTCAAGCCGAGCTTCCTCAGGGCCGCTTCTGAAGACGCGTTCGTTGCTTTTCGGAATATCCTATGCTTCGAATAAACGACCTGTCCATCTCCAACCATCAGTTCTTCGTAATCTCCGCCTGCTCTGGCCTGTCAACGTTACTCAGCCGCTCTTTCTGCTTGTCTGAAGCAAACAATCACTCCCCGGTAGATCAGGTCGGAGAATGCTTCGATAGACCTCGGCCGTTATCAATTCTCAGCTTCTGCGTCGTTGAACATCCCTCGACCAAACTCTGCCTGCGTACTCTATTGCGATCGTGACAATCTATTCGCATATCACGATGCATATGGACGATGCTGAGTCAGATTTACTCAAAACATGGGTTATCAAGAAACTCGAAAACATTTCCGATGCAGATTCGGATGTACTTGCGGATTATGTACTCGCGCTAATCAAGACCGATGAGCCTCTCCATGTGGCAAAATCTGCTTGTGTAGAGAACCTGCGGGATTTTCTCGCGGAAAGCTCTGAAGGCTTCGTCAACGACCTCTACAGCGCGATTGGCGCGAAAGCCTACGACCCAGCACGACCACCACCCAAGATCGTCTCGAAACCGGCCAGCGATGATCATAGTCGCGCAGCCCCTGGAACTCAGCACGACACCTCCGGACGGCAACCGGCAGCTTCCAAAAAGCGATCTTACCACGACTGGGACCGCGATAATGCTCATGGGACACCGAGCTTCCATACAGATGGAAACAATCGCCCAATCAAACAAGCCCGTCGTGGCGGAAGAGGAGGACTAGAGAGGGGCTCAAGGAACAATTTCATGCAGGAATTGCGCGGTACTGCATCGTCATTTACGCCGAGTCATCTTCAGGCTTTACCGCAGATGCCTGGCCTTCCTCCAGGCATGGCCCCGTTCGATCCAAACAACCCGATGGCATCTTTCATGGCCATGCAGCAATTCATGGGAATACCGCTTCCCGAGATGCCTGGCTTTGCACCTCTTAACGCCGGGCATGGTGTACAAAGATGTTCGGACTATGATACCAAAGGTTTCTGCAATAGAGGCGCCAATTGTCCGTTCGAGCACGGAAACGACCGTCTCTTGCTTCCCGGTAGAGACAGCGAGTACGATCCAGCTCAAGCAACTCTACTCAACGTGCAACCTAATCGGACGGGCACAGTCGACGCAACGCCAGGTGTCCGCCCCCGCGGAGGTCACAGAGGTAGAGGACGCGGTGGAGTACCTACGCGTGGTAACGGAAGGCGGGCGGATTTCTCGCATCAAGGCCCAATTCATGATGAGACGGCTACGACCATTGTCGTGGAGCAAATCCCGGATGACAAATTCAATGGCGATGCGATCAAGGGGTTCTTTGCGCAGTTTGGCCACATTGCGGACATCACGTTACGGAATCACAAGAGAATAGCGTTGATACAGTTCGAGGATCACAGGGCCGCCAACGATGCCTACAACAGCCCAAAGGTTGTGTTCGACAATCGCTTCGTTAAGGTGTATTGGCACAAACCGCAGAAAGCAGCCCGTGGACCTGAAGACCGAAATTTCCAACAGTCTTCAAATAACACCGCTGCCCCTGACGTTATGATGGAAGACACGGAGCAGCCCGTTGATACGGCAGAATTGGCACGTCGACAGGAGGAGGCGCAACGAAAGTACGAAACATCTAAGAAGCAACGTGAGGAGCAGCAGCAACAGAAGCTTGAGCTGGATTTGAAGCTTAAGGCTATCGAGGCCGAGAGAAGCAAAATGGCGGCAAAGCTTGCTCACAAAGCCGGAGGTGGGGCAGTTCTCTCAGCTCCTGCGAGTATTGGAGGTGAGACAAGTTCTGACAGCGCAACACAAACCGAAGGTTTACGTGCACAATTGGCTAAACTCGAAGCGGAGGCGAAAAGTCTCGGGATCGATCCAGATGCTTCCGCGGACGGCGCAGCCTGGGGCGGATTCCCGTCTCGAGGGAGAGGCAGAGGTAGCTTCCGCGGCCGGCCCGGACGTGCGGGTTTCTACCCCGGAGGTAGAGGAGGATGGGCCGGAGGGGCGGTGAAACGATTGGACAACCGGCCCAAAATTGTGGCCATCTCATTCATCGATGGTAACTACGAAGATCACGACGAGGCGCTGCGACAGTACCTCCTCTTCAGTTCCACTGAAAATGTCACGCTCACCCAGCATCCATCTCGTCCGAACGTCGCGCTGCTTGCGTTTACGGAGCGTTATCTTGGTGAAATCTTCATGAAAGCGGCCACTGCGCCAGATTTCCCGTTGGCCGGTAAGATTGAGCTTGCGTGGCACAAGCCCGAGACGGATGACACATTGACCGAAGATGCGGCGAACAACAACGAACTTACCTCCCAAGAACCCGGCAAGAATGGCGATGCTGCGCCAACTGGCGCGACTGCTAAGGAAGTCGATTACGATGTTGCAGCAGATGACGATCTATGGGGTTGAGAAGGCAAGGCGCAGAGGCTTGGTATCACGGAATCCGCTATTATTAGAGGACTGCCCTCAATAGTGTCTATGGTCCGCATGGATTCGCGAATCATCTGTGCCCTCACGTGGCCATTTCGCTGCGATGATCGCCATGGGGGCCGGCTTCTTAGCGCGCAAGGCTGAATTCATGCTGCGCCACATCGGCCTCAAATCCAACACCAAACGAACGTACCTAGGTAATTTTTGGCTTCATTGGATAGTCCACGGGTTTACGGCACAGTTTCAGAAGCGAGGATCGCGGGCGAGTTTGCGACGATTATTGATGAGTCGCGAATGCATGGTGGCTGTGTCGGAGGTAAATATATAATACATCCTTCGACTGTCTGGGCCAAAGCATACCGTTCCAAGTCACCAATCTACCTAGGTATCTAAATTGTTTACGCGAATAGCTTTCATTAACAAACATCGCGACTATACGTCACATAGCATTTTGTGGTAGCATGGCTACAGTACATCAAAATTCAGAAAACTTCATTCAGGCATTGTCAGAAGCCTCTCGACAGAATCAGACGCTCCTACAAATACTTGCACAGACCGAATATGCAAAGCCCTCGTCCAAGACCAATGCGGCATACATCGCCGATCTCCAGGCCCGTATCGCTAAGACCGACAAGGAACTGGCAATACTCCACACCATCACGGAGGACGAGCGCAAGGACCACGTCAAGTACCGTGAGAGCACGGTGAAGCGCTTCGTCTACAAACTCGGTGGATCCAAAGGCGAAAAGAAATTTAGCGACAAGGCAAGTAAAGAGGAGCGCGAGTTCGTCGAAGCATGGCAAAAAGAGCGCGAGCGCCGCGAGTCTCGTGATGAGCTCGATCGTGCCCTAAAACAAGCCGAGTCTGATCGCATCAAGCTCGAAGCCGATACGGCTCGGAATGAGAAGGCTCAGGCGGAGCTTGATGCTCTGTATCAGGCCATCTTTGGTGGACCGACACCCGAGCTAGCCGGCGAGGATCAGCTAGAAGACGCAGTACGTCGGTCGACCGAACACTTCCATGCAAGCCAGTCACAACTCAAGGTGGAGCAGCAGGCATTGGAAGCTTTGCGGGAAGCCAAGGTTTCGTTGGACAAGGCTGCCGCTTTCATGCAAGATGCCGAGCGTGCATCCCAAGGCGACATTTTCGGAAGTAAGTCTCCCATCTCGCTGCATTCGACTGCACGTCCGGAGATTCGAACAGAGCTGACCACGGAACGCTAGTGCCATTTGCCGATTTTATGGAGCGAGATGCTTTGTCGTGCGCTCAATCAGCTATGCACAGCGTCCGAGAACAACGTGAGTCGTCTTGCATTCGGAGTATAACGCTGACGCAGCATTGAACACCACCGCTCTGTGCCGATTTGACACTTGCCGCAACGATGGGCTAACCTGTACTCTCCCTTAGACATCCGCGCGAAACACTTCCAGCCCGCCATCGATGACATCGGCGTCGTCGAGATCGACGAAAGGCACATAATCAGCGACATCCTCCTGGATAACCCCTTCGTCGATATGGCTCAGCGCGCCCGCATCAAAAGTTCTAACAAGCAGATGACAGCGGCCGTAGTTGACCTGCAGGCTGAGATCACTTCACAGCTATATCGGGTGGAACGGGCGCGGCGCCAAGCGACCGGGGCAGCGAGTGATCTGAAGGAGGCGAGACGAGGGCTGCAGGATATGAGAGCAGAGGCGTTTGACAGACTCGGGGAAGAACACGATGTCCCTCCTCCTCCGTATCAGACGGTATGAACGGAACGGATACATGATACAGAGGAACGAAAATTGGAAGATGACGACAGCAACGGAGGATCGTGGATCGATTCTTTCTCGGACGTTACTTGAAGATAATATTTATATCGGAAGGTTGCCATTTACGGAGTCTGAGGAGGTGCTTACATTTACTGTATACCCAGGAATAAACTTGTCATGGATGTAATAAGTTTCGCAAAAATGCCCGGAGAGATCATCGGAGATCTGTCAGATCCTCGAGCTAGTTGCAAGACGAAACAATAGATGCCGGAGGAAGTACACGCTTTTACCCCAGACAATGTACCCATTAGGCCTCCAAGGTTGTTTGACGAACGCGTGCCACGTGCATGTGCCTGCCTCTTGCACACCGCAGCCTGCTTTTGTGAACTTCCAAGCCCTTGGCCATTTGCATGCCCAGGTGAATGCCAATGAGATGTCTTACATGCTTTTCTATCTTCCTCTCGGTTTGACGCGCGCAAAGCAGAACGTGGGCTTGGACCTTGTGCACATGACAATGGTGTGTTCTCAGCCCTGTCCTGGCGAGAGCGAGCCATGAATTCACAGATATTGACCGGCGGACATGCATAACCTTGATGCACGCATGCAGTGCGCTCGAAGTTCTGAGACACAGCACATAAATTTATAGATCCACATGTAGATGCAATGATTGATCGCATGGCGGATGCATGTATATGCTACAGTCCCATGGCTCGCCTCCATGATCGGGCCCGCACCCCAATGTCCCTCCGGATTGTACTCAGTAGTATGTATCCAGCAGATGGAACCCTGCAGATGCCCTTCACCGTACGAATGTGGACCGACGTCGAAGTGAAGCATGCGGGTGTCCTCGATACGTTGAGCTATTGATTGGCATAAGCCGCCACTGAGTTATTACTGATAAGAGCTCTACGAATAGCCAACACAGCTTCCCGCCGATGAGGGAATTAATGACACCCGGCGACTCCATTATCAACAGTAGTTCTCCGTCCTGCTCTATCGCTCAGGAGTGGTAGTTGGCGAAGATAGGGATCGCAGTGGATGGTGGCGTGGCGCCGACGCGATGCGGTGTGCTGTCGGTGAGGGGGGAAGCATGTCGGAGAGGAGCGCGCGCCGCGCTTGTCCTTCACATCCATTGGAACGTCTGGCACGTGGGGCACACATGCGCGCAGATGCAACGATCACGCGTATAATCTTTCGCTTGGATGCTGGTATCTTTCCTATCGTCAGAGGTGGATGATGCCGAATAGGCAGCGAAAAAAAAAATACACCGTTATTTCTGGGAATGCACTTGTATGGCATCTGCTTGGCTTCTCAGAGGATCAGCGGCGTGCGCAGCTCCTCACGACTACGGCCACGCCCCGAATATGCGCCAGAGATCATGCCTAATATAGGTGCGTGGCGGGCTGACTGGCGTAAAGCTTCTGGCCTCGATTAACAGAGTCAACTGAATTGTCGGCGGGAATGGCTGTGCTGACGTGCATATGTATGGTTTCCATTCTGAAATTGCAGAGCCGGATAGAGTATGTATTAGTGGAGTAGAGTACTTCATACGTACATATATATGCAGCAGATGCTTGATGAGTATCGTAGACCATTGATGACAACGTTCGTGAACCTCTAGCCTCTGCAAGCAGGTCGGCACATGTATGGTGAAACGGTGCATCTCAGCAGTGGCGCTAGAAACGGCGTAGAAGATCCGCGAGCTTCAGGTTTCACCGGTTTCCGGGGACGGGCGGACACCGTCGTTTGGATCGTCCCATGCACAACAGTAGTAGCATACCCTGTTGAAATCAAGGTCCAGACTGATGACCAGGAAAACGAGGACGGATGACCCTTTGATCCTTCGGGCCAGAGAATTCGCCATGGGCTAAAGATGGAACGTATTCACGGGATCTGTATGACCCTTTGCATGCCGAGAAGGTTTGGTGCTTGACCTCAATCACGGAGTCCCATGCATTTTTTTTTCTTCCGCACGTAGGAGAAACGTTGCCTGCGTCGTGAATGTGGAGGTTTCGCAAGGACAGCGTCTGCATATGCACATCGCAATGAACATACATATCCCATGGGTATATTGGTAGCATAACAAGAATAAAGAAGCACATGATCTAGCTGCAAAGCTGGGCACATTGGATCATGAATACGCCTACCTGAAAGTAATCATGATATGGTGGTGTGTCGGCCGCGCGCGTGGTCCACCGTCGACGGATTCGTCCGCTGGTCTTTCTCGACTTTTCTCTCTGCTTGGCATGTCTTTGATGTTCATTGGCCACAGTCATCATTCACAAGACTTTCCACGCCCGCCTCAGGGAAAATGGAGTGTGCTGCGGCTAGGATGTGCGGTATGCTTGCGTAGCACTCAATGCACTGCACACGGTACGAGCAAGAGGACGGCTGAGCCCACGCCGATGCCATGCGGCAACCGACTTGATGTCCCGTGCCCTCCTCCACCCATTCTTCTCGTCAAGCCATTCATCCTTCGTTACACTGAGGTCGGCCCACCACCACCACCACCACCACCACCGCTACCACCATCTCCTACGCGTGTATCATCGGGTCTGTTGCTCGCTCCTTGTTAGGCTCCTTCACAATCTACCTAGGTAGGCATGATTATGCATTTAGATATCAAGGTATTGCTCGTCCAACTCAATCAATCTCCTTTCCACATCTCGCGCTCTTTGAAAATTTCCGTCGTGTTGCCATCTGAGACATCATCCATCCCGGCGAAATCCTCTTTCCGTATGAGATCATAAGTCCGCGAGGGATTCGACTGCTTGGCCTCTCACAGTAGGCCGTCCTCAAGGACAAGGACCGTAGACTTCCTGTGACCATCGGCTTCACCTTATCTGCTTGAACGACAGTTCCAGTCCTTTTCAGGGTTATCCTTCGCCATGGCGACCGTCGCCACCACGGCGACTGCGCTGCTCACCTCGACGGTGACGCGCACTCTCGCTTCCACAGCTGCTTCGGCATCAGCAAGCCAAAGAGCCGTGCCGCAAGGAGGTATCCTGGAAGGCATCAATCCCTCCGAATACGACCCAAAGGTGAGGACAGGGCGGATATTCTACGGGAAAACTTCATGAACTTGGTCGGCGCTGACATATCGCTATCCTAGCACCCAATTATCTTGTTTATTATCCAAGCAGGCATCATCATTATATTTTGTCGTCTATTGCATTACCCGCTGTCTCTGATACGCCAGCCTCGAGTCATCGCAGAAGTCATCGGCGGCATCCTGCTAGGCCCGTCGGTCATGGGCCGCATTCCAGGCTTCACAGCAGCCATCTTCCCGGATGCCTCTATTCCCAATCTTAACCTAGTCGCTAATCTTGGATTGATCCTCTTTCTGTTCCTCGTCGGCCTCGAAGTGGATTTGCGATATTTCGTCAGCAACTGGAAGGTTGCCCTCAGCGTCGGTACGGCCGGCATGGCATTGCCCTTTGGTCTCGGCTGTGCCATCGCCTGGGGCCTTTACAATCAATTCCATGATGATCCTGGGACTGTGCCTATTTCTTTCGGCATCTACATGTTGTTCATTGGTGTGGCGATGGCTATCACGGTAAGATGCTTTGGTCCCATTGTGATTATCACAATTGCTGAACTATGACCTAGGCCTTTCCGGTTCTGTGTCGCATCTTGACTGAATTAAAGCTGCTACAAACGCCTGTGGGCGTCATTGTGCTTTCGGCCGGCGTCAGTAATGACGTTGTGGGTTGGGTTCTGCTTGCGCTGTGCGTAGCTCTCGTCAATGCAGGAAGCGGACTCAGTGCGCTCTGGGTATGTTCTACAACTTGAAAGTGACAGCTGATATGGCCACGAAGACTGACGCATTCAATCTAGGTCTTGCTCACATCGATTGCTTTTATTCTTTTCTTGGTCTTCGCAGTGCGGCCCGCATTCATGATGATCTTGCGTCGATCAGGCGCACTCCGGGACGGGCCCTCCCAAGGCATCGTCACTCTAACACTCATGATTGCGTTGGCATCTTCCTTCTTCACTGGAGTCATTGGTATCCATCCCATCTTTGGTGCATTCCTTGCTGGATTGATTTGTCCTCATGAGGGAGGTTTTGCGATCAAGGTCACCGAAAAGATCGAAGATCTCGTCAGCGGACTTCTGCTGCCACTCTACTTTGCACTCTCAGGACTCGCGACAAATTTGGGATTACTAAGCGATGGCATTACATGGGCATACGTCGTTGCGGTTATTTTCGTCGCATTCTTCGGAAAGTTTGCTGGCGGTACGATCGGAGCCCGGATGAATGGCCTCGTCTGGCGGGAATCCTTCACGATCGGCGTCCTCATGTCTTGCAAAGGTCTTGTCGAACTGATTGTGCTGAACATCGGTCTTCAAGCGCGGATTCTGAGCACCCGAACGTTTACCATTTTCGTCATTATGGCGCTGGTAACCACCTTTTCAACGACACCACTTACTTCGCTTCTTTATCCGCCTTGGTACCAGCGTAAGCTCGAAGCATGGAAACGGGGCGAGATCGATTGGGATACCGGCAAACCCACAAGCGATGGCGTCGTTGGAACTGCAAGCTTCGAAGCAGAAAAGGCTGAGTCTGCGCCTGTTAAGAAGCTTTTGGTCTATCTCCGACTTGACACAATGCCGACTGTCCTAGCTCTTGTGTCACTCTTTGGCGACAGAGCCGAGATCACATCCCGAGAGCATCCTTCTTTGGTCGGGCAAGAAGATCTTGACGCATCAATAGTCCTTCCGAGCAGGAGCGTACAGGTTCATGGGGTACGAATGGTTGAATTGAACGAACGAGGGTCCACAGTCATGAAAGTGTCCGAGGTGGAAGAGTACACCGTCTTCGATCCTGTGCTAAATGCATTCCGAGTGCTGGGTCAGATGTTCAACCTGGCAGTATCTGGGGAGGTATGCTTAAAATCCTTACAGGAACAATGCCTTTTACAGCCAAAATTCTAACATTCATCCAGGTGACAATTCAACCAGAGAGTAGCTTCGCCGAAACCATTGCCAGCAAAGCGCAAGAGGAATCCTCCGATCTCTTGCTTCTCCCTTGGACTGAGACAGGCACTATCAGTGAAGCGCAGGCCATCTCGGACAGCAGCGTCAAGAACAAGCTCGCTAGCGCCTCCTATGCAGACTTTGTCGCTCAGGCCATGGAATCTGTGCAGTGTAACACTGCAGTCTTCATCAACAAGGGTTTTTCAGGTACGTCTCCGATGATACGACCAAAGCCAGAATGATCAAAAGCTAACCGATCTCAGGATCTCCCAAGCAACGACCAACGATATTACACCGCTCCTACAGTGGAATTAGCATGCGAAGCCATCAGCATGACCGAACGAAAGCACTCTCTCGCCTCCACCACATCTTCATGCCCTTCTTCGGCCTTGGCGCCGACGACCGCGTAGCCCTCCGCCTCGTTCTCCAACTCGCGCAAAACCCCGAAGTCACCGCAACCATCGTCTACTTCAAATCGAGCGAAACTACCTCTACCTCTCCTCCTGTCACTCGCGAAATCGTGGCTCCCAAGGACGACCGATCCCGACCCGCCGACGTCTCCCGCGCCCACTCCTCCGCCTCAAGCGCCAACTCCTCCGCCAACGTCGAAGACGCCTTTTTCGCCGCGATGCAGCGCTCACTACCCGGGGACCTCGCCCGCCGTGTCATTTTCGAACATGCGGGACGCAGCGTGGCTCCCGTTGATGCCGCACTTCAGCGGGCCCAGAGCGAGGTTGCACAGCATCCGCGCCAGGATGGCGACATCATCGTCCTGGGCCGTCATCTCGAGGCCTTCTCCGATCAGCGGCAGTCTGATGGCACGCCGGAATGTCTCGGCGCCGCGGCGGAGCAGATACTAACAAGCGGCATCCGGGCGAGCTTGCTCGTCGTCCGGGCGCGGACGCAGGCTGTTGAGCGGTGAAGACATCTGTCCAACATCGGTTGCAGATTTTTCCCTTCTGGAAATTTATTGGGAGGGGTTCATATATGGACTGGCGTTCTTCTTGTTTTTGGGAGGTGGCGTGGCTTCACGATGACGATGGAAACGATAAATGATCATGACAATACACCAAGGGAAAGACTTTTGGTGGGGGTGCGCCTCTAACATGTTTTTGACGTTGGCTTTTTGCACACATCTATATGCATATTGCAATTTGGGTAAAACTTCAAGGGCGATCACGATTAACGGAAAGGCATTTCCCTCTTCTCTGGGACTTATGAGTAAGACGGCAAGGCATTGAAACTAAGACCATTGCGAAGAGTGGTGTTCTCATCCATGAGCTGAAACCCGTCGGGCGGGTGAAATTTAGGCTCTACATTATCTGAATGTATTGGATTGCTGCCCACCTACAAGGCTCACGCCTATTCGATAATTTGTGTCTGGAAACGAAGTTGCGGGCGTACAGACTCATGATCGTAACAATAAAATTGGGGTCGTGCCGATTCGGCTTTCATCTATGTACCATCTACCTCGGCGATCCATTCCCTCTCTTCGGAAAGTCGCCTGGACATGCTTGGGGGAATGCAAAAGTTCATGTATTAAAAAGACTGCTCATGGGTATAACTCCCCGGTCCGCGTATACCCTCACGCCGGAAGGTTTCTCTGCATATGCATTTCAATGCCGCTGCTTCTTTCGACCAAGCGTGTTCTGAAACGCCATGGGCGTTGAGGTCATCTGTAGATTTGAAAATGCCGTCATTGCGCGTTTCAGGTGGCTGGAATGTGGTGTCGGTTGGGCCGTCATCATCGCGGCTGGCTCGGCGGCAAAGTAGGATGAGCCCTTGAATGAACTGGTGGGCGAAGGAGGCTGTGAGAGGAATCTTCTGGTGTCTGCATCGTCTCTGATAACAACGGACTTGCCGTTGGCACGTGGTGTTTCTGGACGAGAGACTTCTCCGGAATTCCGAGCTGTGACGTCGACAAAGTCTTCGTCTTCGTACGAGGTGACCGGTGATGAGAGTTCAGATCGAGCTTCGTCTGATGATGACAGAATGTGCTCGGTGGTGTGATGAACGGGAAGGAAATTATTAGGGGCGTCGCTGGAATCGTACCAAGATCGGGTCGGACGATGCGTGGCACGCCGGCTAGGGATGGGGCGCATGGAACGGCTTGAGCTGGGTCGCTGCCAGAGTTGTGTGAGTGAGAAGTCGGAGCGAGCTGAAGGGAGCGCTCGTCGAGGACGCTGTTCGCTCTTTAGAGCAGGACGGATACGCGCTGAGTGGATGTGCTTGATGGCGGCATTCAACGACAATTCGATCGCGACGTGATTTCGCACTCGGTCCAGCTTTGGCCAAGTTGCCTTTTCACCTGATGCAACGGCCTTAATCATGAAATCCAGCTCCGGATTGGCGAGCACTTTGAGCCAAGGCACCCAGGAGATATCGGGCAAGATGGTGATGTCGCCATGATACTTTTGGCCCAGAACCGAATGGCCCATCTTGACAAGAGAGAAATCAAACCCGCGATCCATTAGGCCGTCCAATGCGTAAATGCAAGAAGCTTGGGCTAGCCGCAGACCTTTCTTGACAATTGACTTTTGCAGAATACTTTGCTCAGAGATGGTGTAAAGAGGCGTGTCCACGTTTCCATCGAGGAAAGGTTGCACGTGAGGGTTGACTTGAGAGACTATAAAGTTGTTGACGTTGAATAGTCGCTCCATCGTGCGAGCTGGGAGATCGCCTTCAATCGAGCCGTCGATCCATTTGTCGTCTAGATGTCCCCATAGAGTAATTTCGCCAGTCTCGGGATCCTTGGCACGTAATCCCGGAGGTTCGAAGACACCAGGAAGGGCGCACGACGATGCGACTGCGGTCCACACCACCACATTTGGCGATGTTTGGTAGTTGAGTAATCGCGGTAGGTTGAATTTGTCTCTTGATGAGACGTGAATGTTGAGGATTCTGCCAGAGTAGTTGTAGGCCTCGCGGAAGGTCACGTTACCAAGCAGGCGCTTCATGACGCGACAGAGATTGTGGATGTTGAAGGCGCAGCGGCCTCGTGCGAGATTGAATGCCATGCCTGCTGGGCCTTGGATCTCGTCAAAGCCTTGGAAAACAGATAGATCACCTCGGCAAAGCTCCTCTAATTGTGCTCCGACCTCGTCTGCTTTCTGTGTACACAGAACCGAGCCGACGATGCTGCCAGCTGAGGAACCACAGACAACGCGTGGTAAAAGATCTTCCTCCAGGAGACATTTTACAACACCTGTACGACGTTAGCAAACCAAGGTACTAGACATTTGGAAAGCATGATGCGTACCGATATGACACATGCCGAGCGTGCCACCTCCAGACAGCATGAGTCCTGTATTTCCAAACGACTGCCTTGCCGCCTTCATGTCTACCAGGATCTTCTCCACCTCTAACGGGTCTGCCAGATCGCAGTAATGAGCGATACGCTCTATTGTGTATTTGACGACTTCGGTGTACTCTTCTATCAGAGTCTTGGTGCCTGACCAAGTGTGCTGATACAATCGCGCGTTGCACATGCCTCCCAGATCCCGTGTGAGACCACTCCGGACGAGAGAGACCATTTCTTCCATGTCTCCTTTCCGATGTGCCTCCTTCAGCATCTCCAGCCGCGAGCGGATGAGCCGCATGTTGCATTCGTCGGATTCCTCATCATACTTCCACCGATGATTGCCCTCCAGGATATCGAGCTGTCGAGCGTACTCTCGATATTCCTGTGAAGTCCTTGAATTTTGGAGACGGGTGAAGAGTATGTCGACGGGATCGTCCATGTCATCGACAATGCGTTGGGTCCGAGCGATGTCCTCATCTTCCGACTCTTCCACCGCTTGGTCTAGAGCCTGATGCGATTGCTGACGCTGATGCTGTGGTTGTGGCTGTTGCCGCCGTGATGTTCCGTTTATATATTCTTGGGCCAGCTGTGCAGCAGAAGCCGCAGTTCGTAGCGTTCTGGCCCATGATGTGGTGCTTTTTTGTGCGCTGGTGGACTGCGCGGGAAAGGACGTCGGATTGTCATTTCCAGCGGCACAGTTCCACGAGGAAGGAATGCCTTTGGACGTAGCCATGCGGGCCAGCCATATACGGCGAACGTGGAGTCGATTGTTTCAAGAGCGTCGGACTTTTACATGACTTGGAAACGGGAGCCAGGCGAGAAGTGAATTGCGATTGACGTCGATGTGAGGAGACAGAGGCAGAGGGCGAGTGGTGGGTGCAGCTGGTATGTGGACAACGGGCTCGTGGAATTATTATCTAGTTCGGCTCTAATTTGGCGTAATGGTAGACGTGCTTGCATTCGGCTGGGCTTGAAGATCACAAGCAGGCTACAGTGCAATTCACTACTGATTCAAGTCCCAGCTCTCGCCGGGCAGCACCACCACCACCACCACCATCCCGAGCAGCAGCAGCAGCAGTAGAGAGGCGGAGTCACGAACATGCATGGGACCTCGATTGGGGGGGGCGGGACCCGGCGACCTACACATGATGCAGTGGGTTGCAGATGTGTGTGCAGGTGACTGGTGAGTACGTGACAATGACCGCCGCCAGCGGAATATTCGGTGGGTGTGGGCCTCGCACCGTTGAGGCTTTGGGGGGAACTTTGGGCTCATTATCCTAGTAATATAGTATTGACTGTGCACGATTACGCCTCATTACGTGAACGTCATGCCATGCTGTATACGCGATGTGATTTGAGTCGAACGTATATTACAGGCGTACATTTTCATAAGATATGGTTGACCATGTAGACGCAGCATTAGGAGGCCTGAGCCTAAGCTGCCCAACAGAGGAAGTCGAATGACGAGGGAAATTTGTGTGCACAACTGCTGTGTGGGCGCGAGGTGTTGATGTTCGTGTGCTGCAGAGAGCACTTTCCATCAACACGCGTTCGATTCATCCCTACAGGACCACAATTGTGTAGCGATGCACAGATATGATCAAGCCTTTCGGGTTATCCTAGTAGCTGGCGCTCGTATGGCAATCAATATGACGGTCAGTGGAGTCGCTTTGAAAGGTGAACTTTGGGTTCGCTGTAACACATTAGAGCTGGATATTAACAAAAAAACCCGGGCACATGACGAGGATGATCGCGGCGCTGGTCAAAGTGATAATGGGAAGTCACATCATACACCTGGGCGTGTAGCATTTCTCGCGACAATGCCGTACGCACCATGTCGTTGTCCGCTCTCAGCCTTTCAAACTTAGAATAACAAGTAGACGGTGGGCACACTCGTGGGCGGGAAAAGGCCTCCAAAGTGCTCCTGAACAAATTCAACTGAGGGCGAAGGCTGGCGAGTGGAGGGGGTGGGGAGAGGCTACATTGTCAAACCGCGAGAACCCCAGCAGTGTGGTATCGAGATGGCTGCAGACGGACTCGCGGGTCCCTGGTTCCGTCTGAAGTATCGGCAGCAACAACTCGTCGGTGTGCGTACTCTCGGCGGATTGCGCACCTGGTATCGTAGATGATGAAGATCCCCCGCAGACCGCTTACGAAGTTCAGGACGACCCGGTCATGATGCTGTATTACCATCATGACCAACACACTTATGTTGGAAACATTGATCTTACCCGTCTGTATGACCCTGAACAACAATCTCGTCACCTCGCGAACGGCACGGCGACAGCGTACGACATGCGATCAAGGTTCCCGATATCCACGATGTTCTCTCCGTTGCTATGACGGGCGGATGATCATCTCCAGGCCAAACGTGAATCACAAGACCGGGGCGAGCGGATGACGAACGGGGGCGCATTCGGACTTCCCAGCTGAATTAACAAGAATAAATCAAGGTTGTCTGTGGAAGACTCCATAAGACTCCATGCCCAGGTGCGCATCATCATCATTCCACGGTTACTTTATGGTCCTGCCCAACTTTAGGAAGCCCGCCGTCCAGGATCCGCTGTGCGTCATTTCGGTTGTCCGAGCGTATCGTTATCAGCGTCCAGGTGATTTGTTGTCATCACATGCCAATTGCTCAAAATCCTGGCGGAAGGAGCTGGAGCGTGTCTTCCATTTTCTATTATTGGTGACGAAAAGTGTATCATCGGCAGTCGAATATTGTAAGGCTTCCGTCTCATCACATGGTAAACTCAGTCCGGTTGAAAGAGACATCTAAGCACCACCAATTCACATATACCGCGGAACCTGCCTTTCCCATGTGCTGTGCCATATCTGTAAGCATGCATGTGCAGGAGACTGGCAGTGAACACAGCATGCCTTCATTTGCCTATCTAGGCAGACACAGTACAAGCGATTCTTGTGGGTGTCCAAAGTTGTTCTGAATTTGAAAGCCCGAGTACTCTTGTCACTTTGTCGATCTGGCTTTTTCGCTCCGTCGTGCCGTCCCTTCTGCATCACCACATCGATCCAGCGACCCGCCGACCCACCGACGTGCATCCTGCGAGGATGTCGTTCGTCCATAAAGTCGACATTGCATCCACCGTCATGCAGATCTCAAGGGTCTCTTCCGGGGATCAGCAGCGCTCTCTGGAACCACCGAGGCTTATTTCTTGACATTGGCAGACAACGGGGATCGCTTTGCGCAGGCGACAGAATTCCTGATCCGGTGTCATGAAGGCAACAGCATTCACCGTGATCGCATGGTACAAGCAGCATCTCGGACGTGTGGGTTCATAAACAATCACAATGACCCTCCCATTGAAGGAAGAACCTTAGAACGCACTGTTCTAAGGGTTGAAAGTTCATCCCGTGTCCGGTCGGAAAGCGTACAACGTGGTAGACCAAATCTGCGGCGCTGCTGCACTATGCACGATTTCGAGACAAAAGTCCGATAGAAACGCCATCATTACTCCAATTCGCAACATCCACTACCTGTAGTCTTCGAGCCCCACGGCATCACATATGTCTGTCCTGGCATCTATGATCGCCTCTCCCATCACTATCTCAGCTAGATCCCCAACCCTTCTCCAAATTCTCCACCTTTGCCTGCCGTCCACTCCTCACGATACACCAGACCACTTCCTCGTCGCCCTCGTTGACTTCCTGATGCTCCGCCCAAGCCGGGATCAAGACGAAATCTCCAGGCTCGATCTTTTGTTTCTTCCGACCACCCTCGCTAACGACGCTGCCTCCTCGTCCGGAGTGCGCGAAGATGATAGTGTCTTGGTCGCCGTGGTGATGGATCGCCGAGGACGAGTGCGGCGCAGCGGTCATTCGGGAGGCATTGAGGAGATCGCTGACATCGCTGAGCGCATTCGCGCGGGTCATGCCAGAGGTTTGAGATCCTGAGGTCTCGAGTGAGGTGCCTGCAGCATGCAGGACGGGATTCTGAGTGTGGCTTGGAGACATCGTTCTTTTTCGTTATTCAATTTCCAATGACATTGGTCGTTGAGTCTAGGTTGTATTTCGACGGATTTCGACGGATTTTGAATGCGTTCAAATTTATGTGATCGATTTGCTGAATGATCGCGGTCTCAATCTGCACATATACTAGACCTTCTTTCCTTTTCTCCGACTACCTACTGCCAGACGTGATGATGGGTCTGGTCCCTGGCGTGGCTCTGACGTAAGTGAAGCCAAATCTTAAGTTTTGGAATCGCTTGGTTGCTTCATTAGTTAACAAGACGGATCTTCAGGACGTCGATTCATACAATAGATCCATGGCAGGATCACGCGGTCAAGTCTTAATGATCTTGCTGCGTTCCCCCAATGGAGCTGAATCCCGATCACTTTTACCGTAATATACCGTGTGGACGGGATGAACCTTGGGAGACTTGCAACCTGTGACCATCTCGAAACCACGAAATGTAGACAATCTACAAAATTGCCTGCCCACCGCGACAATTGTTGTCTCGCTTTCGCAAGGAGGAGCAGCTTGGCTTAAGGTCACGAATACTACTATTTCCGTTGATTGAGTTTGCCTCGAAATGCACCCACAACCGAAGGGAAGAACATCTTCCATGTACTAGGGTTCGCATTGGGTTACCCAGGCGATAGGGTTACAACATGATCTCCACCTGGGCAGCTTGGAAGTTTACAAATTGAGATCCACGTGTTCCGCGCCCACGTGGGTTTAATGAACAGGTCTTGATGGTTTCAAGCATCTGAGCGGTTCCATTCGAACCTCTGACAAGTGCTCTCGCACGTTCGATGAGTTGGGCGATACATTTGAGAAGTGCACAACGAGAGAGCATCACCGAGGCACATAATGTTCCCGCGCAGTCGCGACGCGAACGCGAGCAGGGACAGAAAATCCACTTTCACTTAAAAGTGTACAGTCGATACGATCCTCCCGAGCTGCCGAGCGATCAAACTGTGGAGACAGAACAGTACGGCATGTCGAATGCCTAGGTAATGTCGAAGGTCGAATAGGGCACCGCGGCTGATGAAGATTCGCAAATCATTCGAGACTATACGAGACCCTCTTTCAAGTTCATCGATCTCTTCAATGAATGCTCACGATGCCCCACCTGTGCTCACGTCGCCGAGCCGCGGGGATAATAAGGGATATTTCACAAAAAGACTAATAGATATCATCAATGGTCTTGCATTGCACGCAACGGGATGTGGTGGCGAATGCCCCGAGACGGCGCTCGGTGATTGAGTTCAGCATTTCGGCCACGTCGTACAGGGGACTGAACGTTCGAGGACGCAAGGCAAAGACCGAGCGGGTGGCGTTCGAAGACGTCAACGACAACGACCGCGGATTTGATGAAAGGGCTTGTCTGCTACGTTTCGCTCCTAGCATAATTCACGTATGCTGTCGACACACGAAACAGTCAAGCTTACCATTCGTCAACCTCGTGCCCATCGCTATTGCTACTGATTTCGACGGATATTTGTTGTATTTTAGATAGGGTGATCCTCGTGGTGCGCGGTCAAAATCGAGACAGATCCGCTCAAGATTTCACGATCGACGAGGCTAAAAATCGCAAGCCCAAGGAGGAGGCTCATCTTGCGCGGGCTAGATGCCGGCCGATAGAGCTGGGGTAAACGACAAGCAGATGATTCCCACCAGGATGCGAATCTCCCGCGGCAGGAGAACATGAGCGCGAATACGGCGGCTCCAGGGCGAAAGCCGAATGGACCTCGGCTCATTCATCGACCACCAGTGTGAAGGACAGAGACGAATCACAGCTGTCCAATATCACATACGGTTTCTGGCTGGATGTACATAGCAATCGACTGTCCTTTGCATACATGCAATTCAGCGGGAGATCATAATAATAATATTGACCGTCTCACCGTTCGTGAAACACCGAGCAGGTCAAGTATCGAGCCGGGTGACGTACTGGAATCTTACATATGTAACTGAGCAGTTCCAGACGGAACTCATCTGTATGTGATGATGATGCAGCACAGTGTGTAAAACAGTCATTAATTGCGGTCACCTGCTTTGCATTTATTAGGAAATAGCCCCGAAGAATCCAGAGCGTGGGTGTCGAACGTCAGCCCAGGCGTGCCAGAAAACCTAACACACGAGACCATCATCCACCTGGGTACTGTTTATTACCTCGGGTGTGTGGTAACCCCGTGGAGACGGACAGTTTGGCCCAACATGCACAGGGCTGTTTCACGCCCGTAAGGAATGCGCTCGACGAAATCAAATGTATCTCCACATGCAGGACGCCAATCCAACTGCGGCGAATGATTCATGACATTCATGTTCGTCGTGGCGGACGATACCATATCACAAATCTGTAGTCACGAGATCAATCGCATCAAAATCGTCGACAACCAATGGCGCACATGTATGTTCGCGCATTGCCGTGGTGGTATTGGTGGCGGCGCATCGCGACCCTGTCTGTCTATCCCGTTTCCATGGGCCCTCCGTACTGAGCAGTAGTCACGTCGCCCACCACCCGCTTCTAGGTGTGCTCGGCATGTCTGACATGTGAAAGTCACTCTTTTCCCACACAACAGCGGTACGCGATTTCACCACCACGGCCAGCCCGGGTGTATAATAATAACAGGAACACTGTCCAGACATAGAACAGGAGAGTGGAAAACTCGACTATACGCACAGTGCACACAGACCTCCTCACCGAACTAGACCGTAAGCAGTGAAAAGAGGGAGCGAACAGAAGGAAAAGAAGGTTCGGCTTCTTTCAATTGTCTCTCGTTCGACTTCCCCACAATCCCCTGCCCCGGCCTATTAGCCCATCATCTCTACTTGATTACCAGCAGAACATCCGCGGCTAAGACTGAGATCCTCTCGCTGGCCCGGTGCTCCACATCTATCTATCCCTTCTCGCGCTGTTCTCGGTCCAAGAAAACTTCTCTCCATCTTCATTCTCCATCCTTTTCTCATCCCTACTTCTTTGAGCTTGTGTGATTCGACTCTCGTGAGGGTTCGTCGTCTATCGTTGTTATCGTCGCCCACGTATACCACACGACCATCACATATCTCTCGTCGCCACCGCCATCATGTCGAAGACCTTCTCCGCCGCCGACGTGGCCTCGCACAACTCTGCCAAGGACCTGTACATCATCGTTGACGAGGATGTCTACGACCTCACAAAGTTCCAGGACGAGCACCCCGGAGGAAAGAAGAGTATGTCAATCCCGGTTCAACTCTCATGCGATTAGACGCTTGTATGAATATTGCACGCGCTCGCGACTTGTATGCTGACCATGCCGCTCTTTTTCAGTCCTGACTCGTGTTGCCGGCAAGGACGCCAGCAAGCAGTTCTGGAAGTACCACAACGAGAGCATTCTCAAGAAATACAAGAAGAACTTGCTGGTCGGTTCGCTTGATACCAAGGCCAAGGAGGCGCCCAAGGAGGAGTCCAAGCCGGCGCCCAAGGCCAAGGAGGCCGCCGTTCCTCAGGCTGAGTCCGGTACCGCCTCAGTCGCTCCCACTGATGCCGCTCCCGAGGAGTTCGAGGCTCTCGAGCAATTCGGTGACCTCATTCCTTACGGTGACCCGAACTGGTACCAAACCTACCACTCGCCTTACTACAACCAGACTCACGCCGACCTCCGCGCCGAGGTCCGAGAGTGGGTTGAGGAGGAGATCATGCCTAACGTCACTGAGTGGGACGAGGCCAAGATGGTGCCCCAGTCGATCTACAAGAAGATGGGTGAGCGTGGTTACCTCGCTGGTCTGCTCGGTGTCAAGTACCCCAAGCACCTCGTCAACAACCCCATCAAGTGCGTCCCGGTCGAGAAGTGGGATTCATTCCACGAGTTGATCATGACCGATGAGCTGTCTCGCAGCGGATCCGGTGGTTTCGTCTGGAACATCATCGGTGGTTTCGGTATCGGTGGGCCCCCACTCATGAAGCACGGCAAGCCCGAGCTCATCAAGCGCATTGCCCCTGGCATCATCAACGGTGACAAGCGCATTTGCTTGGCCATCACCGAGCCCGATGCCGGTTCCGACGTCGCCAACTTGACTTGCGAGGCCAAGCTGACCGAGGACGGCAAGCACTACATTGTCAATGGTGAGAAGAAGTGGATCACCAACGGTATCTGGTGTGACTACTTCACCACCGCTGTCCGCACTGGTGGCGAGGGCATGAACGGTATCTCCGTTCTCCTCATCGAGCGCGCCCACGGTGGTGTCAGCACCCGCCGCATGGACTGCCAGGGTGTGTGGTCATCCGGTACCACCTACGTCACCTTCGAGGACGTCAAGGTCCCCGTCGAGAACTTGATCGGCAAGGAGAACCAGGGTTTCAAGGTCATCATGACCAACTTCAACCACGAGCGTATCGGTATCGTCATCCAGTCCCTGCGTTTCGCCCGTGTCTGCTACGAGGAGTCCGTCAAGTACGCTAGCAAGCGCAAGACCTTCGGCACCAAGCTCATCAACCACCCCGTCATCCGCATGAAGCTCGCCGTCATGGCCGGCCGCATCGAGCAAGGCTGGGCCTGGTTGGAGAACATGATCTTCCAGGCCGAGCGCATGGGAGAGACCGAGGCCATGTTGAAGCTCGGCGGTGCCATCGCCGGCCTCAAGGCCCAGTCCACCCTCACCTTCGAGTTCTGTGCCCGTGAGGCCGCCCAGATCTTCGGTGGTCTGTCCTACTCTCGCGGTGGCCAGGGTGCCAAGGTCGAGCGCCTGTACCGTGACGTCCGCGCCTACGCCATCCCCGGTGGTTCCGAGGAGATCATGCTCGACCTGAGCATGCGACAGGCCATGAAGGTCCACCAGGTTCTCGGCATGAAGCTGTAGATGCAGCTGTAAGAGTCGGAGCGATCTGCGTTTTTGTGGCATACCCTGTTCTTTTTTCTTCCTGCCAGTCCCATGGCCGGCATCATTGAATGTCGGAACTCCCTCATCGGGAGAGGACTGAGATACAACAAATAGAGGATCCATCTCAGCTGGGTCCGGTGTGTGTACGAGGCGGCGGCGGTGGCGTTGTTCGGCAGAGGTCACCGTCACCATCGACCATCCCGTCGATGGTTATCGGATCAAGCACCTCGCTGTGTAGAAGTAATGAGGATTCCCGGATGGTGCCAGGTGAAATCCACGTACGCGTGTCATCATGGTGCCGTTTTGATCGTCTGGGGGATATTTCTGGTTCGACTTGTTCTCGGATGCACCTTCTCATCGGAGGCGCCATTTGAAGCAAGGAAAATTTTCCTTTTGTATTAGCTTTATTGCACATGATGAACCATTTTTTATCACTTGACCCTCACTTTCGAACTTGCCGTGACCAAAAGCTCAGCCTGATCGATCTCTTCTTCACACACTTCATTGGTCGTCCTAACCACCTGGTTGTGATGCATGCCCAGGTGCATCTGGAATGTATAGGTACGACTGCGGATGGAGAATCCTCACACCGTGCAAGTTCCAGTACATGTCTACGAACCACACACGACAGTACTACCAGCCACGTTCATCCGGCATATCAACGTCTCATTTGTTGTGAAGGAACCAAAAAATGAAAACCGCTTGATGAGCTCTTGAAGCGTCACTTTCCTACGAATGACGATTGCATCGAGAAGAGGCATTTCCATTTTGTTCATGTGCTATGATAAATCTGGCTCTCTCCATTCTTCCTGGTCATGCAAGTCATGATGGCGTCATTCATAAGTAAACCATTCTGCATTGCGCTTCATTGCGCTTTCCCACCAAGTCCTCCCCTTGCGGTCCTTCACTACGAGGGATTTCCTTACTTCTCAGCCCCGTCGTGATGTCATCCGCTATACGTTCTGCTCAACCGTGATAGCTCGGAGAAACGCGCGATTCCCGCAAAGAGATCATCCGACAATGGCCCCCGATGCACATTTATCATCTGTATCCACGCGGGAGTACACTATATGACGCTCGTGCGTTTCGGGAAACCCACACCTTCCACCGCCGCCGAATCGCAGAACCAACTGACCTTGTCCCCGCCGCCCTCGTTGACGAGAGCGCTCGGCAGGGCCCGGCCCTCGTCATCGGCCTCGAAGATTTTCTTGAGGATCCCCTTCTTGCCGCCGCCTGTGGCGACGAAGGCGATGGCGCACGCGTGGGTCAGGATCGGCAGGCTCAGCGTGATGCGGCCTGGCGGTGGCTTGGGTGAGTCGGTGATGCTGAGGACCCAGGCATCGGTGGCGCGTAGAAGCGCGTGGTCCGGGAAGAGCGAGGCCGTGTGGCCGTCGGGCCCGCAGCCGAGGAGGATGAGGTCAAAGAGAGGGAGCTTGACGGAGTCGCGGTTTGCGAAGGTGGAGACGAGCGTTTGCTCATATTGGTCCGCGACCTCCTGTGGATCGTCGAGGGCGGTCTCGTCGATCGGGAAGACCTTGGGCTTTGGGCCGTCCTCGGGGAGTTGGTCGAGGAAGTCGTTCTTCAATGCTTTGTAGTTGGAGTCATCGTGGTCCAGCGGCACGCACCGCTCATCAACGAAGAAAATCTCCCATTTGTCGAGGCTGGCCGGAGGATTCGGGGCCAACAGTGCTCGGGAGAGTGTCTTTGGTAATGATCCGCCGGAGACGCCCACGCGGAATTTCCCGTGCCGGGCAAGGGCTTCTTTCTGTTCGGCTAGGATGTATTTCCGCAGATTTGGAGCGAGATCGTTCTCGACGTCCGGGAATGAGTAAAGCTTTGGGGGACGACCCATTGTGGAGCACTTGTCTGTGGAGGGGAAGGTTCCCCGAAATCGGCACTGGCGAATGAAAAGATTCTTATTGAACTTGAGGGGACTCGAATCTTCTATGAAGTTGTCTGGGGCAAGCGCATCAGAGTGATGCGATAGGTCAAGGGCGTTGAGTTGTCAGAACAGACAGAAGCAGAGACAGAAAAGGTGGAGGAACTCCAGCATGGGACAAGTGAAGCGATATGGCAACGTCAGTAGCGATGTTATGCAATGGTGAAGAAGTGAGGAAGGCTGTTGCTGTAGGTCCGGGTGTCAAGTGCAAACTCTACTTGGATAGGGTGGTGATGGTATGCACAATGCAATGGGTAGGAGTAGTAGTAGTAGCAGTGGTGGTGGTGGTGATAACGGCGGAGCGCGTGCGATAGAGGATAATTTCTCTCTAGTCGAATCCCCGCTGTGAAGATGATAGTGAAAACATGCCCGACGGTAGCCCGACGATGATTCGGGTAGAGGAGACGCTGACGATGCGTGATGACGAGACCAGTTTCCATCATAGATCGTCATTTAGCCATACTCCAGGGCACCACGGACGGCCTTTGCCTTTTCTGCTGTGTGCGAGCTCTCCAGGCCCGCCCAGGTTTCCTCCTCGCGGCTTTGTTACCGTGATCAATCTCACGATGCAGGGCTTCGGTGAGGTGATTACTGTGCACAGTACTCTCTCTCCCTCGCACTCTCTCCCTCACACTCTCTCCTTCACTGTCTCACACACTCTCTCCACCACCAGTACCAGCACCACCGATCACCGATCACCGACCACCGACCACCTCAATGCCCTCGCTGTGCCAACCTTGGATGATTGACACTTCGGGACTCGCCGGATGTTCGATCACCATACGTGCAGAAAGGTCCACTATACAGCGCATGCATTGCCAATACTTGTCTATCACCAAGAAGCTCCACTCCAGCTGTGGTCGATGATACTTGAACAATCCACTCATCACTTCTCACGCCTCTCTAGTCACAATCATTCAACGGCGGCGTATGTACCGATGAAGGTGTAAAAGTATAAAGCTGAGTACCCAGGTATTTATGTACATACATTCGTTTCCCTGCAGCCCGGAGCGTGAGCGCTTATCCATGCCCGCGAGCAATGTCCCGCACGTGAAAATGACATAACGGTCACTCCATTAACGTCAAACACCAGAGCGCGGTCCACCCCACGGCGTGGTCCACGAATTACGTGTCCATAACAACAACAACTTCAACACGCGATGGCACCATCAAAACGCGTCCAAAAGAGCTCAAACGAAGGGAGTGTACTGCTTGCAATATCAGCTTTCAGATCAGGTGACATAGGATCTGTAAATGCTGCTGCAAAAACCTACGGTGTCTCAAAATCAACGCTGCTTCGGAGATTGAAAGGAAGTCCTGCTCGAGAGGACTATATGCCACAGAATAGCAATCTCACTCCAATCGAGGAGGAGATCCTTCTTAATAGCATA